TGGTGCCCCCGCACCCGGAGCATTCCCCCCGGGGCCGACACGTGCGAGCTTCCAAGGAGCATCGATGTTCTCGGATCCACTGGGATCTCCACATACTAACTTCGCGGTTGGTTCTCCAATGGCCAACTCTCCGTGGGGCACGGCCCCCTTTGGAGGCTCTGCCTTCCCTTCCACATGGAACCCCCCTTCGGCGGGAACTGGTTGGCCTCACAATAATGCCTTCTCAGCGGGCGGTCACCATCGGCCTCATACCTCTCGACCCGTCACAATTCGCCTGCTGGTCATCCAAGCATGCAAGCAGTTGAACTCGATGACCAGCCCGCAGAAGGGTGGTGGAAGCTTCTACGATGTGAATCTTGTTCTCGGCCAAGTGGAACAACTGCGCAGCCCAGGCGAGCCATCGATCTCGTTGGATGAAATGCTTGATATCTGCGATACAGAAGGCAGTCCACAGAATGGCGGCGGATCTTTCTCCATCAAGGAAGGTCCGAATGGCCAGTCAGTCCGATTCGAGCCTGACCCCAATAGCGCAGTCTCTGGTCATCGGGGTAGCATTGTGCCTGGCGATATCGGCAGCCCGATCCCCAGTAACAGCCACCCAGCCCCATTCAGTGGATTCGGTGGACCCTCCTCTGTGCTCCGGCAGTATTCTTCGCCTCCGACTGGCTTATTCGGCGGGACTTCTCTATCCTGATCATGACTTGATGCCAACCTGGCCTTGGGACGAATTTTCTTCTCGGCCTCCTTTCCGCATTCTTGCTGGAACGACTTTGAAATGCCCTCATCAATTTCTTTTTTCATTTGCCTTTTTTTTTCTCATCCTTTATTGAAGCGTCATGGATTAACGTCATACTCACACATCTGTCTACATCTTTCTACTCGAAAGAGTCACTGCTATCGATATGGGTTGTTTATTTGCTGGTATTTTCCCAATATGGTTGAATGCCCTACTTTTTGAAGTATGGTATGGCTTCCGGATTTGTTTTTATGTACGGTATGAGTCTCTGGCCTTTCTACATTATGCAGCGATATCCGTGGAGATAGGGTTAGTCTCCCACTCCGTCATCGTCCTTGACCAATTGCATGATCGAAGGTTTCTTCGGCTTTGGGCTTTTTGCGTAGAACGTGGTAGAACTAAGTAACGTAGAGCAACATAAAGCTACATATTGGGGTATCACATGCTATACAGGTGGGCGTCATATATATTAGGGAACTCGGCATGGCTACTTCCTTCTCGGATGTGATCGTACGATTTTCTGTGACCAACCAACTCGAAGATGCCAAGGCGCTTGTTTGTTCTACAAAATAAAAAAAATAAAAAAGAAGTCGTCCACGGCCGATACAAATCACGTTGAAAGGGTATGGTGTTATCCGGAGACAATGATACACTTGTATATACTAGGAATGAAAGAAAACCGAGGAGCAACAAGGGAAAGAGGCAGGCTTCCAGTAACAACAGAAAGGCAAAAGAAACCAAGGAAATAGAGTAGAGCAGAAAACAGGTGAGGATCAAAGCAGGGATCCCACATGGCACATCACACATCACATACAGTGCTCCTCACAGGTCACTCGGAGGTGTGTGTCCTGACTAAAATGGGCTTGACATCCATGTGGCAATTACTTTGGGGGATCGGTCACAATGCCTTCATATTCGCGAGAGCGAATATACTCCAGCGTGCGCTGGAAGTGGCGCTTGGGGCCGTCAAGATTAGCATTTGGCTCGTCTTCGTTGGTCTGCAGGTTGGAGTGGATGAGTTCGATGAGGCCGTTCAAGTACTTGGTGGTGACGGTCTCGTTTTGCTGGTCGAAATAGTAGACGTAGCGGTTGAGGATTTCTACAAATAGCTCGACGGAGACAGCGGTGTCCATGCAGGCGTCAGCCACACGGAGGGCGCGTTGGAGACACTCGAGGACTCGTTTGCCGTCGCGGTAAAGCTGCAAAGTTGATATCAGTTAAAAGATACTAGGACGGAGGAATTGGAGATAAACTTACATCTTTGGGGTCCTCTTCTCCACGTTGTGGGTTCTCAACTACCCACCAGAGGTGACTTGCGAGATACACTGCGCGGCATTGATCGGGCTTCTTGAGGAGCTTGCTTCCGTGCAGCGCAGCTTTGGTAATGAGTGTGTCATAATTCTCCTTAGAGAATCCACGACTTCCGTGTAGGGCGCCTGAAATAATGCAGACGGCCTGGAACTGGGCGCGCGAGTCACTGATCGCATCTTCGTAGATGGTGAATGCCTGTGCGAAGAACTCGTAGCTGACTTCCTCAAATCCTGTTTGATCAGCAACCTCGCCACACATAACAAACAGTCGCAGCGCGAGGTCGGCGCAACCTGGATTTACGCGCTGGTACAAATTGTTGATGCTCTGGTGCATGAATCGGTATAGAGCCGACGACTGTGATTGCCAATTGTCATCATAATGCTCGCGCGACTTCAGTTTACGGGCCAATCGGACGGATGCCGTTATTATTGCAGGAGTAGTATAACGGATTCGTTCGTTGCCATCGGCCAATGCCTTGCGCGTTGCTTGGAGCAGCTGTCATAGACTGTTAGTTACAGTTATAAAACATCTGGTAAGTGATCCTACCTTTAGCTGGATATCATTGTCTGATGCCTGGATCAAGTGCACAAGTCTCGCAAGCCACCCTTGTTCTTCTACCGTTTCATCAGTTTCACCTCCCCGCCGTTGGGATTGTGAGCCGGGATATCCTGCAGACTGCTGCATGCCTTCCTTGATCAATACTTTTGCCGCCTGAAGCACACGATCAAGGTTTTCTGTTGTGGATACCAAGATCTTGTTCTTCAAAAGACTGCGAAGGATCTCGCCCGCAACAGCCCTCCGTGTGGGGTATGACTGTGAGGTCAGAAGGGGCAGGTAATGTGGCAACGCCAAGGCTGTGAAGATCGAGATGTAAGATTTGAGAGGAGCATTGAGAAGGTGGAGGAGGTGTTGTTGGGTTGGCGCCGAATGCAAATCAGCATGATCAGTGTATTCAGAAGTTTTTTGCGTCGCAAAGTCCAGAACCTGGTCGACGTACTCTAACCGATCTGGATAAGTATTCAATGCCAGATTGACAAGTGATACTAGCAGCGCCATGGTATCTTGAATTGGCAATGCCCGCGTTCTGATCAAGTTGACCACTTGGTCGTAGAAGATATCGTACAGCTTGATCTCTGCTGGAATACCAGGCTTCGCGGTGTCGCCATTCTCAACCTGCTTTTCTTCAGTGGACGGTTCAGAAGGCTCGGGGCTTTCTTTGGGTGCCTCTGTTTTACTGTTATCGATGCCATTCTCCTTGGAAGTGTCGTCCTCCTTGGGAGTATCATCGGTGCTGGCGTCCTTTGACTTTTCGGCTTTGGTTTCTTTCTCGAGCTCCAGCTTTTGCAATAACTTGGTGACAGCTTCTTCCTCGTTTTGTTTCCGTACTTCTGGCTCTACGGCTGAGTCTGCTTCCCTTGCCGCATAAGAAGACAAACGGTCCATCAGACCAATGACGATTTTCTTCAGATCCACGTGTGGGTTAAGTCTGGAGATGGCAGATAATAGATTGTCCAGGGTGTGCAGGTGGAACTCATCTGGGAAGACCTTGGTGATAACTGTTGATCAGATTAGCAAATGAACCGAGCAAGAGGGAGAAAAAGAAACAAGAGAGTTGTACCTTCCAGAAGATATTCTTGCGCGAGCACATCTCGGCATTGTACAACCTGTTCCAGAAGTGCCTGTAGAATACCGGATTTGTACCCTTCAAGATCAACCAACTGGCTGAGTCGAACAATGTTACTACCGACAAGCAGCTCCAGTTCGCGTCGTTCTTGAATGCGCCTCTCTCGCTCTCGCGAGGGGCCTTGGTGCTGAAGTCGAACCCAGAGCTTGTTCATTTCCACGAAATTCGTCAAAACAAAGTTGATCGAATCCTGCATGTTACCCTCTGGGCCATCGCCAGACCCCAGGGGCAAATAGTCTCGTGCTTGACCAGAGAGGTAATATCGCAAGAACAGGCCACGGATCGGGTGCTGAACGCCTCGACTCATTTCCATCATATCCTTCATGATCTCCTTGACCGGCGCATCTTCGACAGACATGTAAACCGTACCGACGGTAATCATCAAGTACAAGCGGGGGACGATGTTTCCAGCATACTGAACGAGCTCGTATAGGTCGGCGAGGTGGTTGACGGGGTGGTTCTCCTTTAGGTAAACGGACAGGTGTCGCAGCGCATCAAAGACGGCCATGTACAATTCGTAATACTGCTTCGGACCGAGACTGGGGGTTCGTAGTTCGGAGACAAGAGTCGATCTGTAGAGGTAAATTTCAAGCTGTTAGCATACGACTCGTGGCGCACGTTCCGGGGTCGCTGCCTTGGGGGGTTCATCGGAGAGCTCACCCGCATTTCAGCGCATCCATGAGCTTTCCAGGAGTCTCTAGACATTTGCGCATCAGACTCGACTGCTGCCTCACCACCCCCAATGCCTCCTCGAGGAGGCGGTTCTGGTCCTCGGTGACGGGTGGTGGGCTAGCCATCATGGGACGGGTGAGGGGCGGAAGCTAGGGGAGGTAGAGCAAGGTGAACACATGCAATGCAAAGACAATGAGCTAGCGATAGATTATGCGAATCAATTCATAGGACAGGAGCTCAAGGTGAGAATAATGGGAGGTGGAAAAGCGGAAGGAGGTTGGAGTGGAGGATAAGCTCGAGCGTGACACCTGGAGAATCCCCGAGACGTCACCCGTGGGACTTCATACGGTAGCCGATAGCGGGCGGCTGCTCATAACATGACACCACCTCTTATATTAACAGAGCTTTCATCTACAGATGTTCAAAGAGGTTTTCTACTATATTCCTAGAATTTGCAAATACTCTCCAGGTCAAGAAAAACGTTAACATGTCCTTGTTATCCATATTGCCATACGGCAGCAAATTGGGTTGCCTAACACAAAGGATGAGGTGTAAAAAGCAATAGAAGGACCTAACCTAACCACCTCTCTCGCCCCACTAAAGATTCAATCTCGCTCTATCGCGATCCCAGTCCTCCGCCGCGGTGACCCCCTCTGCCAATTCAGCATTCTCGCCTCCCACTGGAGAATCACACTCAGGACAGCGACTCATCTCCCTGGCTGCCCCACAATCCCCAATGGTAAACGGATGTCCATTACGACAGTAGTACCAATGCCCAGTGCCCCTGAACTCTTGAGCCATGGCTGAAAGAACCTCCATGCGTTCCTCGTTGGTGATGATTGTGTAGAATGTACCCCCGCGCAACATCTTCTCGACGCTGTGAACTTCATCTGCCAATCCTCGTGTCTGGCTTGGGTGCACATCGCAAAGATTTCTAGCTTTCCGAATGGCAGCTTGGCCGTGCTGCAAGATATCGTTCCTCTTCTCCTGTGTCAAGCAATGTGCTCGTTCAAGAGCATAGAGCTGTGCTAGGAAAATATGACCTTCTGTCTGTTGTAGAAGTCGATTGTGAGTGACTGCTTGCTGAATGAGGGTCTGGCAATCATCCTTGATCTTTTGTAGATCAAGCTCAAATCGAGGTGTCACCTCACTTGGTTGTCCTTTGGAAACGAGACTCAGAAGGTCAACGAGCAAAGCAGTGTCGAGACGGATTAAGAGGGCAGTGCCCTGTAGGAAACCTTTGGTCTGTAGCACATTCTCGACATGATCAGGGGTGATTTTGATTTTTCGGCGTTGTCGAGCATTTTCAATCATTCTCCGAACTCTTTCAAATGGTTGCTCCTCAGGTTTCACCCGGCGCCGATAGGAATCGACGCGCTTTCGCAGGGCAAGGATTGCATTCCATCGACCTGGGTCTGTGGTGTTGATGATTTCTCCCATGTTCTGAACTTGGTTGTTTCGCGGGCCACATATCTCAATCACTGGTGGCCACGGATACTTTCTTTGAGCTTCGGCTGCACCTAATTCGCGAACAAGCTGGGGAAGTTCCTGTGCTAGAGGAACATATTCCTGATTGAGTAAGACGATCAATTTCCTCGTCGACTCATCAAGGATAGCTCGGCGAACCAGCCGGCCATATCGTGTAACGTCTCGAAGCGGGCCACGACAGGTGGCACATCTTTTGATGTCTTGGATAGAGAACGGTTTCAACGATACGCAGATAAAGACGGGCTTGCCACTGTTATCGAGCTCGTAGTAGCTAGCCATGTCCATTTGCGCATCCATGCTTTCAATTGTCAAGAAGTGTCCACATTTAGGGAACATGCATGGATTTTGGTCCAGATTGATTTCTTTGTATGTCTGACCCAGGATGAAATCGACTTGATGATTTCTGATGTCCTCATTTCCGCAGATTTGGCAGAAGGAGGATGAAGGACACTTTTCTCCACATACTGACGGGCACTGATGTCCACAGTCCAGCTTTTTCTCGCATCGCTTGGAACATGGAACATGATCACAAGAGGCTGCACATGGCATTGAGCAGACACTGTGAGGGCACGCCGAAAGACATTTTTCTTCGGCGCAAGGTGTACACGGCTCGTAGCATTTTCGCGGGCACTTAGAATGGCCACAATGCACTTCGCAATGAGCTTTGCAGGGAGGACAGGGCTCTTCACCGTGACAGGGAACGTTGCAGGTATGAGTGCACGTACTCTGATCCCGGTCACACCGTTGCTGGCAATTTCCATGGTTGGTTGAGATGCTCCCGGGTCCTCTAGTAATGCAGCGATAACACATCTTCTTGCAAAAGTGCCCACAAGGCAAGGGGCTGCGACATTGTGCTAGACAGCGATAGTCTTTTGATTCCACATCGATATGGCATGGCAGTGAGACGGTATGGTTGCAGCCCGGAATAGTCTTGTCCACAAGCACCTGACAGTGAACTGTTGAGATATCCTGAGCTTGCCAGCAAGCAAGGTTTTGCATTGGATGACCGCATGGGAGTGTTCTGTGCTTTTGATATACGTTGGTCATGCATCTTTCAGGACAAGCGTCTCCACATCGCTTAGGGCATGAATGATTGCAACCACTAAACGGCCGAGGGCAACGCTCCAGGCAAAAGACAGTGTTGTGAAGAAGCTCCGAATGGCATTTTTGAGCACAGGCATGTCCACAGCCCAGCCGGTTGACACAGCGCAAGCTGCAACCTCCTTCGGGCGAAAACCTAGGGAAATCTTCTGGCAACGAGACCACAATCGTTGTATCTGGATGGCGGGGGCATTGCAGCTCCAGGGCCTTTCCGATGTTTTGATCTTGCTTCAAAATCTTGACGACTTGAGCCCACATGGGAACATGCACCGAGGTCTCCGAATTACCGATGATGTACATGCCGTGTTGTGCTCGCGATAACAGAACATTGATCCGATTTGGGGTGCGTAGGAAGCCGCATTGGTTCTGCGTGTTGCTTCGAACCAGAGATATCACAACAACCTTAGCTTCTTCGCCTTGGAAATTGTCGATGGTAGCCACGCGAAGAGTCTGTGACAAGGCTGCTTTGATCATGGGCTTGTCCTTGGCTTCATAATCCGCATAACCTGCCTGCTTGAGATCCTCTCGATCACGGTCTCCTACCACAATGGCAAAGAGTTCATCGAGCCTTTTTCGTAGTCGGTGAAGTTGTCCCAGATACGGAGTCAACACTGCAATATCTCCATGTTTGTATGCGTCTTGTTGAATAAGATGGTTGACCAGCGAAACGACCATATCAATCTCATGATTATTCCAGTGAGAAGTTGACATGACATCGGCGTCAGATCCTCCCTCCCGGTGTCGGTGATCCAACCAGAATAATCTTTTCCGCATTCCCATAATCTCAGGATACTCCATGACAGATGGAGCATCCTTCAATTTCGGATATAGGGTTTGGCGGATCAGTTGAGCGATAGACGGATGCATCCGTCGCTGTGTTTCCAATGTACTGAAAGGAGCTCCACAGCCCATGGGGCTTTTCTTTGAGCTCACCAGTCTTTCAAACAGAGAGATATCGAGTGAATATTGGGCACCGCCCCGAGGATTCTCGCTAGAAAGGTCGTAATTTTGGACCTGAGGCCGAAGCTGTTGCTGATCGCCAATGAGGATTGCATGCTCAACAGAAGGTAGAAATGCCGTGAGAAGATGCGATTCCAGAACTTCACCAGCCTCTTCGCACAGCATGAATTTGCATGGGAGTCGTCGGAACATGTCAAGTCTGCGAGCAAGTCCAGCTGTGGTGGCGCCAATGACATCTGCTTGAGCCAGGCAGCGAAGGTGCATCTCATCCTGGACGCTGTCATACCCTTGTTTGGCAGCTCTGTGAGATGAAATGATTTGCCTAACTTTTTCATCCACTTCTGCCCGGTAATCACGGCACCATCGGTTGTAAAGGTGCTGTCGTTCTTTTCGAGACATCTCGAAGACATTGATGTTCCCGAGCTGGTCCACGGGTCGTGGGCGAGAACTGTCTTTGGCTGCTGAATCAAGCCAGGAGGTGATCGTGGTCTGGGGGTTTTCGGTTTTTACTCCCAAGAAACCATCTTCTTGTACCAGTGAAAATAGCTGGTCGTGGTGGCGGGGATGTATCCGCTGGAGATAGGACTTGAGACGAGCAATGGGGACTTCCTTCTTTACATCAAGAGTGCGGAAGTCATCCTCACATAATGAGAGTCTCTCAGCTGTACTCCATCTTTCTTTCTTCTCCATCTTTGTCCTTGCTGTATCTTTCGCAACATTCTGGAGATTGAACTTTTCTAACCTCTCCGACTTGGATTGGGATCCAATACGAACAATTTGCGATGTCACATTGTTGTCCAGTAAAGCCTCAAGAAGCTGGTCAAGGGCATGATTGGTATATGTGACACATAATATGGGCCCCAATCTTGCTCGAGCAGCATCTTTGTTTGCCAGTAAGACTTTGATCAGAGCCACACCAGTGTAGCTCTTGCCAGTACCAGGTGGTCCTTGAATCAAACCGAGCTTTCGCTTCAAACAACTGATCAGCGCATGGGCCTGTGCACCGTCTAGGGTTGAATGATCCTGTACGTATTTCACGTCAGATGGTTGGTTAACGCGGACGTAGAAATTGGAGTCATCTTTCATGATGGAGCGGAGATTGAATGCAAAACCAGGCTGTGAAGCATATAATGGAGGAGCCATATCGGATAAGTCCAAATCAAAGACCCAAGGGACAAAAAGCTCCGAGAAAGGCAGGCTTTGGGCCATCTTCATCGATTGAAGTGCTTGTAGCGCCGGTTCAAAGGCTGGAAGAATGACTCCTGGAAATTCAACCAGGGATATAGTGGGTCTCTTAGGACTAAAAAGATCAAGAACGACTTGAATGTTGGTGTATCGAGAATCAACAAGCATCAGTGTAACCGATCCTCTGGTGGAGCTCTTCCACAGTGTTCTTGGCTCTGCTCTATTCTGTGGGTGGACATGATCCTGTGGGAGGATAGCATCCTTTTTCCGCCTGGATGACATGTCACGATGTGTCACTGTACAAAACACCACCACATCTTTGGCAATGATGAGGCACACAAGCGCACCGGGCTGTAGACGTTTCGAGTTCTGCCACCACATCTCGCGGGCCATGGGTGTGTAGTTTGCTACCGCAATAGGCTGAGGGAAGTCGACTTCGAAGTAAAGACCCGAAAGCCAATTAAACTCCAGATTAATCACCATGGACTTAGGATAAACGAACCTGCGCAGTTGTGATTGTGATTGCTGGGCACGTGGATTCAGTTCGTAGTGAATTGCATCTCGAAGCTGACCGACGGTATCTTCTCGCAACAACCGAAAGTTTCGATCTAGCAATCCGTCGATACCTTGGATGTGCCACTGACTTGGGTTATTGACGGGCAAGTACTCCGCTCGCAGGCTGCAGATTTCTTCGAAGCTGGGCATGATCTTAATCTGGCAGATGTTGTCAAAGTCATTGTTGTGTCTACCCCCAGGAGTGTCACGGTTGGCGATGAAAGCGGCTTTGCTTTCAGTCTTGACTTCCTTCTCTGGTATGCCCGCTAGGAGCGACTTTCCGGTTTCCATGCGCTGAAGAAGACGATCAAGATGCAAGCGAGATTGATAAAGTCTACCACTCATACCATTCTTGTTGCTCATTGAGGTGAAGACAGTTTCAAATCTCTGTGCCACGGCATGCAGACTATCCTGGATAGGAGCTGTAGAATTCAGGTCCGCGATGCGAGAGAAGGTATGTAGAGATGCCTCTAGTAACAAGGCACTACCTTCGTTGGTAGTGTCGACTTCGAGAACGCCACAGATGAAATTGAGCCATCGAGCAGCTCTGGATCCACCGATCCCAAACAAGACATTGTAGATTGTGCCCACTGCCTGCTCCAGTACCAGCGAAGATATCACCTCGGGATTGGTGACTGTCTCTAGAAACGGTAGCACCTGTGTCTTGAAGATTAGATCTCTTGTTGCAGCATCCATGTCTTCAAAATTCTCCTGGACGAGGTCCAGTACTAGGCGCAAACCATCTTCACTCGCCAATGTTCGGATAACCTCTTGTCGTATACTGGCGTCAGACTCAATCAATTGCCTCGCTTTCTGGAAGATAGTAGTTTTCCTCCCAGAGGAGGGACGAATGACCGTCGTGCGTAGAGGAATGCTACCTTGCCATGCCCGGAACACCCTTTCTACATTTGGCAAGGAATGGGGTCGCCGTGGCAGAGGCTCAGGATCTTGGGCCTGGCTGCTTGGGATTGTCGGGTTGAGGCTCTCGTCATTTCTCACATGAGCATACTTGCAGTTTTTCCATTGACAATTGCCTCTGGCGAAGTCACGGCATATCCTTTATAGGTAGAATTGATTAGCATCTTCAACAAAATAAAAACTACTTAAAAGACAATCCAAGTCTATTCAGATATCTCTCAAATTGATTGACATATCTTACAAAAGTAAGAGCGATCTAAAACTTACCTTTTGGAATCCATGATCTGATAACTTTCCCTGTCAAATGCCTTGTAGGAAAAGGATGCTCAAGAGGAAGATCTCAATCTGGATGGTGCGCAGTGTTGAAGACCAAGGTGTTGAAAGCAATCCAACGTGCTGCTTTTCAATGGTTATTTGCTGTGAGATATGTAAGCCCATTGCATATGAAAGAACCTTGGAAGCAGGAGTGTGAAGGGAAAAGAAAGATCATTTTCAAAATTTTAGGTGCCTAGGTATAGTCGCAAATTTACATAATTCTGCACTGGCATTTGCGTATATAAGCTTCTTTTGTTGCCGTCTTGTAGGCATATTTGGTTGTTTTTGACCGCCTATTTGATTGATATGCGCTATTGAGTTATAGTGCAACGCAATATCGAGAAAGCATGCAGTTCAATTTACTGTATATCTAAGTGGCTATCCCTCTGTTTCTTACTTACCTATGGTTTGACACTTCAACCATGAAACAACATAAGCTAGCCCTAAGTCACTTAGGGCTGGAGCTACATATCTAGGATGACGAACATACGAGGAAGTGCTAATGACAGCATAATGAAACAAAACATGAATGTTTTCAACGACTAACTGCTCCCATTTAATGGAACCCGAACGTATCAATTTCCCAAGTCCCATCGAGGGACCCGAGACGTCAATGATTATATACAAGAGGAACAACCTGGCAAGAGAAAGGGCCAACGTCGATCAAAGGCCATGGCGAAGCACGTGTTCCAATTCGCCATGCTTGTTTTAAGGATATGGCGAAGGGCAAACCCTAACAGGCGTATAGAACCCGCGAGCACCAAATTTCTCTGCCAAAGAAACCTCCAAGAGCAAACTGGCTAACGAATTTGTTGTTTATCTTTGGACAAATATTGCCCCAATCGCTTTTGGTGAACCAGCCAAGAAACGCCATGGATATCAAAGTACAGAAATGTGTTTGTCAAGGTGACTTTGGCTAGTCACTTACTCTGTTCGGACATGGAAGTCCACATTACGCTGGCGCATCAGGTCCTTGCGCTCCAAATCCTTGGCTGTAATAAATGAGTTAATAATGTTTCAAGTAAATCAATAGCCGGGGGATTGCATACCTTCATCGTAGACCAAGAACTCGTGCAGACCGCGGCCAGAAGGCACCATGGGAAGAACGGGAACCTTGCGGTCAGTGATGACCTCCAGGAGGGCAGGGCCATCGTGGTCAATCAGCCACTGCAGCTTCTCCTCAAGTTCAGAGGGCTTGAAGCAGCGGTCAGCAGCGACACGCATAGCCTTGGCAAGGGGAACGAAGTCAGGGTTCTGCTGGTGAGTGTGGGAGTAACGATCCTCGTAGAAGAGATTTTGCCTGGAACAAAAAAGTAAGTCAAATGTACTGGGGAGATCAGGAGACGACAGCTTACCATTGAGTGACCATACCCTGCTCCTCGTTGTTGATGAGGAGGACCTTGACACCAATGTTGAACTGAGCAGCGGTGGAAAGCTCAGTGAGAGTCATGTTGAAAGAAGCGTCACCATCAATGTCGATGACAAGGCAGTCCGGACGGGCCACCTTGGCTCCAAGAGCGGCGGGGAGACCGAAGCCCATAGTACCGAGACCACCGGAGGTGATCATGGTACGAGGGTGACGCCAGCGGAAGTGCTGAGCAGTCCACATCTGGTGCTGTCCAACACCAGTGGTGATGATGGTCTTTTCCTTTCGGTCAGCGCAGAGCTCGCTGAGCTTCTCGATAACAGCCTGGGGCTTGATAGGACCGTTCTCGGTCTGGCGGTCGTAGAGCGACAGGGGGAAGCGCTTCTTCCAGTCATTGATCTGCTCGAACCATTCGGGGCGCTCGGGAACAGCCTTGACCTGGGGCAAAAGGAGGCGGAGGTTATCGGCACAGTCACCCTCGACGGCTTCGTTGGCCTGGACAACCTTGTTGATGTTCTTGGGCATGATCTCGAAGTGCACGATACCACCACGACCTTCAGTAGCGGCAAGCTTGGCTTGAGGCGCGAACTTGGGGATGCTGAGAGTCACACGGTCATCGAAACGGGCACCAACAGCAATGATAAGATCGGCCTCCTGCATGGCCATGTTGGCGTAAGCAGATCCGTGCATACCAAGCATGTGGAGAGCCTTAGGATCCAACTCGTCAAATCCACCAAGACCCTGCAGGGTGGTAGTGACCGGGATGCATGCCTTATCGGCAAACTCCTTGAGAATCTCGGGGCCGTCGGGGCGAGCAAGAAGACCCTGTCCGACGTAGAGGATGGGCTTCTTGGCAATGTTAACGAGGCTAGCAACACGGCTGATGGTGCTCTCGAGCTTCTTCTGGCTCATTTCACGGGCTACAACAGTAGCTGCGCTGGGGAGCGAAGGAATGGTGCTGTGCATGGGAATGGGGTTGCGGAGAATGCCAGCAGTGACATCCTTGGGCAAGTCAACCAGGACAGGACCCGGACGGCCACTGGTGGCGATCTCGAAAGCTTCCTGGATGCGGCGAGGCAGCTCGCCAACGGACTTGACCATGACGTTCCACTTAGTGCAGGCACGGGAAATACCGATAACATCGGCTTCCTGGAAGGAATCGGTTCCAATTGCGCTGGTGGGGACCTGACCACAGAAAACAACCATGGGGGTACCATCAGACATGGCATCCTGCATGGGAGTGATAACGTTGGTAGCACCAGGGCCAGAGGTAACAAGAACGACACCGGGCTTGCCAGAGGCACGGGCATAACCCTCCGCCATGTGGCCAGCACCCTGTTCGTGCTTGGGAAGGAGGAATTCGAAGTGCTTGGAGTTGTAGATAGCATCGAAAACGGGGAGAATGGCACCACCGGGGTAACCAACTATATATCAAGTATTAGAATTGAACAATTTTGCAATATCAAGCATGAAATACTCACAGATGTGCTTCACACCCTGGCGAAGCATCATCTCGTGGAAGATCTCTCCACCACTCATTCCAACCATTCTTTGAACCATTCAATCAGTTTTTTTTGTGTCTAAGCCGTCACAGGGTAACATACGATTCATCGAGCTCGGGGAGCTGGCGATTTTGCAAGGGAGAGATCTCATTGCGATGGGGTTCCTGGTTGAATGCCGGACTAGGCACGGGTCTAGACTCCCTGACGAATATACAAATTAGAATCAGATTGCAATGGCATTGTGGCCATATGGAGAGGGAAAAAAAAAACTCACGGAGTTGAAGCCGTAGCTGTGCTCTGGGTACGCTTCTGGACAGAAGAGCGGTGGGGCGAAGCGGCCGAAGCCACAAACGAGGTCGAAAAAGGTCGACGTCCAGCAAGCTGTTTCTGGAGGTGGAATGCGCGCAGGGCGCTTTTTGAGGGTCTTAAAGGCATCATTGTGTATGAGGCCAAGCCAGGAAGATTGAGGGGGAGGGTGGTGTAAAAAGTAAGGAAAAATGAGTATCAATTGACCGCTGAAGATTGCCGTGACTCTCTCTGGGGATTCCGAGAAAAGGCCTAAACCCAAATTGTCCGACCGCTCTGAGTCAAGAAATTCGGAGCTTTTGATTGGGTCGGCGCCCCTCTGCGCCCTCCGACCTCGGCCGTTGCTAGTCACCTGATTTGGTGTTTTTCGTGGTCCTCGGCAACCATACACTCATATTCATGGATCTACTTGCCACCTCCCAAACAACATATTGAAAAATCGACCACATACGTGGAATTACCATGTCTGCGAGGGAATACTAGAGACCTCCAGGGTTTTCTTTTAGTGATAATAGTCAAACATCTCTCTATTACGTACCTAAATGTACGCAAGACTCACCGGAGCCTTATATATTCCCCGAACTTTTCGGTGAAGTGGGTCTAGATCGGTCCGGGCATCTGGAGCCAAGCTTCTCCAGGTCTGTACGTGCATATTGTAGGGATATTATTATGTCCGAGCCTCTTGTTGATGTTTATTGATCCCTTACTTCATGGTGAATACCCAAGACTCCGAGGTGTTCTGATCGGCTAAACTTCTGGCCTTTTCCTGCCTCTACTTGATCTGATTATATAAAACGACTTGCTATTCTAAGAATATAGAGCACTTTAATGTATCTCTCAAAAATAATCCGAGCTAGAGGTGCAGAATATCAATATAGAACATCGAATATTCTGAAATAAGGAAGTAAGGAGAATATAGTTCACTTATATGCCAAACTGGCAACCGAGAGAAGAAATAGGGCTTCGTATACTCCGTAGATCGGAAAACCTTTTGGTAAATATTATCCCTACATAAGCTTATCCCCACACCCCTATCGATCTCACTGTGCTAGCTAAGCCGAGACTTATCTGTATCGCATCTTTGAGCCCAGGGCTGATGGAGCCTAGTCGACCCCCGCATGTATACTATTATTGGCACATCCATACACTGGTTGCGCAACCATCTATGTGCGTTAGATTTTGTATATATGCTGCGAACTGTCTTCCACATTCCAAGCGATTGTGTGTAGATATGTCACTTACAACTAGACTCAGTAGTGGGAAAATAGCTTTGAAAACGAAATGATGCTAGGCTCCTTGATCTATTCTTTACCGGTAGTCTTTCTCTTAGCCTCAAAATTATCGCAGTGTTCTGTGGTAATGGGCTGCACAACCAAACGGTAAAACTTTCTTCTTATAGTGACCGATTATCTCGGCTTCTGCAACATCTCTCTATATAAAAACGAGATTGAGATTCCTTCACTTGCAAATCTAGCGAAAGACCTCGGGAGGGCATCCGACTGACTAACTTCCAGACTGTTTCTGCCTGCTCGCCTACTTAATCTATGCTACCCTCGGAACCGACAACCGTATTGCTAGGCTCAATAGTTTTGCAAAGATAATTCTATGGTCTTATCCAGTCATGAGCTGAGTTCTTCTGGGACAAATGACAGAGTTCATGGGGTCATTGGGTGAATTCAAAAACACACCCAGTTATGGAGGCTATTTGAATTGGCGACTAACAGCTTTATCGGAGATCTTCCAATATTCAGGATACTATACAATCATGTTTGAACAATGGGGAGCCTGCACCTCGAATCTCGCTAAAATATATGTTCATCTGCATTGATTAACTCCGCAAACATGGGCATCTTGGAATGGCAAAAGATCCTACACCTTGCCCTAGAGGCTTCGATAAGCCAGGGTTCCTTGCAGTGGCTAGCAACCATGCCAATTACTAGTATGAGCCTCAATTGGAAGATGCCGAGTTCTAAGCATCTTGTTTGAAAATAGCTAGCTTTTGGATGGAACCTTTGAAGGAGGATAAATATCTGAATCGGTCGCCAGATCTTGTTGAGGATTTCTATTCGACTCCGATATTCACCGACAAGATGGTCTGATCCCTTGCGAGCCACACGGAGAAATCGCAGAAGCCTTTCTTTGCCTACTTCCCATACTCCGTACTATATGGTCCCGCACTGGCCTCTACAGCTTCGGGAGATCGTCGTTAAATGTGCTTAGTATTATATTTAGGGTTCTTTTTTGATATAATACCCAAAATCTCTGACTGAATTTAACGGGAATATATGACGGAACTGAGGGCTTCGGCGTCCCGAGAAGCTGGGATTGGCAAATAAAATTCAAAACCTGCTAATCCGATTGCTGTGGAAAAAATTGGCGATGTCACCTGAAGAACAAGAACGAAAAATGTAACAATGGATCTGACAATAAGCCACCTGCTCACTGGGCGTGTACCGCCACGAGATCTCAAGAGGCGACAAAGGCGGGACCCATTTCCGAGGGGTCTACTATCTTGTAGGTAGGGCTACGCTTTGTGATACACTACGCTCCTTTCCATGCCAATCTAGAGGCCATTACGCTTTTACTATGGATATCCCACGAGGTCGTGGGTCTGCACTTAGCTTCAGCTATGAAAAACAAAAACAAGTGTCTATGAGTCGAAGTCATCATGTAGCGTACATTTTCCCATATTTTCCCGGTTCTATCGGGCCGTACAAGGCAAAAATATGGCCCAATGCCGGGTTTCAGGCCCACTCTCGGCATCCCTTCTTCCGATACGCTCAGCTTGAAACCCCACATTCCAGGAACTTGCAAAGATGTAGAGCAAAGACATTTGATAGATATAGAGGACTGTAGGGTTTAAGTAGACACCATTAAAGAGTTACAAGGAGAAATTGTATAATGTAAATAGTATGTGCATATTATGTACTCCGTACATATGTGTTCTACATAATATATAGGGCACGTCGTCATAGCCAAATCCGGTAGAAAACCCCCGCGAAGGTAGAGCAAACCAACCAATCAGAGATCGTGGAGTTATTCATGAATGGAGACACCGAAGAGAGTCCCATGTCACCTCCCCGCAAAGCAACGACAGTCAGTCACCGGAATTCCCAAAAAGGAAAAAATGGCCCTGTTCTAACCCCATGTGCCCACCACTTTAACCGGGGAATCGGGGGATATGAGGGGACATCTTTGAGCCGGAGAAATTATAGAGAAATTACCACTCTAGTTCCTCTATTTCTTGTAATTCTACTTTTCCTGTTCCTTTTTTCCTTTTTTCCCATTCTCAATTCCTCCCCTTCCCCCTCCAACCCTCCCCTACCCCACCATGTCGACCCAACAAGAGCTCGTGCCGCAAACAGAATCCATCGCGGAAGTCTACGCAACAGACGATGCCTCAGTGAATTCCGTTGCACCAGAGCACCAGCAGCGATGGACCAATCTCATTACCCAGTTCAACAAAACCTATAGCTACCGTCCAGACTTCGTGGCGCGCAGTCCCGGCCGCGTGAACATTATCGGCGAGCACATTGACTACTCACTGTACGATGTCCTGCCGACCGCCGTCAGCGTCGACGTGATCATGGCCGTCAAGGTCGTCCCCGCCAGCGCCGAGGGCACCACCATCACCATCGCCAACGTCTCGCCAGAGAAGTTCCCCACACGCGAGTTCACCGTTCCCCACGGTAAGGACGTCGAGATTGACCCCAAGAAGCACGAGTGGGTGAACTACTTCCGTGCCGGTCTGTCGGGCGCCATTAAGTTTCTGCGCAACGAGAGACCCGATGGCTCGCTCGTTCCTGTCAGCATGCAGATCTTGGTCGACGGAAATGTCCCCCCCCGGTGGCGGTATCTCCAGCAGTGCTGCCTTCGTGTGCGCCAGTGCCCTGGCCGTTATGAAAGCCAACGATCACGACGTCTCCAAGCAGGATCTGTTGGATCTGGCTGTTGTCTCGGAGCGCGCTGTCGGTGTCTACTCCGGCGGGTGAGTTATCCACTTCCCTCAATAGATGAAGGGAACAAAAAGCTAACATCACTGCGTAACCATAGCATGGACCAAGCAGCCTCCATCTTCTCCAAGCGCGGCTACCTGCTATACACCCAATTCTTCCCTAAATTCAAAGCCCACCACGTCCCTATCCCCACCTCCTCCTCCGAAATCACCTTCCTCATGGCCCAGAGCTTCGTAACCTCCAACAAAGCCGACACCGCCCCGCGCCACTACAACCTGCGCGTAGCAGAGTGCACTCTCGCCGCCGTGATCCTCGCCAAGCACCACGGCGTGACCCTCTCCAAGGACAACAGCTCTCTCGGCTACAGTCTGCGCAACTTCCACAACGAACTAATGACCAAAGAAGGCCGTCTCCAAGATCCCCTGGAGTACCAAATCGACTCCGTGATCCTGGCGACAATGGAGCTATTCACAAAAGAAGAGGGCTATACACGCGAGGAGATGGCCGAGCTCCTGAGCATCACCGTCGCCGAGCTTGAGTCCACCTTCCTCTCCGCATTCCCCGTTCAGGCAGAGCGATTCCAGCTCCGCCAGCGCGCGCTGCACTGCTTCAAGGAGGCGCGCCGCGTTCTCGATTTCAAGGCCTGTCTCAGCAAGGCTACGCAGCTGGATGAGAAGCGCATTCAGTACCTCGGTCAGTTGCTTAATGAGTCGCAGGAGTCGTGTGCTACGGCCTATGACTGCAGTGCGCCAGAGGTCGATGAGATCTGTGCTATTGCGCGTCGTGCGGGTACTTGGGGTAGTCGTCTGACTGGTGCTGGGTGGGGTGGTTGCACTGTTCACATGTTGCCTCAGAGTAAGGTGGAGGCTGTTACTGCTGCGCTGAGGGATGAATACTATCTTAAGAAGTTCCCTGATATCAGTAAGGAGAAGTTGGAGCAGGCTATGGTTATTAGCAAGCCGTCCAATGGTTCATTCTTGTATGTTTTCCCCTTCCCCCCCCTTTTGGTCGCTGGAATACACTGGATGATGGCTAACGTTTTTGGTTATAGGGTTACGGGAGCTGCTATTGACCAGATCCCTCTATGAATATTGTACGGTAGATCGAAGAAAAGCCCACTCGACTGGGACTATCGATTATATGAATTCCATAATAAAAAAAAATTATATTTATCTTTCATGGATCATTCAGTAAATAAATAGTATACATTGAAGCTGCAGATGCCCCGGATTGGAGAAAAATACCCAGATCTCCTGAGCATCGGTATCTTCCAGGCAGCCGCTGTGATGTGTGCCTTCCAAGCAATTGCCTAGGTGCGTTGGGATTGTGGAAGGAGACGAGTTTGTCAACTCGAGCTTAATTGCACTGGTATTGCCTGTGGTGGCTCCGTCTGGGCAGGGGGGTCTGCCCTCTAGATCTATAGACGGAATCTTTCAACCCATAGAACTTACAGGTTGGATTCCTCCTAAGCCAGGCAAGAAATTGCCTGCATAACATACGGGTATGTCATAGTTCAGTCGGTTCAAGTTGTACTCCCAAAAACCTTCAAGTCTTCTTGGGTGCAGCTTTGGCGAAGAAAGAGCTCATTTTCTGCATCCCGCTCGTGTTGACCTTCTTCAGTTTCTTAACTGCCTGGGATTCAGCAGCCTTGGACTTTTTCTCCTCCTCGGCCTTGCGGCGTTTCTTCTCGATCTGTATATCCTCTTCCTCATCATCAAGGGCTCGTTTCCGACTGAAGTTGGACATATCGCGTGATGCGAGAGCTTGAGCGCGAAGGTCTGCAATCTCTTTGAGACGGTCTTTTAGCGGCTTGAAATCGACCGGGCTCTCTGCGGAATCGAGGATATCATCTACTCTTGAGGCCATAGTGGCGGGCAGATATGACTCCTTCATGAAGGACAGTGCAGTGGAAATTCGGAGGAGCCGAGTAATGTGATCCGACTCCTCGCTCGGTGGCTGTGGCACAGGTGTCGATTCCCCTGCAGGTGTCGCAATAGACGGGGTTGCATCTGTACCCACAGTCGAGGGTGAATCCTGCCTCTCCTCAGATTTCGCGGCCGATTCCTGGCTCTCGTTTGATGGCTCCTGGCTAGTCGCAACATCGTCTCGTTTAACAGCCATCAATGGCGTGGCTAGCGCCTGTCGAACAAAGCGTTCTTCCAGACTCGCAGGGAGACCCCGATCCGCCATGCGTTCTGCCTTCGTGATCAATTCTTGAACAAGCTTCATCTCATTGAACCGGAACATCTTCTCATCCCCAGCCTCGACCACTTCACAAATAGCTTCCACCCGTGCTAGGAGGGAGGGTCGGAATTCATCATCATAAAGGACTTGGCGCAGATGCTTGGGCCTGTCGTCTTGGGAGTCGATTATATCGTCGAATGGCTGGAAAAGAGAACGGCCTGATTTCGCGGAAGGTGCTAACAATGGAACCATGAAAAACAGCGCATCGATCGGGGTTGCCACCAGGAACTCTGCCTTCTTCGTGATTGAGCCCTGCGCGGCAGGCTCGGTGTCCTTTTCCTCTTCTTCCAACGAGCTCGAGGTTTCGCGCGTGCGAGGGGTAAACAGGATACTTCGCGCCATATGCGCTGGCGGCGCAATAACTGTGAATTCGTATATACCGCGGTCCGGACAGAAGAAGTAGCGTGTTAGTTCTCCCGATTGGGGATCTGGCAGAGAGAGAAGTCGCGCATTGTCGCTGGTAGAGGATGGGAGGATGAACGTTTTGCTCGGTTTCTCTGCCGCAACGAGGGTTTTAGTCTTAGTCTGGTCTTCAGACTGTTTCGCTTTCGACACTGGGGCTGATCGAGTCTTCATTGTGTGAGATAGGTGGAAGTGAAGGTGAAGACCAAAGATCGTCAGTGGAAGCGAAACGGAAGGGGCTAAAATGGCAACCGCGACGCGCCGAACGCGCCTTACGACCCAATCAGCCCAGTGCGCGATCCGTTACACTCCCTGCATTAGCGAAGTCTCAGCCCTTGTTGTTGTATCCCTGTTCTCTGCTGTCTCTCATTTTGACATATCGCTTCCATTGCTCTACTACATTCTACAAATTGTACTTTGCGCAAGGGTAAACGGCGTGGGCCGCAAATGACGCTCCATGGTATATTCGCTCTCTGATTACGTCTGAAACCGTCTCATCCATCGCCAGTAAGGCCCCTCTAATCGTTTAGGCTGATCGGTGACTAACTATTCTTTCCTACCAAAGTGGTTGAACCTGTGTGGCCGCCCCAATCGCCCCGCGCGGCTCTCTTGAGTTCGCCGGCCGGACGACGAAAGTACCATGACATGCAACGCACCCGAGAGAATCTGACATCGCCATTGAAGCGCTCAAGTACCACACCCAACCTCCGATCAAAAGCGAGCCAAATTATGGACGAAGATGACGGAGAAGAGGAGGATGAAGAAACCTTGCAGCTTCAGCTTGCTGAAATCAAAGCGCGCTTGAAATTGAAGAAACTCCAGCAAAAGAATCGCGGCAGATCTAGTTCGAATCTCGATGACGAAGACGCTCAACCAAATTCCGCAGTCAGCGCTCTACGAACAGAAGATCGCAGTGCAACACCAAGAACCGCTAGGCCAGCGAGGCAAAGAACGAGCAGTGATGGAATCCAGGTTCCAGCGTCACCTACCAGGCGAGAACTTCCACCTGCTGTCCCAATATCGCCTCGGAGGTATGTCATGGGCATTGATAAGGGCTGGAAGGCCAATGATGTATCCTTGAGACGACCTCCAGGCTCAAGACCCGAATTTCGACCAAGTAGTCATATGGGATTCCGAGATGGCGATACACCGCGCTCGAATGACATATTTGGCTCGCGGCCCCAGACTTCTCCTTCATCGACTGGAGGGATCAACCGAATCAAAAGTTTCAGCGAGAGAATGGCGGAAGGCAGAGCGGCCGAGAAATCTCGGTTAGAGAGAGCAGAAAGGGTCCAGGCTAACCGCAGTTCGGCCTTTCAAGTTGATAAGATGGAGATTGAGGCCTTCAAAGCTGTAGCTTCAGATACAAGGCAATCTTCCCCACCGTCTTCATCACGAGATCGGCCCGCGGAGAGCTTCAGCCGGGAAGATATTCTTCGATCTATGGGACAATCCCGCCCATCTGGATTACAACGCAGTAATACAACTCCGAACGTTCAACGAATTGAGGGCGGTGGTCGCAACGAGAGACAATCTCATTTACATAGGCGAACTCATACGGCAGAAGAAGAACCAAGTTCTTCTCAGAAATTAGGCCAAACAGATGATGCTTTGGTCAAGGCCCCAGATCCTTCAAAATTCGAGTCCTACTCGTCACTACATCTATCAAGCCGAATTCTTCCGCATTCTTTCTTGAGCCGCACACTCGCAGACAAAAAGGTTCTGCGCATTCCTGATCTCCTCAAAACTGTCAAGGGACCCGCATTCGAGCTCCCGGAGGATATCGATGGAGACTTTGTGGTATTTGGCATCGTTGCATCCAAGTCCAACCCTAGGGACAAGAAAGCTCCGGGGAATGTGTCGGCTAAAGAAAAGGACCCTTATGATGACGGACTTAATAACACGAACAGATATATGGCCATTACCCTGACGGATCTGAAATGGACTATTGACCTTTTCCTTTTTGACACTGCTTTCCCTCGTTATTACAAAATCTCGGAGGGGACTCTCGTCGCAATTCTGAACCCCACAATCATGCCTCCCCCAAAGCACAAGCTGGATACAAATAAATTCAGCCTGTCCTTGTCCTCATCAGATGACAAGGTCCTCGAAATTGGCAAGGCACGGGATATTGGGTTCTGCAAGTCTGTGAGAAAAGACGGAAAGGTCTGCCAATCCTGGATAGATGGTCGAAAGACCGAGTTCTGTGACTTTCATGTTGATATCCAGATCCGACGCACTCAGGGCCAACGCTCGGGAGTCAATGCCGACACCGGTATGTTTGGTCCTGGTGGTACATCTGGTCCGCGCACCGGATTGTTTGGGCAAGGATTGAGGCGAGCGGCTGCTTTTAAGCAAGGCTCGAACCACGATGGTCCTCAATATGACATGGGATCTCAATCGCTGTACTATGTGGCGCCCCCCAGGAACCGCGGTGCTGGCCGTGCGTCCTACAACCCTATGGGAGGTTCGGCGGCAAACCTGATTGATGCGTATGACGATCCCTTCCTCGCGTCGGGTATGATAGGCCGCGGTATGGAGAGCAAAGAGGAACGAATGCGCAGGCGTCTTGCAACCCAACAGCGAGAGCGTGACATCACCCAAAAGCTAGTTTCTGGCCGTGTCGGTGGTGTGGGTGCCGAGTACCTTCGCACAAGGACCGGTAACGAGAGCCCAAATAAGGACAAAGCACTAGGCACCCCCTTGCCTAAGAGCCCCACAACAACCAACGGCATGGATATGGCCACCTTCGGCAAGGCGAAGAACGTCCGTTTAAGCCCAATGAAGCGAGCCCATGGCAAGCCTCACGGAAGTGGGGTCAAGAAGACGCGGTTCATCACTTCAAGGGGTATCAAGGAGGCTGGCCGGGAGAGTCTGGGTGCGCCGGCTGAGACCACGCCTAGTAGGAAACAGATAGTCCTGGATGATGATGACGACGACGATGACTTGGAGTTTATTTGACCCATTCAAATGCCCATATCCCTGTCACTACAACGCTTGAGTCCCCCTTAGGGACTGGAATACTCCGTACTCATAACGCTATTAACGAACAAAGCATACCCCGGTTTCATTGGGTGGATTTCCTGTTGGATTTGTCAAGTAAAGTCAGATACAAGCCCTGTCTGTCATGAATCAATGTGAAGATTAATGTATTTGTACCTCTTATCATGGAAGGCCTTTCTCCTTGTCTACATGAACTAGTAGTTCCTATGCAGACATTTGTCAGTGTTTAGCTACGAATACGATTGTGATATCCCTACAGTGTCGCCTAGCAACTTCTAGCGGCATGGATACACGAAACTACAAGCTTCCCCAACAGAAAAACAAACCTATGTACCGACTTAGTGCTAGCTATAGGGGGAAAAATTTCAAGAATTCTGAGTTTGCATTGAGGTATTCCGTTTACCATTCACCATGATTCCTCCCGTGATCATCAAACAAATCGCTTCCCGCGATGAAGAAAGCAACAAATGAGCACGCCGATACTAAAAGAAGACTAAAAAAAAACAAAGAAACAAGAGCGCACATTAAAAGAAAGAGAAAACGCCGTTATTCCAGCCGAGTATGTTTTCATGAGGTATCATCCTTAGTATTAGCAATTTCCAACCCACGCACGCATTGAAACGAGAAAAAAAAGAAACGAAGACCCCAGCGGCCTGCGCAATTACAAGACGGCCGTCTTGGGGAGGGCATTAGGAAAAGAAAAAAAAATGAACCAAGCAAAGCGATGCGCATATGGGTTCAAGAAGAAAAGATTGAAACACACTCAGCGCCATGTCCGGCGTAACGCACGAATGAGAGAAATGTGAAAAGTTTCAAAACGCTGCAATAATACAAGGTGAAGGGGAGGAAAAGTGACGCGCAAGTGAGAACTACGAGTCGGACGTGGAAGGCTCGGTGGTCGAAGCTTCTGCAGATGCTTCTGCGCGTAGGGCCTGGCGGGTACGTGGGCCAGGGCTACCGCGGGCCTCGCGGAGGCGCTTCACACGGTCGCTGCGGGTGTCGGGCTCCCGCGTCTTCCTGCTGACGGGTGGCCAGTACTTCAGGAGGCTGCTGCTGCTGCTACTGATAGAGAGACATCGGGGCCGAAGCGTTTCGTCGGTGGAAGTGTTGAAAGCAAGGTCCTCGGAGGAAGAAGTAGACTGAATAGGTGGCACATAGCTCGCGGTAGTGCGAGGGAAACAGAGGCCAGTACGTCCAACGGGGGCAGAACGAGAGATAGGTGGGACCTCAGACTCAAAGGAGGTAGCTGTATCTGGCAACATGGGAGGAGCAGAATATGACAGGTCTGCATAAGCCGGGGTTGGAGACATTGGCTCGTGATCCTCATGATCCTCAACATCGGTGACATCTTCTTCTTCGCCATGGGTAGGCTCAACGGCGGTAGGAAATAGGACACGAGGTTTGATCTCGCCACGTCTCAGTGGCTTCACATCCCTCAGAACGTCAGGGTTATCAGCTAACAGGTCGGGGCGACTGGCGAAAAGGCCAAGGTCATCTTCATCCTCGCCCTCCTCTTCCATATCATCAAAGCGTTTGAATACTTTTTTTCCACGGCTAAGATATAAGTTAGAATATGTGGGTATGATGGGTAAGTGGGGGTTGACTTACTGAACAAAATAGGCACCATCGCGAAGGCTGGTGGTCGAGCGAGTGGCAGGTCGTCCAACAGCTCTTGCAGGCTTGGGAGTGAACGAATCAGTCGAAAGTGGACCGACTACAGGGATGCGATCACGTGAATCCTCATGAATAGAGATACCCAATTCTTGTCCTGTAGCTTGGATAGTGTATCCCATCAGAGGCTCATCGGCAAAGATTGCTGGGGGATCTGCGACAGAATGATTGGGATTATCCATTTTTCTGCGCTTTGGGGTGGAGATTGAGGGAAACAGAGAACGAGACGTAGATGAACTGGAACTGATAACCTTCTTTTTTGAAGGGGTTTTAGCTGGGGTAGGTAAAGCCTGTTCTGCAGAGGATCGGGAAGTGTGTTGTGCAGAAGTGCGGGGAAGTGAAAGTTCGGAATCAAAAGGGGAAATCCGAGAGGCAGCAGTTCTGTGATAGCGTGCAGCCTTTTTAGGCGAGGCTTTGGCGGTTCCAGGCGAAGAGGGCGAAAGAGTTCTTTTAGATGTTCCAGGTTTGGCAGTTGCACTTGGGTGACTTGGGGGCGGCGTGGTTTGGACAGCCCTCGACGCTCGTTGACCTGCAAGTCTAGCGGAATAACGTGTGGGATAAGGTTCATATTCGTCGTGCTTTGCCCCATGTCGCGGCGCTCTGGGTATGCGAAGGTCAGAAGGTGAGGGCGGCGGTGGTGTTGACGCCATGTTGACTTGAATCACGATTGAGAAACCGCTCAATGAGTTGCGATCTTTAAAGTAAAGATGTAAATAATATATTAGTCACAGTTTAGGCTTGGGATTTTTCTGGATTTTTCGATCTTGAGGAAGTGTCGAGGAGGAGCGTGGATTCAATCAAGGGCGTAAACGTCCAACTCGTATGTTTTCCAACCAAAAAGAGTGCAGCACTCGGAGGTATAAAAGTACAAAAAAGATGTTAAACGTAATCTTGCAGATATCCAATCGTCCGAGACGATGAGAATAAAAAACGATAAGTTGAGGATGAAGGAAGGGCGAAGGTTGTTGTGAAAGGCGGCGATTGTCGCCCAGCCACCCGGGTATACTCACCGCCCGATAATTGCGGTGGCTGAAAACCCCGCGTCAAGAGTGTTGATTTCCTATTTTGATCTACCCCAATTGCATATTTGACTATCTTATCGTCGATCTTGTCACTGGTCAGCTATCAATTGACGTTCGGGCATCTTATACACCAAAGCGATCGGAGACTAAACCCATTTAGGTGTTCAGTCTATCAACATTGCTTGTACATACTTCGGCTCCTACTCTACGCAAATTCAACACCATGGCTTTCCGCACCACAGCAGAAGAAATGGAGAGGCTCCAGCTATCTGACGATGACACAGAGGATCTCTGGAACTCCCCATCCAGGAGAGTGACCCACAAAAAGATCAACCCAAGAACCTCCGACGAGAAAACTACACCAGAACCTCGAGCTTCCCACGATCGCGAGGATCCTCTCTCGGATCCCCAAGAAGCCCGAGAGGCTGCCCTCCGGACAGAATTACTAGGCGTCCGGAATATCAACGAAGTGATTGAAGGACTTCTGGGAAGTTTAGACTCCGCCAAAGGAAACATGGAGGTAATATGTCTTTCTCGTAAAACATGATCAATTGTTTGGTTAATCATATGTATAGACGGTCTCACGAACTGTTACATCGGCCTCGACACTCCTCAACACGTGGACTCGCATTCTCTCCCAAACCGAGCATAACCAGCGATTGATCCTCAACCCTAACTGGCAAGGTGCTACTCAGGATGTGATCGATATCGAGAACCAAGCAATTCAAAGACAGCAAGCGGCAGAAAGACGAGAGCAAGCACTCCAGCAACAAAGAGAAGCAGCAGCGCGAAAAGCTGAGGAAATTGAAAGGCGACGCGCACAGCTCACTCGGGGTACTCGAGGTACCACCCGCGGGACTACGAGGGGTACGGTTCGGAGCACTGGATTAGGAAGAACGCCCAGTGTCAGCACAACCCGCACAGCAACACGGGGATCTACGACAACAACCCAACGGCCAGGCAGCGGGATAGCACGAGGGAGTGGAATTGCTCGCGGTCGGGGAAAAGCCTAGATGGACTGGGCTAGTTCATGTACAATAAATAAATCTTTCACTATGAAGATCAAACAAAATGATATGATACCCTTAATTTAATATGTTGTCGCCTGAGGCATCACATGGGCCGTACACGCGTCGCGATCTGATAAGGATAAGAAGTTACCCCAAATTATTCCCCTGTCCCTGAAGATCATTCCGTCATTTACCTTTCTACATAGATACAACATAATGAACTTCGCTCCGTATCAAGATCAATCACCAGAGATTGAGCGCACTCTTTCCCCTCCCCGCCCAGAGGGTCACCGAATATCCCCAATCATCCGCTCGCCGCGAGCCTCGGTTGATCTACCCTCCCCCGGTTACTTCAGCGGACATGGCAACACAGGAGTTGGGCGAGACGTCGAGAGTGGCCATGTGAGCCTAGGGGCTTTTGAAACGAGTCTTCCCATTCGCATGGATATCGAAGCAGCGCTGGCGTATCTGCTTCTTCCTCCCGCGGGGGGTCTATTCCTACTACTAGCTGAACACAAGAGCGACTATGTGCGGTATGTGATGGACTTTACATTACTTTAGGGCTACTTGGAAGTATAGTTTGCTAAATATTTACTATAGGTTTCATGCTTGGCAATCGAGCATGTTATTTGCTACCATGTTTGTTAGTATTCCATCTTTTTTACTATGTCGCATACACTCACATACCACACATAGATCATCCATCTACTGTTCTGTTGGTCGAGCTTTCTCTCCTGGACATTGTTTATTATCGATATTATTTTAATCGGTTTCCTCAGCATGCATGCTTACCAAGATGGTGAGTCTTTCAACCTTGGCTTCTCTGCGGGAGCTGCCAATATGGCTGAGCTGTTCTTTAGCGGGATATAGATCTGATACTAATCGCATTATCTCTAGTTGATACTTTGGACCACTTTGAGGTCCCATTTTTTGGCCACCTGGCTAACTCCTTTGTTGATGATGAATGAGCACGAACATTGTCTTTCTTTGAGAATTGCACATACTTGAATTATTACTGCGAGGAAGCATGTCTTTCCTTCATATACCCCTGTCTGTCAATAATTATTAGTTTCTTTCTTTGATTGCTGGGCAGACTATGCGTGCATTCTGTGAATAATTCTCTTTCTGTTTAGCTTTTTCCAGGCCTGTAAATCTTAGAATTTCTAATGTCGCGAATTATTTTATCCAGCTGAAGCCAATATTTGCAAAATGCCAATTATAGGGAACTAAATATTCATGAGTATAGCAATGAGACTTCATCTCAGCGCAATCTATCTTCTTCAAAAAGATTATCAACCAGTTTTTCTAGTCCAAATACCTATCGAGTCATTGCTTTCCCGGAGATTTGTGTACCAGACCCGTTGTCTATTGGGTACAAGGAGGAACAGGGGTTGGTGTTGTGGCGGCATGAGTCAATTTAGAGGAAGGGACCATGTACTGCAGCCTTATATCGGAAGTATTCTGAGGATCTATATGTTAACTGGGGTGTCAGTTTTAACATCGTAACATTCTTGGGTTTAAGGATTGACATAGATCTCACCATATGCTTCTTTTGTAGATTTCTTCCATCTGATTATGCTGAGAGATGATTTTACTTTCAACCTCGTTGTGTTGAGAGCTGATTTTACTCCGGTGTAGCAGTTCTTGATCCAGCGGCCGACTACATATGCTCCACCAGATCTAACAGAATGACAGTAGTTTTAGCATCAAGTTCTCCACGGGGTTGTTTGCTTATAAGATAATCGCCCTCGGTATTATTTTTTGGCGATCGTACATACCTATGCAAGATGGCGCATATTAGTATGAACAACAATATAACAAATCCGGATAGTAGAATTATCCCCAAAATCTCGGCAGCCAGATCGGTTGGCTTCTCTGCGGTTGAATCAGACTTGTTATCAGGAACAGGAGCCATTCTTGGTAGATATGAGGATATCAATAAAATTGAGATATTAAGGTAGAGATTGGTAAGGATTTCTGGGGAGGCTTAGGGGTTATAAGAGCTCTATATGAAGCCAAAATTTAATTGCACATCCTAGGTCTTGTCTAAGCTAAATGTATACATCCTCACTTGGACAGCTACCAAGTTTGCGTCAGCATGACCCCTAGATCTCTATATGTAGATATCCCAACTTTAGTCACCGATGGCCCAATTATGAGCACCTTCAGCTGCGAGAAGCTTACCAATACCGAGAAATCTTGTGTACCACCATTACTCGACTCCAACAATTGCCATTTTAATCTAGACGCTAAATAGGGACGAGTACAGTATTTGTAAGTATAAGTGATTTAAAAACACTGGTCGAGATTGGATAACGCTGGAGAAACAGCTGCAAGCGTGTGCCTATCTATACAATCTTGGAAAGGAGCTCCTACTGTAGATGTCCATTGGCTACATATAGGATAAGTGGTCCTTTTTCGTCCAAAACTGATTAACCAGAAAACTCATTATTAATCTATCATGGTATTCTCGACAGCATTCGCGAGTCCAATAGTTGTACATTACCTTTTTGTTTGGCCCCTCCTTCACACCGCTTGTTTGAGTCTTTAGACACAACCACATACATTTATCTTCGCTCTCTTACGCATTTTTTTCTTCAACACCCAGAATCAGCAAATATACAGGCGTCTTTATTTCGCAACTCCATTGAAAAATAGAATGGCGTTCCCCCAAGACATCCAACCAGCCTCGGTGATCGCCTGTTGTGCAGATCCCTTGCCTGCGAACATTGTTAGCCAATATGGAAAAGGCGTTATCAGAATATCCAATCATCAGGTGGTTAAGTGCGGCCCAGGTGTAACGAAAGAAGAGGCCGAAAATCAACGGATAGCTTATGAGCTGGTGGATAGTCGCATAGTTCGTATTCCACGTGTCGATGCTTTCTTTTTGGATGAGCAGGGCCACGGTTATATTGTGATGGAGTTCATAGAAGGGAAGATCGTTGATATATTAGATGAAACAGCTATCCAAAAGGTTGCAGGCGTGCTTAATTATTTCACAACACTACGGCACACTTCTCCTGGCTCCCTATCTGGAGGGCCTTGTCGCGGTCTCATTTTCCCAGATACGGAAGACCTAGTATTTAATAGTTCGCACGAGATGGAAGAGTGGTTCAACAGCCGGCTATTCGCCCACAATCCGAAACTGATTCTCCAGGGCTGCGAGCTCGTGTTCTGCCATCTAGATATAGCACCTCGAAACATCATATGGCAAGAAGATGGGTCTATTTGCCTGATTGATTGGGCTTCTGCCGGCTACTATCCAAAACTGTTCGAAGTCTGCATGCAGTGGATTATTGAAGGAAAAGACGGCAACTTCAACTCTCTTCTCTTAGAATCAATGGACCCGTTGTCGAGTCATGAAATGGCGCAAAAAGAGTCCATTCTGTGTGCTTGGAGAAATATTCAAAAATACCCATTGTAAGTGCAGAGGAATCCAGCTACATATTGATTGAAACTTACCTACTTCCAGCCGATCCAAGAAGTCTGCATGTCGCAGGTTACCTGGAGACTTGAAACCTGTACCGCCTCCTCCGATGCCAGAATATCCACCAGGATGGATAGAACAATATCATCGCGAAAACCACACCCCAGCACCCACTTTTGTCCCTCCTCCAAACTCAGCTTTAGGGGCTGAACACTTAAATTGAGTCTCCTTGTACGATATTTACGTCATTCATGCGCAATATTATTTCGCGATGAACCAGCTGGATCTGTATAGGAAGTTAAACATAATTAGCAGTTTACTATTAGCACTGGCTTCAAACGTAAGCTAGATCGTTTAGCGTCTTCGTATCTATAAAGCTATCCCAGTAGTATCATATTCAACGTAAGATCAAAATATAATAGCCAAGGCAAGTAATATCAAGCTCCATACTATTATCCTCAGTTTATCTTATTCTTTCAGACCAAATCAGGGTTCTCCTATGGTTTGTAAACAGGTAAAGGCTCCTCGGGAGGCCGGTAATATTCGTAGTTTGGCGGCGGACTCTCTGTGCTATCCGATCTAGTGTATTCCATCCTCATTTCTTGCATCTCGATGGACTCTGGACAACGGCCATAATAATTAGTGCCATGAAAATACTTAGTTTGGATGGGATCCTCCTTACCAGGTGTGTTTTGCTGCTCGTGGGCGATAAATTGAGGCAATACTTCTCGAACAGAGATCAAGTGCCATTCTTTTTGGAACCCACATTTTATTCGACACCCAGCTCTATATATAACATTAGATTTCAGAGTCTGGTTAGCATCTCTCTTTAAAGAGAACTGGTGGATTAGATGCCGATAGAAATAGGTATCATCATCGCTTGCGACTTACCGAGCAATTTTCTTGCGTATAGACCAACAGTCAATAGGAGAACATGCCATCAAAAGGACTGAAGCGACTATAAGGAACAAAAGAATACCAGAAAGTATCCCAACCCATACAATGAACAAGGAATCAGCTGAGCGAGTACGCAAAGCGCCTTCACTACTCTGTGGCGACTGTATAAGATGAGAAATGGAAGGCATTCTTAAAAGAATCTTCTTTGAAAATTTGATGGAAATAGTTGTAAAATATGTGATACATCAGTGTGGTGATCGCAACTATCTGTAGTCTCCGTCGCCTGAAGGGGTTCGGAGGTACACATTTTCAGAAATAAACTTCCCAGTTTGGATCAACCAAGAACTTGGGATTTACTTTTCCACATTAAAGAAAACGACCTGCACAGTGATATCATCCCGTACCCGTCGAGAGAAAGGAGGGCCAAACGCAAGCCGGCCTGCTATCAACTCGTGGTAATTTCCACCAAGCGAGTTACGCATCAGATGTACTGCAGCATTATCATCTTGGATCGTTGTCCTCTCCTCCACAAACTTCCAGTTAACATCTTTCCAGAATCTGCCAAAGTCAAATTGGCGATCTGCTGGCTCTGATTCGCTCTTCTTCTCCCCATTCCCTTGTTGTTCCAACCAGTTCCCTACCAGGTCGACACCCTGCTTATTGGACAGATAGTCCCACAGCCCATCCGTTCCCAGGATCAAGAACGAGGGTTTGTTAGGGTCGATCTTGGTGCTTGTCACGACCGGCTCGGCAGTCAAGTATGGGGGTGTGCGGACATCGTACCGTGGCGTTAGGGGTGCAGGACCATTGAATTTCTGCTTCATTTCCTTCTGGAAATCGAGAGGCCATTTCCACAGACTATCACCAAATGCTCGTGAAACCATGAGTCCAAGCACCCGTCCACCTTTGGCTATGTTTTCCTCGCCAGGGTGTTCCTCGGAAATGCGGGCGACCTCTTCTTCGTTGCTGCCAGTTTGGTCTACTGACAAGGGAATCACTTCCCACTTGCCGTCTGGCCCTTTTTGTCCCAAGACCGCTCTTGAGTCTCCAGTACAGGCAACGTGCAGTGTGCTTGTGAAAGGATCGTACAGAGCTAACAAAGCGCATGAACCAGCAAAAGCAGGAGCCAGCTTCTTAACCTTGTCCTGAAAGGACTTTTTACTGTTAGATGTGTCCTGTGCGGTCTTGATGATGGAGTCGTCAAGGTCCACGAATCCGTTCATGATAGCGCGCCGGACCGACTCATTTGGCACCGGTTCGTTTGAAGGTGGTTTGGCTTCGGTCAATCTGCGCTGCACGAAAGGCAGGAGTTGCTTCGTCAACAGATCTGCTGTCTGCCAGCCTGAATGTCCATCAAAAACAGCCCAGGACATCCATTGATCAGCCTCATTCCACGGTGAGGAAAGTTTGCCATGGATAAACCGGTCTTCGCACGGGCTATTGGATGCCAATTGGCTACCATCGTATCTGTCGACGCCTGTGATATTTCTGACCTGAAAGGAATATGCTTCTTTCGATAATATCTGGGTGATATCCTCTTTGGAGAGACCCGGTTCAGGGACCAATTGCTCTGCGGGTGGACCCTCAAGGCGGGGCACATCATCCCTTGTAGCGGTCAACCACCACAGACTGGGGACACTGATCAAACCGGCAGTCGCAATGTAAATCCTCGAATTTGAGGACAAGCTCTTCGTTGAGAATGAACGTTTAGTATGTCTCCGTACAATTGAGGTAGTCACGCACCCTAAACGTGGTCGGGAGAGACATGATAACATGGTAGATTATGGCGGCTAGGAAGAAACCTGGAGGAGATGCAATAGAGGATTAAAGCAACTTGAAGCTTACTCCAGGTTTCGTCAAGGCGGTAAGATCACGAGACCTGTTGCTGAACTCGGACAACGTTGGAAAGGGGTAAAGTGAACACCTCAAAGCTGGGCGCGCCTGTATGAAACAATTAGCCCAAAGTCTCTAAGTGGCAATATATTCATCAAGCAAAGAGCATGGGATGCTCTAGTATTTTATATGAAAAAAATTGAAGGGTATACACCAGTTGAAGATAGTGCGAGAATGATATATAAAAAGCATTAGTACAACATACAATATTGTATAGGTATATCTGCATAACAAAAAAGACTTGGTATAAGGCTTACTAAATTATAGCAATCTATATATCCTCAGTTGAGTTGATCGAAGCTAGCAACTTCTTTGCATTCAGTTTTCGCCTGTGGGCAGCACCAGAAATAGATCCTTCGAATCAAGCATGCATTATCTAACCTTAGATCATACATCTCATGGAGTGTAAAATTCATTATAGAACTTCCAACGGTGGAGTAGGCCTCCGTAATTAATACTCCAATGTACGTACCATAAGCAATGCAAAACTCGCTATAAGAGTTACTCTGGTCCTTCTATTTCCATGGATGTACCATAAGGACATCCAATGGTCCACCTTCTTCGGGATAGTGTTCATTGAAACGCGGTATCTTCCACACAATGGAGCCTAGGGTGAGTGTATTTTCTCTGCCATAGGGTGCTGCTCGTTGGACGTTTGTGGCCCTTCGCTAGCCACGTTATCACCATGCGGTACATGATTTTCTATCTCCGTTTCGGGCTTTTTCTTGATGTTGATATTCGAGATACAGAGTGCGAAGATTAGCGAGAGAACGCTCGCTGGGACGCCAATAATGTAGACGATTGAGAGGGATTTACTACAGATATCGTGTGCGTTAGGTCATCATCTACGAGGACGAGCACGAGCAAACCTACACATAGGCGTGTACGACGTTAGGCACCAGTGCGTCTGGGACCGCTGCACTATAGATCGACAGCGGCGACTGTAGTATTGTCTCAAAAGGCGCGTCTGGCGCGTACTTGCGCAAATTGCGCAAGAGTTCTGACGAGAAGGTAGTTTCGGCGATGGCGAGACCAATCGTACCACCGAGGAACTGTAAGATAAGAATACATTATGAGCAGTGAGCGCGAGCTATAAGTGTGATACGCGTACCTGGCAGAAGTTCACCATGCCAGTCGCTTGACTGATCAGCTTTGGTGTGTCGTCAAACTCAGCCTGCATGGCGAATAGGATATTCTGCAGAGTTGTGCCAATACATATCTGTTATAGGACTAGTATCAGAAGGACTATACACAATATATGAGGAATTACTTACGCCGACAAGGATCTGGTAGCCGATAACAGCTGCGTTTGAAGGCAACGCGGTCACAGTGTACATTAGTCCAGAACCTACAGCGCCAATCACCGGTCCGCCAACTAAGTACGGCCAGTAGCGGCCGTAACGACCTGGTGGCAACAAAGTTTATTAGTTGTCTGGGTACAAACGGAAAACAAAACACATACCGACAAGTTGTCCAGACACCACAATCGAGATTACGACGGACAGCATGAGCGGGAGCAAGTCCACACCACTCTTCGTCGCAGAGTGGTGACGGCCTGCCTGGTAGTAGATGGCTGTATATTATGGTCAGCCTGCAACGTTTAGGCCATGAAGCTGGAACACGACGCACGAATGTACTATAGAAGAACGTTAGTGCTGCCCCATAAGCGTGACCGGAACGAAACGCACATAGGTAAAGATCAGGTAGATGAAGCGGTTGAAGATCGCGAAAAAGCAGATTGAGTAAATAGAGAAGCTCTTAAAGATGGCCAACGGAACCATAGCCCGATCTCCCATATAGTGCTCCCAAAAGATAAACACAGCTGTCAGCACGGGTGCAAGAACGAGACACTAGTGCAAGTCAATTAGCGGGTCTTTCACGAGTTAGACTCGGAATACATACAACAATGACGTCTGCGCTGTTCCATGCCTTCTCATTGCCGCCCCACTGGAGGCCTAGAACAAGACTTGTGACGGCGCCCAGACTGAGTAGAGTACCAATCCAGTCCAAGGCAGCCGTACTCCAAAACATAGCCTTGAAAGAGCGATCGTAGTCTTCGGATCCGAGCGGTGGTGGAGCATCCACGAGCAATACAATCGCTATGATGGATACGCCGCCCTGGGAGGATTTAGCAAAAAGCAAACAGCAATTTAGACTGACTTACAATGGGTAAATTGATATAGAAGCACCACCGCCAGGAGGCGTGGTCTGTGAGGGCGCCGCCTATAAGAGGTCTGATAAAATTAGCCTAGTTGTACGGCAAGGAGAAACATGTCTTCTTACCCAATGATCGAGGCACTAAAATACGATTAGCAGTCTACCATGTTTACCAAAGCCGCAGCGAAACCCGTGGACATACAACGCGAATACCGATTCGAAGAGGCTGAACAGGGTTGGTCGATCCTCTAATCGGGTGGCTTGAGCCATCACCTGGAGAATGCCAGTGAGAATGCCGGCAGCGCCGACACCAGAGAGTGCCCGCCCACCGATAAGGATGTTGACATCCTGGGCGGCACCACACAAGGCAGAGCCAATTTCAAAGATCACCACAGATACTATCAGCACGTATTTTGCTGGATAGAGGCGAAGGACCTGGGAGAAGAAGAGGATGAAGGTAGTCTGGGTGAGGACGAACGAGGCGGCGACCCAGCCTTGTTGAGAGAACTACCAAGCATTGTACGTAAGTCTATGAACTGATATCAGCCTTTCCTACATAACTAACTGCGTTGAAATCCGACGCGATTCGCGGTAGAGCAGTTGATAGAATAGTCTGGTCCAGTGCGGTTACTACATTGTTCAGTCGCGCGCTCGAATATCACATTCTAATTTAGTGAACGTACGCAGCAGGGCCAGTAGCATTGCTGCAAATGCGATCGATAACTTTTTTCCTGTCAACAGATGGCTGTCTTCCCCGCTTGATGATATCACGATCGGTGCATCGTTTGTGTTGTCGAGCTCAGAGTGTTTGGAACGCGTAGTAGCATCATCGTTGGCCATGGCTTACAAGTTGGCGTGCTTTGGGGGGGAGATAGAACCTGGATAAGACCAGAAACACGAAAGGTGTGTTCGAGGAAAAGTGCGAACATGATAGCGATAGCGATAAAGCGGGTGCCAGATGGAGCACCGACGGGCTTGCGAAACCCGGAGAAATCCACATTTGCGGCGGGACCCGAGTGGATTCCCTGCCAAGGAATGCTTAGAATAGTCTAGAGCCCTAACTACTTTGTACGGAGTAGTTCAGCCCAACCTTAGTGTCTCTGATCACTTGACCAATTGCCTCGCATGCTGATCATGGCCCTGGAATTTCTCTTGCTCAAACATGCTATGAATCCTGGGGCCGGATATGATCCTAGGAACGTGAGGGTCTTATTCGCATGAAAAGTGAAATGGTGTTGATGAACGAGATGGTTATTTGGGAGTCGACCAGATGTGCATTTTCAATGATGCTTTCCACCGCAACGAGAGAAAAACTGCTGTCTACTGAAAACGGAATATTTATTTGTCATCCCTATTTTGGCTCGGCAATCAGGTCTCTGCCCCTTTTGATGGATGATGGCTCCGTATCAAAGCTTTCACCATTAATGCATTGATTGGTCTTTTACCCCCTCGTTGAGCCTCACACACGTTGTGTTCCAATCTTTCGATAGCTTTATATATACTACTCCGTACCTAGTCCACCAATTATTTAAAACTGCCTACGATTAGCACGATAAAATAGATCCACTTTAACATCCCCACTCATTATAGTATCAGATACTATTTCAAACCTTCAGGTACTGTCCTCCTGACAACATTGGCCGTGTAAACAATTCAACGATTATCTAGCTCCGCAGTAATTAGGCCAATTGAAGAATAACCTGGTGCTTGTGCACAGCCTTGGCCATTTTCTCTCCATTCAAAAACAGGAGGCTGGGGCTTTTCCGTTGCTAAAGTATGCGCCGTATAGTAAGTAAAATTCCGGACTTTCCATTTCCCACACCGCCTGACGGCGAGGAATATTAACAAAACGCGGACTGGCTGTCGCTGTGGTCCTGTAGGGCACATTGATGGACCAACCTTGCCCAATGTCTCACTGGTCATGCGAATGGGAGAATTGTAAGAAACCAGCGGCGCAGAGAGTGGGAGATTGTTTGCTGTGCGATAGACACTTCTGTCGCACGCACCGCCGAGAGCCGTGGCATACATGTCCAAAACCAGGGGTTTGTGATACGCCTGCTCAAATAGTATTAGCCATAATACAAATACTCATACTTATCTAATAGGAAGGCTGGGAATCCTACTCTGCTCAATATGCAGCTACAGAGGCTCGTCATATAGACGAGCTATGCGCTCGAATAGATTGTTCTAAGTTATGTTTCCGTGCATCGATGCTCAGAGAAGGCATCCCGTGTACGGTTGATCTGTCTCGTAAGAGCTTGTCTGCTATGATGGGAAACCAGAACTGCCACGCCGAGATCACCTTCGATGATAATGTCAAGTGGCTCGCGCGTTTTCGCCTCGCAAGAACCTCATCACCACCGCCGGAGGTCCGTGATTGGAAACTTCGAAGCGAAGCTGCAACTATGACTTACCTTCAGCGGTACACTTGTATTCCCACGCCTAAAATATTTGACTGGGCATGCGAATCCAACTCAGGAAACCCACTTGGAGTTGACTACATTCTAATGGAGAAGCTGGACGGAAAGTCCCTAGATTGGCAGGCGGCGACTCCCCAGCAGAAAGAGAAGGTTATACAGCAGTTAGTTGACATTTCCCTTGAGATTGAAAGGCATCCTTTCGAAGCAATAGGATCACTTGTCTCCACTGCGGGAGAGGTTATAAACCTTCAAGGTCTCGCACATCAATCGACGTTCCGGATAGGAAAAGGGCCACTCGGTCCATTCTCTTCGCTAGAAGGCTCTCAGGTTATCCACGATTCCTACCTCTCAATGATAGCTAGTGGCGAGATTGACCCCTACTATCCGGTAGATACCTACCTCGTTCATCGATTTCGCCAGGATATTGTTAGCGCTCTCTTTAAAGATGTCCCACTAAGTAACCAGTTCTTTCTCAAGCACCCGGACGATAAGGGTGATCATATTCTGGTGAATGACTGTTTTGATATTGTGGGTGTTATAGACTGGGAATGGACGCAAACTGTCTCGAAGGCGGAGGCATTCTGTTCCCCGTGTATGATGTGGCCGGTGGCTGAGTTCTACAACGGCTTTAATGAGCTAACCGCGGATAAATTACGGCTAGCTGCCATCTTTCGCGAAAAGGGCCGTGAAGATCTTGCTCTCTGTGTCATCGAGGGAAGAAAGGCTCAGAGATTTTTCTTCGCTCTTGGGCCTGAGAGCTCTTTTCTAGCTACGCAGACACTTTCAAATACATTTGCAGGACTCCAGCGGGCCTTCAACTTTGAAGACGAGGCTTGGGAGGCATCGAAGAGGAAGGCTCTTGAGAAATGGAAAGATGATGACTTACTCCTTGGCTTGTTGGAACTAGAAGGCTTACATGATCGTGTGAGGCGGAGCTGATGCTAGCGAACTACGGCCTGTGGTCTGTGAAATCGGCGTGCTCCTGCAATTCAGATACAGTGGTACAGGCTACAGAAGCTGGCCAGAGTCGTTCCTCTTCGCGGTCTATAAAGGAGTCTACTGGTCCACCCAGATGGCGACACTGAGGTCTTGATTCAGCATTCCAATGAGCGCTTCCTTTTGAGACCTCTTGAGCCACTAAGTTCAATACCTTCTTATCTCCAAGATTCTCTCGGGGTTACACTAATCACTTTCTTTCACTATGCTCCTGCCAAGATATGCACCTCAAGTGAGAGCGCATACATGCCATGCTTCTAGAGCCTTAGTCTCAATTAGGCAGTGATCATATGCTACAGCTAACGGTCCTTTGCAGATCTCCAGGGCTAAGACAAGGTACAGATGTAAAACCTCCTTCCTGAAGTTCTACTACAAGAACTAATCGTCGAGTATACACGGCAAATGTCTTCAATTTAAGCCAATGCTGTTGTGGTCTGCGTACTGCTTACATATATCATGGGGAACATACTGTAAAAATGAGAGTATCAATTAAAACAAAGCACATCGTATCATCCATAAGAATTGAACAAGTGTTCAAAGATAGAGCAAAGCAAACAATGGAGAACCAAAGAAGGGGGAATAAGAAAATGAAAAATGAAAAGACCATAAAGTGCTAAGGTCTTTATGGCCCGAGATTGCTCATCATACAATTTTGTTTGAGCAGATCTCCGCAAACACAAAAAAAGAAAAATTCAACAACTTCGCACGAAGCACATGATAAAAAGATCCCCAGAACACACTCGCTAAAGTTCCCAAAAACATCCACAAGAACAGAATAATATGATTAAACAGGCTGTTCGGTGATGTCAAGGCGGAACTATTGCACCGTGTTGAAAATAAAAGAAAGATAGAAGCAGAGTTAGAAAGAAATCGCCAATGTGCAAAGAAAGTCGACAAATGCATGGTTTTGGTATCTACGCGAGAACATGAGGAAGTGCATCCTCGTCAGGACGAAGGTTGCGAGGGTCGTGGCGGGTCGTGAGATCAATGGGGGTATTAGATGATTTGCAGATAGTTGCTTGGCACGAGGCCAGGGTGGCTACGGGCGTTGGTGACTTCGGCTTCCCACCACCCGTCGTCTTGCAGGCGGATAACGGAAAGAACATCGCCCTTGCCAAAGCTAAGCTCTTCAGGGATGGCGGCATTGTAGGTGTACATAGCACGAGCTGTGAGATTGAAATCAAGTTAGATACTAGCAACGCATCGTTGAGAGAAGAAATGAATGCTTACCAAAGTGCAAGATTGGACGGCCATCACGACTGAATTTGCGTCCAGGTTCTGCAACAGCCATAGTGCGGCTCCGGGATCGGCCAATAGGCGGACCGTCACCATAAGTCGATGAGGGGCGGCTGCTTCCTCGAACCGAGCCGGCATATCCACCGGGACTGCTCGAACCGTACATGTCGTGGCTTCCAGACAGCTGCAGCTCCATGCCACCAGCACTGGAAGGACGAACTTGCTGCCTGAACTGGGGCTGCGGAGATACAGCACGGTGGCTCATAGCGGGCGAGACCCTCCGAGCAAAATCGTTTGGAGAGTAGGGTGGATCTTGAGTACGCTGGGGAGTGGGCGATGGGCTGTATTGGCTTCGCATGCTGTTAGACTGGTAAGAACTCGGACTAGGGCTCGGAGCCCTGCCACTGTTCTGGCTTCTGCTACTGTGATGGCTCATCCGAGTATCCACACGGGGAGGAGGGGGCTGAGGGCTGACGCTCCGTCTCGGTGCTGGCGCTGGTGATCTAGCTCGGGGGGCTTCTTGGGTTTGACCGCTATGTCTAGACCCCATGCTACTATTTTGTCCTCGAAGCATGCTCTGGGTTTGGCCAGTGTACTTCTGGGTCGTCTTGTGCATCTGCTTTGCTGTGAAGGCCGGCTGAGGTGCGCCGAGTCGCTTGACCGTGGGATCATTGTATGCTGGTGGTGGAGCAGCAACGCTAGCATTACTGCCACCATATGTGGAAGATTGTGCCGATGCAGTGGGTGTGGAGATTCCATGATATCGATCTGCCGACACCCGAGTTGCTGACTGCTTTCCGCTTGTCTTGAGGTCCGCTAGAGCCCGTGCGATAGGGTCCAATTCATCTTCGGGCGCCTGGTTTGGCTGTGATCCTTTCTGGGGTGAGCTCTGTTGGGGTGGTGCAACGTCAAAGACATTATTCCCGACATTAAGCTGGAAGTTTGCTCGAGGATCAACAGGCTCCGGGCTGCCAGGGACACGACCCGACGGTCCTGCTGAAGGTCTGACTGGGCTGACTTGTTTGGTTGGGCTAGCCGGCTTGGGCGGGCTCACTTGTGTAGGCGCACTCACTTGCTTAGGCGCACTCACTTGCTTGGGCGGGTTCACTTGTGTGGGAGCGCTCATTTGCTTGGGAGGGCTCACTTGCTTGGGCGGGCTTACTTGCTTGGGTGGGCTCACTTGTGTAGGCGGACTCACTTGTGTAGGCGGACTCACTTGCTTGGGCGGGTCCACTTGTGTAGGCGGGCTCACTTGCGTGGGTAGGCTCACTTGTGTGGGAGCGCTCACTTGCTTGGGAGGACTGGTGACTTGTTTGGGCGGGATCACCTGCTTAGGAGGACTCATTTGCTTTGTTGGACTGATTTGTTTCGTTGGAGAATCCCAGCCACCGCGAGATGCAGGGTGGGGTGAAGCAACCGGCTGGGAGGTGGCGACTTGCTTTGAAGAAATAACTGGCCTTTCTTTATCGTGGCGACTCTTGCGACGGAACGGACTGTTACTGAAGAAAGCGCTTTTCTTCTTCGGTGACTTGTCATCTCCGGAAATTGGCGTCGGCGCAGTGTTCGTTGGTTTTACTACAGACTTCTTCGTAGGCGTCTCGTCCACACTTGACACAGAGGTTGGGTTCGAAACCTCACTCTGAGAGCCACGGCTAGACGGGCGATACGCACTGGTCGCCGAGCTTCGCTCTGAGGGTGGACCAGCACGACAGAACATGGTCATACCATCTGTGGGGTAGGCATTGTGGGGAACAGCTCCAATCTCTCCATGTTGGTCAGGATCATAGTTAGGAGGCGGTGCGCCGCCACGACGGAAGTCCAGAGGCGCAGGCTGCTGGGGTTGTGGCTGTAGTGGGGGCTGCTGTTGCAGGATAGGCTGATGTTGCATGAACCTTTCAGGCTGCTGCTGTAAAGGTGGTGGTTGTTGCTGTAGGAGAGGCTGCTGGTGCATGAACCTTTCAGGCTGCTGTAAAGGTGGTGGTTGTTGCTGTATGGGAAACTGCTGTTGCATGAACCTTTCAGGCTGCTGCTGTAATGGTGGAAGTTGCTGCTGTAGGGGAGACTGCGGTTGCATGAACCTTTCAGGCTGCTGTAATGGTGGAGGTTGCTGCTGTAGGAGAGGCTGCTGTTGCATGAACCTTTCATGTTGCTGCTGCAAGGGTGGCAGTTGCTGCTGTGGGAGTGCCTGTTCCCGAGGTTTTGGCGCATCGCTAATGGCAGGAGGAGCAGGGTGTCCCATCTGAGCCGCGAGGTCTGACTGTGGATCATGGTGTGAATCAAATGTTGAAGGCTGAGGAGAAGATGTGCGGAATGCAGGGTTCATGGTGCGCTGGAACTGGGCTACCGAGTAGCACTCAGCTTCATCTATCTCAGAGCTTGAGTCATCATCCTTGCAAAAGTTGATGAATCGGGGAGGATCTGGGATTTCTTGTCCAGTTCCCCGCTCCTTGATGAAGAAAATAATATCTTTCTCCACTTCACAGTTCTCCAAGGAGAGACGGACTTTCTCGCATGACTGTAACTCGAATTAGCATTGAAAAGTAAGCCCGGACGGAATAAACATACAGCATCGTCACTAACACAAACAGTCGAAGCAATGTTAGCGTAGGTCCACAGACTGCTCTTTGTGAAGTCCAGACGCTCCTCTTCCAGATCTTGAAATTTGTCGCATGCTGACTTCCATTCCTTATTCCAGCGTCCAGTTGTCTCCTCGAGTTGTTTGACGGCTGCTTCGTATTCTTGGCTATTTGATGCCATCTGGATCTGTGTCTTCTCCAGCTTGGCCTTGTTCTTGCGCTCTTCCTGGCCCATGACCATGTGGCCCTGCGCGAGATATCCCTTGATGCGGAGACAATCTTGTTCGTAACGATCACGCGTCTGTATAATTAGTATTTTACCTCTTATTACTCCATAAGATTACTCACTTTGTTGACAAGCTGTGTCTGTTGCATTTTCGTCTTGTGTAAGCGTTCGATGCACTGTTGAATGATCTTTCGTCGCTCCTTGATCCCGCTAGCAAACGCAGCAAGTGGCTCCTCCAGTTCGGTCTTCATTTGTCCTGCAATGGCGGAATGTGCCTTTGCGATCGCTTCGGTCTCACCACGAACCACGTCGAGAGAGGCTCGGAGCGAACCCATCTCGCTTGATCCTAATGACTTGCGACACAGAGCTTGAAGTTTTCGTGCATATTCATCTTCGATAGAGGCTCGAACTATAAAGGTGTTAAGACTCAATATTATTGTGCCACCTGCATGTTACGTACTGCTGTAGAACACTTTCAATTCGTCGTTGGTGATCTTTGAATTATGCACACGGTCCAACATTGGTTGAAGTCCTGCGTCATCTCTGCCCCAAAAATTGTTGGCAACTAGAATAACTGTCAGCGTGTCCAAGGATATATCAGTGTTGTACCACATACAAGACATGGAGACCGTAGGTCCGTCTGCCACTGTCCCCGGCATTGTTATCGATGTTGAGCCTCGGCCAGCCTTTGCGCATGCAATCGAAGTGTTTTGAAATCACAAGTACAAAGAAAAGAATAAGAACAATAACACTGTTGAAGAATAAAAAGAATAGCAACAACACAAAAGACCCTTGGAGGTCACAAGGTATCGAAGTTGAAGATGAACGGAGGGATGGTACTGTTTACGGCCGCGTCTCTCGGGGCAACCAACCACCACGGTGCCGCCATGTACCGCGTTACATAAGCTCTTTTATCCCGAGGTCTGCCCCAAAAACTTTCAAGTGGAAAATATTTATGTACAAAGTTATGTAGTTTGCCCGGATAATTAAATATGAAGATAATTAAATACGAAATCAGAAATATTGTAAACATAATTTATTTCATTTTGCTATTCTCAATGCATCGTGCAACCATAATTCGGGAGTCCATCAAATATTCAAATCCAGTCTATGTAGGCAAAGCCAACGCGAAAACAACCTCCCATATCCACAAAAAGTAGAAGACACATGAAGAATTGTAGTTTCAAACCCGCTTCCAATAAGAACGCCCGTCAAATATGTATCCCCGAGACCATAATGGGGACAAATCAAATCATTCGCAATCCTTTTTTTTTTTTTTCGTTGTTGCAATCATATCGTGCCATAAATCAAGGATCTCATCAGTTCATCGAAAGCCCTGCTCATGCTCCTTTGGAAGAAGCTAATGTTTGTCTCGTGTCATTTGTCTTAGTAGGCTACAGGAGTAGCCGACGCAACAAAGGTGCTTGAGACAGGAGAAGAAACACTGGAAGAGCCCCAGCTGCGGATACCACGGGCCACAAGAGCGGAAGAGGCAGAGGGTGTGGCAGTGAAAGAAGCACTGGGGGCAGCAGAGTACCAGCCATAATGGCCACGGACAGCCAGGGGAGCAGCTGAAGTAGGGATGCTCGAGCTGGAGGGAATACCGGAGGGAGTTCCGGAGGGAGAAGCGTGCAAGCCGCGAGCCACAAGGGGAGCCGCCGAGGCAGATGGAGTTGGAGTAGAAGAGTACCAGTGGCGGGCGACGAGGTGAGTAGACGAAGCAGTCGGGGTGGCGACAGAAGGAGCACCAGAAGCAGAAGAGTACCAACCACGAGCATAAAGAGACTCAGAGGCAGAGGCAGTGGGATACTCGCTCGCATACAGCAAAGCAGAAGAGGAGCTATAGTACTCGCGAGCAAAGAGAGCAGGCTGGCCAGCGGCTCTCAGGCCCCGGCGGAAGAAAGAAGAAGAGCCGGGGGCGGGAGTCTCGGAACACGGAGTAGAGCTAGCCACATGAGTCGAGGAGGGGAACACGCTTGAAGGGGTGGCAGTCACAGTCACAGTGATGAGTACTGGGTCGGCACCAGGAGCAGTTACTGTGGAGGTTTCGAAGACAGTGTTGACTTCAGGTGCAACTGAGCTGGAAGAGTAGTCTCCATCGGCATTGACCACGGAGTAAACTGCGCGGCGAGCGAGGTCTTCGTTCTCGGGATTGGCGAATGGCGCCGCGTAAGTCACGCCGATAGAGCAAAGGGCAAGTAGCGCAGCAGAAGAGAAATGCATGATAATGGGGGCAATTGAAGCTTGCAATGATAATTGAAAAGAGAAGACACTTGAAACTAAAGACCGAAATGTGCCCAAGGCAATAAAGATATGGGTGATGTTGGGAAAGAGACTTGGATGGAAGATGGATAATTAAGAATGCAAGAGGACTCAAGTTCGGGTTTAAAGAGGTACGCCAAAAAAAAATACCTACTATCACGATGAAGTGTACTTCTCTTACGCCGAAAATAATAGGCGGCTGGGATCTACGGTGGCTGGGTTGGCTGCAGTCCAGCCATGGCTTTTATGTTTTTTGATTTATTTTTAATTGACTTGCATGGATTTTGATTGGGTAGAACTAAATCTAAGTCTACCCACATGGCACACCTGCCAACCACGATGTTGTGGTGGGGTTTCCACGGCGACATTAAGTAAGCAATTGGTGTGGCTGGGGGCTCTTGGGGTCCACTCTGACACAACTGATATAGTACATTTCGTTTCACTGTCGCCTAGTTTCTTTTCATAGATCAACTATGATGTCCTGATGACCCCAATCGACAGGACGATCTAGGCAGATCTCCGGTTTCATCAACACAGCCGTCCTGATTGCCGCGGTGGCACTATATGGCGAGATCTTCCACTCTCACCAACCCACACCCTAGCGCAGCGCTGGCCCACGCGGCACACGGGCGGTTTGGGTTCCACCCGAGGGCTGTGACGTGGGTATTTTCTTCGTAGACCGTCGAGGTCCCCATCCCACCGATAGGATTGGTCTCGTACTGCTTGTATTTTGCCAGTTTCTGATTCTCAGCCCGGTATCCGTCATAAAATCGACTAGTGCCCATAGTGTTCGTCTTGGAGGTGGGAATCCATTCATGTGTGAACCATATCTGCTGCCATATTTGCTCCTTGTTGTAAACAACTCGTCGGAAGGGATTTGTTCCTACAACCTCACCTGCAGAACTGCCAAACAGGGCACAGGGGTGATGGATACTGCATTGCGCCATGGCCGTGATGGTACTGCTGAGCCGCGCAATAGTGGTGGTGGTAAAAAATCGTCGAACTGGAATTATGCGAGCGAATTCGTTTTCATCCCCGGCAACAACCGACTGGCAGATGGGAGAATAGCCGATGTGGGGAGAAGCACTTCGCATGCGGCCTGTCGAGGCCATTTCACCGGTAGAATCGAGGACGGACCACATTCTTGTTTCGCCATCCATCGAAACAGTGATGATTAGTTGGGGATGGACTGGGTATGCCGATGTGATATCGAGTATGTAGGTGGCATGGATTGGCCGATAGAAGTAAGGTGGAGGGTCAGGCGCAGAGGAAGGTCCGATGTTCCAGACAGCCACAAAGCCATTGCCGCAGCCCACTACAAGATCACTGGGGGAAAGCCAACTGACACATGTGCAAACCGTCGATGGGGGTCTTGCCTCAAACGCAGGCGATTTGATTTTGACTATATCTTCCACATTAGCGAGACTCGTGGAAATCTCTCAAAGGGGACACTCACGAAATTCTGTTTCTTGTGACCCTCCATCGATTTTGATATCCAGAACTCTGACATATCCATCCCCCCAAACTGTTGCGAGTAAACCAATGGATTCTTTTTCTTCTTCTGCGTCTTCTGCTCGTTTGGTCCGTGGCAAAGTACACCATACCATGCGTCTCAGGTCCCCCCAGTCAGCACACAAGACTTGTCGAAGCCGGGGTTTTGAGTTCATATCAAGAGTCATTGAAGGAGTCTCGCTCGGTTTGCCTTTGAATTCCCAAATCTGCAGAGCGCTGGGGAATGGCTCTGAAGGTTGAAACGATGAGATAGGCTCACTATCTTCGGATTTGTACTGGTTTTTCTGATTTTCTGTGATTGGCGCGGCCACAGCAAGATACTGGCTCAGACCATTCTGGTTTGGGGCCCAAGTCATACAATGTGCCTTTCGACCGATGTTTAATATCCAACCTTCCCGAATTCTTTTGGTCCCAGTTTTTGATTCGCCTGTTCTGGCGCCTGATGCCTCCCAAGCTTTTCCAAAGTCAAAAGACTCATGATAGCCCAGCTCGAAAAGTCGTTGATTATCATGCGGTCCCAGTAAAATGCCATGTTTTCGCGTATCTGGTTGAGGCAGGTATTTTTGGGACGCCATTGACTCCTCAATAGTCTCAATGCGCTGTCTCTTGCGGAACCTCTCGCCAGTGCCCTGGTCATAGTACCAGTCCCAGCCATAGGTGCTTTCTTTCGTAGCATCATCCGGGTGAACCCCAAATGTGGGTCCGTACAGATATTCAGGCTTCTTCTCTATCTCCTCCAAGATGAAACGAGATGGAAATACAGCATCCAAGCCCTTGTTCCATCGCATTCGGAAGTGGACGGCTGGCATCAGATCTCGATCGTCTGAGCCGAAAGTGAGATTGTAATAGGTGATTTTAGACAAATGATCTCTGGGCTCGATGATGCCACGAATGTGTGTCTCATCAGCGGATGGCACAACTGTACCATCGGCTCTTCGCTTCTTGAAGTTCAAATCGTGTTGGTATGACATCGAACGCTCTGCATGGCCTTTCCTAGGAGTGTTCCTGATGCCGTCGATCTCCATTTCTTCGGGGTCAGAGACATCAGCTTCTGATACAAATTCATCTTCTGGTTCTTCTTCAGGCTCCTCTTCTTCATCCATTACGTCGCCGGCTTCTTCGCCTGAGCCGGCGACAAATTCATCTTCTGAGGCTGAATCTTCTGTCCCACCGCGCTTCTTCTTCCCCTTGGCAGGGTCTTCCTGCTTGATGGAGTCCTCGTCGTCACTGATCCCAGCTGCCTTGAATGGATCATCGATGTATACTGCCCTGGGACCTTTGAGGCGTCCAGACCTGCGGCCGGAAGACATGTTGCTTAGATAGATCGCGTCGTTAACGGCAGCCAATAGCAACGGTAATGTACATGCGCAAAGCGAGTCACATTGAAGCTCAATAATACGCGTTTTATTGAGCAAAGCAGCTGAGATCTTGAGTACTGAGATGTCCGCTATTTGATTTGGGAGATAGAGAAGTGTGAAGCTTCAGCAATACACGAAGGTCAAGGGCGGTGACGCTAGCCCCAACATGGTTAGAGTTGTCGCCCTGTATTTCAGGCTCCAACTGATCAAACCCTCATTTTACTAACAAAATGAATTGATATTGCACTTCTAGATGGCTTCAAATCTACTCGGATATTCTGGTTGCTTGTCATGAGGTTTTCCAAGATTAAAGCTCACCAAACGACGTCAAAAGCCCCATCTTGATATGACAGCATGACTGTGCCCTGTGTACATACGAGCAAAATGCGATATATCGACGAGTGATAAGAGTGGTGTCAATGTACATGGTACGGTTTAGTTACAACAAAGAACTAGAATGGCAAATTCTCTTTTTCCGAAAGCAATGGCTCACCTAGTCTCTCACTTTCATACTATGAGCTCTCGAGAATCAGTTCTGACAGGATCTCGTCCAGATGTCTATGCATGGTGAAGTGTGTATCGCCTTCGTATAGTTTGAAGGATGGGCTGTTAGAAAGAAGCTTGACATATCCGTCATGGGCAGCGGCGAATTCCAATCTTTCTCTGCATGCCAGATATGGAGGTCCCGAAGAGTTAATAACTACCTGCTAAAGGACCAAGACCAACATGATGAATTGATTGAGGAACAGAGAGTCCACTTGCTGTGCATTTTATTTGAGCCGTTTGTACAGGGTGCTTGCCCCGTTGCATACGGGGCGAAGCTATTGTCACAAGACTGAGGCATTGACTTCGGCAATGTTACTTACGACAGAAGCACCTGGGCACACGCTAATGCATAGAGCCCGCCACCGGAGCCACCAATGACTGCAAAATGCGAGAGACTGAGATGGTGAGCCAGTGGCTGAAAATTGACGGGCCAGTCCATGATGCGTCGGTTAGATCGAACTGTGGAAACGCCGAAGCCTGAGCGCTCCGGGGCAATCACACGAATTCCGCGCTGGCGGAAGATGTGCTCTACGGCAGAGGCCTCAAGGCGACATTGGGGATAGCCATGAACATCGGCGGATAGCTTGTTCCACAGCCATATTCGGCATAGCCCAGGGTTGTCCCGTCCGAGAGCCGCATTTTTTGATCGACCCGCGAAGTTGTTGTTCTGGTGTATCGGCATTTTGAAGCTGACTGGATGTTTCTCATAGAAAAGTGTACTTTTGTGGTTGGATTCACGGTAGAAGAATGAGTCAAATTTCACATATTGATAGGCAGAGGCTTTGCTTGTCAGGGATACGAGGTATATGTTGACGCCAATAGTCCTTGGCTACAATGTGAACGTGGCTAAGCCTAAAACGTGTAGTATGAGCCACTGTACAGAGTACCTTGTATATCACAGATCGAATGTCATCAGCATAATATAATAAAAAAATATAAACAAAATGTTCAAATTCATAAGATGAGGAACAATGTGCACATAGTGTAAACATGGCCGACCGCCTGCACATCGGATACGTCAACTGCTGATCTTCCAACTTCCAAAGTTCTTGACGGACGTCTCAACTTGTCAACAACAACAACAACCACATCTCTATCATGTCCTTACTCGCTAGTCGCGGGCCGTCGCATAGCGGCGTTCTTCACGAATATGTATAGGCTACGCTACCCATTCTCAATGCCAAGCTAACACCCGCAGGCTCCCAAACTTGTGGCCTTTGAGTTCACCCCACCAACAGAAGGAATAAATAAGACAAACAGCCTTATCTTCGTGGGTGGACTGACAGATGGATTTTGTACTGTTCCCTATGTATCCAAGCTAGCGAAAGCTCTGGAAAATACCGATTGGTCGGTCTTTTCTGTCCTACTTTCATCCTCATATGCTGGATGGGGAGTCGGAAGCCTTGATCGCGATATAGAAGAACTCGGGCAATGTGTGCGGTTCATTCGCGATATCAAGGCGTCACGCCAACCCGGCGCACTAACAAAAGCTGGAAAGATTGCGATCATGGGTCATTCGACCGGAAGTCAGGATGTGCTCCACTACCTTTATTCGCCGAACCCCGTGCCGAACAAGGACTTTGATTTTGGCCTTCAACACATGGTCCGCCCTGAGCTCGATGGTGCTATTCTCCAAGCACCTGCCTCTGATAGAGAGGGTCTGGAGGCTATTATTGAATCCTCTTCGCAGCCCGATGAGCTCAGAAAGGTCTACGATCAGCTTGTCAGCTTTGCCAAGAAGCAACCATTTACAGCAGAGAAGAGCGACACAATTCTCCCAATGAACCTGACTGCAAAGCTTTCTTTTCCGCCCAACACGCCTCTCAGTGCCCGGAGATTCTTGAGTCTGGTCAGCCCTTCTAGCCCCGAAGAGCCATCTGATGACGATCTCTTCAGCTCCGACTTAAATGATAAGCGTTTGCAAGAAACTTTTGGCATGGTGGGCACGCGGGGTATTATTAAATCAAAGCTGTTGTGCTTGTATTCCGGTGAAGATGAGTATTGCCCGCATTGGGTGGACAAAGAATTGCTCTTGCGGAGATGGCAGCAGGCTACCGAAGCGGGAGGCGCCAAGTGGGATGCAGAAAACAGCGCTGTCATTCCTGGAGCCAGCCACAATGTTCATGACGAAGGTCAACAGGACCTCATTGATCGGGTTCTACGATACCTCCAGACCCTCTGAGCGCTGGAGGTTGATGATATATAGAAATATGAAATCCAGAAGACAAGAGAACGTTGAATTGATATCGACAATAAACAGGTCATTCAAACACCACCCAGGAGTGCACGGATTCGGAATAACGGAGGTCAGAAAGGGGTATATCACAGCACGGGCAGTAGGCAAGTCCAGACATGATACCATGCTGAACTTGAGGCAAAGATGAATCAAAGTATTGGTGCACCAAAATCTAAACGGCAAGGCCCGATTCAGACCTTCACCCACAAGCTCAACACGCCCTTAAGGTACTCGACAATCTCGGATCCACCCAGCTTGCTCTCGCCGTACAGACGGTCGACGAAGGTAATCGGACACTCGGACACCTTGTAACCCATTGCCTTAGCACGGACCATCATCTCCATCTGGAAGCTGTAGCCCTTGCTTTCGGTCTTGAGGATAACCTTCTCCAGCACTGACTTCTTGTACAGCCGGAAGCTACCAGTCAAATCACTCACACCGGGCATCAACATGACGTCCGCGATGAGGTTGGCAGTGCGCGAAGTGAACTTGCGGAACAAGTCCCAGCCGTACACACCACCCTTGATATCTCCGCGGTTCGCATATCGGGTTCCAGTCACAATGTCGGCGTCGGTCTCTTTTTGAATTCGGATCATCTCAGGGATGAACTTAGGGTGGTGGCTGAAGTCAGCGTCCATGATGATAACAAAGTTGCCGGTGGTATATTTCAAGCCGTGAACGTAGGCCGTGCCCAGACCGAGTTTTCCCTGGCGGGGCTTGAGGATGATGTGTTCGGGGCCATAGAGTTTCTGGAGCTGTTTCGCGATCTCGAGGGTGCCGTCAGGGGATCCGTCGTCAACGATAATAATCTCCCAATCCAGCTTCCTATAATTTAAAAAAAAAAGTTAGACCCCAGTACTCTTGAGTTATACCATGGTAAGCACATACTCCTCATTGAAAGTCCTCTGGATCAGCCAGACGATGATAGGGAGGTTCCTCCGCTCATTGTAGGTGGGAAGAATGACTGAATACTTGTTCTTTTCCGCGCTCATCTTGAAACACCGCAGGTCAATTAATAAAGTAAGGAGCGGTAATAGATCGGAGTAAAGATCTTATATAAAAAAAAGAGAAAAGAAAAGAGTAGGGACCGTATGGCTGACAGCTTGTCCACGGGTTGCATTCGGCAACGCCAGATCGCGGCCAAGTCGCCAGATCCGGCATCCACCGCCCTGGCAGAATCCGATAACTTATCGGGTGTTTTGCCTCGACTTCAGTGATAATACTTCCAAGATCACTCTACTTTTCATTCTAATTGATCTCAGAAACGTCTGAATAGCTGTGGAGATGGATTCGGCACCAGGAAAACACATTCGGAATATCTCCAGGTGTAAGCGAACACTTCATTCCCATCACATTTCAACTGTCCCTTACTGATTGCCTACGCAGCTTCTCGGCCCCGCAGCTCGACAAGAGGTCCTTTAGATGCATTTGATGAGTGAGCATAGTACCTTACTCCCACCGCTATATCCTTTCTCTTACATGATCTAGCCCTCTTGCTCTCCCTGAAACTCCCACATCACCTATCAAACACAAATCAATGCTTGGTGCCAACGACACCTTTTCCGGGGCATCCTTCTACGAGTTAGATCCGCTTGCACCAGACAATCTACCTGAACATGTAGAAAAAGACCTCTCTTTTCTACTCCGGCATAGCAATTTCCATCCCCTCTCTCATCTTGACATCCCTCCGCCACTACGATCTGAATTCCTTATCCTTAACCCAGGGGACCCTCTATCAACCACCCTAGGCACTCTCGAACAGCTATTGGCTGAGGGTCGATTCCTCATTGCGGCGCATTTCTCTGCTTCAATCTTGACCTCGTCTTTAATATCTCCGACGGATATAAAGATTATCTTCTCTCTTTTCTACACACGCCTAGCCTGTTTGGATCTGTCGGGCAATACAATTCTCGCAGCACAGGAATCGAAAAACCTGGAAGATTTGAGTTCGGTATTTTATTACATCGATCTCAACCTTGAATCGGCTGCAGTCGATAATGAAGGCCCAGAACAAGAACAAGCCCATACCCAGGATCCTCGTCATATTGTTCCATGGCCGCTTCGCGTATTGGCCGTTAGACTTCAGAGTATAGGCTTTGGTGACTCTCGCCGAAGTATTGGTGGTTTGTACGAAATTGGCCTGGAAGCACGCCGGGAGGTAATGAGAACCGGAGCTACTGAAGCTGAGCGAGAAGTATGGAGACAGCGATTGGCAGATCTGGGGATAAGGAGCGTGAATTCGCTCATCGAGATGGGTGACTTCGATGCAGCCAGGAGGTCGCTTGATAGCCTCCGGGTACCTGGGCCAGAGTCAGATATCACAAAATTGAGGAAAGCACTTTTGCTTTTACGGATCGGTGATCTGGACGCAGCAAGCCAGGTATTTAGTGACACTGATGAGAAAACAGAGGCTGCTTTATTGAAGCCTCTGATAAGCATGTCAGATGGTCGCTTTTCCGATGCAGTAGCTGAATGGCGCATTCTCGCGGAGGATAGAACAAGAACAGATGGAGCTCTGGTAGCTCAAAATCTGGCTGTGTGTCTTCTATACATTGGGCAACTTGACGAGGTATTTGATCCATACACCTATTTGCAGCGTAATCTGAACATATTGATTGATTGGTTGTTTCTAGTCTCGTCGGCTCCTTGAAGCCCAGATCTCATCCAACCAGTCATTTGGTAGTTTGATATTCAATCTGTCAACGGTCTACGAGCTTTGTACCGACAGATCAACTCAAATGAAGGGACAGCTGGCGGATATGCTATCAAAACAACCTGTCATCGGACAGACGAATCTAGATCGTCCAAACTCAGACTTGAAGTTATAAGGCGTTAAATTGAAAATCACTTCGCCCTGGGGGCCATTGAATTCAATCTGTCTACACACGATCTAATTAATTAATACTCCATGAATGATACCCGTCTGTTAATGATACGGCGTTTTTCCCAACCAACGCCATGCAATGAAACGAACGCCACTGAATGCTCTTATCCAAAGAAAGTCTAACCTGGCCTGTACTCAAACACTCGACGCACTTGGTTCCGGCTTGGGCGCGGCCTTCTGCTTCAGTCGCTTGATGATGATCCTGTCGCCTTCCCGCTCCCAACGAAGCTTCTCTTGCTCAACCAATTTTTCCCATGTCCAATTCTGTTCATCTCCTGTGCAACCGCCCAAAATCCAACTGATGTGCACGCTGAGGTAGGCACTGCCGACGGCCTTGAGTGCGTGCCTGCGCACTCGGTCTGCAGCCCAATTCATCACTGCACGGATATGAGAATCCACACTGTTGTGTAATTGCCAGAACACTACCCAATTATCTTGCATTAAGGCAGCCAAAACTTTATCCACTGTCTGTGACTGATAGGAATGCTCTTTCCGCGCCCGGGCGCGCAATTCAAATGCCGCAATCATATCTCCCTGCCGACAGGCATAATCGAGAATCAAGTATGTGACCAATTCCTTGGCTTCAGCGTCGGGTAGTGGGTGAGATGTGGAGTGCAGTTTATCTAGAACGTATCGTAGAGAGGGGAAGTATGACGGCGGGTGATGCGCAAGAATAGACAAGCGAATAGAGAAGACATGAATCCGCTGTGAGAATGCTGCCGGTGTAGTCGCAGCTGTTGCCAGAACGGCTTCGCGCAGCTTCCGAAGGGAGAGGAGGAGTGCGGATAGCTCTGTTGATGGTGGCGGGACGCCCTTCTGTGCGGGGTTTGATTTCAAGGGCGACCGAGAAGCGGGCGGATTGGAAGTCGCATCGTTTGAGGGACTTGTTGGAAGAGATGATAATGCTGCATCAAGGTCTTTAGAGTGGTGGGCGCAAAATTGCATGTATCGATCGACTATTTTGTCGAAGTACTCGGTCTGGATCTTATGGTCTAACAGTCTGCGAATGTTATGTTAGCATATTAGCATTTCGGAAGAGTGCGCATCACAAACGCACTTCTTATCCCCCTTGGAAACAAATCCAACATTTTCCAGGGAGTCAGATACGGGGCGTAAGCGACTCATCTTTTCCATGTGTTGACATGTGTTCCATGTGTTGACCTCGTTATGATCAACCGTTCATTGTAGTTGATATAATGTTTGTCTAGTTTGTTTCCTCCCACGCCGAGGTTCTTCCCAACACGGCGATTTCCACGTTCCCCCAACTACCCAACAACGCTTGGAATTAACTCCTGTGCTTTTGTATAATTATTTCTCCTTTTTCTACTTCTTCCACTTTTTTTTACTTTTTTTACTAAAGATTTCATCTGCTGACTTGTCTTACATATTCTATTGTTGGTCAACTTCAAAACATCCTGTAACTTATTGCATACTTGCATATCACATGTGATTATGCCTCGCCAACGTCGCCCTATTGAAGACCAGAAATTGACAGTAGATAGTCAGCCTGCCGGGATGACTGCTGTCGGGGAGGAGGCTCAGAAATTGGTAAAGCGACTTCTTCATTGGGACGATCTACCCCACTGGCAACGCGACAACCATCACATCCATACTGGATATCGGCCCGCCTCGTCCTCATTTTTAAGTTCATTTCAATCGCTGGGTTACGTTCACAATGAGACCGTCAATATCTACACCCACCTCTTGCCAGCAATGTTTGCTCCCCCCGCTGCATACAGACTCTACCTCTTGCTTTCTGCGCGATACCGGGATGCAGCCGAGTCTGATATCCTCGCTTTTTCCTGTTTCTTCGCGGGGGCTGCCTTCTGTCTTGGCATGTCTGCAACCTATCACACCATCTCAAACCATTCACCTGTGGTTGCACGTATTGGAAATGCACTCGATTACATCGGTATCGTGGGACTCATTGTGGGAAGCTTTGTACCTAGTGTCTTCTACGGATTTTACTGTGTACCCGAACTCCGGCATAGGTACTGGGCCATGATCTGTATCATTGGGCTAGGCTGCGTTATTGTATCCGCTTCTCCCCGGTTCCGCACACCTCGCTGGCGTCCGTTCCGCGCCACCATGTTTGTTGGGATGGGCTTGTCTGCTGTCTTCCCCGTACTCCATGGGGTTCTCCTCTTCGGACTCGACCGTATGCAACAGCAGATCGGTCTGAACTGGCTTGTTTTTCAGGGCTTCTTGTATATACTGGGAGCCGGGATCTATGCGGCCCGAGTACCTGAACGACTCATGCCCGGGAAATTCGACATTGTGGGGAGTTCGCATCAAATCTTCCACGTGCTGGTGGTCTGCGCAGCAGGAGCTCACCTGACAGGGTTGCTGAAGGCATTTGATTATCGGCACAGCGGGGCTGCCGAGACCTGTCAGATTCCACGCGGCTGAGTCGGGGTTCTGGCGCAACACAAGTTCAAGGTTGGACAACATGCTCATGGCAATTTTCTTTTTAAGAGGTAGCATGGAAATGTTCACGTTGTAGCGTACGTGGCGCGGCTTATGTTCAAGAATCTCTCCAGGGTCAAAAGGTCCCCCTGCTGACAATGACTCGAATTAGTATGTGCAACAATGACACAATGACGAATAAAAGAATGAAGCGGTGAGCGCATAATTTACTTGCAGGGACTAGACCCGGTCAGCCGATAAAAAAAAGACACCTTTTTGCTTCTATTTCACATGGTGTCGAGCGTTGTCCATTCGAGGCTATTGTACTTGTGTACCATTGGAGAGAGTAGCAGGGCCCCAGCGGGATGATCTTGAGACCAAAAGCCCTTGTTAGCAAAAGGTTCATCTGATTCTCCAATAATCCAGAAACTTAACCCCGAAATTGACGTTTATGATGTTGCATCAGGGTGTGACGACTATCAACAAAAGGACCCCTAGCCGGTTTCTCTTGAGGGACCCTGGTTCCTCATATCACGAGCTGTGTTCGAAAATAGCGAACGCTGTCAACCGAAGCAACTTTCCTTTTGCCGGATCAGGTTGGATCAGATTTGGGAATGAATCTGGAGGGAAGATGGTTCTTTTTAACCTCAGAATAACGGTTCTTGTTGGTCTCCCATGCATGGTTGATCAGATGGAACTGGGGTTTCACAGCGGCTGACCTCTTTATGCGGCTGCCGTCGGTACTGTATTTGAATGCCAGAGTGACATTTCTTCTCTCTGAAGCTTGAGCTTGTTTCTATATATACAAGGATCGGGTGTGGAGGGTGGGTGTGAAGGCGTCTGCCTCATTGGATGCGTGCGGTATCATTGTATTGATTCTGGATTTCTATCTCTAATTTCCCTATTTCTTTTTTTTTCCCCTTTTTTTTCTTTCCATTTATATCCATATATCACCGAACCCCGGGCATTGGTATTGTCTGATATTCGTATTGGGAGAGCCCACTAGCTTCTTTCGTGTTTTCCCACCCTAACTACCCCCCGTCCACGACCGGCACCAAACAGACAATGCTTGCAGAGTCCAATGGCAACCCATATGCCGGCGGAGATACACCTAAACTCCGAACTGCGTGCGAAAACTGCAGGCAATCCAAGGTGAAATGCAACCTGTCTGGTAAGAGTGTCTGTACTCGTTGTCTACGTCACGGCCTACAGTGCCAATACGGATTTGCAAATCGATCTGGTAAACCAAAGGGTAGCAAAAACAGAGCTACTCTCCGCAAACTAGGTCAGCTGCAAGAAGAAAAACCCACGATGCGTGGCTTCCGCAGTAGTCAGCTTGTTGCCCCTGTGGCCGACATGGAACCACTAGTTGGGAATAGCTATGGCAATCATATTCCCGACCCAGGAATCGACAATGATGTAAGTTTTTCCTTTTCCCCTTCCCGCTTACCAATTCGGCAAGTTGTTAATAAACCGCCGTCCTATAGGTCTGCTTGATATCAAATCAGCCAGGGTTCTGGGAAAGTCCCCGAAGCTTCGGCAACACAGGGACCCTAGAATCATCCGTCTGTCCTGGGCAGTTGACGACAGTTGATAGCTCTCCATTCACAGATCTCGTCGATCCATGTCCTGCTCTCCCAGCCGGCCTAGGATATCCACATACGCCCGTGACGCCGACATTTCTGTCCGGAGAACTAGCCGACGGGATGGGCAGTCCATCTCTAGCCGGTTCTGTGACTTCACCGTATCCGATCTCGCCATGTGAGTGTGTAGATATGCAGCTATTCCACATGAACCGACTGAACCACCTCCTTGCTGGATCAATGCCTCTGCGGCTCGATCACAGCCTACAGACAATCAAATGCACATTTTGTGCCTGCCAGATGTTCCTGCAATGCACTAAATGCCCTAAAGATAGCACAAACCTGCTGCTGACCATCTCGGTACTCAATCTCACCCTCCAGCTCTTTGAGTACTGGGTTTCGCGGGAGACGTCTCGCGCACCGCGGCCCGAACACGGGGTCGATATCCGCTACGGATACTATGAGATCTGCCACGAGGAAAACAGGCAGATACGCAACTTCCTACTCCGGGGTCTGTTGTTACAGTGCCGGGATGTATTGCTGGCTCTGAAAAGCACTGCTAGTGCTACCGATGTTCAAATCCCCAAGTTGGACCACGAAGGTCCAGCAGAACCGAAACTATCAGATAAGCATGCTCAGCACTTGGCTCCCTCGGAGCATTTCGGCTTACTTGCCGACTTGGATAACGATATTTTGGGCGGCACGCCGAGAAATGAAGGACTGCTTCCTATTATTGCAGGCTATGAAGCTACTATCTCGGCATTCTTACAGTCGACTTCGTGGGGGGAGTGTATCTGTGGATCTGGACGAGCGTTGCATGACGAATCTCTTTGAATTATACCCATGTATGGGGGGAGGTTGACTGTTTTCTGTCGCTACTGTACGCTATGGAGGAGTGTAGAGAGAAGGTGGAAAAGCCAGAATTGGGATTTACGAGCTGGACAGTAAACGCAGATCGGCTATATTAACCGAAAATTGAAAAAAAGAATTTCGCCTACATATGTTATAACAGTAAAAAGTAACAATCTTTACCAAAAATGAAACAAATTGTGCTCATAACACCCCCATCTCTACTATGTATACCCCACAATCTCGGTCCGGAGTGAGCCTCGGCGATCCCAGGGCCCAGAGCCGAGAGGTTCTATAAGAGCTTCCCCTCTTACTTTACACAAGCTCCAAAGCTCACCTCTGACTTGTCCCCTCATTCCAAAAATGGCTCCCTCCGACCGTCTCAATCAGGTTAATGAACACCTCAACTACCCAGCCGGCCTGCTGGCAGGCCAAGTAGCCATCATCACCGGCGCCGGCCAAGGCATCGGCGCTGAAGCAGCACGATTATTCGCAAACGAAGGCGCCAAGGTCATAGTTGCTGACATCGACGCCAGTACGAGATCCACAATATCACCATGTCACTCCGTATCCACATATCTAACAACCAAACAGAGAAAGCCACCGCCGTCGCCGACGCAATCAACTCCGCAAAGGCCGGCCGCGCCCTCGCCGTCGTAGGCGACATCCTCGACAGCAACTACATCACCGAACTGGTCAAGCAAGCCGCCGACTTCGGCAATGGTAAAATCCACATCATCGTAAACAACGCCGGATACACATGGGACGGCGTTATCCACAAGGTGAGACACACAATGTTTCAATACAAAACAAATATATATTAAGCTATAGCACTGCCACTAACGCAATTTCCCCCCACAGATGACAGACAAGCAATGGGATACCATGCTAGCGGTCCACAACACGGCGCCGTTCCAGCTCGTTCGCGCCGCTGCGCCCTACTTCCGCGTGAAAGACAACGAGCCGCGCGTAGTGATCAACATCAGCAGCACCAGCGGCATCCACGGCAATGCGTAAGTACCCGATTCTCCACGTCCACTTCTCCACTCCTCCCTTTTCATTCCCAACGCCCAACACCGCGTTCTAGACTCATACTATCAAATACTAATCGGCCCCCCAAAACAGAGGCCAGGCCAATTACGCAGTCGCCAAAGCCGGCGTCGTTGGTCTGACCCGCACCATCGCCAAAGAATGGGGTCCAGCCTTCGGTGTGCGGTCGAATACCATAGCCTTCGGCTTCGTGACTACGCGTCTGACCGCCGCCAAGGAAGATGGCGCTTTCATTACAGCGCCTGATGGGACAAAGGTTGCCCTGGGCATTCCAGGCAAACAGCTTGCGACTAAGATCGGCGAGCAGAAGGAGGAGGCTGTTACTTACCCTGATATTCCGCTCGGAAGACCGGCGACGCCTGTTGAGGCTGCTAGGGCGGTGTTGGGTGTTGCGTCGCCGTGGTTCTCGTATGTTAATGGGGAGACGATTCGGGTTACTGGTGGGCGGAATATGTAGATTGGATGTAATAGCGGTGTGTGACGGATAGATCCGGGTTTAGAGCTGGATGTATGCGAAATGGAATTCATTGGTGTGCTGTATACCTGCTTGATTATTGAAAGTCTGTAGAAAGTTATATATATCGTTGAGGGGGTGGGATGTAATGCACGATGTCACCTTAGTACATATAATTAACGAGATGCAGTGCAAAACTCATCTCACACCCATCTACCATCAACTCGGAATCACGTCTTGCGTCCTTGGGCAGCGGTTTCACGGCACGGGCCCATCACACGAAATCACCCCCATATACCCGATCGAGTCTTGATAGTGTAACGTTGCACTGGGGAAAAGAGGTGAGATGGGTAAACGGTTGATTTATGTTAAAGTAGAAATGCAATGGTGTAGATTGTCAAGTATATGCCACACCGTGGTATCATATCGTAAAAGGGAACAAGTCCCGAAATGTCCCGCCAATGCGAAAAGTCTATGCACATAGAAACGAACTGTGATCGCCCCTTGGGTCGTCAAAATAACAAAAGCCTCCCAAAAAAATGATAAACACAGAAAAAAAAAAATCCAACGTGCGTTCAACGCCGACTTGAAATGTCCAAAATACACCCCAAAAAGAATAATAACCCCGTATTTCATCAGCCCGCCCAGGGGCGTATCTTCAAATCATGCTTCCCAGTGTATTATCACGCTAGAAAATGAAAAACGTAAAAAAACAAATCCCTCCAGGTATGTGTGGAAATATTAAAACAATAAGAAATGGGACCCGGTCGCAAGGGCGACATTGGACTGTAGTCAAACGGTCCATGCAAGGTCAGAGCTGGGCCAGGGAATACCGTGGTCCAGAGTAATAAGAGTAGAGAAATATGTCCAAAGGGCAAAACAAAAAAAAAGCTGGCCGAGTCCAGTGGATCATGATCAACGCGATCAACTTTTTTTTTTGTTGTTGTTCGGCAGCTTTTTAAAAAAAAGGTGTCCGCTCGGTGGCGGAGAGTAAGGGATCCCCCAAGATATGCGAAAGGAGATTCCCCCGAGCATTCGATCAAGGAATGGCAAAGTCGAAGTTTAAAAACAAAAGCGTGCGGGATATGCAGCTATGAGGCAAGGAGCAATTAGATGGGGATCTCGTGCATGTCGGGGTAGTGGAGGCCATAAGCAAAGGGATCCGCGGGGAAGAAGGGCTCCGCACAGACGGACGGGAACATGGCCTTGCAATCGGGGACCTGCTCCGAGACTGCGGGCGACATGGTATCAATATCCGAGTAATCCTCGGTGATGGCCGAACCGTCCGAAGCAGCGGACTGGGAGAAGGCCGAGTATTGCGCGGAGTCCAGCGACGAGCCAGAGGTCTGGGCATACAGGGGTTCCATCGGTCCCATGAACATTGGCATCTGGGGCTGGGGAATGTAATCGATATGGGACGGCACCCAGGGAGTTTGGACCATGGGATTCTCCGTGAAGCGGGGGCACTCCATGATGAGCTGGCGTAGCTCTGGGATGGAGATCCGCTTGATTGGGTCAAGCTCGAAGACACGGCTTAAGATACTCACCATCTCGGAAGAAAGAGGTAGAATAGTCTTCAAGAAGAATGGGTCCTTAAGGTAAGCCTGGAATGTGGAATCCTCGATCGAGGCACGTTTCCATGGGTTGCGACCGCAGGTTAGATTGACCAAAATCACGCCCAGACTCCAGACGTCGTTGGCAGCGGACATGTAGCAGGACAAGGGTCGGGCATTGGATTGTTGGCATTCTATTTACGATCAAACAGTTAGCTAGAATAACAGAAGAGAGGGAGGGGTAATGTTTTTTTTTTTTTTGAAACTTACCAGGCGACATATAGAAAGTAGAACCACATCCAAAGTCGGTCGTATAATAATCCGTCGTGGCGAGACCAAAGTCGGCAAGCTTGACGGTCATTCCATTTTCGGTCACGAGGACATTCTCAGGCTTGAGGTCCCGGTGGTAGATCCCGAGCGAATGGCAGAATTGGACGGCATCCAGGATTTGGAGGAATACACCCTTGGCCAAGAAGTCATTCCCGACAAAGTGTCCCTTATCGGTGATGTTAGAGAACAGGTCTCCTTCGGGGCAATATTCCATCACGACGTAGGTACAATCCACGGAATCCATGATGCGAACTAAGGGAACCACGTTGCGGTGTTGGCTGGCCAGGTGATGCAGTCTAATCTCGCGCTGTTGGAACTTGAGTTGACGGGCATCCAGACCATCTTTGCAGAGGACCTTGACCGCAAAGACTTCGTTGGTGTGAATGTCCACGGCGGTGTACACGACGCCATAGGCTCCAACACCCAGGACTCGGGTGAGTTCCAGCCGGTTGGCTAATACGAATCCTAGACGATCCTCTGGAGCATAACGGCGTGGAGCCGGTGATGGTGGGGGTGTTGGTAGCATGGCCGGGTACATTGTCCTTGGGGATGTGTTGTGATGGGGGGATCCAATGGTCCTCTCGGGAGAAAAAGAGAGAGAGTGTGTGAGAGTTGTAGTCAGAATCCAGGGAGATTATAAGAGTCCTAAATCCAATATTCAAAAGGAAGCCATGCCAATCCAATGGTTTCAAGATGGTCCAATCTAGGTATCCGTTTGGTCCGGTTCTGGTTGTGTTTGATAGAAGTCGAGAGAGAAGGAGAGTTGCACAGCCAGAACGAAAAACAAAAACAAAAACAAGAAAAACAAGATAAAAGTCGATATATAAAAGGGATTTGAAATATACAAAGTGATGTAGAGAGAGAGAAGGAAGATTATATGGATTATCAGGCAGATGGTCGCCTCGTGGTTAGACAAAAATGGGCAAAGCGCGCTAGTCAAAAAGGAAATTGGGAAAAATTATATTAAAATTGTCTCAAAAGGGAAATCCCAAGGAAAAAAAACAAACCAAAATAATCCATGATGCGTATATAATTATAAAAGAATAAAAATAAAATAGGCCATGTGTGAAGCGGTGTGGCCGAGTGCGGTTAGACCAATCATTATGACTGTCCTGCCGCCACATTCGATGATTCGTGGGGATAACGACTGGAGACTCCTATTTTTTTGTGGTTGCCACTTCCATATCCTTCTAGGCCTAGTGTGGCAAGGTCCACGTATTCCTATAACGGTTTCTGCCTTGAAACCTCCTGACACACATTTGCCAACGCATAAGCTCCCAGCCCCGCAAAGCTATGGCATTTGGATTACTTTGTCATGTCTAGATCAGAGTGGATGTTTTGAATATGCATATCTGTCCTTGTTTGGTATTTAATATATGTTATAATAATGTACATTATTATATGAAACATCTAATGTACTTCAAACTTCTACACCGTCCTTTACATAGACAAATCTAACTTTATCCCGAAAACCCCCCTAGGCTGACTCGGGTCTAGACAGAAACACTAAGAACAGTGAGGCGATGATGGAGGGCCGCTATGGTCAACCATTCGAGAAACCCCCCCCTAAACAGTTAAGTGGGGAGAGAAAGGGTTGGCGCTTCCCTGCTGACTAGTTTCTGCACGGTCCATTCGTCTCTTCTTCTCCTGGCGCTAATGTACCATGACCATCTAGGACATACACTTCTCCCATTGATCTCAGCTCGTATTATTATTGGCGTTACGCTGGACTGGGACCTATTTCTGCTTTTCAACCTTGGCCCTCTTCTGTGGCTGGCACTCTTCTTCTTTTTTTTCTTTTTTTGTTTTTGGTTTATTTTTTTTTAGCACCCGTCAGCGTATCGGCTCATAGTTCCAACGTATACTCTGTTCAGCCTACAGCCTACACCTCTATTAGCCCGAGACAAGAACAGCCCCCTGCAAACATAAAAAGTTGCCTCGTCGAGTCTTCAATCTTACTATTCTCCTTTGTTCTCCCACTTGCGTCATATACCAGGCAAGGGCCATGTGCTGATCCGAGTCTGATTCGAAGGTGTTCCCGCCCCAAATCATCCCGGGTTATAAAAAAAAAAAAAAAAAAGTATGTTGGATGATAACTAGCCAATGGTATGAAGTGTGTCAATACTCCCTATGTACAAGAGTCTATCACACTCTATTGGTACTATTGCGGTGTGAGCATGACAGAAAAAGAAATATAATCCTCCCCCAGCTAGATCGACCCGGTAAACCCGCAGCCAGTCCAATCACCTGATAGGAGATCGGTTTACGATTCATCACATTGTCGGTTCTCAACACCCGAAACCTGTATATGCAGACATTCTGTACAATAGCGACTAGTCCCATGTACGGAGTACAACTAATGTATTTCCCTCTTTTTATGTCACACCAAGGTGTAAACAGCTTAAGGGAAATCTTGGACTGGTGTGATATGATAGGTGCCATACCTATTCTGTAGGTGATAGACGCCCGTTCCCCTTTGTGTGCCGTGCCTTGCCTGGCACAACGATTAATGTACCCCAGGATTGACAATGCAGCTGGCTCATCCAAAAGACCAGTTTCTCATTTCTCACTAGTAACCCGGGCCGTTGCTTTTTTAGGGTGCTTTGCTTTTTTTTTGGTTGATGTTGTGAAGTGTTGTCTCCCAGTCTGGTTTCGGCTTCTAGTTTCGGGGTCTTCTCTTGATTTCGGGGTTTACAACGCTAGGATATATCACTTCATACAATTAGTTACCTATATTGTATAAGTGTGCTTAATACTATGGAGTATATGTAGGTGTATCTTGTAAAAGGGGGCCAATGTCGGAAAACGAACTGTCCCTACGGAGTATAATCCTGTGATATCCAGCGTCCGCCACAGATCAGCTATATCCCCGTGCCCAATGGGCACATTTCCCTCCATTTCCTTTGAAACTAATATCCTATCCTTGACCCTTTTGCCTCTTAACGCCCGAGATGACTTCTGCCCTGCAGGTGGCGGGACCCACAATATAAACCCAGCTCATCAATGATTTTTTACCGAACATCTTTCCGATAGACCAATAGATCAATAAACCGGCGCCGGAGATTAAACGTCCCCAATTTTGCGGTCGCGGACTCTGTTGCCACGGATATGCTGAGTCCCGTATTCAGGCTTACTTGTGCGGCAATGTACGGCATTTGAACCCCCGACGATTGGCTATGGATTCCATACGGTGGCAAGGACTTTCTGCTGATCGCCATTGCCATCGACCTTCTGGAATACTCCACTTCCGTAATTGTACTCATGTTTTGTATATCTTGTATATGCTATCATAACATCGGATGCTTCATATGATGACTGATGATGTACATCCGTACATCGTATACGTGGAACCTGCAAGTACCGCGTAAACTGAATCACATGCAGCACCAAATCAGCATGGAACAGATATCCTTGATTGCTTTTTCCTAACACTAGGAGTCCTCCAGTACGTGCAGAAAACCAATATCTTCCAATTCCGTAGCCACCCGGTCTATAAGCAAATTTCTAGGCTAAAAAAACCCCCCCCCAATCGGCACCCAAGTCCAAAAACCCAACACCCTCCCATTTGCCAACAATTACTCAACGACACGTCTCCCAATAGCCCCAACGGCCAACAGGGAAAACCACGAGCGCAATTCGACAACTCCCGCCTCTGCCGCCCCAGGAGAACACTCGAGACAGGGAGGCAATAGTCTGCTCTAGTGCCATGTACTCCATACTTACCAATATGCGCAGAGAAAGCATCGTGCCAATCGGAGATGCTGGCATTCCATCATCGCTCATCGATCGTACTCTGTAGTTGAGGCAAGATAGACTTAGACTCTTTCCCGAATCCAAGGCTCTCTTCATTCCCCACAACTCAAAATTGAGAACCTCCCGATCGCGGAGGGGCGATCTGGCTGTAGCTGAAGTGCCAAAACTGGACTAAGACTGAGTCTGGTTTAGGGTCGATCTGGAGGGGCTGAGTTTGTGGTTTGGGGTCTAAATGGGTTTAAATTGGGTGCTGTGTTTTTTTTTTTTTTTTTTTTTTGGACTGGGGTCTGGACTTGAAAGGTTTGTTTTCTTTGTTGAAATGTGCAAGAATGGTCGACTGCATACCATACTCTGTACACGTAGTACTAGGGGGGTTTCTTTGTAGGCTACACAGAACTATGCTTTATGCTCCCAGGAATGGGTGGACAAATTCCAAGCCACCCCCATTTCGGCAGGAGTCGTTGAGCCGAGGATGGACAGGGGTTAGTGAGTGCTTTGTGGAAATGTTACATGTGGATTTGCATTTGAGAAACTACCTAGGTAGATGCCTAAGTTACTGTCGTAGTTTGCATATCGACAAAAAAAAAAAAAAAAAGATCAACTCCCACCATAACGCCGATTCCTTCCAAGCTATGCCGTTTCAGAACTAGGATTGGACAACCTGGTAAACCTCGGAGAGATCAAGATACAACCCTTGCAGTAAGAGTCTCAGTTTCGGGCAACTGAGTTACACCCTCGGCGCCAGGAATGGGTGTTTCAAAGCATCGGCTGGCGTAATCCGTTTATCAGGGTTAAGACTCAAGCACCGGTCGAGTAAGTCCAAGAACATTGTCAGTTCTTTGACCTCGGCATCCGGCATCCCACGTGTTCCTTGTGCCATGAGGCGTGTCTTCAAGTCGCGTTTCGGTTTCTTGAAGTCCATAATCTTGGTGCGGAGACGGCCGGTGATCTTATCTGGTTCCACGCTGTGAAAATTGAACTTTTCATCAAAGTGAAGAGGCGACAGGGTTCCACGGCGAAGAAGCTTCGGTGGGTACTTGCCTCGGCACTCCATGATAGAACGCAGCATCTGGTTGTTGTCTTCGCCGGTAAAGAGAATCTTGCCGGTGTACAGCTCAAAGAGGGTACAGCCAATGGACCAGATATCGATGGCATAGTCATAATCCATACCCAGCATGATTTCTGGGGCACGGTAGAAACGACTGACAAGGTAAGGCGTCATCTCATTCTCAGAGATCAGCGTCGCCGAACCCAAGTCACAAATTTTCAGAATGTTGCGTTGCTCGTTCACAAGAAGATTGTCCGGCTTGAGATCTGCATGCACAATGTTACACCGGCGAAGGTGACTCAGCCCAAGGAACATCTGTTGACCGTAGGCCCGAACCGCGCGTAGGTTCAAGCCAACGTCCCTACCGAACTTTTTCAGGACCTCACGCAGGTCCATACTGAGGTTCTCAAACACCATGCACAAGTGACCCTTGTGTTCGAAATGTCGGTCGAACTTGATGATGTGCATTTTCTGCTGGGGGTCGGCTTCCTGCAGTTGCTCTAGAAGGCTTATCTCCTTCGAACCAGACTTGCGCATCATGTCGTTATGGCGAATTATCTTAACAGCAACCGGAGTTCCTGTCTGCGTATCAGTTGCACGTACGACCGACGAGTACGTTCCCTTGCCAAGGTTTTGATGAACATGGTATCGCCCATTGATCAGCTCTCCAAGGCGAACGATGTAATAACCTTCCGGATCGTCCCAGTTATCCATCATGCTAACGTCCAGTTCTCTGCCCTGAGGTACAGCTGTGGCCGAAGCACGTGCCGGTTTGTCGTCAGGCACTTCCTCTGCAAACATATCGTCGTCATCGTCAGCAAACATATCGAGCACCTCGGTCTTCGGCAGTGGTGCCGGGGGAGCACCAGGGAGGGGAACATCCTGCTTGGCAGATTTGGTCTCATCGTATGCTGCAGAGGACATGTCGTTCTTTGCATCCTGTAGATCGCCATGCTTTCTCCTGTCTTCCTTCGTATCAAGAGTTGGATCATAATCAGCAGCAGAGGCATCTTCCTTATCCATACCGGCAACAGGTGCATTGGCGTTGATCATGTCAATGTCTTTTTCAACACTAAAACCAGGGAATGCATCCGCGGGTTGTTCAAAGGGGGATGCCCGTGGAGAATCTATTGATTTTACAGGCGTCAGTTGCGTTGATATCAAGGTAAGATGATCAGAGGGAAACCTACCAGATGCTTCCTTTGCGCTAGTTGGCTCAGTGCTAGGCGTAGATGAATCGGTTTCAACCTCACCGACGTTCAGTGCTTTGAGATGTAGTGATGTGGCTTGGCTCCGGTGCTTCGCCCGAATAGCTTCACGGCGTTTACGGCGAGCTTCGAGTGCCTCAATTTCGCTAATGGGCTCAGCAACCTCTGGCTCTTGCGCAATCTCCGGGTTAGGGGCGGTTTCTCTGAGATAAATGTTAGTTGCACGGTCTTTCTCGTCCGTGATATAGCAAACATACTCGTCAGTCACATGGGCTTGAAGGTCAGAAGAAGCCTGCACCTGGGTCTTTTGTTTTTCAGCACCAAGCTTCAAGTCCGGAGCGGCGATCGAGGCCTTTCCTCGTTCCCTCACCAACTGTTCAGTGGGCAAGCGCCGTCCGATATCCACTGAAGGCCTGGCATTAGCCACGTTCGAATCAAGTTCATCGCCTGAATACTGCTTGGATTTTCTCGATTCACGATAGGGGGAGCGGCTGCGGCTGCGGCTGCGCGTGCGTTGCCGCTTGTCCTTGTGTCGGTCGTGTCGGTCGTAATCATCACTGTATCGTAGGGCCTCTGGGTGAGTCTTTTCACGGACATAGTCGTAATAGGAATTCGGGCGCCGGTTAGAAGCGGGTCTGTCACGGCGTCTGTCGTCGTACCTAGACCTGTAGCGCGGCGGATGCTCATGACGGGGTCGCCGGTCGTAGCTACCGTCATAAGACTCGGGAAGATCGGCGTGACTGCGCTTCTGAGACCTATTCTCTCTGTAGGGCGAGCGAGAGCGGGATCTCGAGAGGGACCTGGTCGGCGACCTCAGTCGGGGTGGCGAGCGAGTGCCTTTCAACGACGCGGGAGAGATGGGAGATCTGGATGCAGAGGATGGGCTAGCTCTGATGGGACGGTCAACGCTGGTGCCATTAAGAGGAGGGTTTGACGCAGTTGCCTTCGTCTCTGGGCCTGATTCGATGATCTCACCCTCAGAGGGGACCGATGGGGACCTCGACCTGGGATGCGACATGCTTGCGATATTCGAGGGAAAACAAGGCGCGTAGACAATATTTCTTCTCCTGGGTTCGCCTTCACTTCACTCGGTCTTTGGAAGAAGCTTCAATAATAAAGAAAGCTCAGTTAGCTGAAGCTCTAGCGACAATCAGTCTTCTCAAAAGGGTTTGTGAAAGTCCAACCGGCTGTAGGAGGCCTGTCTTCACACCAAAGCCTTGTAAAGGTGATTAAAAGTCCAGGCACATAGCTTGTCGAAGAAAGACAAGCTGGACAGGTAGATAATACCAGATGCACAGGATATCGGCTGACAACAAGAGATAATATCGCAGTCATGGCTGGTTGGCGAAATGCTCGATGGTCGAGACGGGGCAGAATTGGCGCTTATCCGTTTTAGGTAGGCGGTGAGTCAGAAGGTGATCTGCCTGCCTGTGGCGGAGAGCTTTAGCCGTGTCTGGTCTATATTACAAGTATTGCCAATACCAGTTTCTGATAGACAGCCTCTTTCTCCACGGAATATATCCGTAATTGTGTGAAATATTACGGGATATAATACAGCTAGTAATATTTACTCAAGTAGCCCCAATACTGCGCCCCAGCCCAGGTGGCCAAGAGGGGTGTGGATAAGCAAACCCCTCATATATTTTTTTTTTACGTTGTTAAACCACCCCGCCATATTAAGATTCTTTTCAACCGTTTTCCCAGTTATTTTATTCAGTCAAAATGGGTGGTATTGGCAGAGAAGGTTCATATTCCCTCACACTCTAGCCACCTTGAAATCCTGTTCACTAATAAATCTTATGACCTATAGGTGGCAAGGCTAAGCCCTTGAAGGCTGCCAAGAAGGAGAAGAAGGAACTCGATGAGGATGAGCTCGCTCACCAGGCCAAGCTCCGGGCTGGTATGGCTTTTCAACCACCCTATTTAGAGAGTCGCCAACTGACAACTTTCCTTAGACGCGAAAGCCCGCAAGGAATTGCAGGATGCGGCCAAGGGCAAGAAGGGTCCTCTCAACACCGGCCAGCAAGGCATCAAGAAGTCCGGCAAGAAATAAATGGATTGAATATCCCCCGACAGACCGACAGATCACTTGCCAACAATCCCCAAAACGAGCCTTGAAACCGGGTTTTCTGAGTCCATATTCACGACCTACACGAGCCATGTTCATAAAAGAGCGGAGGATGGGTTGGCTTCGAATGTGTGATCGCGCCAGCGTCACTCCACTCATAGTAATTCATTCCTATGGGTCTTCTGTATATCTTTAGCCACAAATACCTATTTTGCGCTTGATCGCATTTCCATACATACAAGTTTCCTGAAATGATCAATTTCGTTAAACAGTATTGAGATTAATTGGACCGAAATACATCAACATAAACTGCCACAGCTTGGGCAATTCCGAATAAAGTGGGTATCATTCTGCCACGCAGGGGAATCAAACGCTCAAAACATAGCCACCAAGCCCAGATATTGGAAAAAGAACAAGTCAACTGTCCCGAAAAAAGAGTAAGAATCAAGCAAGACGCTAACAAATCCACAGTAGCATCAGAAATGAGGTCAAGGTAAGCCGCGCAGAGATCAAATCACAATTCAACAGCCACTAACTCGTGACTCGCTTGACCCAGAGATTATTGCCATCGCCAGCATTTTCCTTCTGGTCCAGCCGAATCCACGCTCGAGTGATCTTCAGACCAAGATCGTGCCATTCTTTCTTAACATCCGCGATCTCGATTTCTATGGCCTTAATGCTCTTCTGGACCTCAGCTTTAGCAGCCAGATCATACGCAACCGAAGTAGGCTCAATGATCTTGCTTAATTCAGAAATCAACGTCTCTAAATTGATTCTGCGCTGATCAAGCTCATCCCGCTTGGTCTCCATTGCTCTAATGCGGCCCTGCGCATCTAGAGGCACCTCAGGCTGAGGTGGAGGCGAAGGGGACTGCACTGGCATCTGGGCGACCTGCTGTGCGACCTGGGATGGAGTGGGCTTTCGGACAGGCTTGGCCGAGACGGGCTTCTTCGAGATCGGGTCGCTGATTGGGACCGGGCGGCGTCGGGACATGATAGAGGATGTGGATACGTCGTCTGTAGACCGGGTTTGGAGCTGCATACTACCTCGTGGGCTCCCATCCTGACTGCCGGGGTCAGTGGCTGTGTATGTAGTTGCGCTGAACCGACTCCTAGGCTCATCGCTCGTAAGCATCATATTGCTGAAATCATTGTCAAACTTGAATGTTGACGTTTCCTCCTCTGGCAGTCGGCTTGGAGCGTGCTCTGATACCAGTCTCCGAGGAAATGACACCGGACCACCGGCCGTGATAGTGGTTACCGTTGTTGGAGCGAAGCCAAAGTTATCGGTCTGTGATCTCGCGTTTACCGCGCCATTGCCGCTGCGCTTATTGGAACGCTCTTCCACTGGAAATACGCGCGACGATGATCTACTTCTGGGTTCCTTTTGCGAAAGATCCTCGGTCTTCGAGAAGCTGCTGATCCGATTTCGAGCTGCATTGAGGGTCTTCTTGGGGTTGAAACCCTGTCCCCAGTTTAGCAGGTTGGACGTATGAGGTCCGGAGGGTTTCTGGAAGGAGGTACTGCGGGGGTACACTTGGCTAGCTCTACCAGCATCAGTCGAGGTTGGTTCACCCGAAAAGTCATCCCAGCGCGTTGGTTTGCCAGAGATAAATCGCCTAGAGCCCTGATCGTTCTGAGGAGGTTGAACTGGTTGAACTGGTTGGACGGGCTGAGCCCGGGAACGAGAAGTATTGTCAACATAGTCTACCTTGGGAATAGGAGTTGGCGATGAGGAGGATCGAGTCTCCTGTCGCGCATAACGAGGGAATTGCTCTCCGTCTCTGATAGGCGAGACACAGAAACTACCTTGGCTTCCCCGTCTTTGAGCTTCAAGAATTGGCGAAACAGCAGGCGAGATGTCTGAGTGTCTTTTATTGATATCATCACGATCCGGTTGTAAAGACGAATGCAAATCGCTGGTTTCCATTAGACGTGTTATTAAATAGGTAGCAAACACAAGACTTACTCAGGGAGAGCGGGCAACTGTTTTGAGAAATCATGCACAGGGTCTGACGTGGTGGGTGGATTGCCGTTCATTATGGGGCCGCTGATCGAGGGCCGTTTGGGCCTGTGAAACGGTCTTTTAGACCACATATCGATTTTCTCACGCTCTAGGCGTGACACAGGGCTACTTTTGGTCGGAAAAGAAAGCGCAGAGTTCACATAAAACGATGGATAAGTTTAAGTCACAATAGAAAGGACGAAAGGAGATGAAAAGAGTTAGAAGGATCGCAAAATATGGAAGGTGGTCTATCTTCTTGGCCCCGATGCACGGCCTAACACAGAAGCCTGTGGAATATGTTGTATGAGGCAGGAGAACACAAATTATATAAACGAAAGTGACTTCAACATCTAAGGGGGAAAATGCAGAGAAGAACTAAACAAGGAAATCAGTCTCGATAGAAACATGGAATAACATGGCATTCCGCTAATAGAAGTGGGCGGATTAAAATGGGGGCGATAGTCCAGTGGAGAGAGCCTTGAAACATTTCAGGGACTGTCGGGCGTTTTACGTTTTAAAATCTGAAGTCCGAGAGCCTAGCCTCCAACCAATCCACATGTGAGAGAAGTACGGAGCAGAGTAGGTAGATATTTTTCCTAAATATAAACTTGAGAATCCAAAGAATGAAAGAGAATGTCCAGATAAAGTCCAATCACGTGGAGCGGGGATGTCGATGTCATCCCGAGCTTCCGAACTTCCCAAGGTTTCCATCTCCAAATTCGATATTTGCCTTCATGGGTATGTGTACTACGTTGCTCATGATCTGAACACCCACTAATATAGACACTGTAGATAATTCTGCGCCACAAGCCGAAGTGTTCGTGCCCACCCTCGATCTCATTCGATACGGAAGATGAGACTCAAACCTAACTAACCGTTCGCTACCCAACAGAATGTCTATCGCCTCGCCGATCAACCTGGTTTTAGTCTCCCTCTTTGGAGTCTTAGTGTACTGGCACTTCCGTCCCAAGGCACCAATCGTTCTCCCCCGTGCCCCACCGCCAACCGTCTTCAAGACCTACACTCCCAAGACTCTGATTGAGTTCAACGGCGAGGAAGGCCGCCCCGTTTACCTGTCCGTCCGCGGCCGCGTTTTCGACGTCACCCCTGGAAGGAACTTTTATGGGCCGGTATGTGTTTGGAATTCGGGAAAGAGCACCGGGAAGCGCTGTTGGAGCTGAAGCTGACAATACGATCGATACAGGGTGGAGCTTACGAGAACTTTGCTGGCCGGGATGCCTCGCGTGGCTTGGCTTTCCAGAGCTTCGATGAGGAGATGCTGACCAAGGACCTGTCAGCGCCGCTGGATGATCTGAAGGATTTGGATGCGGAGCAGCTAGAGAACCTACAGTCGTGGGAAGAACGCTTCTTGGAGAAGTACCTGGTTGTTGGAAAGTTGGTAGCTGAGGGTGACCCCGAAGCTCCTGCATCATAGGTGCGCAACAAAAGGATCGGGTGGATTCATATCTTGGAAGGTGTGTACGACAATGGCCGATATCTAGCGTTCACAAGGAAGCGTGAGCTCGGAAAATACGAGGGTTATGTGATTTATTTTTTTTCGGTATCAATTCAAAAACGGCGCAACCAAACCTCAGGTTTATCTGGAATACTATCTAAGCCCATGAAATGTAACCCAGCTGGCCAACGTGATAACAATAAAGCACTCGAAACCCCGGATCACGCTCTATACCGAACATTCGAGTCCCGGAAAACGAGATTACTACATAGCTAGGAAAAATTTGAGTAGGCCCGCGATATCTGTCGAATCATCAGATGCAAGGCATCCTGACGATCCCTTCAACGTGTCCCATTTGCGTTATTCTTGATTAACCAGAGTATCCATTCCATTAGATTTTAAGGACTTGGGAAACACCAATGAAGTTCCAAAAGTTTTCTTGGGGGCAAGGGAATCCCTGTTCTGCTTTGGAAGACAACTATCTTATTGCTGACATGAGGTTGGTAAAAGAGGCCAAACCGCCAGTACGTTTTGACTTTGTACATATTCGGGGCATCCTATTTAGGCTAAAAAGGCACTCGAGTCTAGCATAAGAGTAGAGTCTATCTTACCAAGAGCTCTAGTGAAAAGCTGTACTTCTCGAAATTATCATGCATGACTTTTCATTAAGTAAGCCAATTCTCCGCTTGCTGAGGATACTTCAACTTCGGGCTGCAATTAAAACAGTGATTTTTTTAGTATTAGCAAAGGCTCAGGTATATCATAGATAGAAGGAGATCATACTTCACTGTCAGGGCCGAATGCCCCGAAAGAAACGGGAACAATATGGGTTGCTTCTAATGGGCCCATGAGACCTTTGAAATTTTTGTCACAGCGAGATTGCACTTCATCGTACATTCCCGCCACAACGCACTGCCAATTGTCTCGTTTCTTCACATCAGGCGGGAAAATGTCACCCCTAGAATGGGGCTCGGCAAGCTTTTCCTCAAGGCTAGTTGCTTAGTTGACTTGCCCTGAGCTCGGTGAGGATAAATGTTGAGACTGCCGACTTGTTACTGTAAAGTTTAATATTCTTAACAAGATAATAATAACCATTTGGATCACAGTGTCGAGTATAGACGAACATACGAGGCAGAACCAATCATGGCTTTACATAGATATATATCTGGTCAATGCATGCATTGTCACACGAATGATGCATGATATTGTTGGCGAGTGCATCTTGACAGTGGGGACTCAGTCAAGAAAGCATTTCAAGGTATTGCTTCTTTGTCTTCTCTTTGTCTTGCTCTTTGTCTTGCTCTTTGTCTTGCTCTTTGTCTTGCTCTTTGTCTTGCTCTTTGTCTTGCTCTTTGTCTTGCTCTTCGCCTTCCGGGACCTAGTTATCAAGGTTGAAACCACTGCCACTTTGCGAGCATCCCATGAACCGGTAATCAAAGATGACCGACCGTTCACTAAAAGTAGACATGGCTCGCGATTGATACGAGTAGATCGGCGGGAGGATATATAGTAGGTGCTTTTCTCTTCGGCATGACGTATGAGGTGGACCTTGGAAATGATTTGATTGGATGGAAGGGGTGAAAGGAGTGAAAGGGTCGGGAGTATCCACTGGATCTCCCCGCATAGCAGCATGTACCTAGGTATGTAAGTAACAGCGAGCTACATCGGGTTAACGAGATCATCATCATATCCACTGGATACCGAGAACATGCCACGTATCCATAACAATCAAGGCCTTTCCGAATGTCTTTCTGATTCTCTTTCTAGCGATCCGGGTGAGTTTACTTGAGAGTATTGTTTTTAGATCTTTAACGAGTACATGTGTATACCTGAGACTTTATAAAGATAGAAATCTCTCCAAATTAACTACATATGTACATACTACCTAAAATATGTATGTATTACTATAGCATTGGTACGGTCAACCTTATGCCAACCTTGGAATCTCCTGAGGTCAGGGCTAAGGTTTGTTCACCACACTTTCTTCCTCACCGCCATCTTGGCTATCGATAACGACATCGAATATACTGCCGGTCTAATACGCACGTGCCAAAAAAGACGCCCGCTAATTGGCTAAAGCCTACCGCCTACTGTAGTGTAATTAAGTTGTCGAGAGATCAAGAGGTTCACTCTTCCAATTCATCTAGAACTGCTGTCTCATCAGGTTTTCATCAACCCGCTTTATTCTGCTTGATTTAAATCTAGCTACTGTAGCTGCAGTTACAGCAGATTCTCATCATGCCGGATGAGTCGAAGGGAAAGAGCTTCCCCGACGTCTCGGCGAAACTCTCTGCGCTTCCTAAGAAATCGCTTTTTGAGCGTCAAAAGGCTGAAGCGGAAGCCAAACGCGCTCGGGAAAAAGCAGAGACAGCTGCAGTCTATGAGGAATTTGTCAAATCTTTCGAAGACGAGGATCCAGTTCTACCTCAGTCATTGGATGGATCGAATACATTCAGAGGCAGGGGTGGTGGTCCTCCCAAGCGTCATTTCGCAGCTTCCTCTTCGCGTGGCAGTGGCCATGGACCCTTGGCCCCCCCTCCACCTTCACTTTCGCAAAAACGTCCTCACGAATCTTTTCCCCTCTCTCGTCGCGACCAACACAAATTTGAAAACAGGCCTACTTCACCTGAAGCCGACAGAACAATGGATGATGAGGAGAGGGCAGCTCCCAAACCCACGTTGTATCTCGCATCGCTTCCTCCGGGGACATCTCCGTCAGTGGTTAAGGCATTGATCCCATCGACCCTGAGTGTGGACAATGTCAAGATTATCACCCCACCTGGACAATTGCCAACCCACCGGGAGTCTTCTTCTGCTCTCGTCACTCTCGCAAGTGACTCGGCATCCTCTCATATTGACACGGCTGTGAGCAGTTTGCAGAACAAATATCTTGGGTGGGGGTACTACCTGACCCTCTGTCGACATCTTTCCTCTGCTGCGATCAATCCAAACGTGCCTTTGCCCCTCAGTCTCCCGTCGACTACTACTGCTCTTCCATTTGGCGCCACGCCTATTCCAACCAGTTCCGGTACAAGCTTGAATCGAGCTCCACCGCCAGGACTACACCGTGGGGGATTCGCACCTCCAAGCTCATATGGATCGAGCGTCGGTAAAAACGCCCCAACCACTCAGGTGCAGGTGAAGATACCGACCGACATAAGACAATTAAGACAGATACACAGGACAATTGAGTATCTCATCAAAGAAGGCCCTGAATTCGAGGCATTAGTGATGAGTCGACCAGAAGTCCAGATGGACGAAAAGTGGGCCTGGTTGTTTGATCCAAGATCGCGTGGTGGTGTGTACTACCGCTGGAAATTGTGGCAACTTATCACGGATCCCAAAAGAAAGAACATTGACAAGCCGGCGATAATCTTCGAAGGCGGTCCGATCTGGTTACCCCCAAAGCATCGACTCAAGTTCGAGGGTGTTACTCGCCTGGACCAATTTGTGACACACCCAGACTACAACTCATCTGACGAAGAGCACTCGGATGGGGAATACGAAAGACGGAATCTTGGTGGAGCACCTCCGGGCGGAAGCGACACAGACAGCGATGTCCCTAACTTCTTGGGCCCCTACAAATTTGCCAAGCTTACTCACCTTTTTGCACGACTTCCGACAACTTCTGCAAAGCTCCGACGAGGAGATGTTGCGCGAGTTACAGCATTTGCCATCGATCATGCCACGATTGGGGCGCCTGAGGTTGTCGAAATGGCTATTCGAAACGTTTCCCGGCCACTAGCCTATACGGGAGCCAACCCAATGTCTGACCTGGAAAAGAAAACTGCCAGAATAACAACCACAGACAAGGACGGCGCAACATCATCTGAAGAAGTGTTGGATATGTCCTCGGCCCAGCTGGTTGGCCTCTACATAATTTCCGATATTCTCGCAAATTCCGCAAATAGTGGCATGCGCCATGCATGGCGATATCGCCAGCTATTCGAAAACTCCCTCCGCTCAAGTAAGGTTTTTGAAGACCTTGGAAGACTCGAAAAGGACCTCAAATGGGGACGAATGAAGGCAGAAAAGTGGAAGCAAAGCGTTGGCGCCCTTTTACGTCTGTGGGAAGGGTGGTGTTGTTTTACGCAATCGGGAATAGAGCATTTCATGAAAGTGTTTGAAAAGCCACCGCTTACAGAAGCTGAATTACAGACACAGAAGGAGACAGAGAGGGTCCATGCAGAACAAGCTGCTGTTGCATTTGCTAAAAGCAAGAGTCGATGGAAGACAGTTGATGATGAGCGGGGTGGAAAGTTTGATCCTACTCGCCCTGTGAATGAGAATCAGCATTCTACCTCTGTCCATGCAGTGGATGAATCCGCGAATGAAAAAGATGGCACTGCGATGGAAATTCGAGACCTCAAGAATATTGATGGGGAGTTCATGATCAAGGCGCCGTTATCGGGAGAAGAAGATACCCAAACCGAGACTCCCCAGCAGCTACCTCACTACTCACCTCAGCACCCAACTCAATTTGACCAATCCGAACAACCTTCTGGGCAGCAGGAGCCAGAAACACGTCGACGAAAGCCACGGCCCAAAGCCGAAGATATGTTCGCATCGGATTCGGAGTAAGCTTGGGCATGATTGTAATTGTACAGATTATGGACAACATCGGATGATAACTGAAAGATACATGTAATGAATAACAATGAATGATTATTATTATTTAAAACACTTTCTTGTATACATATGTAGATAGAGACAGTTAGTTATAGTTACTTAAGACCTGCAAGGTAGAGGCTCTTGGGCGATCAATACAACATAAGGCAGCCAGGCATCATCGGCAGAACATTTCCATTTCCTGCCCCACAACCCCTCATCAACAAATACATTTCTTCTTTCGCGCTCAACTCCCTGTACCCTTCAAACACAGTCGCATCACCTTTTTCTCATTTATTCCAAATCCAACAACTTCTTCAAAATGGCTGGTATGTCTTTCTATCCTGTACTTGGCTCATCTATGCCTCTCCCGGAGAGGAGAGGTCTGATCATTTGGATCCCAGACAGTAGTGTGTGACTATGTTGCGCAATGCGATGGGGAATGACGAAGGAAACAATGTGAACACAAAGATGAGAAATTGGCTAACAAACTTGGTGATTTATACAGACTTCAACGCTATTGCCCGTACGTTATACCCATACTTTCCTGGTTCATCTACACGGATCCAACAATGCGCCTGTTCCCAACGATCCTGCCATCCCAGGTGGAAATGATGCCTCAAGAGATGGGTGTCATATTACATACAAAGAATCATGCCCTAACATGTGGTCAACCTATACAGAGCAGTTTGTGCAGTTCTACTACCAGACTTTTGATGGAAACCGTGCTGGCCTGGCCGGTCTCTACGTAAGCCCCGCTCTCGAGATATCCTTACAAGTGAAATATATGAATATAGACTAACCGCGATTATCAACGAATAGCGCGACCAGTCTATGCTGACCTTCGAGACCAGCTCAGTCCAAGGTGTCGCTTCCATCACTGAGAAGCTCAGCGTTCGTCAACCCCCAAATCCTGACCCATGAGGGTCAATATGAGAAGAATGTTCCAATACTGATTCTGCAACTTAATTTCATAGGCTCTGCCCTTCCAGAAGGTTCAGCATCAGATTGCCACCTTCGACGCTCAGCCCTCCAGCGCAGATGGTATCGTTGTGCTGGTTACCGGTGCTCTCCTGGTATGTTGAATACCCATGATTTCTCTCATGTTCTTAGCTAATATCATCTCTTACAATAGGTCGACGAGGAGCAGAAGCCCATGAACTACACCCAGTGCTTCAAGCTGCAGCCCGATGGTGCCGGAAGCTACTTCGTCCTCAACGACGTCTTCCGCCTGATCTACAGCGCTCAGTAGATTATGGGCCCTTAAACAAATACCACGACGCGATGACGGGGAGATGTGCTTTCTTGTGAAGGATACGCCTTGGGGAAACAGGGTGGAATGTCTGTCGTTCTGTCGCAAGTGAGACCCCTCGACTTGCGATATGCCCACCAAAGAATTTCATAAGAATTTATTTTTTGGATCACCAATCATTCTAGAACTGTATGGGATTCTACTAAGCTACGATATAAGCAATATATAAAACCTTGGAAGCAACAAGCAGCACATCTGTTACACGCACATCACTGGCTTTGAAGCAGCGGCGTCTCCTCGGATGGTCGCTCCTCATGCGCAGATTCTTGCCGGGCGCCCTCACCAGCATGAGCCGACCCATTAGGCGCCCCATTCTGATCACCCAGCTGCCCGACTTCTCGCTTGTTTTTGGAACCGAAGAACTCGAAATAGATTGCCATCGCCAACAAAGTACCCTGCAAGCAGGCCGTGACAACTAGCACACCCCAGATACTCCAGCCACTCCAACCCTTGCGGGCAGCCAGGCTACCAGCCCAGACAAGACTCCCCGGCGTCTGGATGCACATCATCGGAATACTCAAGCTTCCAACGCATCGCAGCCGGAAGGTGGTATAGATCTGCGGGAAGTACTGGATCGACGCGAGGATTGCAGCTAGGACACCGAGGAAGTTTGCCCAGGCTGCAACAGCGGCCGGCTGGCGCAGCTCGAACGCTAGGGAAATAATGATCGTAACGAGTGCGTGCAGTAGACATAGCCCCGTTATGACGAGTGCGGTGCGGTATGTCGGTCCGCTGGAGGTGGAAGACACAGCGCTCACTGGGTCTGTGGGGGATGTGGCGCGCGGGAAGTAGATCACGAATAGTAAAAGACTAGATACGGTTAGATAAGCTCGGTTTGGTGTTCGGTTGGGAATTCGGGATCAGAAATCACTCAGCACTTTGTTCGACTCACATGGAAAAGAAACAGAGCCATTGCATGGCCACCTGGAATACTCCCAATAGCCCTGCGAAACATGCGATCCCGCTGATCTCCTGGCAGCAGGCGACATCTTGCGCGGTGGAAGGGAATACTAGGATATTGGCAAAGGCCGATGTCCCTGATGTTACCCCTAGGAGGATGAAGTATGGGGAGATGCCGAAGGAGCTTCGTCGGGAGATGATGCGGATGTGTTGGGGGAGGTATGAGAGGAGGATGCCGAGGATAATTAGGCTATATAGTACGTCAGTGACTCGGGACTGTCATATTTGGTTCGGGAATGCATACACAGATAGCACAGTTTGGAAGACGCCTGGCGAGGCCAGCTCGCGGCAGTAGGGTGTTAATGAGTCCATTGTTGTTGTGTCTTGAGGTACAATGTACCTAGGAAGCTCAGGTGAGGAGGTCGGGGTTCGGGAGCTCGTGACAACAGTTGATTACACCAGTTCGTCACACCAGAGATTTGAATTCTCTTCACAAAGATGAGAGGCAAATTGTTATTCTAAAAAGGAATTCCCAAGCTATTATAACCTTGAGTACTCCGTACGTCGTTGGCCACCCCTCTTTGCCTTTATGCCTTTATGCCTGAGTGCCTGGATGCCTTAAATAGTTTGCTATTCCCAATTAGGCTTAGTGTCAAATGCTATACCTCCAGAGCTACCTACGATATACACATCGTAGACACAGGTGTCGGCAAGTGTGGTTGAAATATCTGGTCTGGTTAACCAGAATTTGGAGAGGACAGAGAAGAATAATCAGATTTATCCACCTTGCAGACAATGCACGATTCACTAAATATGAGATTTTCATCCAATTTGGTTGTCCAAAGGCTCTTGGCGTCGAAGTTGTAACGCACTTTCAATTGGTCTCGATCACCAAATGTGGGGAGGATCAAGCTCATAATACGGAGTACTATTGATCTAGAATAATCTTTTTGAGTAATTGCGGATGTTCTCGGCGTAGACGCCAACCAGATTGGATCGGCGGGTACAATCCGCAACGGCGGGGAGGTTTCCGCCATATTAGCAATGTCTGTTTAGATAGAGAAGACCTAGAAGGGGGAAGGAGCAAGAAGGATTTTCTGAAGTTCTAACCAAAGAAAGTACTAATAGTACTACTAGAGTGATCAATTCTAGTAGTAACTATAGTATTTTTAATAGCTTTCTTTAATACTCCGTATAGTGGTATTTATATAATAGAGGTTTTCTTTCTTATTTCCTATAGCAACAATCCTTTTCTTTTATGTATATAAATAAGCTTTATTTTTCATAAATAAAGCTATAAGATCTGATAACTGGTGAATACTAATAAGATTTATACCTAAATTAAGTATAAAATATATATTTCTTAAAAAGTATATATAACCAGTATTCTACACGACGGCAAGCGGGGGGCCGAAAACCGCGCCCATTCGCCCGCCGTTCTGCGGTCCCCAACCGCCTGCCTGGCTGCGGCATCCTGCTGCCCCTTCCGGCATGGCGTCCCGCTGAGGTGGCCCGATCGGGACTAGCGCCGCAGTGGCCGCTTTTATCACCCGTTCCTCGACCGTCCCCATCTATAAAACACCGCTCGCCCTCCTTCGACTTGTCCACGCACTTTCTCTTCTGCTTCCCACTCTCTCGACTCCCCTTTCTCTTTTCGCCCCCACCGATCCATGCGCATTTGCGCCCCGAAATGACCTCGCAGATTGGATTTCGTCGGACTTGCCGCTGGACCCGCCGCCGCTCAGCCCCGTCCAGGGCCGCGTCGACTGCGATGGCATCCAGTCGGTCAGGGGTTGAAGCGCTGAGATGACACCCTTTTCGGCCATTTCACGTGAGTGTATGCACGATATTCTACTTTTCAAGTGATTAGTGTGGTTGATCATGGTACAGAGCGCCTCGTAATGCCCTTTGTTCTCTGAGCCTTCGTCGCCGGACATTCCTCTACGTTGTCCGCGTTTCTCCAGACCTCCTTGGCACCGGACCCATTCGTCCGCATGTTTGTTGCCGAAGTTACATCGCACAGCCCCCGGTGTCGCAGATTCACCTGTATCTGCTCGTCCGTGAGTCTTGTGGCGGCCAATCGTCACCGTGGTAAGTCTCACCGGCCCCGCTGCAATGAGGCGGGTGATATTGGACAACTCAGCTCGGTACCGTGAGCCAATAAAACGTTTATACATGAAGGCAAACCATGAAGTGAAGATTGAACCAAAACTGCGTTTGCTATTTGTCCTGCTCTAGCGAGTGAAGACCTGCATGGCACTTCATGCTGGGATGGTGGAAAAAGAAGAGAGCTCGTGAGAGCCTATATTCCGTGTGGTTCGTATGTCCGACAGCGTATTGCGAACATCACCGGAAAATGCAGAGCATGATGATGGAACGAATAGGTGTTGTTGATTTGGGATATTTGATGGCCTGGTGGAGAATAGACTTATCTCGTGGGACATGCTACATGGCTCAGAGTCACTAGCTAGGCTGCAATTGACAGTGGTTGTATTTCTAGAGAATTGAGCCAGATCGTGTGATCTTGGGTTTAGCACGATCTCAAGCTCTTCTGGGATATGTTGAAGTTGCATGAATGAAGGATCTATCTGACTTCTCTGGGGGTTTGCTTCAGCACGAGGAAATGTGGAGAATGTCGTGAGTTCATGAGAGTTTATGCTGGGGTAAACAACATCGCTAGGTTGGCAGTTCGTCGTTGCATCCGGGTCATCATCTGGTTCAGGCTGGTTGTCCACAGGCGGTACATGAGTTGGAGCCACTGGCCCATCGCCGGCTTGAGAAGATGTCACATGTGCGAGTGAATTGGTGTCTCTCCTCCTTCGTTTCATTGTTTGTGAGATCATTTCAAAGTCTCCACTTAAGTTCTCAAACCACTGTGAGATACACCGTGCTGATACAAGAACAACATTTCTCTGGTCACTTTGACTGTCAATGATGACCTCAGAGCTTTCGCATTCCTGCAGCAAGGATTTTGCGAGTCTTGGTAATTCCGAAGCTGAAAGAGCTTGAAATAGACCATACTCGAAAATTGTGACAACGGCCAGGATTCCTTTGGCAGCATCATTTTGGTCAGACAAGGTGGAGTTATCGTTCAGCCACTTAAGAAAAAGAAGTTGGTTCGTTCCTCGCTGAATCCCCTTTCGCAAGGCATTGTGGTCTGATTCAGGGTAGCCGTGTTCTCTGGCAAATCTTGTCATTTTGCCAGCAGTTTTTGGAGGACGGGCCCCCATCCCCCTGAACCCGCGTCCTCTCCAATCAATTCAACCTCGTCAATTATATTTAACTGATTCCTGTTCACGTTTATTCCCCATTGCATACTAACCCTTACTGTTCTGCACAAGTTGCTCAGATTGATTCTCAAGTGTCTCGTGATGGTGCCTGGTGCGCAATGGGTTCAACGAAGATAGACTAACCACTTGTGCGTCTCCACGTCTGGCGTTGTGGCTACCGTTCAAATAAACGTAGATAGGACATCATAGAGATCATTCCTGGGTGCCGTAAATATGTCTTATCTCGTTGCAGGTCGTGCTAGGAAGTTGACGCATCTAAATGGGTAGCTTGCTATGTGCCCCGTACAGCTGTCGCATTTGTTATTGCCAGAGATGCAGTTGCCCCGTAGGTGCTATATTGACGTTTGTTATTCATTTGACAGCTTGTTATATGTTTCTTGTGGTAGTAGAGAGTTGGCCCTGGCTCTTGTCTTTTGGTGGGCCCGTGCACTACAGTGAAGTTGCGTCCGTGCTGAGTAATGCGGATGCTAGCTGCTTGAGAGTTCGGTGAGTTAACCCTGGGTACGCTGGTGCCAGATTATAAGACCAGCTTTGGAGTAGCCTCGAAGTCATCTGCTAGAAGATGCGACACATTTCGAGATTTTTTGGTCGACCCTCGAAGTCAATCCCCAGGAGGATGTCTTCTTTGCGTGGTAATCCTGACCTGTTTGAATACACTTCTGGGCGATTTTTGTGAGTCGTGGCGGTTCGCTGCTGAACGCGCTAATAAGCTGACTTTTGCGATGGCTTTTGCGTTGAACTAACGAGCCGCGTTTAATAGATTTAACGAAGAGCTCCGCCGCGCCGAACGCCGTATTCAATTCGACATAGATGCTCTTGCAAGGACGGCCTGCCATTCTGTCGGACGCAACCTCAATGGTGTAGCCTCGATCACGAAACTTGCCGAGGGGGGCTTCAACCGTGTCTTGCAAATCACCTTCGACGATGGATATACAATTCTTGCAAGACTGCCTTACAAGACGACTGTTCCAAAACATTATGCAGTAGCCAGTGAAGCTGCTACACTCGCGCTTCTGCTTGCTCATGGGGTCCCCGTCCCTAAAGTCCTTGCGTATTCTCCAGACCAGACAAATCCTGTTGGAACCGAATACATTCTACTTGAAAGACTTGAAGGAACACCCTTGAGCGACCGGTGGTTCTCTATGGATAACAAAACTCGGGTTAAAATAATAAGACAGATTGTTGATATAGAGAGACGTTTCATGAGTATTCACTTCCCAGCAAGCGGAAGTCTTTATCACCGCCATGATCTTGACAGCTCACAACACGTCATCCCAGTCTTAGACGATATTGTCGTTGGCCCAACTGCACAACATGAATGGTGGTATCAGGAACGGGCCTCTTTAGAGGTTGACCGCGGCCCATGTGAGTCGCTATCTGTGCCTTTTCTTTACAAAAATTGACTTCGAACCAGGGAATACCTTTTCTATATGCTTTGAAGCACCGGCTAAGCGCGAGCTAGAATTCTGTGAACGATTTGGTAAACCACTCCTACATATCGAAAGATACCTACGAGAAATACACCAGTTCCAAAAGCTCTCACCTATTCTATACCAACAGCTCCTCACCAATTATTTGAAGTTAGCGCCTTACCTCGACGTCCCCTCCGACCACCGTATATCTCGACCGACACTTCGCCATCCAGACTTTTCACCTAATAATATCATCGTAAATACCTCCAACGATGTGGTAGGGATAATTGACTGGCAATATACAGTTATTCTGCCTCTCTGCCTATGCGCTGGAATCCCCGATCATTTTCAAAACTGGGGCGATCCAATGTCTGAGATATTATCTAAGCCAGAGGTCAAGTTGCCAGAAAATTTTGATAAACTCAGCCACGAGGAACAAGAAACTATTCAAGAGACGATACGGAGACGGCTCGTCCACTTTTATTATGCTGCGTTGACCATGAAATCCCTTCCGGATCATTTTGACGCACTCAGGGCCGAAAATTGTATGCTTCGAGCGAAGCTTTTTCACCATGCACTGGCTCCCTGGGAAGGAGACTCTGTCTCGTTGAAGTATACCATGTTACAAGTTCTCAAAAATTGGCCTATGTCGCTTGATGAAGGAGCACGGACGAGATCTGTTGGGTGCCCTGTTCACTTTTCCAAGGAAGAGATACAGCAATGTTCCGAGGATTATCGGCAAGAACAAGAGAAGTTGAAGGAACTGGGCGAGATGAGGGAACTAATCGGGACAGATGCCCTTGGCTGGGTGTCAGATGAAGATCAGCTTAATCGGTGCAGGGCCATCATCCAAAGTATCAAGGATGGGCTGATGGAACATTCAAGCACTGAGATGGAGAAGATAGCGGTCCTCTACCATTTTCCTTTCGATGATCATGAGGAAAATTCGTGATTAATTTTATAGTAATGATTCACCTCTCGATTTTAATCCGGTTTCTACGTGGCTTTAAAGCACAATTAATTTGATACCGATATTGTCTGCATAACCAAGTAAAACACCATAAGCTGGTCGCATTTAGATCATGTACGTCTACGCCAACCAACGCCAAAGTGAAAGGGCCTCTACATGAACGGATACAGAGAGGCACAGCCGCTGCTCTCGAAAACAATACTCCTCGTTCGCATAGCCGTAGGGAGCTTGCACCAGACTGAAGAAAATGAAGAGCAACCGCATATAGGCAGAGTGTAAGACAAAATGTGGCCCTTTTGCCCTATGCCTTCGGGTTCGTTACTATCTTCTGGGTCAAAATCTACAGTCGTCATGTTTTGGCTTTGGGATAGAACTGTTTAGGTGTCCATACTGGTAAGTTGCTCATATCAATGTCTATCTAAACTGTCACTACCTAATAACCACCTACGTGACGCCAGTCTACGCCAGAAAAACACCGTGGGGAAAGGGGATTACATGGGGTTCCCAAGAGGTCAAAAAGTTAGCAGGCGATTGTCGGGGTTTGTCGCCCATTTCTCCAGGTTGGCCAGACTTTCCTTGGCAAAAGATATCGTGGTTTTATGTTGATTCACGTTATGAAGACAAAAATGGCACGGTTAAACGCCCTCGCAAAACTGTCGTCACCATGTGGGCCGCCTGCTCTTTGTCACAAATGGGGTGGGAAGGGAAGTCTTTCTGAGCAAACTTGTTAATTAAAGAATGTTCCAACGCTTTTTAGTTATTGACTGTTGTAGACAGGTGAATAGCGCGAAAGTCTACAGTGCAGTTTTAGTTCAAATCGCCCTTTGGCTGTTGCGAATGATGGTATTCCAGACGATCGGGGACCTTCGTTTTACAGTTGCACAGCAAAAGTTTGGGACCGTCCCAAGTGTCGTGGCTGATTCCTAAAGCAACACATGTATGCCTCTGACCGTCGCTGAGGCCCCTGCAAGTGTGCTGCTTGGAGTGCTTTCATGTGCTTGTGGTGACTGCTTACCTAGCACGTCCGGCATCGGAACGTCTTATTCAGCAGACACATATTTGCTTTCTGTTTCCCCCAGACTAAATGACCAATTCGTTTTCATATTTCGGACTAGGACTTCGTAAGACATCCTTAAATTAAGCTCCCCTGGGACATATATAATGCGCACTAACGTAATTGCCGTTTAGATTACAACATTCAACATTCAACATCCAACGCCGTGGAAAACAACATCATGATCATTTGCCACGACGAGCAGAGAGAAAAACAGAGGCCCTGCTCGCCACCCTACTGGTGCTCCAGGCCTTCCAGTCAATGGTAGGTACACTCTCATGACTGGCAATTGTTGTATCTTTGATCCACTGCTGGACTTGTTTCTTACTGATCTGTTTGGGGAATTGAACGTCAGTCAGGAGCCCGTCCACTACTCCGTCGAACTTGCTGCAACAAGCAATGGTGCTCCTGCAGTTGTATAGATTATTTGTATAGATTATACAAAATAAATGCATCCAACGTAAAGGATTTATTTCGTCTGCAGACTCGTCAGTGGAATTAACGAAACCAAGGCAATTACAGAAACCAACATTTTCTTCCCTGTTTCCTCGCTGCAAAGGAGAATGAACCCACGCCCCAGGTAGGACCCAGACCACCACCACCGCTCCCCAACGGCTTTATACTCATGGAAAGACATTCGGGTCTTGTCCGCTTTCGCTTTGGAAAGAGATCCTGTGCCACAAATAATATTCGTGGCTCGGGTTTTCGCAGTCTGAAACTCAAGAGAAGGTAGCTAAACGACTGAGGCAGAGGATTTTTATTCTTCCTCTTGAGTCCTCGGTGGCTAACTTTATTTATCATTCCCTAGCACGAATTGTAGGAGGTCTGCCCACCGTGTGCACCGTGTGCGATGAATATATATCTTTCTCCGAACCAGACACGTGCTGTAGCACCTAATCTATACTACAGTACTCTGTACGACGTTCCAAGTTTTGTCCTTTCATACCTTTTCTGGATCCAATGGTTTCTCTCACGCACAGTCAGGTAGAAACACTCTCGCCGAAGTATTACTTACTCTACATCGCCCAGGCAATAGATCGCATACGCTGAACTCACGCAGTGTTGGGACGACGAAGACCCTCATTAACGAGGTCAAACGAGTTCGTTGATTTAATTCTTCCCCCAGACTGACAAGATTAAGCGGTTTGGGTCGCGAAGGCACGGATATAGTGATTATAACCACTATAAATTATAGGACTATAAAAGGCAAAAATACCTGTGGTCAAGGGATATCACGATATATAAAAATAAGTTTTTAGAAAATCCCTATAAAAGTCCTAATAATAAAGAGCTAATAAGCTCTAAAAGTAATATAGATCCTATTAATAATAAGGTAATAACTAGAGGAGAAACCTCTAGAATAGCCTCTAATCCTAATTATAGGATAGAAGTGCAGATACCTAAGTTATATAATATAAAGGATACTATATGAAGTTTTCGATTTGGTCTGGAGCTGCCAGAAACGGCGTCAAGTGACGCCGAAAATGGCGTTGTTGGCCCACGAGTTTGATGCCACGACCCAGCAGCGACTCGCCCACGCACTTACTAATTCCAGCCGACCCACCCCAACACGCCGCTCGGGCCCCCTGGGCGTATCGTTCATGAGTCTATTGTACATGAGCGACGCGCCCGTATCCGCCGCAGTTCCTCTTAGTCCCTGGTCGCCCACTGCGTACGCTCCGCTCACCTTCTCCTCCCCCCTGTAAATCCTATCATATTAAGATAATATTCCATAAATAGGTGAACAAAGCGATTGCTGGCTCTGTGCCAGTTGCTTTCTATAAATGGCTTCCCGACCTCTTCCTGTCAGAACGGTGATACTCTTCTCCAAATAAACCATCGTCACTCAGAATTATTTTACACTCATCTTCAACTGTCAAGTTGTGCCCCCGGTGTGGATTCTTCCACATCGCAACATTTGCCTTGTACCGTATGTTCCCTGCTGCCTTTTCCACACTTGCATACGACTGACATAAAAAGATGGCGCGGCGTCGGAGTCGCCGTGATGATGAGAGCCCTTGCTCTGAATCATTTCGCATAGACTCAGACATCAGTAATTCTGACACAGAAACCGATATCTCAACTCCGGAACCCCTTTCTTCGTCATTGCGTTAAGCCCGTTCTCGTCATTCCCAAGCTGGCGAACGCGGCCCCTGTCGAGCATCATCATATAGTTCCAGCAGCGCATCCGGTGACGAGGGAATTTCTGCTAGCTACAAGTGGCGATCAAGGAAGCCAAAATTATGGAAGACGTCAAAGGCCGGGACCACGATCCATGAACGGAACTCTCAGCAGAGTCCAGATTCCAGTTCCAGCTCCAGTTCCAGTGATACTGATGAAGAAGATTCTGCGACGGATCCTGATATTGAGTCTGATTATACATCGTCAGATAGTGAGGACGATGGGTATGCGGATGGGACTAAGGTAAACATAGCGCGTATGCGCAATCGTTGGGAACAGTATGTCAAAAACCAGACTAGAAGGGGAGTAGAATTCGAAGCTGACATCCACCAAAAGATACAGTCGGAAGCAGCACCAGAAGGACCAGCAATCCCCTGCTTCTAAGTGGGCTGACCCAAATATTGCACTTCGAGCTGCAGGGAAAAGGGAGTTCACGCTGTTCCTCCGTTGGTGTCTCCGGTTACGGCGCGGCAAGAACGGGCGACGATCGAAAGGAATTAGAAAGGCTAGTACTTTGGACACGTTCTGGAAAAATTTTCTTCGCCATTATGAGCAAATCAACGGAGACCCAATGCACGACAAGCTTGGTCGCCGAATGAGAAAGGTGGGGTCGAATTCTATTTCTAGGTCTTTGGCTAACGATCGGCTCCGAAATAGAGTATTCGAAAAATTGTGAAGCGACAGGATTTAGACACCGAAGAAAAGGAAAAGACTCCAATGTATATTGAGGACTTAGTGCCTTTGCAGGAGACAGTGCTTCGCACAATGGAGAAGCGATTCAACATTGGATTTCAAAGGATACAGCAGTGTCTCTATAACCTGATGGCATGCTTTACTGTGAATCGAATCAATGCAATGCGCCATCTACAGTATAAGCATCTGCAGTGTTCAATTCAGCGTGATCCAAAAGACGGACCACCCAGAATCTTACTTGAGATTACCTACAAATACCTTGGAGTGACCCAGGGGTATGAATCAGTTTATGTCTTATTTCTCATCTCAACTTTATGCTAGCGTTGTTCATCACGCTCTAACAGTCGACCAGAAACACATTTCTGATTCCAGAGGTCATCTATGACCCGTCGCTTATGCTGAGCCCGCATACGTTTTTACTCGGAATGCTCTTCCACGACGACGCTTTCCGTCCTCCCGGAATCAGATCCATGGCAGACCTTCGACGTCTATTCCTGGAAGGAGGTCGGCAGCAGATGGAAATTCCACTGAAGACCGAGAAAGCCGAACATTACGTGTTTTGCAAAGTTGAAGCGGCCAAGGGGAAAATTGTTTTCCACCGCCACCAGCCTATCTCAGTGGGCTCATTATCCAACCAGCTTCAAACCTTTGGGGAGATTGCTGGATTTAAGTGGAGTCTCTTTACGCACCGCTTTCGGTACGGTGGAGGGACAATCATGAATGAGAGCGGTAAGTTGGCCTTGCCTCAAAGACATAGAATGACGTAAGAAATGAGCAACACTGACTCGCAGTCTGAGACTAGGTCTGGTCAGTGATGCGCAGCAAAATCTGATCATGAAGCATACCGACATCCGGACCTTTCTGAAACATTACCTTCCACGTCGCATTGGTACAGACATGCAGGCCTTGATGCGAGGCTTGGAGCCTGACTCAGCAATGATGCGGGCAGTCACTCGAATGGGGAGGTGGATCGACACTCGACGGCCTCGTGAGCTTACGGACGAGCAGAAGGCAAGTGTAGAAGATACCCCAGAGCTTCAAGAGGCCATCCAGAAACGAGACCGTCTGGCTCAAAAACTGGAGCATAGCGCCAAAACCAGCGACAAAAAGCTAGACCGGCCCCATCAATTGAAAAGAAACGTCACGAATACTCGCAATCGTCTCCTCTACGATCTTCGGAAGCGGGTAAGGGACGAGTTTGACAGTCACCAGGCTGTCATTGACATTGAGCGGCAATTGGCCGGCGGTGCACTTCACGATGAAGAAACCAAGGAAATGCTTCGATCCGAGGAACATATGCTCCCCCAACAGATTTTCCTGTTGGAAAAACTGACAACGTGGCCGACATCAGAGTCCCTAGAGGCGGAGTGGAGGAGGCGAAATGAGGCTGTGGACGCTGTTCGGATGTATTGCGACGTCCGAGAGGGTGGCCCCCGACGAGGTCGACGGTACCCTAAGCAGCCACCCTCTGGCGGACAGGATATTGCAATGAATGATTTTCCAGCTCATCCTTCCACAGCTGCGCAATCGCCATTATCGCCATCACAAGAAGCACTTCGGAATGCAGGGAATCATATTCCAAAAGACGAAAATGACGGGAAGCCCTTGGGATGCTTCCAATGCTTGAAGGTCTATTCTCGACATAAGCATGTTTTGCGTCATTTTAGGGCCACGCATCTGGAAGACCGTCACTGCGACTACTGCAACGAGCCGGTTGAAGATGAAATGGTCTTAAGGAGGCACGCGCAGGAAAACCATGGACTGAAAACCTAGACGAATGCTGTTTCTGCCAGAACATGCTACCCTTTGTTGAAAAAATTGTCTATAAATCCATAGTTACATAGGGATGGTCTTCTGCAATGTGCTCTGTAGCCTTTGACTTGAACGCAGTGCCGCCCGGGTGAGACCCACATCGACCCTCTCAGCTAACGTTGTTGGACTACGTGAAACAACTTCCCAAAATCCGAGCGAAACTCCTACCAATCCTTGGTCTTCTCCACGCGCCGTTGGTGGTAGCGGGCGGCCCTACCCCCTTACCCAAACCACAAACAGTCAGAATTTGAATGCCTAAGGCCGCGGAAAATGGGCCACCAAATCCCAAACCGGCCAATTGGGGGATGGACTAAGCCTTTTCGCATGTCATGGATATCATCGTTAGTATGGAGCAAGGTACTGAATTTTTCCCATATTGTTCCCAGGTCCGTTTGGTGGAAGTCATGTGACATGAATCATCGACTACTGAGATTTTGTAAGGATCGCATGGTTTCTTATTGGATGGTTCTAGCTGCGTAGTATAATGAAATCTAATTACATAATCACTTCCTCGCTAAACCCCCAAGAGAAACCCCTTGGGTGCGCCTTGGTGACTACAGTTGCCGGTGGACCCCCTGGAAAAGCTGAGGGTGACCATCGGCCTCAGGCACCAATTTCACCTCTTTGTTTACCTTACCTTACTGAGCCTAAGGCAGAAAATCCAGTTCTTTGTTTACTTTACAATACATAAAACAGACTCCCGCGTTTTACTCTCACTTGTGTAACCATCCATCCCAACCGGTCCACTTTTTACTACAATGCCTCGGTATACTGGACACGTGAGTTGAATCCGATTTATGAAGATGGAAAGGATGAAATACTGATAAAAAAATGATAATTATAGTCCGCGTACCACTGGTACATTTCACAGCGGTCGAAACTTGACCTGCAGCTGCCTCCCCTTCCTGCCCCCGACGTGAGTGAAAAGTGGAATATTTATTAGTAATTTACTAATAAAGGGATTAGACTCGAGGCTATACTCCCCTGTTCCTTGGCGAACGCTTTTGCCGTGCTCCTGACTGTGCAAAAGAGGTACGTACTAAATTTATTGAAAATTCCTGAGATCTTTAAAAAACTCTACTAGTATTATTGAACATAATACTAGTAAATTTATGGTTTTATCTCTAATCTAACGTATATTCTCTTAGACCCCAGCGACGTCTACGAATAACCTACGAAAGCATTACAGCCAAAAGCACCCGAATCTGATCCTTAACGCGGTAGAAGGAAGACCCACAACTGAGGAAGAGGGTGCGGCTTTGAGTAAGTGAAACTAAAATAAAAGTAAGAAATTTTAGTAGTAAGTTACTAATAAAATTAGGATTTTACGTCAGCCTTCGTGATACGTACGATACCCGGGTCCTTGCTAAACAGAGAGCTGCCGCTATAAATAAGCCAAAAATTCCTCGAAAAAAGGATGGTAGTATTCACCTTACCGATATAAGGAAGAAAGTGAAAGACCTACATGGCCAAGTCCCTTGTGAGCCTTGTAAGGATACCAATGATCGTACTGGTAAGATCTCTTTTCTTAATTACTAGTATTCTTGGATAATTAACTAATAATTAGGCTGCTGTCGTGAGGAAAATATATCCCGTTGCGACAACTTTGACTACTTTGATTCTGATAATCAAAGTGAGCTTAGTGACCCTCCAGAGGAAGAGGCAGAGGAACAAGAGGGGGAAGAGGAAGAGGAGGCGTAGTATACTAGTATTTTTTTTGGAAATACCAGTATTTTTTTCGACAATTACTAGGGAGCTAAACGAAAAATACATAAAAAGGAGATTTCTCTATATTTGGTCTATTTAATAGCGTATTACTAGTATAAAAATAGTAATTTAGTTATAGAAATTTTTCTTCTGTATATATAAATTTAATCCTCTATTAACTGAGCTTCTAATTAGAGAACTAGCTCATTCTCCTGGTCTCTTAGCTGTTCTTGAAGCTCTTGAATCTTCCTCCGGGTTTCTTCAATCTTCTCTTGCTGAAGAGAAAGTGTAGTAGTTCTATAATAGTAAGTTACTAGTATTTTACTAGAAAAGAAATCTCTACTTACCGAGTAGAACGTGTCACTGGACGGTGTTTGATGCTGCTACTACTTGCACGGCTTCGATAACGAGGAGGTGTGCTTGGTATAGCTGCTATTGGTGGATCCAGATTGATGATTTCTGGGATTGTCGGGAGGAAGATTGGGATACTTATATTAGTAAGTTAGTAATAGATAAAGTAGCTAGGAATCTGGCTATACCTTATAGATAGGGCTGATAGGGCTGCTGTAATTAGAGCCTTTTCTGGTGATTTGCAAGGTGGTTTACAAGGTGATTTGCAAGGTGATTTACGAGGTGATTTGTAAGGTGATTTACTAGGTGATTTTCTTTAAGGTACTAGTTAGTTAATAGTAAGTAAATAGTAAAGCTGGATATACCTCGGTGATCTTGTTCGACCCCTAGCTCTTTGAATTGCCTGGCTATTATACCCTAAGGAGTTGAAGCTATAGAGCTCTTGATCTTCGGGTGCAATATCTTCAGAATCAGAGTGGGCGCGCTTTCGTCGTTTATTCTCTAAATTTTTATTAGTAAAATAATAGTAATTTAAAGGTAAATTCTTACCTTCGCGGCGAAGACTGTTGCTAAACCTAGTCCTTATATCATCGGTATAGTAGGAATATCGAATTCCAAAGGTATTACGTGCAAAGTACTGTGAAACGTCGGTTTGATTAAGGACGCGCGACCTAGATAATATTAGTATAATATTAGTAAAAGATAGAGTATATATACTTCATTACTGTATATAAAGTGAGTCCCGTGTGCCTATACGGTATACTTTATAGTGGCTTTGCTCAACTGTATTTGTATAGGACCGGGTTTCTCTAAAGAACTCTGGGTTTATTAGAGAAAGGCTGCAGTATATACCACCTGCAATAACGTCAATTTGCTTATACCGGACCTATCCAGCAAGGTCTAGACAGTGTTCTAGAGAAAGAGGTATTAGTAAAATAATAGTATAATATCAGTTTAATTTTCTTACCTGCTATCAGATTGCAGAGCTTATAGTAGTCTTCCCTACTCTTGCAATCCATTAGACCGATAAGGCGCGCTCGGGCCTCAAAATAAGAGTTATCTGTACGTTCGGGTATCAATTTATTGATTGTACGTAAGAAATGGATTTTACAAAATATAAGAATATACCTTGCGTGCCACCTCCAGCCGAGAATTTGACCATCGATTTGCTCTTAGGCGTTATCAAGAACCTTTCCTAGCGCTTTTACTAGTAAGTAAGTAGTAAGTTATTAGTAAAGGTAGGGAGCTATACCTGCCATCTGTTTCGGGTATATATCAACAACGATAGACTTAATCCCACTACCATAGAGGTAATAGAACTTCACTGGAACGCCAGTAATACGGGTGATTAAATTGAACGCAGCTGCGAACAAAGTAATATACCCTATAGTAGTCTCTTCAGTAGTAAATGTAAAGATATACTGATTTCAGGTGTATGGCCTGTCAACCGGGTAAGACACAATGGTAGGAGAGAGGAACAGATTGTATTTTCCTGATGCTGACAAGACAAGACTAATTCTTGTCAGCCTTCTACGGGGTCCTGGGGAGCCCCGGATTATATACTATGGTACCCCGCTTCTATCACGTGGAGACTATGTACCGATTCACTGTCGGATCACCCCCGTGACCCGACTGCCAAGCCTTGTTCCTATATTATAAGGATCGTTATCCGTTACAATTATCCCCTCTCTCCTGGAAGGATACCCTTATCCGAAATATAGGGTATTCCCAATATAGAGATCCCGAAATAACAAAGTATCGGGGACTAATCGGCGATAATTCGTAATAAAGGAGATATATTTAGAACAGTATAAAAGAGTTTAAATTATCACTGCGAGCCTTTGTGCGTAGGTACCTAAATAGGCCCTAGGTCTCTCAATCCCTAGATACTAATCCTCGAGTTTTAAATATACCTACCCCCTGTATAAACCCGATCTAGTTAAAGAATATATAGTGTATATAATACTTATATACTAGCACTAATAACTAGGATATAGCCGATACCAGCGAACTGTTCTTAATCTAGTATTTTCTCGGTACTGTAAATTCGAAGAAGTACTAACAGTGTATTTAACGACACTTATACTGCGAATATCCCGCTGAGGGTATATAGAGGGATACCTACAATTTAGTATCGCTTCTTAACTAGGTTACTTAGGTATATTCTGACGATAACGGATATTATACCTAGGACCCCGATTATTTAGAGATAGTAAATAAAGGGGTCCTTATACTTCTAAAGGACTTTATAGCGGTATATATAGCTTATAAGTCTACTTATAGTCTCGGCGGAAGTTATAAAAAGGACGAGAGCTAGGTAGGCGATAGGGTTTTACTTACAATTTATCCCCGATTTACTAATATTATAGCCTATTCTTACTATATACCGGTAGTATCTAGAGGTTCGTCGCGGGATATATCTAAATCCTCTCCTATAGCTATTACTTTCCGCGATATAGGCGGAATAGTATCGGTATCGTACTAAATCGGGGTAATATCTCTAATAAGGCGATAAGGGATACACTCTATAGACTTAGGCGAAGTATAACTTATTAACCTAGGTCTAGGATATCTATATTATAGCCTATAATCCTATAATAGGTAGCCCGGTTTCGTAGTATATATAGGATTTCGAGGATACCTTCCCTATTCTATTATATAAATTATAAACGAGGGAACAGCGATTTAGTAGTACTTCCTTCCTATTTTAGTATTTTTCTAAAAATAGTAGGTATAAGTTTTATTTTAGTTTCGTATTTAGTTATAGCTTCCTATTTTATAGGATTAACCGCGTCGCTATCGGTAACCTAGGTTTATTTATTTATCTCTCTCTCTTTACTACCTTAGTTCTTATATTCTTCGAGTTCTATTTCTATTTCTTAAGATACCGCCTAACGCTTCCCTTTATAAGTTATATATACCTATCTATCGTAAATTAACGTAGTATATAATATATCTTCGCGTTTCGACTTATAACTAGAACGAGGGTAACTTAGCTTCGTCCTATCCCTTCTTTATAGTATATTACACTACAATATACAATAGTAAGAATTATACCTATTATAATAGCTTATATAAGCCTTACGAGACAGTAGGTCCCCTTAGGTATCGCTACCGCGCTTCAGTAGTTATCTATACTAATAATATTTAGGTCCCTAAGGATATTAAGGGGTACCGTTTCGAACTATATACTTATCTCTTATAGGTTAATAAGTTCTAGTCTAATAAGGAGGGAGGCTATAGTATAGGCTATTATAATAATAGTAAAGTGTCCGAATTTTTATTACCCTATAAGCTTATCGATACTATTATAGTGTATATTCGATATCTTATCGCCTCTTTTAATAATTTCGTTAAAGCTTACCGCCGCGCTTATTCTCTCCTAGGTACCTATTTACTATAGGTATATATTATTAGCGATTTAATCCTATTCCTTTAGTGTTTTATTCTACTAACTATATTTCCTATAGGAAACTAAGGATACTTACTCTTAGTAGGTCTCGAATCGAGTTCCCTTAATCCTCCCTTATCCCCCTATATCGCCCTATAACCCTAAGTAGGTTATACTCGTTATAGAGAGTATATAATACTATCGATTACAGCCCGCGGAGGAGTCGGCCCGGTCTTAGTATACCGGTATAGTAGTATTCTATTAGGATATCTAGGAGCTTATTCGGGAGTTATAGGATAATTCTAAGGTAGGGGGTACTATTAGACAGTTTTTAGAGGCTTATATAGACAGCTTTCCTTTAAACTTATATATATAACAGTTATATTTCGCTTAGTTTTCGGTGCTTCCTCGATTAACTTTACCTTTTTCTAGCTTTCTTATATCTTACTATAATCTTTAGTGTATTTATTATTATACTCTCCGGTACCTATTAGTTATATTCTAAGGGCTATCCCGCCTATTTAACTAGATAGTGTAGTTCTTCTTCGAATATATACTTATCCCTAATTTCTTTAACTTCCTATTTATTATCGTCCGCTAGCTCGGGTAGAGATAACTATTCTAGTTCCCCTTCCCTTTACTGCTATAGTTATAGTAGTTAGACTAGGAATATATTATAAATCGCTGTGTATTCGTCTAGGAGTAGGAGGCGGTATACTTATTTCCCGATATATTTAAGGATTCTAAAAGGTTCTATCTATTATAGGGATAGTTTCTTTATTATCCCTTCCTTTAGTTATAGGTTCTTTATTAATAAGGTTACTAGATTATTCTTTTTAAACAATATCTTAGTGTAGCGTTTATTATAGTATATCGCTTATACTTCGGTAGCTTTTCGCTATAAAGTCTATAGTTATTCTTATAGCTCTATTAGCTTTTTAAAATAAGCTAATACTGCTAGTATCTCCCTCTCTATATTACCGTCCTCGGTATATATTTAAAAGTTTAGGTTAAATCCTAATAGTACCTAGAATAGAGATATTCCTATTATAGCACTAACTATATTATTATAGATAAATTCTACCGTTCGAAGTAACGAGGGCTATATTTTTTATTATTTATCAATAAAGCAGCGTAGGTAATATTCTAGGGTTTAATTTATCCGCTCTATTTAACTATCGGTTTAGGGATAAAACACCGTCGAATACCTCAATTTTATCTTAGATAAATAACACAGTTTTAACTAAAACCTACTTATAAAAATAGATCCCCGGTCGGATATAATACTATTTAGTAGTCTAAATCTCAGTTTAATATCTTAATAGAATAGCTCGGCTAATTCCGCAGTGTCTATTATAGTTAAAACTAGGAAGAAGAGGCACTATTTCGAGAAACAGTCTATAACCACTAAAATTATATTAACTATTGTGATTCAGAAAGGATCGTATGGTTTTATATTAGACTGGGGGACTCAGGCTACTATATATATATATATACGGGAGTCTATATATACCGAAGTGGTATAATATAGACCGCTTAGGATCCGTCCGGTGGCTTACAGCGTCCAAAGACGTAGGTCATATACCTATAATAAGCCTTCCGGATCTCACTATCCTTCCTTTCTAGATCGATTAAGATAATCCTATAATAAAATCTATTAACAATTCGGTAAAGGGTCGAGATAGAATCGGTAGCGATTCGAGCTTACCGAAGGGTCTATACCTTAGTGTCTACACTGTTTAGTAGATTCTATAAGTTTTGATATACTTTTTAACGTTGTCTTATAGATAGACCCAGTGGTAGTTACGCCTAAGCAATTCCTCTATTCTTACCCGGCTAAAATATCCTACAGTAGGGTTATCGTAGTATATTTATAGTAGTTTTATACGTATACCCTCTTTTTTTAGTATATATATATCCTCGGTACTATAGTAGCCCTAAGGTATCTACCGCCTAGCCTTTTCCGCCGGGTTTCTATAGTGAAATATCCCCTTTTCGGCGGATTATCTCTAGGTCCTCGGCTTATAGCCTTCCTACCTATATTAGGATATCTTCAGTATCTATACTAATAGACTAGATTACTACTATAGTAGTATCCTCGACGTTAAATAGAATATTTAAGTCCTTATAGAGCTCTCTCTATTCTAACTAATTATCTGTACTGATACAGTTTATATTTATACCTATAGGTATACTAGATCTAGGGTTTCCCTATCGGACTACTTATCTAGATCTAAATTAGAATTCTAAGTTATATTTACTTAAATTATACTTATAATCTATATCTAGATTCCTTTTCCCTATAATATTCTATATTATAAAGGTTAGTATTTCCTCGACTTAGTTTTAAGTCGGGATAATATTGTCTACGATTCGATCCTAAATCGGGATTATTAACTCCGCTCCTAAAGTAGCTTACTCGGAGTTTAGAATTCTAGATAGTCTATCTACTAGATTTATTTTTCTAGGTCTATACTTTATAATAAAGTCGAAAGGTATTAGGAATATATACTATCGCGCTTATCTCCCGTTCAATTTCTACTATATTATAAATAAATATAGGTTTACGTGATTAGAGAGTATCTTAATTAGGTATCTACTACTATCTAGGTAGTGTCTCTACTATTAAAAAGAATATATAATAGCGAATAGCTCTTAATCTAGTGTTATATAGTTAAGTTCTACCCCTAAGAATTTTCGGGACTAAAATACTACTAGGTACTATCGTCCCTCGCTATCCGGTTAGGATAGTACTCCTCCTATTCCTTAATTTAATATATCTATTTCTAGCCTAATATATTTTTTAGGGTCGAAGTAATATAGTAGCGATACCGATTTAAAGGATATTTTTAGCTACCGAAACGCTACCGATTCGGTAGGGTTAAGTTTAACTTTCCCCGGTTTTTTCCTATTCTTTAACCCCTTTAGTATTGATATTAGGGGTAAGGATATATAGGAGTATCCTTTAATAAACCTACAGTAGAAATTGCAGAATCCTAGGAATACTTATATATCGTGGTAGCTCTAAGGCTCTTCCTATTCTTAAATAACTCGGATATAATCTGTATCTATCTATACCCCGGTTCTATTAACGATAAACCCTAGGAATTCAACTTCTATCTAATAGAATATATATTTAGATAGCTTAATATAAAGTCCTACTTTATATAGTCTTTTAAAGACCTAGTGTAGTACCTTAGTATAGGACTCCCGATCTATTATAAAGATTAAGATATTATCTAGGTATATAATATAAACAATATCGATTAGTCCGCTAAGCGCTGTATAGATATAGCTCTAAAAGGTAGCGGGAGCGTTTAATAGACCGAAAGGTATAACTATATATTTAAAATAGCTGTACCTTATTCTAAAAGTAGTCTTCTATTTATCGCCTTCTCGGATCCGAATTCGGTAGTATATATCTTTTATATCTACTTTACTAAAACACTGAGCTCCTAAGAGCCGGTCTAGGATTTCCGAAATAAGGGATAATAGGTATCGATTCTTAACCGAAATACAGTTAAGACCTCTATAGTCTATATATAGATATAGGCCCCTATCCTTTTTTAGGATAAAAAGGATCGGTACTCCTATAGGGCTTTTTAAGGGTCGAATCCTTTTATTCTTAATATTCTCTACTAGATAGGCCTATAGCTCCTTTAGCTCGGTCCTTAAGAGGGGGTAGATAGGGCTATATAGCGGTATCTTTCCTTCCTCGATTTTAATAGCGTAGTCTAATACCTTCGAGATAGATAGAGAGCTTACTTTTTTATAGTTAAATATATTAAGATATTCTCTTAATTCGGGGGGTATTTATAATAAGTCTATTACCGAATCGGTAGTACTTTTATCTAGGAGCTAGATCTATTCCGGTATTTTTACTAAGGTATAGATTACTATTATATTCCTCAATAGCTTAGCGAAGCGGTATAGGTTTTATAGCTCGAACTATTTAGTACTGAACTACTAATAATTTACCCTAGGGTAAAGGGTAATATCGAGTTCGTTAATAAAGGTATATAATAGAAGTATTAGACTTCCTTCTATTCGCGGGTCCCTATCGATCCCTATATAGGGTCTTTTTATCGTTTTCTCTATACCCCTAGAGTCTCTTATTATAAATTCGACCTAGAATACGCTATAGGTATATAGCTATTCTAGGGTAACACCTTTAAGGGATAGGGATAAAAATAGGGTAGCGAGTAATTTATTTATATAAGCGAATTCCTTACTAATTATATTATATTCCGCGCCTATATCTAGATCTATATAGGTTTCGATACCGCTTCTTATAGTGATAGGTATATAAAGGTATACTGAAGTCCCGATCTAGAAGTATAGAGCTAGGGTATCGGGGTTTACTCTAGCTCTTTTACTTTTCCTAACTATCTTTAGTTTATAGAGCGAATTACTTAAATAAAGGATTAAAGGGTAGCTTTTTTAGGGTATTTATTTACCTAGTAGCCTTTATCTCTATAGGTATAGTATATACTATTTAGTATCGAATCGGTACCGCTTCTTTTATCGGAGGGGGTAGTATTTATACTAGATATATAAGATTTTCCTAAGTATCCTCTATAACCCTAGTCTCTACCTCTAACTTAGCCTCTACCTTAGTTTTAGCCTCTATCTCTAGAACTCCCTCGAGGGTTTAAGTTTATTAGGGAAGAGGTATCGTTCCGGGACTAATTTATTCTCGGATCGGTATAATTTCCCTTCTTTTACTTCTCTTAGCCTAATATTAGGTACTCCTTCCTTTTTTAGTTAGCTAGGTATATATTATAGAGTATTAAAGCCTTCGAGGCTATTTATATCCTAGTAGTCGGTAGTATACTATCGGTACTAGTAATAATAAGGTCTCTAAGTAGCTTAGTAAGCTTTATAAATAAGGCCTAAGCCTTTTACTTCTTAGTTTAGTTTAGGAGGTACTTCTCTAGCGATTAGAGGTAGTATTCGAATAAGTATAGGTCCTAGTTTAGATATATTTCGGCTTATTAGTAGAGGATAAGGATATCGGTTACAATATTATAGGAATTTCGGAGTAGGGTTTTTATCTATTCTATAAAATATTCCTAATTTATCTCTTCTTCGGGGTAGTTTAGTGTATAATTTTACTATTTACTTTTATAGGAAGTATAAAGGTAGTTAGTAGCTACTAGAACTTTTTAGGAATCTAAAATATATTTCCTTAGGGTATCCCTAAAGAGGGCTATAAGGTTATTTAGCTATTCTTCTCTCTATTAGATACCGAAGTTTTCTTCGAATTTCTCGATATCTCTCTTAATTTCTCCTTTTTAGCTTTATTCGCTCTCCGAGGATAATTTATCCCTATTTCGATAACGATTCGGTTTCTAGCCTAGATATTCTTCGTTTTCGGCTATAAGTTTTCTTATATCGATAATTTATTATTATAGTTCCGCTGTCTCTGCGAGTATATAGATAGTCTCCTGTATTTACTCAATAGTCTATATACCCTATTCGGGATCTTAACCTATAGGTTAGTTCTGGGTTTCTAGACCTAGAGGGTCTAGTAGGGCTTTAGATCCCTCTACTAGTTAGGTTCCTTACTCTTCGATCTCCTAGTTTTATAAAGTCGGTTCTAATTCGCTACCGACCCGAGGGGTTTCCTCTAGGTATTCGGTGTTAGATCGAGTAGTACGGCGGGGAGCTATCGTATCTTAGGTAGTTAAAGAAGAAGAATTAGAATTGTAAAGATATACTGATTTTAGGTGTATAGCCTGTTAACCGGGTAAGACACAATAGTAGGAGAGAGGAACAGATTGTATTTTCCTAATACTGATAAGACAAGACTAATTCTTGTCAGCCTTCTACGGGGTCCTAGGGAGCCCCGGATTATATACTATGGTACCCCGCTTCTATCACGTGGAGACTATATACCGATTCACTGTCGGATCACCCCCGTGACCCGACTGCCAAGCCTTGTTCCTATGTTGTAAGGATCGTTATCCGTTACAGTAAAGACACGAAGGAGTGTGATAACTAACGAATATAGTTAATACTAGTAATAAAAGGTAAAATACTAGTAAATTAACTCACTTTTCCTATACTCAGGTAGAAATATAGCGAAAATCACTTTATTAAATACCCCTTTAACCCGTTTATATAATATATCAACCTCCTATGATTTAAGAGAAGCTAATAGCCGTAGCTGTTTATCAAGGGCACAGAAGATAAAGGTCCCCTTCTTATCGTCAATGATCTCGCGAATATACTCCTAAATTTATTAGTATCTTACTACTAAAGTAATAGTAAATCTTACCTTTGTATATAGGTCTTTCTCGAAAAGATGATAAATCCCACCTATCTCCCTCCCTAGGGGGTAATAAAGAGCTCGTTGCTTTTGTAGAATGGTAGCAAAAATCTCCCTATTTGCAAAGGCAGTATAAAGCCCACTGATTGTTTCACTGCCAAACCTTACGCAAAAGGCACGAAGCTGAGAGCTTCGAAGAAAATAACCTAAAATACTAGTAAGTATAGAGTATTTACTAGTAAGTTAGTAATAAGATATACTTACTTAGAGTGAGATCAGGGCTTTGTATCCTAGTAAGGAGGTTTGAGATTCTATAAATCAGTTTATATAGAGCCTTACTAGGTGGTGGTGGCGGGTGGTTATAGACCCCCCGGGATACCCAAATTGTATAGGGATACGCCCTAGGATCTTTAGGTAGAAAGGCCCGGAATTGGACCTTATAAGGTGGTAGGTCTTTAGTAATATTACCACTGCCGGACGGATAAATAAGGGCTTTACTAGTAAGTTACTAATAATTAGGGAAATCTGGTAAGGATACGTACTATATATTTGTGCGCGCGATCGATTACTTAGGACTGTATCACAGTATTCCAGAGTATAAAGTGGCTTACGGGTCTTAAGAAGCTCCTCTAGGAGATCTATATCAAGATTAGACCGTTGCCAGTGCAGGCCTTTTATAAAGTGGTCTCCCTACCTCTCTTCTATCCAATTCCGACATTGAATATAAGAGGAAGTAGAGCTAGTAATATCCTAGATAAATTGAAAAAGTATTAGTATAATAAAGGTAATATACTAATAAATACTTACTGGATAATAATACCGATATAGTTGAAAGTTATATATTTCATCTGAAACTTTATAGGCTTTCTGATTCTGGAAGGCTGCTTTAATAGACTCGTAGAATCTAGAGTCGTTTTAGTAAAAATTTATTAGTATATAGCACGTATATACTAGTAAATATACTCACGCGATTGCTATTCGTTGTTTGTGGTTGAGTACTAAACCCTCCTTAACCTGCTTTTTTGCTTCAAAAAGCTTAGAAACAAGCTCTTGATTAACATTTGTATACTCTAAATATAAAATTGAAGTAGTAAGGTATTCACAGTGCTTAACACCTTAGCAATTTGAGGCGATTTTGGTGGTATCGTATTGGAGAAAGCTACACCAGGTGTCGCGTGTCTACCTATCCCTTTTTTGAGAGTATTGTACCTAAAAAGTGGTAAAAATAATAGTAAAATAAAGGTATAATACTAGTAGTTTTTAGCTTATATACTGTGTCGCGTGTATTCTCTCTTCTATAGATAAACCCTGGAGGTTAATAATATAGGTATATCCTTACGGATAGGTTTGTGGATACTCTGGAAGTATAGGCACGTATTCGATTTCGTGAGCAGATATCGGATTATAAGTACCACCTGTTAATAGTGTCTGTGTCTGCTCACTCTCTTCTTCGTGAATCTAGATAAAAATTAGTAATAGTAACTTAATAGTAAAATACTAGTAAAAAAGTAGATATTGATACCTAAAATTCGTGTGCTTCCCGCAAAATTCTCTCATCTTTATCTCTGATTTCGATAGCTTGAGATACTACTGTCGAAGGATTGATAGCAGGCGGTTCGACCGGAATAAGCTCTTTGAGCTTAGTACTCCTGAACTTATACCACGATGATTCGTATTGTGCCATGATACTCAGGGTTATTTAAGCTTATAATTTATCTAGTATAGGTATATACATATATATACTGTATGATGTATCATCGCATTATTTCAACCTATAACATAGGAGCAAAATTTTCTACCCCTTGGTATGTAGGGATGCCCCTTCATTTTTTATTAGTATTTTATTAGTATATGCTTTCATTACTCATCCCTTACTACCATACCATACGGATCACGTTACATTTAAATTACCAGTCCAATTTCTCTAACAATACAGAACCCCTCAAAAATGGTGCCTGAGGCCGATGGTCACCCTCAACTTTTCCAGGGGGTCCACCGGTATCTGTGTTCTGTGCGCCTTGGCATCCAGCAAGTGGATGCCTGAGGCACCAGCACTATGCAAACCCTGCAAAGCGCTCGGAATGACACTACCAAGACGGGTCCTCGGGCTTCTTGACCAAATAGTTGCCCCAGTGCCTCAGGCAAACAAAATAGAAATATTCGATATGGTCACGTGATTCTGTAAAATGGTAAAACCGTAAAATGGTTATAGCTCCTAGGGATTACTGGGCCAAGGCTTTGAAACCAGCCGTTCAAGGAATTCTGCAAATGAGAAAAGTGGGCAGCGAGTTCGATCTGAGGGCACAGCTGTTTCTTTAAAGCGGGTGACCAGGTTCAGTAAACGACAATAATTGGACTGAATGCGAAGCACCAGATACAAGAGCATCCACTCTACTTAAATGCACGAGGCAAACCAGGATATTTATTTCCCAAATCATCCAACAAGAGCGATCATGCTTCCATCTTGGCCATATAATCCAGGGTATACTGATCTGGGTCCCAAGAGAGAAGCCTTGTCTTATTCTCCTGAAGCTTCAAATCCACATATTTATCCATGCTTTCCTTTTCTTCAGGCTCCAAGAGATGAAGTCTTTTCTTCCATGCATCGCATATATTGTTGTCAGATTTATTGGACCCGAAAAATCGCCGATCAATCTTATTCCAATAGATGGCGTCAAAGGCAAAATTGTTCCTTGCAGCATATATAATCCAAAAGTCTCCGCTCTCCCAGCTTTGTCGCATCCGACTAGAGAGTCGCTGGTTTTCTTCGAGTCGTTCGTTCCGAGTCTGGTACGCGTCCTCTTCGCAATCTATCATTGCCTGAAGGAAGATCTGAAGCCGTCTCTCGTATTTTGCACACCAGTTATCAAGGCCTTTAGTCCAATATTCCGGCTTTTCGAGAAGAAGCCACCAGGGTGGAGTATAAGTAAATTCAACTGGGGCGGTATACGTAAACTCCCAATCCACCACCCCAACGACCTTTTCAGCTTTATCGACTATAATATTCTGTGGTCGAAAGTCGTCGCACTAAACTGGAAACGGGCTATACTTATAAGACAGCTATTTGTCCCTAAGCTCCCGATCTCGAACAAGTTTCCGAAACAAAAATCTAGCGATAAACTTACGCCGGCAGTCGTCAGCCGAGTCTATAGCATTGTTCCTTTAGTGTATAAGGTGTGAAATATACAGCTCTGCTAGGGCTTCAAAGTACAAAGACGCTCTGTTATAAATCGCTGTAGGGAGTTTTAATCGAGGTAGCGTCCCTAGACGCACGATTTCGTTTATAGAAATAGATAATGGTCGATATACCACTTCCCACGCTAATTTGCCGGTCTGTTTCAGAGATCCAATCCGGTTCGCGGATAATATAGACAGAGAAAAGACAATATTGGCTAGTTCTCGATAGAGAGCTTTTAGCTTAATTGTGCTGATATCCGGGTTTAGTTCTGGACGTTGTTTTGATTGGCGTCCCGGCGTCTCAAGAAGATCGGATATACTCCTCTCGTGGTCAATATAGCCCATGATTATAAAGGGACCTAAATTTGAGGGGCTCTCGTTTCTCTCTCCCCAGCGGGAGACCAAAGGTACTGGAATCGGCATTGTTTTTGAAGTTCTTTCCGTGATAAATTGCATGATAGAGGCCTCATTACGAACTTTTTCCTCGGGAAACATATGAACGCCAGGCAGTGGGAGTCTTAAAACAGCGCCGCCAGTATCGGTATCGGTGAACGTTATGAGGAAGCTAGCGTTAAAACCACCGCATTTAAGAAATTTGAAATCGGCCCATTGGCGAGGGCAATGATTTTCTGCAAGAAAAATTCCAATCTCATTGTAGATGTCTTCATTGAAGAGAAGATCTAGCCAGGAGTCTTCGATCTGGTCGCTTTTTTCCCAGGCAACATCATCGAAGGGCAAACGTGGATTCATCTTATAGAGGCGACAAAACGAAATCAGAAATGCCGAAGAAACATGCAGAGTGTTGGGATGAATACCTTGATGAAGTAACGATGTTTATAAGGTAATCGTGCCAAGCGCTCGTACCAATACAGTCTCCTGTATTGGTGCGCGCCACTCAACGATACTTTTCAGTCAACAATAAATTATTCTCTCTTTACTACCATTTTTGACCTACAACCACAATGTCAGATCAAAATAAATTGATAGAAAGCCAAATTCAAAAGGCTCGTCTTACCTATAAACGACAAAAAAAGCCCAATATCGCCAAATTGGCGCGAGAATTCGAGGTTCTATACCAACGACTACGCGCCCGAATCCACGGTCGAGACAGCAAAAACACCACTACTGCCCTAAAACGAGCTCTTACCGCGGTTCAAGAGATAATACTAGTTATATAGATCAAGACTGTACACTCTTCTGGCGTTGGAATCCCCCCTTCTACAATTGTAGACACTGCAAATAGGATTTTAAAGCGCGCTGGATCCGACCGGGAAGTCGGGGAGAATTAGGTCTACCGGTTTATAGCCCGTCTCCCACTATATATATGTCGGAATCCAAAGGTCAATACATGGTGAAAACAGGGTAATTTACCCAGAATATCATGTGACAACTGGTACCTCGGATACCATACAAAAGTGTATATTACAGTTAGTCATCGATGTCCGCACAGATTGTGAAAACAGCGGGTTTTTGTCATTTTAGTTAGTTAGAGTTCTACATATCATTGATTTTGACCATACATTTGTCGTACCACAGATTTCTGTCAATATACCCTATATCAACCCTAAACTTAGTGAAAAAGTAAGGGACGATAGTAAGCAGTATAGGCCTCTCTTTCTTTGGTATAATAACCTTAAATTGGTGCTTAAAAAGTACGATTTTTAACCCCACGAGATCTACAATTGGGATAAAACTGGCTACTAAATTGGCTAAGGAAAGCGCCAGAAGGTCCTTACACCTTCAATTAACTATACTATACCCACTGGTGGTCAAAAGGAGTCTATTACTGGTATTGAATATATCTCTGCTGATAGTTGGGTTATACTACCGTAGTTCCTACCTAAGGGTAGTATCTATATAGAAGAGTGGTATAAATCTCTTACTATTTAGGATTGTAGGATTAAACCTACTCCTAATAGTTAGATTGATAATAAAACCGCTCTTCAATAGCTATAATCCTTCTACGAAGCTACTATTTCTCGGGTTAGAAATAGTAGGCCTAGGCTGCTTCTAATAGATAACTATAGTTCTTATCTTACTATAGAATTCGTTGACTTTTGTAAGGCTGAATTTATTATACTACTTTAGTTCCTACCCTATATAACCCACCTCTGCTAACCCCTTGATAGTTAGGCTTTCTAGACTTTAAAGTATCATTTTCGTGTGGCTAATAATACAGAGGTTATATAGGGTGGAAGTGCTAATAAAAAGCGGGATTTTTTCCGGCTAATTAGCGATATACGAGAGAAGACTTTCACTTAAAGAACTATCCGATCTTCGTTCAAATCTAGGGGTATTTACCCCTTCAATCTAGAGGTTATTCTTGGCCCTTTACGTGAAAAAGTGGTTAAAATAGAAGGGTCCCCCCTTAGGGTTATCCGTACTCCCTCCCCCCTACTAGAGATCCCTAGTTCGGTAACTAACTCACCACCTAATACAATTGAGCGGGTCTAGAAGCTTCAAACTAAGCTTACTGAGGATTTAGAACAAATTAAGACCCGTACGAAGGCAATAAAGAAGTATATCAAGCGGAGTATTGATATAAATCTACTTTTATCGCAAGAGGTTGCTATATTGAAGGGGGAATTAGAGAAGGCCCGCGCTACCAAATCAAGGGTAAATAGGCCAAGAAATAGTAAGTCAATTCTTAGGTCTAGGAACTCTATACTATCACCAATTTGTGCAAATCGGAGGACAGTGCACCGAGAAAAAGCTGATTCTTTAAAGATAAAGCGGCAACAAGAACGGCAGGCCAAGGTCTCGGAAGCTCAACAACGCCACCAGGAACAGTTGGATTTAGCTGAAGGTCAGTGAGAAGCTAGAATGGCAGCTACATATAGGAAGGGTTTGACTTGGTATGTAGATAAAGATGGTCATTATATATAAATATAGCTTCAAATTCAGTGAAATCTACTCCGTATCGTTGACAGAAAATTATCGTTGAGTGGGGCGCACCAATACACTGCGGGTGTATTGGTGGTAAGCTTGGCACGATTACCAAGAGAACAGGGGAACCGTCCGATTAGGCAGCAAGACATGCGACCGGAATAATATAGGCCCGAGTGAACTTCCCGTATTAGTTTACCGATGATGTCACGGTATTTATTGAAAGGCCCTTTTGATAACAGTTCTTAATTGTAAGAGCTGATATATCAAGATCCCAGGCTTGAATACCCTATTGTAAAGCCTAAAGGATATTCATTGATACTATAGGATCATGACCACGATCGTACTCGGTCACAATAAACCTCACCTATTGGCGCTTCCAGTATATCTTCTACGTATAAATGATACCCTAATCAAGTGGCTGAAAACGACTAGTTAAATTTGCTGGTAGCCAGATAATCAGGGTATTTCGAAGGGGTTAAGCAACTCATTAATATGATGTTTGAATAGGCGAAGCCTCTGGCAAATCTAAATGCCCAGAATATCAAGATCCCTCAAGCACAACATTCAGTCGCCGTTAAGTGCCCGCAGGGCGTATTGTTACACCAAGTTGTGGTAGTCGCCAGGCAATCAAGAACAACCACACACAAGAGAAAGCTGCTGTAAGTCGTCTGATTCTGGACGTATTTAGCCAGGCTTGTTGTTGTGTGCTCTATGGAGGAAGATCAAGCGTGCATGCCGCTGGCGTTTCGTCCAATGTGTGATGCAAAAGCGCATTGTCAACGTAAAGGGAATAGAATGGGTTTTGTCGCCAGTTGACAACCGGCCTAGCCAGCCAATGTGTACAGTCATGGAGGACATGCAGATTTATATCGAAAGACTTGCATCCCATATGGACCGTCGTCAAAAGACCTGGAGCCCAGATGGCTACTCAGCCATAGTGGCCGCCAGTTGACAGATTGAAGGCCCTACTGGAGCCAGAGAGGCACGGATAGGAGCTAAGTGGTACAGTACATACAAAATACTTGAGAGAAAAGGAGTCAGGTAAACAACCGAAATGAGTTAGCCATAATCATGGCTCCAGATTCGTCGCACAATTCACATATGATAGAATAAGGAAAATAATGCTAAGCCCGAAATGATACTGAACCCCGGCACTTGGGTTAATGCAGGGCACCCAGCACGAGCCGATCTACCACGACCATTTGGTGTAATTAATTCATGACATGGGAACCAGGAATGGCACGGGCATAGCGGCCAATGGTAGCCGAGTAGAATAAATTCCCAGAAAGTCCCTCAATCATCGATCTTGCGTACCGAAGCTGACGATCATTCAGCATTCCTGATTGAACATGAGCGTTGTAAACAACGTGGAGTTGATTCTCCAGATCTATTAAGATCATCCGAAGGATAGTCTTCGCAGTTTTTCTGGATACGTTAAGAAGATGCGCGATGACGGGAACCCCATTAACAATTGCTACCCCTTCTTCTTTGGCTTCCAGCATCTCCTTCTCATAGGAATAGAGATCGTTAGTGAGGCTGAAATGCATCATATATAGCCTATACATCTCATCCAAAGCCTTCCTTTCTGGCGCAGGAACTTTGATGGCGCAAGAAAGCTGCAACATTCCGCTGACACCGCTTCCAGATTGTTAATATACGAAGTCTTTTCTATGGGAGTCAGAGCTTACATTGTCATGAAATCCTTGATCCGGAAGTAAACATAATCAGGCCATGAAGAGAAGTGTTCTTGTTTCTTTGGCGGATTATCAAGAGTATGCTTGGCCCAAATGAGTGCCCCCTGGACAAACTCTAAACCTGCCTCGAAATTTTCCTGGGCGCATTCATCAACCCATTCTTGGAAAAGTGGGTTTTTCCATGGTCCTCGGTACCTCTCCAGTTCTTCGGGTAAAGACTGAAGCTCTTCCAAGGCTTCTTTAAGCACGTTTGTACCCTGTGACCATTTCAGTGGTAAATCAATTGAAAGTAGAAATAGGAAGTAATATATACTGTTCCATAGCTTTGGCAATCGACATCGTCTATACATTGTATTTCATGTTAGGTTTTATTGAGGACAGGAGGATGTAATATAGTGCCTACCATCATGAATGAATATGAATATATTTCCTTTGGCTAAAATTCTTGCCTGATTGGCATTTGCGGCGGGAAACATGTTCATTGGCGCGGAGATGGCAGTATCGATGAGAAGCGCATCTCGGCTCTTCGATATCTCCTCGTTTGTCATTTCGTTGTCACGCATCTCCTTTCCCTTGGCCTTAGCGGCGGCACGTATCTTCTCAAAGAGCTCTGTCGCTGCTTCTTGAGCGTCACGCCAGTATTTGCTTTGAACCGCAGCTGGAAAGGTAGTGGACCATGGCAAGCCCATATGACGAGGGTTAAAGCAGTTGCTGTCCTCTAGGCCAGGGATTGCTTCTCTGGTAGATGCCTCCAAAAATGGAAAGAGATTCAGAGATGCGTAGTCATCATTGAGAGGAGCAGGATCGAAAAAGTATTCAAATGGTTTTATAGAAAGTTTGAAATCCATATTCGAGACGCTGCTTTGAGTTCCTTAGGAAGAATATCGAATCGTATCACAACAGAATATCCACGCGAGGATAATGGGTTTTAAGTCTTCCATCCGGGATTCAAAAGAAGGCAGTAGAAGGATAAACATTGGCTTTGCAGTAAGAAAGAACAGGTGATCTCGATGGCCTTGATTCTTTGTGTAACCTTTGGTTATGTTAGTGTCCAAAGCAAGTAAATATGATCATCATTTCACCTCCACTGGATAATGCGACCAGCAGGCTCGCAATTACTGGAAGACCTAATGCCGTGAAACGAACGAGAAAAAGTCAAAGGGTGAACTTTCGGTCGCGCCCCTCCACATGAGCCACGCGTCTTTGCCGCAGAAAAATTGCCCTGAAACCAGCGGCCCGACCTGAACGAAGTGAGAGGAGAACTTACTACACGCAACATATTCTTTTGTGACAGTTAGAGAGACTGACAAGCCCATACAAAATGCTCTGAAATGAGGAACTACGGAAAGCGGGGCGGGGAGGAAGGCCACGGCGTCAATTCTAATGCAGCTCCGCACTGGGCGAATTGGCCTTGCGGCTTCGCATTAACCGGCGTGACTCAGCGAGATGCAGCTGCGACCTGGGGAACCAGACGGTCAGTCTGTGCAAGGTCTTTTACGACAGTTGATGCGCAGTTAATTGACCGTTAATTAATTGAGCCCTAATTGATCACTGTCTTCTTGCCCTCGGTTTCATTGCACGGATGGTTTAACCGTGACCCCAACGCGGCCAACGGAAGAGAACGGGCGGTGAAACCGCACTTTATTTTCAAATAATCCAGGTGTTGTAAAACGAAATCTGGGCAAAAGCTGCTGGTTAAACATAGTGTCGAACGAGGGAGGACTGGGATGACTTGATACCAGGAGCTTACTGTACAGAGTAAGAGGTAAAATAAGTGTCTATTTCAAAGAGTGCCTGGTAGGTCACTAAATACTCCTGAAGTGCCAAGAAGTGGCAGAAAGTGGTTCTACAAGTGGTTTATAGATATACCAAGTGGACCAATGAAAATGCGTCACAGGAAAGCGGTCATTTTTGGCTGACATAAATTTCGTCGAATTTAGGTGTTAAATAACTTCTGTAGCTATCGAGTATTAAAAGCCGATACCCCCCCTTTATATATAAAGAAGTACTAGGAATAAAGAGCTTCTTAAGCTAACAAAGCCTAATTTTATCGGAGGTCCAGCCGTTAGGACTAACTTCGAAGCGCTAATCCTCCGGAAGGCCTTTAAACTATAATTCAATAAAGACTTTACCTTTAAAAATCATACACAGAGGAAGAGCCTAGCCAGAGGTATTTATACACTTAATTGTAGTTACCTACTCTCGATTTCTAGGTTATAAAAGTGCTCGCCGACTGTAGTATTCACTCCTCGTTATAACCTTCGCAGTTACCGTTAACCCTATCGCGAAACCGGTCTTATTAAAGTTATAGATATCGTTAGGGTCGATTCTAAATTGAAGGATTGTCTTTTAAACTAGATTAAACCACTCCCTAATAATTTTCGGATCTTTATATTTCGCTCGCTCGTAGTTATACTGTTTCGAGAATCGGGAGGAGAGGAGAGGACGTCGTTTAACGAATTTTATAACCCAATTTTGGCCGACTGAAAGAAGCGGGGTGGTTCCGCGCTTTTCGAGTAAAAGATTCGCTATTTCTCGTACTATAGAAGGCCGGGGGGCGCCTCCGCGTCGATCTATAGAGAGAAAATATTTTTCAAGAGATTCTTCTTCAATCTGGGTCAATTTCTGTAGGCTAACGCGAGAAGTCGCGTGGTTTTGTATACTATAGAGGCGTGCAGCGAGAGTTGAATTCGGTATATTAAATCGGCGGGCGGTTTCACGAATTGAGAGATTTCTCGATTCTTAAAAGCCTGGATAGCTAGTAAGATCCTACCCTCTTGCTCTATTGAATTTTTAGAGCTCCGGGAGCGTATTGGTGGTATAGTGGGTGGTGGAAGAAGAAAGGGCTTAAATTAATTGACGCGTTTTGGGTGGGTGTCCAGCTATAGGGTGTGTCCAGCAATCGGGTGAAATACGTTAGTTAGTTAGTTAACGTAACCGGTAAGCGAGCCGCCTATATAAGCGAGCCGCCCACCTAACCCAAAACGCGTCTATAAATTAGCACTTAGTTAATTTAACCACCCACTATACCACCACTTCGCTCCCGATCCTCTACAAATTCAACAGAGCAAGAGGGTAGGATCTTATTAGCTATCCAGGCTTTTAAGAATAAAGAAATCTCTTCAATTCGTGAAGTAGCGCGCCGTTTTAATATCCCACGTATAACTTTATGTGACTGTCTCTCCGGCTATACTGAACGATACACTACCCGCGCAAATTTATATAAATTAACAGAAACTGAAGAGGAATCTCTTGAAAAATAGATACTCTCTATAGATTCTCGCGGATCAGCTCCCCGGCCCTCTACTGTACGAGAAATAGCGAATCTTCTTCTCGAAAAGCGCGGAACTACCCTAGTTATTTCGGTCGGCGAAAAATAGGTATATAACTTTGTGAAACAGCGCCCTCTCCTATCCTCTTAGTTTTCGAAACGGTATAACTATAAGCGTGCGAAATATAAAGACCTAAAGATTATCACAGAGTGGTTTAATCTTATTTAAAAAACTGTCTTATAATTTAGGATCGACCCAGACGACGTTTATAACTTTAACAAGACCGGTTTTGTAATAGGATTAACCGCGACCGCGAAGGTGATTTCGAGAAGCGAATTCTACAGTCGGCGAGCTGTTTTATAACCCGGAAATCGTAAATAGGTGACAGTAATTGAGTGTACAAATACTTCTAGGTAGGCCCTTCCTCCGTATATAATTTTTAAAGGCAAAGTCTTTATTAAATCCTAGTTTAACAGCCTCCCGGAGGATTAGCGCTTTGAAGTTAGTCCTAACGGCTGGACCTCTAATAAAATTGGACTTCGCTGGCTTAAAAAGCTCTTTATTCCTACTACTTCTTCGCGTACGAAGGGGGGTATCGGCTTTTAATACTCGACGGCTACAGAAGTTATTTAACCGCGAGGTTCGATAAAATCTATAAAGAAAATAAAATCATACCAATCTATATACCTCTGTATTCCTCTTATCTTTTATAACCTCTCGATATCGGCTATTTTGCGGTGTTAAAATATATATACAGCCGGCTCGTTGAATCCAAAATACAGGTTAGGATAAATTATATTGATAAACTTAATTTCCTCGAAGTGTACCCCCTCGCACGAATTGAAGCTTTCAAATCGGAGACAATTAAGAATAGCTTCGGAGCAGCTAGTTTAGTCCCTTTTAAACCAGAGAGAGTGATCTTAAAGCTTAATATTCGGCTTCGAATACCTACCCCCCCCTAGCCGGGGGAGCGAATTAAGTCGCAATTTTACACTAAAAACACTAGCTACAGAGAAAGAACTACGTTAACAGGCTTTATCAATCAAAGCTTTACTTCGTATAGGATCTCGAAGCCCGCCTAGCCTATCAGATCGTGTATTAGACCAGCTTATAAAAGGCTTCCGTCTTTCAATACAAGGTGCTATCTTACTCGCTAAAGAAAATAAGGAATTACGCGCCGCCAATAAGAAGCAGAAGTAAAAGCGTACTAGATCCCGGAGGCAGATACAGGCAGAAGAAGGCCTCTCAGTTCAAGAAGCTTCTCAATTGGTTGCTAAGCCGGTGGAAGCAATTGAAGCACCTCCCTCCCCTTCACGAAGAAGCCCTTCGCCGGCTTTACAACCACGTACGCGGGCCCCGCCAAAGTGTAGTGGTTGTGGAGAAATAGGACATAAAATCAATAGATGTTTAGCTAGATAGATGATTTTTTTAATTTGAATTTAATGGCGTTTTGGTTGAGATAAATGCATTTAAAATTGATAGGTTGGGTTGGGTGGGCGGCTCGCTTACATGGGCGGCTCGCTTACCGGTTACGTTAGGCGAAAAGATCATAGAGACAATCGGAACCTCCGATTGTCACTGCAGCGGTATATATACTAGGCCCTAGACTCTGCTCGGGACCACACTTCGCCTAACAGTGATCGATAGTGAGGCTCTAGCCCCGCTGGTTATGGAAAACTGGCATCTTGGACTCCATCGCGGGGTCATTTGTTGCGGCTGACGAGGAAATTTCATTCTGACCTGGCTGTCGTGAGGTTCAGACTTTAGTCCCACCACGTGTCACATATAGAGTTCCAACTGCAGCTTTGCTTTTCTCAATCTACCAAGGTTTCTCCTCGAATCTATTTATTGACTAGTATTTCTGAGAGGCTGGATTTCCATATTCAGTGTCTCTATCACTGGCGCTACCCCAGAAAACACAGCGACACATTCTTTTGCTCATTGATTGATCGATCGAAACCATGACAGGCCCTGACCTCTTCCCATGTCCAGGAATGATGCATGGCAAGCGTATTCTGGTCTCTGTTGTCGAGAATAAGGCCATGCATGATATGGAAACGCCGTGGGTCTCAGTTCCAGCGTATGCGGGTCCCAAGGATCTCTGCTACCCTATACTGGCCCTAGCCGTTGCAAAGCTGCAAAAGGTGGTATGTATCACCGGGTGCCTCATTACTAGTACAGTTGCTGATTGAGGCTAGTTAGTACTGCCTTCGCCACTAATTACCGTTGATGCCCAAGCGCGAATTCTCGATGCCAAGAAGTGTGCTCTATACCTACGGCCTTCCTCCATGGCAACATACGTCGACTCCATCATCAAGGAAGCACCTCATGTCAAATCAATTACTATTCCAGAAATTGTCAAATTCATGAAAGAGACCGAAGCACCAATATATACCTACCCGAAAGCCTGGGAAGAAAGAAAGGATGATCCTTGGCTTGTTTTCCACACATCGGGAACGACCGGTTGGTTGTCCATCCAACTCCTTTCGACTGTATAAACTAAAGCCCCTGTGTAGATTATCCGAACCCATTGACATACACCCAGAGGATGATGGCTCTGGTCGATGCTGTGCTGGCAACCCCAGATGCAGAAGAATGCTTCGTCGATCACTTTGCCAGGAAAAGGCTATACATGTCGCTACCATATTTGCACGTGCGTCAGCCTGTTTCATTATCCCACAAAGGCCTCTATTGACATTAAAACAGCTGGTTGGAATGGTCTAAGTGCTCTCTATGACTACGTCTGTGGACACGACCTTGGTCATTCGTCCGGCCCTGCCACCAGACTCTAACACCGTTGTAGATATTCTGGAATACGGAAAGTTTGGAGTCGCCCTCCTGACGCCCGCAATTATCGAGGAGCTCTGCTTGACAACCACTGGCACTGGTGCTCTACAAAAACTTGAATCGGTACATTACGCTGGTGCGCCTCTTTCATTCAAGACCGGGAATCTATTGGTTTCTCATACTCTGGTTGTTCCTACTAGGCAATACAGAGTCTGGAGGATATCTTACCGCAGCGCATGACAAAAAGGAGGCATGGGACTACGTCGCTTTTTCGACTCACGCAGGTGCGATTTTCAAGCACCGCTTTGATGATCTGCACGAACTGGTCTTTGTGCGAAAGCCAGATTCTAAGTTGCTGTCTATGTTTCAACCATATCCAGACCTCGACCGGTACCCAACCTTGGATCTGTGGATCGAACATCCAGATCACAAGGGTCTGTCGAAGACCAAAAGAAAGACACATATATATAGATATATGATGGATCTGGCTTAGAGTGTATTGGTCACTAGCACGGAAGCTAAAAATGCATAGCACGGGTCACATCTTGAAGGAATAGGGCGATAGGTGAACAGGGAGAAACACAGATATAGCGCAACAAACAAGGTGGAACAGAGACCAACGAAAAAATTGAAAAATGAAGCAGAGGTCTGTGCTTGCGCTTTGATCAGCTGCAATTTCACTCTCTCCTCGAGATGAGACCTATGATGAAAATGCCTCATGCATGCTTTGTTGGCGTCATTCTCGACAATCCACAAGAAACTCAAGATGTTAATGGGGCTGGAGAACAATGATTGATCGCGTCGGGAAAAGCCTTCATAAGTGGCATGATCCCGGATGTGTTACGCGTCACTTTGATGCTATTCATCTTAAAGAACCACTCAAATGCAACTGGTGTGAAGTCGGCTTGCTACATCGAATGGCTTTCCAGCGCCATGCTTCTGATATGCATCGCGTGCGGAGTCGCTGGCGATGCCCGAATCCGATGCAGGGACTTCAAAAACAAAAATAGTTAATGTTTTATGTATGCTATTTCAGTTTTGTGCAATCTAATCGGGTTACATACATACGTACGATGAATCACGCAAAGTAGTGTCCAATCGTCTCTTAGCAGTAGGCCACTCGAACTGCTGGCTCTTGGGTATATAATGAGCCTTGTGCCCCAACTCTGGCTCAGTCAGACTTCTTTTTTCCTCCCACCTGGTCAACCTAGCACCTAGGTACACGTCTCTTCTTTACAAGCCACGATGACCAGCCCTTCAAGCATAGATGGGTCTGGCGACTGCGAGCGACGCTGTACAGCCGAGGGTGCACAGCTGGTCTGAGATCTGATAGGCACTCAATGAGCCACTGCCTTTGGAGAATCCGGTGGAGATAATGGCGGTTCATAAGCTGAACCGGAATCAAGACTCGTGTACTTTAAGATTGTGCTATCGGAGTGGGGAGGAGTCTGCGGCAGTTGTGGTTTAGGAATCTGGGAATAAGTGTAGTCAAAACTGGTCGTCCAAAGAGGAAGCTCTGGTCGTGCGGGATTTCGCTATTCTTAGCCACGCGCAGGTGAGCGAAAGGCCATCAAATACAGGCAGAGCGTTCAAGGGGTGTCCCATTAGCCAAAGGGACTGTCCCTATATAAATCCCCTATAAATATTCTATACATTAAATTAATAAATACTAGAAGCCCATTGATTCCTATGTGAGGTCCACAGAATTGATGATTCATGCACTCCAGCTCTATCCAAGGCAAATTCCCCAACTACGTCACTGCGCAATCATCCATGCTTGGCCCTTTCTTGCTTTTGCAGCTCTCTTTAAAAGCTTCCAATATTTCTATTCTCTTCACGGGCATATATTCATACTTCATAATTCTTGCCAAACACCAAGACACTCCTAACATTCTATCCAACACAACACACTATGAAGTTGAATTTGGCCACTGGCCTCATCTGCTTGCTCGCTTCCACTGAAGCAGTGGCAGCTTCCAGTTGGTGGAGCAAGGCTAGTACGTTAACCTAGATACAAAGATTCTCTTTTGCAAGCTAATATCATCAACAGTCTACAACAAATGGCACGAAACCGAGCTCGAGCGATGGCTCTCTGACCATAGTACGTAGCAGTTCTCTTTCTAACAAACTTCCTATACTCACACTTCATACAGATATTCCCCATCCCAGCCCTGCCGACCGCCGCGATCTGGAGAATTTGGTCAAGGCCAACTGGGATACCAGAGTGCAGAAGCCCCTTGGACAAGCTGCTGATAACATCAATCATGAGCTCCACCATGCCAGAGAATGGGTCTTTGATACGTAAGGTGCTCAGGTTTCCTTGTCGTGAATGAAAGCTGATCGATATAGTTGGTCCGACTCTCAGTTGAAGGCATTCCTCGATCGCCACGGCATTCCTGCCCCCCAGCCCCGCAGACGCGACCTTCTGATCAAGACCGCGCGTGAGAACTATGAGAAGATCGCTACCAAGGTTGGCGAAACGGCCTCCTACCCCGGAGACTGGTTGTATGAGGAGTGGTCCGATTCGGATCTCAAGGAATGGCTTGACGAGCGTGGATGGCCGGCTCCCCAGCCATCCAGCCGTGACAAGCTCATTGCATCTGTTCGCCGCAACTCCCGCATTATCAGCTTGCAGTCCCAGAGCATTGCTGCATCTGCATCGGCTGAGGCTGAAGCTGCCAAGGAGACTCTGAGTGATCAGCTTTTCGACGCCTGGTCTGACTCGAAGCTGAAGGAATTCCTGGACGCACACAATGTCAAGGTGCCTCAGGGCTCGAAGCGCAATGAACTCATTGCTCTGGCCCGGAGGAACCGCTCTTACCTTTCCGGACAAGTGTCAAGTGCCTCCGCTGCTGTGGAGGATGCGTATGGCGCTGCTACCACCAAGGCTGGGAACGAATTTGCACGCGCTACCGATTATGCCAAGCTGAAGATTGAGGACGCTTTCGAGACTGCGTTGAATGGCTGGTCTGACTCCCGTCTAAAGGCGTTCCTTGATGCCCGAAGCATCCCCGTCCCTCAGAGTGGCAAGCGTGATGAGCTCACTGCTAAGGTTCGGGCCAACGCCCACAAAGCTGCCGGTGGATGGAACCAGTATAACTTCGATACTTGGGATAAAGAACACTTGGTGTAAGTACATGTGCGTTTGTTGACTGTGATCTCATAGGCTAACATTTCCCAGGAAATACCTGTCTGCCGTGAACCATAAGGCGGCCAAGCAGGCCGATGCCTCCCGCGAAGAGCTTATCAAGGATGCCCAGGATTCCTACGCCAAGGCATCTAAGGCTGGCGGCGAACAGTACGCCTCTGCAACCGCTGCCCTCGCGCAGGTGACTGGCACAGTCAAGGATGCCACTTTCGATCAATGGTCGCAATCCGAGCTCAAGAGATACTTGGACAACTACGGTGTTCCAACCTACCAGGGCTCCAGCATCAACGAGCTCCGAGCTGCGGCCCGGCGCAACGCCCAATACTTTAAGTACGGCACCACAAACCCGCAAGAGACCATCTACTCCAAGATCATGGATACTTTGCACTGGGCTGTGGAGCAGTTGAAGATTGGCGCTGCTAGCGGCCGCGCTCAAGGCACTGAAGCTGCCGAAAAGGTCCAGAAGAAAGTCTCCGAGCACAGCCAGGGACTGCATGGAGAACTTTGAACTATTCTCATATTCAGGTATTTTTTTGGTTTTTCTTCTGCGACAAAGTTGGGCTGCACGGTTGGTTTTGTGAAATATCTTAAGTGACGATGGTTATGACATTTGGATTACAATGTTCGAGTTTTTATTATACTAGTAAAGTATTAACTTGGTGGGAAAATGGATCATTATAAACTATATATGTAGCTACTGTAGCGAAGTCGGACACTCAAGTACAATGTATGTATGTAGTTAACGAAAGATACTGACTCGGAGAAACAAAGCAGGGAAGGATAGCAGGAAGGGCGATATAGAGACAACTCCCTGCTGCTAGACCTAGATAGGTTCGGAAGAGATTGCCCACTGACAATTGGAGTCAATCGCCATGGCCCTAGAAGGACCAAGGTGCTGGGCTAGCCCTGTTGATCATGATCCACATGCTTGCAGTCGTAGGCCCTTAGTACATATCTCAAAACTATCATACATCTGCTACTACTGGGTACATGCATAGGTAATCGATAACGTATTTCACATGCGAGCTGCGCAGCGAAAACACCATTGTAAATGCGGTATATGCTACACTTAAATCTCAACAACCAACGGTTATTTCTTATTTTTTTTCTAATTTGCCGACAACCATTGATCAGCATTTTTAGTAACATTGATCAATCTCAAATATATTTTTGAAATGTGCATTTTTATGGTATCGAAACTCTCCAAAGTGGCGAGATTTTATATAAAAAGCATTAGGCTACAAGGAAAAGTTCACATAGGCAAGCATTGTTGAAGTGGAATACATTAATCTAGAAGCGGCAAGAGATAATCAGAAAGTCACAATTAAGTATGAGAAATCGTTGTGGAAGCGTGGAAGTATCAAATGATCCATGCCTTGATACTCAAAAGGATAAATCAGAAGTGGAAGGAGACTTGAGAGGAATAAGTAATCTTTATTCGCGCTAAAAGCTAGATATCCCCGGGAGGCATACTGTCATCCTCGTCATCCTTATACGGCCAATTACGCCAAGATAGCTCCTCCTCGCCCACCTCTGCTTGCCGAACCATTTCCATACGAAACTGTCGATTGACCTCCACTGCTCTCTCAAAGTTCTCTGGCTCAGTCCCACCTTCCGGATCGATATCGAGGTTTTCTCTAACCCGGGACAGTAGCTGTTCAGACTCGTTCCATTCCTGCGATTCCGCTATAGCAGTCTTTCGTTCTTCGTCGCTGAACACAATAGGACATACTGATGAGGAGATGCTGCTCTATACCGACGGAGTTGTAATATCTACTAATATATCACGTAGGTTAATTACGTCTGTATCCCAGGGATATCCTGTTTGGCGAAGGAGATACTGCTGTATTCCGAGATAAGGGGTTTTCAATAGGGGATTGATAGAGGGACCCCCCCCTTGGCTAATGGGACCCCCCCCTGCCTGAAAAATAAGGTGCACCTTCCTAATTGGGTACCGCTTTTGCTTCGACACTGCTCCAGTCTACCGCGCTCCACACCGCCTTCCAATTTTATACACCGCCTTCATGACAAACTCCCTATACAATTGTAGTGTCACAGCAGGTACCTATAATTTGTATGTAACCACTAACAAAATTAAGTCACTTTTGTCATATAGTACTCTGTATATACATAGAGACAGGATCAAACAAATTGATACTCCAATTCTGGTTTACATACATTAACCTACCTTCTTCCACCCCATTTTCGACCTTTATTTTCATCCAAATCCCTCCAATTTCATCCATTTTCATTGTCAATATAGCCTCCCTAGGCCTTAAATACCTACTTTCCTCCGATTCCGAGCCGGAGATTATCCCCGAGCCTCTACCTACCGAGCCAATCACCCAGCCAATCACAGAGATATTTATATTCCCGCTTCTCCCGCTACCCCAGCAATTTCCTATATCCGAGGAAGGGGTCGAGGCTGTGAATAGCTTTGCGCGTCCGTATAGCTATACAGTGATAACTCGCCGCTCAAAATTCACAAAGAAAGGAGTTAAGAAGACAATTCGGCTAATTTATGACCGTGGCCGTAAGCTACTATCCAATCCTCCGGAATCGAATCCTCTACCATCGAATCCTCCACTATCGAATCCTCTACCGTTAAAGAAACGGAAGACAAGTACCTGTGCACAGGAGTGTCCCTTTAAAATAGCGCTTCGCCTAGACCTACAGACTAACCTTTGGTATCTTACACTTGAGGATCCTATATATAATCACCCCTACTCGCCGGTATCAACCTATCCTAGTCAGCGGGCTCTCGAGCTAAATAAGAAAAAGGAAGAGATCGATAACGCGGTCCAGTAAGGCCGTACAATACGTCAAATTATAACTAAGCTTCGTGAAGCTAATCCTGATACTATCCTTATTCCCCGGGATATCTACAATACTCGTTAGAAGCTAAACTAGGAATTCCTAGCTGGCTGTACCCCCCTTTAGGCGTTATTGATAGAACTCCCTAAGGATAGTAGCTGGATTTTCAAATACGAGCTAGACAACGAGTCTTATATATCTAGCTTGTTTTGTATATATAAGACAAGTGTTACAATACTTCGAATAAATCCCTAGGTGATCTCTATAGATTGTATATATAAGACTAACCGTTATAGTCTTCTATTGCTTAATATTGTGGGTTTTGCTGCTACTAGAATAACGTTCTATATTAGCTTTGCCTTTATACGAGATAAAAAGGATAATATATACGAGGTAAGTATATACCTAATCTATAATCCTAATATACCTAATACTAATATCTTATTGGTTACTAGGTAATACTTACCTATCTTACTAAAGCTTACGAATCTCTCTGCCTTACACCCCCGTGTACAATCCTTACTGATAAAGAGAGAGCGTTAATAAATACAATTAAGAGTGTTTTCCCGGAGACAAAAAATATGATTTATATTTGGTATATCAATATAAATATCTTAAAGAAAGCCCGCCCCCTTCTCGCTGATTAAGTTGCAAAAGCACGTCGTGAAGCTCTTAGAAACAATCCTCGCCGTCTTACCCCCGCCGAAGCCCAAGAAGACCGTAAAAAGGCCGAGGAGGGTTAGAAGAAGATACTTTGTCGGTGGAATCGTGTTATATACGCAACTACAATAGAGGAAAAGGACCGTCAATAGAGCAATTTCAAAGAGCGATACGCTGACCCCCTCTTTGCCCTATTACTAGACTATATACAGTAAGAATAGATAGACGATTGCCCAGAACGATTCCTTTATTACTATATATCACAATATCTCTATCTTAATAAGATTGCTACATCCCGTACAGAGAGCGCGCATTGGCTTCTTAAGCAAGGTCTCCAGGTTTCGAATAATAACTTACTTACAGTCCTTACCAGTTTTACCCGGTCGGTTGACTATCAATTTATAAAGGTCCAATATAAAATTGAGAATCAGAAGATACAGAGATCAACCCAGATTCCACGCCTTTACAAGCTGCTTTATACCCGGATCTCAATACGGGCAATTCAACTTACAAAGGAGGTTTACGGACGGTATCTACCCCCAGGAGACGACAAGCCGCAAATTCCTCCTTTATATATTTGCAATTCGAAAGAAACCGCCGGATTCCTATATATATATATAGTCCAGCAGTATAAACAGGAAGAAAGATCTCTTGAACCAGAGCTTTACCACCAACACTGGCATTTATACAGTGTTAACAACGCTCCACCTATCGATCTATTACTTCTCATACAGGATCCCCTTCCAGTACGTCGACGCGGACGCCCCCGAGGTACTAGGAACCTTCCAAGCACCCAGGCAAGCACCCAGGCAAGCACCCAGGCAAGCACCCAGGCAAGCACCCAGGCAAGCACCCAGGCAAGCACCCAGGCAAGCACCCAGGCAAGCACCCAGGCAAGCACCCAGGCAAGCACCCAGGCAAGCACCCAGGCAAGCACCCAGGCAAGCACCCAGGCAAGCACCCAGGCAAGCACCCAGGCAAGCACCCAGGCAAGCACCCAGGCAAGCACCCAGGCAAGCACCCAGGCAAGCACCCAGGCCAGCACCCAGCAAGCGCAATCTTCGCCTAATCCTCTCACACAGGATCGTTCTGTACACCGAGATCCATCATCATAGGAGGAGAGCCGAGGACGAGGACGAGGACAGCCGCGGGGAAGGGGACGTGGGCGTAGAACAAACAGTGGTGAAACTGGCAGTGGTAACACCGAGACTGGAGGACGTGGACGGGGTCGAGGACGGGGAAATCGCGCGCGGGGAGGTGCCTGAGAAGTATAATGATCAATTTGTAGAGTATAAAGGCAGTAATCATGCAGAAATGTACGATTTTTTCTGATCAAAATGCAGGTTTTTTTACTATGTAAACCAGAATTATATGGTGGTGGCAGAATAAATGGCAGAAAACTCTGCACCTGGCAGAAAGTATGGCAGGCCTGAAAAGTCCGGCAGGGGGGGGTCCCATTAGCCAAGGGGGGGGGTCCCTCTATCAATCCCCTTTCAATATATCTATATATTTCTTATTGTACACTCCTGTTGCGGCTGTATAGTAGAGGTTGGCCTCTTCTAATCGAAAAGCGGCTCTAGATTGTCTCTGTTAGTCGATACCTATTTTATCAAAATCATCGGGGAGAGATAGAATATATAGACTTTGAGGCCGGGAATAGTCGTGCTCACAGAACGCGGGATAGCCTACTTGTATAAAGCGGGGAAATATTACGGCGTCCTACCAATCAATAATACTGATGATTTTAGTTGATCCGGGTGCCAATAAAATATTACTTAAACTCAAATCGGGATATCTTAGCGTCGGGGCGCTGTAAGAACCTAGTCGGATTAAATAAGGGGCCTATTTTAGAAATTGCGAAAGTAACGAGGTATACTTAGAGGGATAAATATTATAGTTAGTTAGAAGAAGGAATATCTTACGAGGTTGAGCTTTAGCGTGATACTGAATAACAGCTATCTCTCGGCGAGCCGCGGACGTAATACAGTCCACAGTTGAAAGCCCTATAGTAATAATTAATACTGGTTATATAAGTTGTTTTCTACCAATCAAGAACAAAAGGGAAAGGGGTAAAGGAGGAACCTATAAGGCCCACGGTCAATTTCTGTTTTGCTCCGTTCGTTATACCAAAACTGCCGGGGAGACACAGGGCCGATACAAAAATCTTCCACGATCGGTATCTGGATATCCTCGTTAAGGTCCTTCTTATAATATAAGCTTCTATACGCAGGAAAATAGAAGTCAAAAATCTTCCTCTCTATATCTGCAATTTGTGTTATAATATCTTTCACCTCGCCAGTTGTCAGAGATAACCACCGAGAGGAAAGACTTTCTCCCTCCACTCGCTCTATCAGTATATACTCTGCTCCGACGGGATTGTCCGATGATATTGAATATACCAACACCTCCGGTACCGGCAATTTGAGGACAGCTCGCAAAAAATTCATGGTAGCTACCTCACTGGCGGTTGTGTAATAAGGAGGCCCGGCAACGGGTGTAGGAATTCGCGCAATCACTTCACAGCCATTCTTTGCTCGTAGAAGAAACACCTTGTTGAAGCCTCCCTCTGCAAACTTGGCAATATCAGAGCAATAGTCTTGTTGTAATGCTTCGCCGGCGATCTTTTGGAGCTCTGTTGGTCGAAACTTGACGTATCGTTCGTTTGAACGGTCGGTCTCATTGAATCTAGCTGACATTTAGTACTTGTTATCAGAGCCATAATAGGCTTCACTTACATCCATCGTCGTCATGTATTCTGAAAGAATTCCTCGCGGAGTCCTTCTGGACTGGTAGATAAGTGATGGCGGGAGGAAACAGACATGGCAGACTGCTCTTTGCGGAAACAGGGAATGGGTGATATACTTCTAGCGATGACGAGTCTCTGAAGAAAGGTGAAAAAAGGATCATAACTATGGGAATAACGGCACAGCTTTGCAATAAAATACACCGAGCTTATAAGTACCTACTGCATTTTGGAATAGAGATTGTTCGTAGAGTCAAGTGAATGCTAATTTCATGGTGCTGTCCTCGATAGTGATCTTCCACTTGAAAATGCCAATGATGATTCATTAGATTCTCAGCAAATATAGACCTATTGATATACAAGCATGCAACAGAGTTAAATATAGAAAGATGACGTAGATTTTCTAAATAAACCACAGGGTTCCCAGCTTTGCATGGAGCCACGAGGGTACCGGCAGCGGGATAATGCATAGCGAAGCCACGCAATTATTTTCAGACCAGCTGCCATTCGTCACTAGCTCACTAGCAATTAGATTATTGCATGCTGGAATAGACAGACCAATCGGAGTTTTTGATCGACGAGTAGCTTTTCCGGAAGCCAATTAGCGTGTGCAGGGGTATTTTATCTTGAGCATTGGACCGAATACGGGGCTAGAAATATATTGCAAATCCTCGAAACTCGCTGGGATTTTTGATGGAGTCGAGAGATACTATTTTATTAGTGTGGAATATAGTTTTACCGCTAGGTCTATCTCATAAGTTATGCTGTTTCTGGCCAACCTAGTAGAAGAGCGTCAGCCTGATTCGGATTTTCTGAAGGTGCATATCCTGTTCAATAGAGAATATGGTGGGCCTTGAAACGCTCCTCGAGGCTTCACTAGCCGTGCCGCACTCAATTCTCCAATGATCATCATTATATAGATAAGCCGGGAGGTATGGAGTGTAGCGAAGCAATGCATGTTTCACTTGACACGATATCAGGCTTGCTTCCACCTAGTCTGAAGTATCCAGTCAATTATCGTTCATCCGTTATTCTGATCTTGAAATACGAGATCACCAGAAAATGGATGGGCCCGAAGACTATGGATAAGGCCTCCAGAGGGAAATCAAGGAAGCAATCTTTCATTTGCATCTTTGCTGATATTCATGTGTGAACTTAAAGAAATTTTATATATCTGTTATCTACACGCTACACAATAGAGTTGGATCTACATCCAATCATCGCACCTACTCCACAAACTGGGCCCCTGGTGGACCAGCTCGAATGTCTCACGGGATGCAACGTTGGGCTTCGCCATGCACTGTATCATGTTTGAAAACCGCCCGGAGGGCCGAGAAGAGTGCATAAGCCGTGTCTGTGGTAATATGTAAAAGGTTGTAGCCAATATATATTGACCTTGTGAGGGTGAAAACTTTGTAAATCTATCAACCATGCATTGCAGATTCTCATCTCCTATTATTGAAGCATATGGAACGGATTTCTTTTCTTTGGGGAATATCTGATTTGCACTTCACCTTCTCGCTATATATTATGCAACTATTAATTGAGAAACATGGCCTAAACTGACCCAAGGCTTGAATAGTACAAAGTACATATCTACGATGTAGGCTACCTGTAATCGTTTCGGACGACGAGTACAAAGTAGTTACGCAGTATCAAATCTACATTTATGGAGTAATTTTTATAACATCTGCTAGTAGGACACGGAAGGAAAACATATGGGGCACGCTTTGGCGATCGATAATTGAAAATTTCCTACGTTGCATGTGAGCTGCATAAGATATTGACATTCTACAATATTGTAGTTCTAGACGTAAAGCCATGGATGAGCCCAAGGAACTCTTTCAGGCTCTCCTGAAATGCTCGTTAGGGACCAGGTGGAAATCAAAACCGCTCTATCTAATATCAGATGGAGTCAGATGGAGTCAGATGGAGCTAGCCCTGGATGGATAACTCTAGATGGATCCAGTTACGCACACAACCCCCGTATCAGAGAGGCTGGACCGGAGCCCCGAACGGCTGAAACCGCTCCTCGGGCGAACATCTGTGTTAAGACCGAATATCGTAACCCTTCTGAGTAGAAATAGAGAGGTATTCCATGGATACGATGCCTGATAATCTCCGAGCCCCAGAGCCAAGATGCGAACCGATTTTGTACCCAGGTACACCGTATATTCAAATATGCTTTTATTTCAGTTGTAACCGTGAATGGGGATATCCCAAGGAATCATCAGCTCACAAAAAAGCTCATGATCATGATAGGTGAACAATTTTGCATTTTTCGGATAACGATTAGTCCGCAAGACATTGGGTCCGAGATATCCGCTCAGCCCTGATTTCTGATTGCGAGATTCAAGTTGAATTTTTCGCAAGCCCAGACTCGAGGGCCCTAAAAATTGGTTCTTCAATATCCATTTCTCCAGTTCAACGTGAATTCTAGACCCAAACACAAAAGGGTTGGGTATTCTCGCGTGGTTGGAAACATTTCAAATCCGACTCATGCAGAAGCAAATAACGTTGGAAACTTGATCTAGAACAAGGACCTAGAACCTGTAATCTGTGCTTTAGTTAGTAGAAAATACCAAAATAGCACACAATATAGCATGAAAGTATGAAGAGTGGCGAAGCCCATTCAGGCCCACCACAGACGGGATGGGCTCGGTACATAGTTGGTCGCCCTAGTTGTAGTAGCGCAGACAGAGGAGTCCCAGGCACAGAGTAGATCATACTGAATGTACTCCGTAGATGATACCAGGATACGAGAGAATGAAAGAAGAAAAAAAAGAAACAAAAAAGAAACAAAACAAATAGTAAAAAGCCGTCAATAAGTTGCAAATAAAAAAAAAGAAAGCCAAGAATTTTAGTTGGTCTGAGTGGTTAACTCTCTCTCCCCGGCTCCCCTCAGTGAACTCTCTCGTCACACTAGTCTCAAACTCCTCCCTTCCTTTTCAACTTGGCCTTCTCACCTTACATCACATCACTCTCATCTATAATAAACCAACCTCTTCTTGCTCATTATTATCTCGAGTTGAAGAGTCTGCTGTATCTGATTGCCCCCCATTCCTCGCCCATCCTCGCCCGGTAGCGAAACGGATTGATCAAACAACGAGGTGGCCCGACAGGGCTGCCAGACCGATAGGAAATGTCTGGTCATATTTCATCAGAGCATTCTCGCTCTGATTCACGATCTTCTCAAACGCCACACTCCGGGAATTCGACGCCTCGCCACTCCTTCGGTTGCACCTCCACCTCCAATCCAAACGTCTTCGCCGATGAATACTCATTAGAACCCATTGACTCCGATCGCATCGAACGCCCCCACAGTCCCTCTTCTATTGCATCCTCCGCCACTATTCGTGAAAACGCCCAGTCAAGGACTGTCAGCACGGCCACAACTGAGAACGACAACCCTTTTGGTGATGACGCTCGAGTGTCCTTCGATGAACCTCATCGGTCAAGTCTGCCTCAAAAGGGGTATAGTTTTGCCAACAACCGTAACTCGACCTCCTCTCTCAACTCGACACCTTCGATGATCCAGCGAAATCAAAGTGTTTCTTCTCGTTTCTCGATTCCCCGCGCTCTCAGCCCCTACACCGGAGCCACCGGACCCAGCCATCCATATGGTATGTATCCACAAGTTGGGGTTAGCCGGACCCCCAGTGTAGGTAGTACTTCGACGATACGTCCAGTCGAACGCCCACTTGAACAATCAACTGGTCCACAGCACCCCTACGCGATGTACTCCCAGAATGTGGTCGAGGAAGGAATGGATGATGATATAATTCCAGTCGGATTTCCAGGCCACAACCCACCATATCAGCCGCCCGCTGGTCGTCAGGCTGATGACGTGGGTGATATCATTGGACTGGATGGTCACGCAGAGCCACTACCGCCATATTCACGCTATCCAACTGGTGTCGTACCCAAGCCTCCAGGGGCTGAGACGACGGCCGATCTCAACACTCCACCAGAGGAACACTGTCTCAACAATGAAAGCCCAAGACCGCCACCAGTTTCAGAAACATCATCAAGGCCTTTGATGCCTGAACATTCTGATTATGGGAATGATGGTGGACGCGGGGAGGACAGAGTCGCTGCGACCACAGGAATTATGGCATTTGAAGAGAAGCTTAAACGCAAGGGGAAACAAACTGCGTGTTGTGGCCTGCCGGTGTGGACTTTGGTTCTCATTGTAACTGTGATGATCATAGGAGGGTGTATTGGAGGTATCATTGGGGGCATTTTGGGGACCAAGAAAGCTGCAGAAGCGGCAACTGGAGACCAAGAAGCTCAAAAATCCAGCATATTACCAATTATAACGGTCACTGCGACTCCCCAGATGGATGCATCTATGATACCCACCCCCACAAACATCAGACAAATCCCTACCGGTCACTACATGGTTCCTTCCGGTTACCAGAACGGATCGGGGCTTTGCGTGGACGAGTCGAATTACGGGAAAGCTTGGAAATGCATGCAAGCGCCGAGCGAATTTGACATTTATATCAACGAAACAAGAGGTCACTATTCCGTCATTTTCGACTACGATTCTCCAACCCCGACCTTCACATATGGTGCCCAGGCGCCATATTGGTCTGCTTCGCCTACACAAGCCTTGAGTATGGCCATTGATACCACTGATATTGGCATGGGCCCCGCTCTGTTTTTCCTTTCCCCGTTCGACAAGTTGGTCATTGTCCCAGACGAAACATTCTCTAACTCCCTCTCCAAGCGCTCATGGGTGGAAGATGGGTGGACACAGACAAGTGCATATAAGAACATGAAGCAGACTGCAGAAATCGGCGACAAGCCGTGGTTCTGTTGGTGGAATAACACGATGATGGAGTTCTTCTTATACGTCAACCAGTCGACGTCGTATTCCTTGAGCGATACCGCTTCCGTCAACAGCAACATGCCGGCAAGCACAGCTGGCTTAAATGCTGACTCTAAACGCGGCACCTACTCGCTCGCTCATTACCCACGGAGGATCAAGATGGAGGAGCGCCGAGACGACCCATTGCGTGAACCTCCTTATTGTCAGCAAATGCAAATTCGCAGTAACGGGGGTCTGGCGCTTCTTTCGGGCAATGTCATCAACATTAAAGAGAATGAGCCCACGCCGACTACTACCTACACCAATTATAACGGTCGCACTGCTCAGACATACACTGCCCAGGCATCTTATGCTAGCCCGTGCTACTGTGTGTCTCTGACTGACTAGTCGGATCCAACCTGAAACAATATCATTTATTCATTGTGGTCTCTCTTGCTGCGGACCTAGGCGTTGGCGTTGGATTGGCCAGCGAACTGGTCTCAAACTCATGTGCACATGATCGTCTTCCTTCTTGACTGTGTGATTTTATCTTCCTTCCATCCCCGCAAGCTACTCGCCTTGTGGGACGTTCCGTTTCTTGCATTATCCGTGACTATGCCTCCTCATTTCTTTCTTTCTTTTTTTTGCCAACTGTCATTGCGGTATGACATGATTCTCATTACTTTGCGATTTTCCCCCGATACTTCCTGGGCTATACTTGTTATATCTGTCGATTGCCTCTCAATGCTTTCGACTCTGGCGTTTATTGGATTGGTGTGGTTCAGGTACTGCGATATGCTTGATTGTATATCGTTCTCATATACTATCTTCTTATGATGCTGGGTTGAATTTTATTCTATCTTAGCATTTGAAGAGAAGCAGTTCTATCATCATCTCTCTCAATCATATTACAAGATATGTAGACAATGATTTTGGTTTAGCTTTTGTAGGATAACATAGCATGTGCTAATGGCCATCACTGGGAATTCCATCCTATGAATATCTGAATCAGAAGTTCTACATTGAAATGAAAGAAAGAAAGCTAATACACATCATACGCTAATCTTGTCGAGTTACAGACTACCCTTCGTATACCTGCATATGTAGGTAGCGGGTTTCGCTTATCATTCCGTGAGGTATGTAGGTACCTACGGAGTACGGAGTAGACAAACCTCATTTACGGACCCGTGCATGTGGACGGAAAAGTGGACCCCACACTAGATGACTCAGCAACACATCACGTGTAGAGATGTTACACGTGACAATACCCCAACATGTAGACTGGAAAACGATGGGCAATGAACTAAAGGGGAAGTAAAAATTAGACAATGATGTCGTCTAAGATTCGGTAAAGCTCAAGTAACTCTTTGAAACTTCGAAGACAGGAAGGTGTGTCTTGTACAAAATAGTGCACCCCGATGCCAGATTGGGAGCTCCCGCTCGACACCTGAGGCAGGCACACTTCCGACAACTCGCACCTTGCACCCCATTCCTCTTGCAACCTCTCCATCTCATCGTTCCCCATCCATTCCTCTCCCACAGTGTCATCTTCTTTCCCGATACCCTCCCTCTCTCGATATCGCATGATCTCGCGTCTATTTCATTGATCTGCTTTATCGATTTCCCCCCGTTTATTGCGCCTGTGACTCTTAAAAATCTGTCTTTGGACCTCCAGATCAAATGATCGCGTCTCCTAGATGACCTTCCCTCCCCCTCACCCTTCCGCCCAATCGTCGATTGCTTCTGGCACCGATAAATCTTCTTCGACCAGGACCGATATTGGTGCCTGGGGTCGGTCCGTGTCGCAGTCCGGCGCACGTCGTGGGTTGACTCCACTCGCGACTAACATCTCCTCCGCCGCTCCCCCCACGGCTTCCCGGGGCTTGGACGCAGGCCTTGGGGTTTCAACACCATCTTCGTTCTCTGCCGTGTTGAGTTCTGCTAGGGGTCTCTCCGGTGGAAGTCCCAAACCCACATCTTCGCCGTTCACATCATTGCAATCTGGCTCGCAACAGCACGCAACAACCCTCTCGTCTCCCAAGTTCCGAGCTCACACCCCTTCCATAGGGTCCCAGTTGGCCTCTGCTACAGGCTCCGCCCCGGGTGGAGGAGGTACTGGGGGAGGTGGTGGTGGGCCGGGATCTTCTAGAGGTGTCTTCTCGCCGCTCTCGTCCGGAACAACCGTGAATTCTCCTACAGGCTTCGCTTCTGACAAGCCGGGTTCTACAGCCGCACACTCGAGCCAATCGTCGCTCACCAAAATCTCCATTGCCCAGGTATTCCTGTTGCTGGATTCTATCACAGAGAAGGAAGGAAAGGAAAAGTGGGAAACAAAGGCTGCCCAGATACATAAGGTTGGTGATGCTGCCATATATCTCATTCTGTTCGATTCTAATAAACGCAGCTCGTGACATCTAACGGGATGGAGGTCTTTTCCAAATACTTTCGCCGCCTCCTCACAGGAAATGCGCCACAAATCTTCCCGGGCGTCAACAAGTCCGTTGAGAATGCAGGCAACTACCCTCTCCTTGTCCAAGAGCTGCAGAAAGTGTCTTCGGACATGGAACAGTCTCAGAAAATCGCTGAGACAGTAGATACCTCTGAAGGAGATATCTTCCGCGACTTCGACCTCTCCACTTTCCTGGATCATTTCCGACTCGACCCAGTTGTCAAGGTTGCACTCGCCTTGGCCTTTAAACTGACTAGCAAGTCGGATCTTCGTGCTAAAGGTATGTTTGCTTCTTTCCACCTCTGAATTAACTCTAACCATCCCCGCTAGCCGACGCCATCCTCTCGAATTCGATTGGCCCTTTCTTGCAGAGCTTGGCGGGTCCCAACGATGTGACTAAGGATTATTCCAACTCTTTCCTCGGCATGACGATTGAACGTTTCATCTTATACCCTCCCCGCAATTTCACCGACGATGTCAAGGCGAAGCTTGTTTACGCGGCCAATCTGCGATACCAAAAACTTGGCGTGGATATGCCATTCGAAGTTTCCTCCGCCCTACAGATGTTCAACTTTGTCAACCCTCAATACGTCCTTGTGCGACAGCTTCACGCCAAGGGACCTCGTGCCACTGCAAATGTCGAGACAATAACTGAACTGCTTAATGCAGATCCTAAGAACTGGTGCGAAGAACATCTAGCAAGCGCCCTTCTCTTCATGATCTTGTCGCAATACTGGGAACAATTCTCGCTAGAGACATTCTTAAGTGCATACACCGACAAGCCTATCAATTGGCCCCTGGTGTTCCGCCATTTTGATCGCGAGGGCCTCCGAGTGGATCCAAAGCAATTTACCAAATTGTACAGCGTGCTTTTGTCAGTCGACGACTCGTCTTTGGATGTTCAAAAGCTTTGGGGTGGAGACTGGGAACACCGTGACACGCAGATGTCATTCCTGACAGCTTTTGTGGCCGCTCGGATCGACCCGTCACATATCACTAACCTTCGCGCAACCTTCCCCACTGACTTCTTTGAAGACGCCCCTGATATCGTCAAATTGCAAGGCGAGCGTGCGGCGAAGTCACCCCTTCGGTCCATGGACGCTATGAAGGCAATTTTCGACCTCGCCTTGTACTCCCAGTCTTCGTGGGCTGCCACAGAAAGCCAGCTCCTCATAAAAGCGGTTGTTCAATTTGATCTGCCAGTCTTCCTTTGTTCCGCTCTTGCTATTCCGCAGCCGTGGTCCAGTGTCCAGCAAAGCTTTGTACTACGCACATTCATCGTTTTCATTTCGAAGCAAGAAGATGGGTATCAGCTCGCTCTCCACGGTGCCTGGCGACAGGATCGACAGTGGGTATCAGAACAGCTTTTCACCACTTTCACTCAGGATCCCACGTCCACCGCCGTGATCTATGAGCACGCCGCGGCATATGGATGGCTTGATTTCCTCCTTGGGTTCACCAACGGTCTTGCCCTTGATCTTGCCTGCTACTCCCACCGTAAGAGTCCCTTTGACCTTGAGCAGTGGGTTCGAAATGCCGCGCAGAAGGGTGCTATTGATATGGGTGGTCTCCTCTCCAAGTTCCTGCGCATCAAGGCCGAGGACGAATTGCACGTCCAACGGAAGGAGCAGTCTGCTCATCAAATGGTCAGCCTCGCAGTCAAAACTGTCTATACGCTTTTGTCTGTGTTGGAAGAATACGTCGGGGACCGAGAAAATCTCACACCTGTCCAGCGCATTTGCATTCAGACATACCCTCGCCTGATCAACTACGGCGAAGGATTCGATGATATCATCGACGCCAATGGCGAGAACGGCAACACATTGCCCGACTCTATCGACAAGCAAATGCAAGAGCTCTTTGGTAAAATGTATCACGAGGAACTTTCGCTCCGTGAGATGCTAGAGTTGATGCGCAAATACAAGTCTTCGCGCGACCCTATAGAACAAGATCTGTTTGCCTGCATGGTGCATGGTCTAGTTGACGAATATCATTGTTACCACGAGTACCCGCTCGAGGCTCTGACTAAGACTGCGGTCATGTTTGGTGGCATCATCAACTTCCGTCTTGTTGACGGCATCACGCTGAAGGTCGGCCTTGGTATGATCCTCGAGGCTGTCCGCGAACATGAACCTCACGACCCGATGTACAAGTTCGGCGTGGAAGCCATTGAGCAGTTGATCAACCGTCTTCCTGAATGGGCTGGTTTCTGCCACCTGCTCTTCCAGATTCCCTCTCTTCAAGGCACGCCCATCTATCAAAAGGCCGAGGAGGTTCTTCGTGAGCAGGGAAACCAGATTGGCGAAGCTGAGGCAGGACCCTTTGATGGTCTTGCTTCTGTGCCTCTGACTAATGGCAATTCTGTTGACTCCCCCATCGCTGATGGTTCTGTGCGCAAGTTCCGTTCCGTTCAACTCGACCCACCCCTTCGATCCGAACTCTATGAAGACCCAGACGAAGACATCCAGGACAAGATTCTATTCGTTCTCAACAACGTTTCTGAGCAGAACATTGACGAGAAACTTGAAGATCTGCAAGAAGTGTTACGGGACCAACACCATCAGTGGTTCGCTGCATACCTGGTGGAAGAACGTGCCAAGTTGCAGCCCAATTTCCAGCAGCTCTATCTCGACCTTCTTGGGCGCATTGGCGACAAGATCCTCTGGGCCGAGGTCCTGCGGGAGACCTATGTTAGTCTCGCTAAGTTGATTAACTCTGAAAACACCTTGAGCTCGTCTACCGATCGCGGTCACTTGAAGAACCTTGGTGCTTGGCTTGGTTCGCTGACTATTGCCAAAGACAAGCCCATCAAGCACAAGAACATCTACTTCAAGGGCCTTCTTCTAGAAGGCTATGACACCCAACGCCTCATGGTCACGATCCCCTTCACCTGCAAAGTTCTTGTGCAGGCTACCAAATCCACAGTCTTCAAGCCACCCAACCCCTGGCTGATGGATATCTTGGGCCTGTTGTTGGAACTTTATCATTTCGCCGAATTGAAGCTCAATCTCAAGTTCGAGATTGAAGTCCTCTGTAAAGATCTTGATCTCGACCACAAGACCATTGAACCTGCCGTCGTCATTCGCGATCGTGCTGCACACGCCGAGGAACCACTGCCCACTGTTAACGCCCCAGATGGCCTTGCTGAGCCATTCGAGGACTTGTCCCTCAACGCTATCAACCCATCCATCCGGAACGAGAGGTTATCTCCGGCGGCGATCATGTCAACACTGCCAAGCCTAGATAAGATACTTGTCCTGCCCTCATCGGCGAGCAGCATGGTCGATCCCGCCATTCTCAAACAGATTGTGCACACCGCAGTCGAGCGCGCCATTGCGGAGATCATTACTCCTGTTGTTGAGCGATCTGTCACCATTGCATCCATTTCAACTGTACAACTTGTCTCCAAGGACTTTGCCATGGAACCTGATGAAGAACGTGTGCGCCATGCTGCGGGCATCATGGTCCGACAACTTGCCGGCAGCCTGGCACTCGTCACGTGCAAAGAACCTCTGAAGGTTAGCATGACTAACTACATCCGCATGATTCAGCAAGACTACTCTGAGCAGCCTATGCCGGAGGGCTTGATTCTTATGTGTGTGAACGATAACCTCGATGCTGCCTGTGGTATTGTCGAGAAAGCTGCAGAGGAAAAGTCCTTGCCTGAGATCGAGAAGGTGATTGAGCCTCAATTGGAGGCCCGTCGTCGCCATCAGGCCAGTCGCTCCAACGACCCTTTCATTGATCCTTCAATGAACCGTTGGGGATTATTCATTCCGGAGCCCTACCGGCAAGCGCCTGGCGGTCTCAACAAGGAGCAACTCGCCATCTATGAAGAGTTTGCCCGTCAATCTCGAGGCCCGGCGCCATCCACTGATGCATCTGCCGGCCGTCAACTCCCCGACGTGCTTGGAGAATCCTACCCCGCTATTCCGAATCTTTCTACCCCGGCTGAGCAGCCTGCCATTCCTCACAGAACCCCCCAGGCGCAACCTGCTGTTTCTCAAATGCCTCCCGTTCAGACCAATGGGTTCCTCGATGCTCAAAGTCCTCGAGAAAGAGTGGAAAGCCTGGTCTCCGACCTTCAGCAGTCTGCTCGCAACGCCCCTGAAGAACACGTGAAGGATCTTGGGAGAGACAGTGCGGTACTTCAAGAATATAACCAGGCCTTGCGCAGCATCCTTGCCTCGACGAACGGAGAGGAGCTGGCTCGACTGACCTCTTTGAAGGTTTGCACCCTTTTGTATTCCCAGCCTCACGGATCCCTCGAGATTGAAGTTCTCGTGCACCTTCTCGCCAAACTCTGCGATATGTCGAGCCTCATTGCCCGGTACACGTGGGCACTGCTCTCCGAAGTTGACGATGAGCACATGTTCAATGTGCCAGTCACCGTTGCTCTCATTGATGCAGGCCTGCTGGATATCCGTCGGGTCGATACGAACCTGACCCGACTCATTATATCCAGGAATGTGCCCGCTTTGGAGTTGCTGGGTAACCTGATGGACCGCGTTCTTTTCAATGAAGAACCCTCGGCCCTTCGATCAGACTTCTCCGGCAGTCTAGATGCCATGAGCCAATGGCTTGCCGAAGATCCAAGCGTTGCTCCCGGTCTCGAGATCGTGCGAAAGCTGCGCGAGTGTGGTATCCCTGAGGTGGTCAACTCTCTCCTCAGTGATCAAGCCAGGTCCAAGCGAGACCAAATGGAGTACATCTTCAGCGAGTGGATTGGTATTTACAAAGCCCCCGGTGCGACTGACCGCACCTTCCACTCTTTCCTTCAGGATCTCCATAACCGCCAAGTGATGAACAACCAGGAGGATTCCGCACTATTTTTCCGTCTCAGCATCGACATTTCCGTCGCCATGTTTGAGCATGAATCTCAGAACCCCAACGGCGGCAGCCTTGACGAGGCGTTCCTTTACATCGATGCCCTTGCTAAGCTCGTGATTCTTCTCATCAGATTCCAGGGCGAGAGCACCGGTGCCGTCAAAGCCAATAAGGCTACGTATTTCAACTCCATTTTGTCTCTCTTGGTTCTAGTCCTCAACCACCACCAGGTCATGAGAGGAGAAGCTTTCAACCAGCGTGTATTCTTCCGCCTCTTCTCCAGCATTCTGTGCGAGTACTCCATGAACGGCCTCCAGCACACTGAGCAGCACCAGGGAATGATCTTTGCCTTGGCCAACAAATTCCTCTCATTCCAGCCCCGTTACGTCCCTGGGTTTGTTTATGGTTGGCTTTGCTTGGTCTCCCACCGGGTCTTCATGTCCGACATGCTTAACATGCCCGATCGTGCAGGATGGGCGCCTTACTGCGAAATCATGCAAGCGTTGCTGTCCTACATGGGCGAGCAACTCAAGGCTGCCAACATTACATACGTTGCTAAGGATCTATACAAGGGCGTTCTTCGTATCTTGTTGATTCTGCACCACGATTTCCCCGAATTCGTGGCTGAGAACCATTTCCAGTTCTGCAATGTGATCCCAGCTCATTGCGCTCAGCTCCGCAATCTGGTCCTCAGTGCATATCCATCATCGTTCCAGAAACTTCCAGATCCTTTCCGCGAAGGCTTGAAGGTCGAGCGTATCGAAGAGATGCGGGAAATCCCCAAGATTGCTGGTGATATCGTTGCTCCTTTGCAGGTTGCCAACATCAAGGAGGTCGTTGACGATGTGCTCCAGAATGAGAGCATCTCGGAGTCGGCTGTTCAGCAGCTTTGCGACGCCATTCTCACCCCAGATTCCAAGGACACTGGCCTCTTCTTTGTCCCCGTCGACGTTGATGTCGTCCTAGTTAACGCGCTTGTGCTGTATATTGGCCAACAAGCCGCAGTGCAGCATGCTTCCAAGGGCGACACCCGCAGTGCCTTTGAGAACTCGACCCACGCTGCTCTTCTGGAGAAGATTGCCCAAGTTCTGCGACCTGAGAGCCGCTACTACTTGCTTAGTGCAATGGCCAACCAGCTCCGCTACCCCAACAGCCACACCTACTTCTTCAGCTTCACGATTCTCCGTCTGTTTGGCGTGGACTACTCCGAGCAAGATGAATCGGATATCCGCCAGCAAATCATTCGTGTGTTGTTGGAGCGTCTGATTGTCCACCGCCCGCATCCGTGGGGTTTGATCATCACCCTGCAGGAGCTCCTCCAGAACCGGAGCTACTCATTCTTCCGCCTTCCCTTTATCCAGGCGGCACCCGAGGTAAACTTACCCCCAATCTTCTACAATCTTGCGATACTAACTCCTTCTCAGATCGGCCGTCTTTTCGACGCCCTTCTCCAACATATCCAACAACAGAGCCCTCGGCCCATCGCCTAGACTTCTCTCGGTTTCTCATCCTCATTCCCTCCTTCTATCTCTCCTCAAGTTCTTTTTCTGGTAACTCGGGCGGTACAGGAGTACTTGTTGCATGTAATTTTCACAGGGTTTTCTTCCGCAATTGCTCCTTTGCGTCTTTCTCGATTTTATCTTTTCAGTTTCATGTTACGGCAGGGGCTAGCCGTGGTGATGGCATGCATATTTACTTTTTTTCTCTTACGATTTTCGCATGACTTGAGGTTCCATGATATTTCTTTTCGCGTCTCATGCCGCCCGTGATCTGTAATGATAAGACTGTAAAATCTGGAGTTGACGGTGTCATAATTATCTACATGGGGCAATGCTAATTTACTATTCTCATGATCATTGTAGCTTCTTTTTGGGCCTTCCGTACGGCTATAGTGTACCTAATGAACGAACCACATCTTTGTCACAAACCATGTAGCACACTTGCCCCAAACCGAATACATTTTAAAGAGAATAGCCCTCATGGTCTCATTGATATGTACATATGTAGGCATACAACTATAAGATGTGCAAGAAGGGAGAGGAATTGGCATATGGTTGTAGGGCGAACCTGACCTCGGTGCAGATAACGGAGATAACAGGATAAGCTTCATGAGACCTCAACTTCCCCAGTTTGTTTCTGCCAACTATTCCCCTAAAATGGCGGACTCGGAATTTGGAGACGAGTCCGAATATGGTCCATCCTCTGTCAGGACAGTTATCATGGTGGGTATAATGATGCAAATTTCTCAGTTGTAACTAACGCAAGACAGGACGCGGTCCTCGCGCCGTTCCGCGTGCTGGTATCCAAGTCCGCCTTACGGCTATACCTGAACACGCTGCTGTTCATGGGCGCTGCAGCGCTGCTAATAGGTATCTCCGCAATTGCATATGGGGTCTTCTATTTAAAGTTCATTCCTACGGTCGGATTACAGCGTGAAGTCCATCTACAATTCGGGTATGATCACATTCCCCGCAACTAGACACTCAGCTTAACTAACTTGTGCACAGTAATGGCAATCCCTGGGGCACGGCGAACTTCGACTCAGAATTTGTGGCTCTCCAACCCTACGATGTATCCGTGACGCTCGAGCTTCCACGCACACCCTCAAATCTCGATACAGGCAACTTCATGCTTGACCTCACCCTCTTTTCCTCCCGGCCTGCATCGTCCCTCCTCCCCGGTCCGAATAATGCCCCCATCTCGCAGGCCCGCCGCCCTGCTATCATGACTTATGCTTCACCCCTGGTGGATGTTGCCCGGAGAGTGACGCGGATGCCGCTCTATGTTGTTGGCTGGCGCCGGGAGTCGGAGACGCTGGAGGTCCCGATGATGGAGCTGCTCGAGTTTTCAAAAGGGGCACGCAATTTACCGCAGAGTCTGCGGCTGGAGATTCAAAGTGACTCGAAGATGCAGGTTTATACAGCTACGGTGGAATTCCGTGCTAGGCTTACCGGGCTTAGGTAGGTCTTCTTAGAGATCGGGATGCTTTGAGATATGGCTAACAAATGGGTAGATGGCTGATGTATCGCTGGAAAATTACTTCTTTTGTTATTTTCAGCTCTTTATTCTGGTCTGTCTCTATGCTCTCTGCTAGCTTGACTTGGCTGGCGATGACTTGGGTTTTGGGGACTATGCCTAAGAAAGAAATCAAGGAGGAGCCCCTGGACTCTATTAAAGAAGAGTCTGAGGGCGAGGATACTTCTGATGAATCTTCTGAGGTCAAAAAGGAGGAACAGGAAGGGAGGTTGCTTTCTAGCTATCCAGCCCAGGGCGATGAAGCCGGCACAGGCTCTGGACTAGAAAGCGCAGAAGCTCGTGGAGTACAGAGACGGCGAAGTCATTTGACCACAACAGATTGAAGTGATTTAATTGGCTCAACAGGTATGATTGGTTGCTAGTTCGTATATGTTGTAATATCTTATGATACTATAGTGGAATGACATGTGGATCATTTGGGCCGATTGCGACAACGCAAAGCGGGGGGAACTTTCTTCCCCTCCATTCTTCATATCTCAACCAACTCCGCCCATAATGCATATCTTGGTAAGTAGATATAGTTCTTGCAACGTCAATTTGGAGACTCATCTCCGTCTAGGTCACCAACGATGACGGTCCTCCGTCAAACCAGTCATCGCCCTATGTCCATTCGCTCGTCCAATCGCTCCAGTCCGCCGGCCACACAGTCTCGGTTATTCTCCCGCACCAGCAGCGATCATGGATCGGTAAAGCGCACATCGTAGGCGCATCCGTCAAACCTACCTATTTCCGACCTGGCACGCTCCACCAAGAAGACGGGACAACACACCATCTACCCCGGGGCAGTGATGGTGAACCGGACGATGGCGAAGGTGACGAATGGATTCTGATCGACTCGACTCCCGCGAGCTGTGTCCAGATCGGTCTATATCACTACTTCAAGGAACGTGGCCCTATCGATGTCATTGTATCCGGTCCGAACTATGGTCGCAACACAACCGCACTGTTCGCATTGTCGAGTGGAACCATTGGCGCAGCGTTGGAAGGTGCATGCTGTGGTACGCGCTCAATTGCTCTATCGTATGCTTTCAGCTCTCGGAACCATGACCCTGTGATTATCGCCGAGGCATCGGGACATTCAGTCAAGGTGATTGAGCATCTTTGCGCGAACTGGGCAGACGGGGTGCACCTCTACAGCGTCAACGTTCCCCTCGAACCCGGCGTTAGTGAGAATAAGGTCCTATATACCGATATGCTGCAGAATACGTGGACATCTGGGAGTTGCTTCCAGGCTGTCGACCCCACCTCCGCAGACGACCCTGCCTTGCAAGAACAGCAGCTGCGCGACCAAGGCGAAGTGTCAGGAAAGAAGCCGGATCAGACTGTTGATAGCAGCGAGAAGTCATCCTACGGGCCCCGATTTCAACACAAGCATTTCAAGTGGGCGCCGAGCTTCCAGGACGTTTACCGAAGCGTGGAGGAAAGTGAGCCTGGCAATGATGGCTGGACCGTTAAGGAGCAAATGACTAGGTTTGTCCGATACCCATTCCTTTTTTGCTATGAATATTGACTGATTTTCACAGCGTCACACCTCTCAGGGCCAACTTCATGCCCGCGCCCGGTATTTCGGGGGAGATCAAGCTGTGAGTGAAGACTTTGACGCGATGGGGGCATGGTATGGAGGGTTCTATCCGAAATCTACATGTTGCGTGCACCTTAGATATCTGGCTTAGCTGTTAGATACCATGTCCCCTCCCCTTTGATTCGCTTTTTCACAAGTATTGGCGCCCTTTCTGATAGACGGAGAATTTGTAGATCGGCCAATCAGCCCTCGTTGTATTCCTTCGTCGACTGCGATGACTCCTACGTGCAAGAAATGGTTGAGCGGGCATTGACCCGTCGCCTGGGAAGCGCCTCCAAGCGTGTGTCTTCTATCTCCGAACTACCTGACTCTTCCGCACCACTCTTCCAGTACCGCGAGTATGAGCGCCTCGACTTCGAGCATATCATGTCCAGGCCCTCGACGTCTCTTTCAAGTGCATACATCATCCGCAAAGCTTTGATTCGCAAGCACTATCTCTCAAATACAGTGTCCAATTGGATTTCAAAGCACCCAGATAGCATTCTACGACACCACTTCAAGCCCGCCTTCGATTTCGAACTCGACTATGCTGAATTCCTCGACGATGCCCTGCTGGAAGCATACGAACTGAACGAAAGCCTAGCCAAGAACAAAGAGCGACCAGACTCCGAGAAGGAATGGTGGATCCTCAAGCCCGGCATGAGCGATCGAGGCCAAGGAATCCGCATCTTCAACAGCGAAGACCAGCTGCGCGAGATCTTTGAGGAGTGGGAAGAAGACTCAGACGATGAGAGTGGATCTGAGGCAAACGACGACGACGACGACGATGGCGACGACGCTGAAGCCAACGTCGGCGCCGCCCTGGACACAGGCATCGTCACCTCACAGCTGCGCCACTTCCTCGCACAGCCCTACATCGACCCTCCCCTTCTCCTCCCATCGTCCTCGAACCGCAAATTCCACATCCGCACCTACGTGCTCGCCTCAGGTTCACTCAAAGTCTACGTCTTCAAGGAGATGCTCGCACTCTTCGCTGCTAAGACTTACTGTGCCCCGCATGAAGAAGATGAAGTCGCTGATCTCGCGCGTCATCTGACCAACACCTGTTTCCAGGAAGGCGGCAGCTCGAACAAAGAGAGTGTGCGCCGCTTCTGGGACCTTGACCACCACGTCCCCGGTCTCAGTGCAGACTGGAAGGAGAAGATCTTTGAGCAGATCTGCGCGGTGACGGGTGAGGTGTTTGAAGCTGCGGCCCGGGGTATGATGGTTCATTTCCAGACTTTGCCTAATGCGTTTGAGTTGTTTGGTGTTGATTTCCTCGTTGATGCCAATGGGGATGTGTGGCTACTGGAGCTCAACGCTTACCCGGATTTCGCGCAGACTGGTGAGGATCTGAAGGAGGCCGTTGTTGGGCGCTTGTTTGAGGAGGTGGTTGATGTTGCTGTCAAGCCTTTCTTTGGTCTGGGTGATGGAGCTGGCACTGATGATATGAAACTGGTTGCTGATATTGATCTCGGAAGAAATGCTTAGAACTGGGGCTAGAATAGACGATAGATATACCACTTGTGATGTACAAGAATAAAAGTTTTGATTCGGAGTTTCATACAATTACGTCTCTTCATCGTAATTTTCTATGTACTCTCTCTTCCTAGTTACTATATTATACAATATTTGTCTGCTCAACTATCATTCTTCCAGAAAATACGCCCTTCAAACAAACGACGCGCTGTACGAAAGACCGTGGCAGAAGTCAAAGCTCCATCTACATCGAAATTGGCACCAACGAGCAGATTCCCACTGGCATGGCCAATAGTTATCCCAGAACTATCGACAGGATTCTCATCCACAACGCCAGCCACTGTACTCTGCGGCACACGAGCAGCAGCAGCAAGAGCCAGAGCGACAGTAATCGGGACCGCCTTATGCGGCTGTCCAACGGAAAGGGCACGAGCCAGAAGATCAACATCAGCAGACGTCTGTCTTTGCTCGATATCTCTGGAATCGGTAGTAGAAGGGGCAGCCACGATGCAGATCTTAGGCACACTACCAGGAACCTTCCTAGTCTCATCTGCAATACCCATTTTAACACCCGCCTGCCGACGAATGGAGTCCAAACGTTGCAGCAAATCTAGATGCGCAGTGATCTCATCAGGAGTCAAATTCCCACTCACAGCGAGATCAAGTGCCTGCACAAAGACACACGGGTTCCCGACGTCAATGCAAGTAGCCCTGGTTCCATCAAAGGTATCGGTCACATTGCCGGTAGGCAAGAGTTTCCCAGTGACCGAGCCTGCAGGATCGATAAAGTCGAGCTGGACGCGGGCCGCAGTACCCGCGACACCGTCTATAGCGAGGTCACCGCTCGCTGCGGCTTCGCCGTCGACAACGGGGAAGGACGAATGGATGATCTTGCCCGTGTTGGTGTTATGGATGCGTACCGAGGCTGAATCCTGGCTGGGATTCTGTAAGGGGAATAAGTGTGCGTCGACGGCGAAGGGCCCCACGGCGGAACTCATGTTCCCGCAATTACTAGAATAGTCAACATCGGTGTTCTTGATGCCGAGGGAGATGAAGGTGTAATCCACGTCGGCTTCGTCGTGAGTCGATGCGCCTACTACGCACACCTTCGAGAGGCTGGATATTCCACCCCCTAATCCGTCTAGTTGTCGGCCATGGGGATCTGGACTGCCGATTACATTGCGGAATATGGGGGCCCATTCTTTCTTGTTCGCGGGCAGGTCTTCCTGCTTGAAGAAGACTGCACGTGAGGTCCCGCCGCGGTAGTATGCTGCTGGCAGGGAGTGTTGCTTTTTGGTTTGGAGATATCGCTGGCTACCAGGTGTTGATTGGTTCAATTTTGATCGGGATGGTAGGCGGGATAATTGTTTGGACATGCTGGGTTTATACATAGTAACCGAGGCATTACTTAGGGAAGATTATATGGTCTAAATACCCCGGAGCCACTCCGACGGCGGTGTCGGATCGTTCCGTTGGTGCGGATGGGCGGACTGGAAGAGTATAGGATAGACCGTGCTTTATATTATTGCTTTATGGATTTGAGAGTGAATAATATAGGATATTTAGAATCTAAGGCAAAGGACGAAACCCCCGACCATTTCAATTTTCAGCCAAATCGCTGCTTCGCCAGAGCTTGCAAGAAGCTCATGGTCTCTTGTTCCTTTTGTCGATACGCCTGCGCACGTTCTTCTCGCTCCGCTGTACGCGCACGAAGAATCTCCTCTCTCCGGATCTCACGATCGTTCTTCTTACGCTGGTCTTTCTCCTTCTCCCGTTTCAAGGCAGAAAACTCATCGCCCCCGCCCATTAAATCTTCATCGCGAGCTGCCTCGGGCGAGCCACCGCGCTCTGCAAATGCACGGTTGCCCGAAGCAACTTCTCGCTTCTTCTCGAGTTGTCTCTCCCGTGTGCCTGGCTCAGCCCGCGGTGCTATCTCTTCTTCGAGATGGCGCATTGCGGACTTATGTGAACGAATTCCAGCGCGATACTGCTCGCGCGTTTCACCACGAGCAGCGATGGCATCTTCAATGGCAGATTCTGGACGGAGGTCAGTACTCTGGCTATATTTGGGGGAAAGTAAAAAATAGTACCTCTCTTAAGCTCGAGATCTTGCATGGTTGGAATTGCAGGGCCCGCCTGTGGACCGCCTCTCCCTGAGCCTGGTTGCGGCAGACTAGGCCCGTACTCATCTTCATCGTCGTCGTCGCCTACTGGCGGGTTCTGTGGGGCTTCACCAGTCGCTCTCTCGCCCTGTGTATAATCAGGTGATTCACGTCCATCTCTCGGGTGAGCTTCCAGTTCTTGTTCTGCATTCTTGCGTGCCTTATCGAGTGTAATGGGATCATACCATCCCTCGGCGAGCTCTCCACGGTTCCTGGTATGTCAGTAATTATCGCGTCAAGCGAAGAACATTTTCAGGCCTACCATTTTTGCGTAAAACTCTTCCATCGCCCTTTCACCTCATCTTCACTCAAATCTTCGATATATTTTCCTTTTTGGATATCCAAATACATGCCAAACATGGGCTCGTATACCTTCAGGTCGCGCCCTGAGAGCTCGCGCGCTTGGTAAGGGAGCACGACTGGTTTCGCTGGAGCATCTCTGTGTCGTCGCTCGTGGCGCACGCGGTCTTTGTCTTCGCTATGGCGGTGGTGTCGGTCTGATCTATGTCTGTCTGATCGGTGCGGAGAGCGCGAACGCGAGCTCTCTCGGGGCCGGTGGCGATGGGAATGGCTGTGGCGACTGCGGTGATGGCGGCTTGAGCTTTGCGCAGACGGAGAAGTAGCTCGGTGCGACGAGCGAGTTGGTGAAGGCATTTTGGCTGATTTCCTTTGTAGTTCAGAAGTTCAGAAGTTCTGGAAACTCTGGAGAAATTTGTCTTCTGGGGTGATGATAAGACAGGCCAGCTTATCGGTTCGGCCATCTGATTTCCAAGGTCATCCCCAGGTTTTCGATTCGAACGAATTCTTCACGACAATTTGTTAATTTAGATTCTAAACTTGTACAGAAATAAAGGATACTATGCTACGGAGTAATTAATTTATCCAAGGGAAAATCTTCATAGTAGTAAATACATCTAGGCGAAGAGGTATACAGCATTCAATAATTCAGCAAACCGAAATTAGCCTTAGCTAGGAGGAGCACTCTGCTCCAGGCTTGGGCTGGCAGTGGTTTCAGCAGGGGTGGCAGGTGCACTCGATTGCGAAGTGGCCTTGGACCGATTGGCCGCAGCCATTTGCCACGCCGGGATAGAGGCAGACCCAGACCGACCAAGTTGCGAGAGAGGGTTGAGGGTCTGGCTTGTGCTCGCTGGGGTAGCGGCTTGAGTTGGCTCCTGTTCAGCTGGAGTCACAGTAGCAGCCAAACTGTTGGCAGCGGCGAGGGGAGTGGAAGTGGCGGGGGTCTCTTCCGGTGCCGGGCGGGAGGGACTGGGGATGGAAGTAGATCCAACGGTCCTGCCAGCAAGAGGGGTAGCTCCGCTACCACCAAGTCGGTTGCCCAGCAAGGTCTTCAAGCTCTTAAGCTCGGTTCCGAGCTCCTTCAGTCTGTTCTCATTGCCTTCCCGGGCACCTTCAAGGGCTTTGGGAATGGCATCCTTCAACGACTTCACCTCGTCGCTAATGCGGCGAGTCTCATCATCTCTTCGGCGGGAAGAGTTCTTGAGATCAGCAACAAGGTTCTCCACCTCCTTAAGAGCCCCATCCAAGCGCTCGGTGCGTGCTTCCTCGGCGGTTTTCAATGCAGCGGTATCGGCCGATAATTGTTCAATCAGAGTAAATGCACGTGAAAACTGCTCATCGATGTGCTCTTTGTCTTGTTCCAGCTGGGGAGGCGTCGGTGGGGCGATCAAAGGTGCGATATAACGCTGGATGGATTGATCAGCGCCGTTAGTTTTGAGAGAATGGATCACTGGAGGGGATCACTGGATACCTTTGTGACGGTATACAACCCATAACCAACTCCACCCACTACTGTTGCCATAATAAACCAGTCACGCCAATCTCTCTTGGGTAATCTTTTCATGTGATTAGTCTCAAACGCCATGCGACGATCGATAGATAAACGTACTCAGGAGGTGGCTGCCATTGATTATAGGGGGGATAACCATATCCTTGAGGCGGCTGCGGTTGGCGGTAAGGAACTGGCTGTGAAGAGTAGCTAGGTGCTGGGGATGCTGAAGCTGTAGCTGCGGCTGCGGCAGACGGGTCTTCGCCCACTCGCGATAAGGCAATGTCCACTTCCTCTTGAGTCAAGTTCTTAGATTGAAGAAATGAGACTCTCTTTTCAATAGGTGAGGATGCAACTGATGGGTCCTGGAGGACTAGATAAAGTCAGCGATCATAACACATCAAGTCGTGTGCCTCGTAGTCCATACAGGTAATCTAGCAGACATGAGTTAGTAGTAGCTCCAAAAGCGGATGATATGAGACATTATGTCAATAGACAACTTACAGCTGAGGCAATCAGCTCCTCGCGTGGAGCCATTATGATTGATGTCGACTGCCAGGGAAGTGTAGGAGAGACGAATTAGGGAGAGAAGATGCGACGCTCACATCGGCAATCGCCATTTGGACCTCGGGAACTTGCGCCAACGCCAAGACTTTCCCCAGACCGGGAGTCTCGTGATTATCGGCAAAACTGTTTTTCCTTTTGATCTACACCGCCTACCTTATTTGAAAGTGGCACGCATTTGTTTACATCGCCGAGCTCAAATCCCGCCTCGTGCCTGCCAGACAACAGATCAAACCCCTCCTCTTGGATTTTGTGGTGCAGCCCACTTGGACCTTGAAGCTTTGTCTATACATAACCATATCCAAAATTCAGTGATCAAAAGAATCGCGTTGTCTATCGCCGCCTTCGCGGCTTGTTTATCACCATGTCGCAAGATACTGGGCTTTTCAGCATTAAGCGCCCCCGAGAAGTATAGTTCCCTCCTATCCAGCGCAAGGCCTGAGGCTAATTTGTACTGCGATCAAGACTCTCGGGAGCGTGCAGAATTTCTCCGCTATCCCCCAACCGCAGTCAGCACTGAAGCGCGCAAGCTCTATCGGATTCCAAAACCCCCAATTTAGCTCTCAGAACCACCGAACTTCCTTGATGGGCTCCACTGGTCGCCCGCAGCAGCCCAACTTTACGCGCATGTCAATTGGTGGACCATATGGCGCTGATGCGGGTCTTTCATCTGTTCGCCGATCAGTGTCAAGTAACATGTTCAACGGGGCCAGTACCAGCCGGCAGAGCTACGCACCAGGTTCTCTTTCTTCCAATTCTGCGCCTCCTCAAAACCCACAGCGCAGAAGCAGTGTATTTTCACGACCTTCAACGGGAGGAGGGCCGATGGGGCATCAATCGTTCTTCACCCAAGTTCCCAACGTGGCTGGTGTTCCCAGAGACCCGCGACCTCTCAGGGACCGATCGTTCCAGGCTCGAATCGGTCAGGAACTTTTAGAATATTTGACTATTCACGGGTTTGAGTTGGAAATGAAACATTCCTTGGGGCAGAACACTCTTCGCTCGCCGACCCAAAAAGATTTCAACTTTATCTTCCAGTGGCTCTATCACCGCATCGATCCAGGATACAAGTTCCAAAAAGCAATGGACTCCGAAGTACCACCAATCCTGAAACAGCTAAGATACCCGTACGAGAAGGGCATTACGAAGTCACAAATCGCAGCCGTTGGTGGCCAGAACTGGTCGACGTTCCTCGGAATGCTACATTGGTTGATGCAACTGGCACAAATGATGGACCGCTATCAGTCCGGCGAGTATGATGATGCCTGCGCAGAGGCAGGTGTCGATGTCACTGGTGATCGCATTATTTTTCGCTTCCTCACTCAAGCCTACCACGATTGGCTGCAAGGTGGTGAAGACGAGGATGATGACACCGCAGAGAAGCGATTAATTCCGCACGTTGAAAACATGTCGCGAGAATTCTCTCAAGGCAATGAGCGGTACGTGCAAGAAATGGAGGCACTAGAGGCGGAGAATCGAGCTCTTCGTGACCAAATCGAAGAAGTGGAGAAGAGTGCACCTGACATTGCTAAGCTGGATAAACACTTCCGCATCTTGGAGGATGACAAGAGGAAATTTGAGGATTATAACCAGAACGTCAAAGGTAAAATTGAAAAGTATGAGACTCGCATCAAATTCCTTGACGCGGAGATCCAAAAAACCGATACCGATCTCCAGGCGACTGAATCTGAGCGTTCGGATCTCCAGGCGAGTGTTGATCGCCAGGGCATCACTATCCAGGATATCGACCGCATGAACTCAGAGCGAGAACGTCTGCAGAAGAATCTTGAAGATACTGTGGCTCGTCTAGAAGAGGCCCATGCCCGTGTCATGGAGAAAGAAGCGGAAGCCAGCCAGAAACTCGAAGATCTGGAACAGATCGTGAAAGCTTACAATACTCTTGGCTACCAAACTAGCTTGATTCCCGCAGCTGCCGAGAATGCCAAGGGCCAAGATTATGAGCTTAGTCTGAATATTAATGAGAGCAATTTCTCCGCAAGCCAGATTGGCGGCCCTCCCAACCGAATTTCTCCCGAAGGAGACCGCCTATTGGCGGAACCTTTCACTGGCTACCACCCGGCACATTTGCTCAGTTTGGATCTACGGGGCTCTGTCCGGAACAGCCTGCAATCACTCCGGAAAGAGATCAATGAACGACGGAAGCGAGGGATTGATGACGACCTCGACCGTCGCAATCTACTCGACAACATCAAAGAGGCAATGGATGAGAAACGAGGCGAGGTCGAGGCCCTGGAGCATCGACGACGGGCAGCAGAAGAAGAGTTTGAACGAACAAAGGAAATTACGACTACTCAGAAGCTGGCCTCCGATGCCCAAATTGAAAAAATGGAGAAGGAACTAGCAAAGATGCGCGCTACGCTCAGTGACAGTGTACAATTGATGGAGCAGCGCGAAATGAACACCAATATCGAATATGAACAACTGACGCTTCGGGCAAATGCTCTCCGAGAGGAGTTGCACACTAACGTGGAAACAATGCTTAATGACGTGATTCGCTTCAAAGTACATGTTCAAAAAGGTCTTGAGGACTACGAGAGCTTTGTCGTCGACGAAGTGGAACAAGAGCTTGGAGGCGAAGAAGCTTTCGAAGAGGAGCTTTGAAGTTATTTTTGTCACGATTTGATGATTTGTTCAATTTAATTGTGTTGGTTTCATGTACAATACCCCCGGATCAGTTCAAGTTTTTGGCGAGAAGGACACGCAATGCACATAATGTTTTATTTTATAATCTAGTAAATTTAATCATGGCAGGATCAATAGCGTCATCTTATAGTACCTTTGCTTGAACAGCTTCACGGAATTAGGGCTAAGACCATGTAACATTCGTATGTATTCTTTAGACTGTGGCTGAGGAATGTGATAGGTTCGCAGTAACCATCAAATATTATTTGTGTAAGAAAGGAATCTGCGCCAGTACCGACGAGCAATTGGACAATCGTCGAACGACCCATCTCCATTGCCAATTGTACAACTCTTCCATAGGACAAGCTAGCAGGTATCGTCGAGTCTCGGCTTTTATACGCACCCTAAGCCCGGCGTGGGAAGCGGCCGCCTATATCGTGATATTCCACATTGGGATCAGCGCCATGTTCAATTAGCAATGGATGCCACTAGAGCTGCATTTCCTAATCCAGCAGTGTGGATGAGGGAAGGCGTAAGATCCTCCGCTTCCAAATGTTTATACATAAAGGACCCGTGGTCCTGAGAGGTCGGATGAAGTGTGAGAAGCCCATCCGACTCCTCAAAATCGCAGCTAACACCGTGTGCAAGAAGGGCATTAGCGGTAGTGGTGTCTTGTTGCACCACCGCAGGAGCAAGGGCTCTATCTAGTACAGGAGATTCAGTATGTCATCTGCACAGGAACCTCGACCATTTTCTGGTGTTTGTTTTTTACTGCCTTAGACAGGGCCGGTCCATTTTCTATGAAGGAGGAGTAGTTTGTGTCAGCGCGGTTGTCCATGAATAGATTGATGAGATTCTTTCGTACTCCATTGCCCATTCTAATTGTGAAACGGGTACCATATTCCGGGTGTCTACATCGTGGACTAACTATATAGGTAGGTGTGGCTAACTTTCCCAATCTCATTCGCGTATCATAAGCTTTGACCACAAAATGCATGGCATTCTTCGAAAGTGGCTGAGTAAATTAAGACTTTGAAAGATCAGAAATTATTGCTTATCGGGGGATTTAGACGATGTGACCTCCACAATATAGTCTGTTATAGAGTGTTCTATAAAAAGCTATAAGCATACAATTTGCCTTTGTGGATGTTTAATTACGCCACCTACATATTTACAGCAAAAGTTCTTATGACTTCTACAGTACTGTAGAGATTAACAGAAAAAAGTGGATATTTTCGGTCAATATTAATTTGACAGGTTAGATTCTAGAACAATATACTTTAAACAAAGTACTTTGTATACGATGTTATATGTCGTAGGTAAAATGTGCTGGACTTGGCATGGTATGCCGTCTTCAGGGCTCCACCAATCTCCATCTAGAACACACCTCCAATACAACAAGTGATCGACAGGAGCAATGTGTAAACGAGGTGGAGAACTGTCATTCGCCCGTTGTATCCCGGTTTTTCTTGTCTGAAACGACTTGTCCCGTACAATATACGGCGAGTCCGTGGACCATCTGTACCATAGTTGTTGGTTCCACTGCAATATGTCTTATTCCGGGTGATAGGGCTGTTTTCCATATCTATGAAGATCCCTCCTGCTTAAATATTTTGCCACGGGATGAGAATCAGCCCCCCTGCAGATCCAATTCCCTTCATGGAAGAAATGATGTTTCGGCGGGCTTTTGGCGGTCTTTTGACGGCTCGATCATTTGGACCCTCAATGATGAAACTCGATAGGTATATAACTAGCTAAAACTTCCTTTTCTTGGGTTTTTTCAACCAACAGTGCTGTGCACCTTCATTCTTTTCAAAAGCTTCAGATCATTCTTTACACTGCTACCTTTAGCATCCATTCATTTTCCACTTCCTCTTTCAACTGTTCAACAACTTAACAAGTCATCATGAAGTTTACTGCTACCTTTGGCGTTGCTGCGCTATTCATGGCCCCGTCAGCTGTGGCCTGGAAACTGCCTGTTAGTATATATACTACAAATTCTCAAATACATCTTATTCTTTGCTGACATTGTCTCTCAAGCATGCCGACAAGGCTGCTGCCGTTGCCACTCCTACTGAGCAGCTAACTCCTTCTGGCGGTTTCCCCTCCAGAACCCCATCTGGAACCCCATCTGGAACCCCATCTGGAACCCCAACTGGATTCCCAACTGGATGGCCCACTGGATGGCCTACTGGATGGCCTACTGGATGGCCTGTTGGCCACGGACATGGCCATGGAGGACCTGGCCATGGAGGACCTGGCCATGAAGGTCCTGGTCACGGAGGTCCCGGGCACGGAGGCCCTGGCTACGGGCCTGGCCACCAGGAACCTGGCCATGGAGGACACGGTCATGGATCCCAGTCCACCAGCGTCCCCAGCAGTACTCTCACCATCGCCCCCAGCAGCACTCCTACCAGCCTGCCTACTGGATACCCCCCGTCTACTGGTGTTCCCCCTGGATTCCCTGACGGCTTCTCCGGTCAGACCTCTAGTTCCTTCGAAATTATGCCTATCGCGACCGAGACTGCTGCCACTAGCGAGGGAAAGGGTCCATCTGTTGAGAAGGGAGAGTTCGCTCGTGTCCACGCCCGTCAGATGCTGTTTTAGATTCTGGGCCTTGCAGTTTCACTCGCTGTAACATGTGAGATAGATTAGTACTTGTTTTTTTTTTTTTTCGTGGCTGCTGGATCAGCTTAAAGAAGAGATGGTTGCTAATTTGGAGAATTTTCTCGAGTGTCATGTAGAGTAGAGTATCAATGAATATGTATACATATCATAAGAATGATACTATTAGAAAACTATAAGATATTCCACCTCCATAGAACCCCAGTAAATGGTCTTATATGTATGCGTCAGGAAACAGTATCTTTAACCTATCACATATAGCAAATTTCGTTTCTATTAGGATATTCCCTCCATTTTACGTTCTGACAAAAAAAAATTGAATTCAAGTTATCTACGTTATCAAATTCTTATTTCCCTAAGCGCAGCGAAGCAAACATTCAAGAAAATTAGACGCAATTTCCAGGTTACATACCTAATGGTAGCCCCTTTCGTAGTGGCGGGTTACCCGCAAGGTGCGTTTGATAACTTTGTGATATGCTTCACCTCATTTAAAGTCCTTTATAACGATGAACGGAGCGATTTTGACAAACATAATCTATAGATGGTATTATGCATTATTCCCCGATATTAAATAATTCACCCACGTGTAAAATACAAATCCAACCCTTCCAGAACGTAGAGCTAGTAATTCGAATATCCAATCTCCTCAAAAGACCACAACAAGTGTTCATTTTGATCTGGGTTTTCCACATTTTCCCCATTTGGAATCATCTCATAGACCCCCTTAATCTCCTTCAACCTCAAAGATCCCGACTTGAACCGGTCCATCAATGCAGTCACCTGTGCATCATGTGCTACGTTGACCCCCTTTCGATATCCCCGAATAGAAAGATATTCCAGACTATCAGGCAGAGAATCTACCAGCATAACACTGCTTCTTTTCGCATTATCCATTTCCACGCCCTGGGAGAAATAAATCAAAAGTCCGATTCCCAAACTCAATTCTTTTAGTGCCCCAAATTCTTTCAATGATGCGTTGCGGTCCCAAATAGATGTCAAGTATCGGTGCATCTTGAGCTCGTCCATATTCTCATCTAGCTCATCCTCTGCGTATAAGTCAAAGTCAAATTCACCAGGGCCCCCGACTGCATCCCAGTCGATGGGATAAGAGCCTCCCGGTTGTAGCTGACCAGGGTAAGTATAGGTTTGCATTTCGGTATCCATGTCGAGAACCTCTAGTGTTTGCTTGTGTGCAGATAACGCTTTGATAAAGGCTTTCGGGTTGAACAGGTGATATCCTTCGTCAAGGGCGTCGCCTCTTCCCCCAATAGTGTATTGGAGTTCTTTGATAATTTTGCTTGATGCCATGACGCACAGGAGATAACTCGAGGTTACCATCGAGTGATTTATGCGAATCTTGCTGATATTCGAACCGCGGTCTTCACAAATCGGTTTCCCATCATTCTCGTTTTCACCAAGCACATCGATGCCGAAGGACTCGATTGATGGTAGTTTGTTGAAAAGCTTGAGCCAAGCAATTAAATCCGTATCGTCGTAATAGAACCGCGAATCACTGTACCTCTGGGCTTCTCTGTTAACCAAATATACATCGCGCAGTTTCTGAAGATAGTGGCATCTATCAGGGCGAGAATTGGCATATCGGAAAACTTCAACGAGTGGGAATTCTTTCGCCCATGTTTCTCCTTCCTCAAGATCTCCGCGGCGATCGAAAGGCTGTGCCATAGCCATGGTCTCAAGATTTGGTGACATGGACACGAATATGGCGGCAATAGCTTGCGTGATAAACACGGGTGCAATATGATAGATACTATTTGAATATTAGATGTCTCTATAGGAAACCATCGGTGGAGGCCATGTCCAAGGGAACTTACCCAAGCCTGTGCCTCCCAGCGGTAGTGTAGTGGCCTAAGTTCTGGTTCAATTCTTTTTGCATGAGCATAGTGATAATAGACTCCTCTTTCTCATCCTTAAATCCCGCATTTTCTACCGCGCGTCTGAGAAGACGCATATCATCTGCGCCCAAATCCCGCTGATACGGTAATTCAGGGAAGACGTAGTCACCACCACCCTGATTGCGACTGATAGGTCTGTGCACATACTCAATCTTCTTCACAAAATGGCCAAGGCAAGGTCGCCTGACAATATTCATAAGCAGCTGAAATGTATACTCGAGGTTGTGTTGATCGGCATTGATCAAGATCTGTCGATATGTTTCCCGATCGGCCTTTTCGCACACCAAGTGGGGGCCAGGGTTTGAAACAGATGGATCGGCCGGGTGTCGATAGGAAGAGAATCGAGAGATACTCTGGAATGATACATTGGAGAACCTTTCATACACGGTTCGAGCGCGTACGAATTTGATGGAAGTGTCCAGCGCTGAGGGGCAAAAGGTGAAGAGCATTGCGACGATGCAAACGATTATGGAGAGGTCACTAAGCAAGGATTCTCATTGCCTGAGATGCGAGTTTTCTCAAGAGAGGAATTACTCCTTTCGCATGTTTAAGATCCCTTCAAGACCCACATGTTGAACTAGACCGGGGCGGGACTAGAGAGAAATGAATCGTTTAGACGAACGTCGAGATATATATCAAAAGTACCTCACAGAGGAACTTTGCGTTTCATATAACATCACTACCGGCTACCAATTCTACGGAGTTCATTGCTCACATATATACTTGAAGGGACCTAGGGACCTCAGGAGTACAGTTTTAGATTAACATTTTTGTAGGCTAGCGTAGATAGTACTACTGGTATTCCACAGTAGCTTCAGTTGATCAAACAAGAACCCAAAATGCTCTGACGATGTAGCAAAAATGGTCCAAGGCTACTGTAGAACAGTCTATTCTGGCCACTAGAGAAAACTTGGAATTTCATCACCGTCACGCGGGACCAATGCGACCAAACAGCTGTTGAGATTGCCTCGTGTTTCTGACTCTCCTTGGATACTAAATGTTTGTGGCTTGCTCGGCAGGTATACGGCAATAATGTGCCCGCTTGTATTAATAAAGGTTGCATCGAATTGTCGCCTTTTCTTCCTGTAATGTCATAGACAAAACCCACATTAAAATCGCTATGATAAAATTTCATTGCGCTTTGTGACATGAGCAAACAGTGTCAGATTTTGCGAGATATTTTCGATGCCAGTGTTTCCGTGGGACTATAACTAAATCATCTAGATCGTTTGCCAATTCATGGGTGAACGAATCATGGAAACTCATCTCTCTGAGCAGTCTGGTATACGTCCAAGATAAACTCGACCTACTTTTACAGCAACTCCCTTCGCGTTTCACTGAGATCATCTTTAACACCTCACGAAGAACTTCCAACGATCTTTACTCCCATATATCCATTGATTATAACTCACGATGACCTATATGAGATGGAATTATTGTGAGCCTTGAAACAGGCGGTATTACTGGGGTCATCGACTGGCTGAAGCAAAGGCATTGTTATTTAGGGTCTCTCTGGGAATTTTACAACATGCTTGGTATTATGAACTCAAGTGGTTAGCATTACTATGAAAATCCTTCTTAACTGGAAAGCCTATTCTGGGAAACATTCCACAGACATGCAGGAGGTCAATTTTCAACAACGACAAATGTGCCATGAAAATTGCGGCACGGGCTGGATTGGTTATTCGTTATGATTTTACTTAGAAATATGAAGTTGAAGGCTCTATACATAAGCAAGCCTATTAAATCAGATATTTGGAAGCTTTTCTACACCATTTTGGAAAAAAATAGACTTTCTTTAGGGTTCAAGCGTACAAAATATTGAGTCGCGATCTCGAAGCTGTACGGAGTATGCCCTAAATAGGCAATTTCTGTCCATACGCTACAGATATGTATATAAACGAATCAAATAAAGAGTCTCAGTCCGTAAGAACCTGAGGAGATGCTGATAGTAATGAATATTAGGGCATTCTTAATGAACCCTCTCCGTGGTTAACAGTCGCTGTTGATCTCTCTATGCTCAGGCACTATATATCACATGACTCATATCCCACTTGAGCAGGCAAGTTACTTACCATACACACCTACCATTAAAACCAAAGAAAATTATTTGAGGAGGGTATCCCTGACACTATAAGCCTCACTACTTGGAAGTATAAAATGTTAGAAACTCCGCATTCTGCAGCCTCCGATTGGCTGATAGCTCGGTGATGACTCAGCAGTTCCTGATCTCCAAAATTCTCGAAACAACATTTACCTCACCTCCCTCATCTTTGATGTTCATTTGTCCCTGTTGGAATGGGTTTCAATTGAATCTTGTGAATAGTACGCCATGAACCTGTGAAATCGACATGTATCACGCCAATCCCGTACCCATCGAGATCGCGAAACCCGTACACCCGCCTTCGAGTCTCGTTGCGATACCATGAGCAGATGCTTGCGCCCCGGCCGCATCCTGCCATTCGGTCGCAGGCCAGCTGTTTCACGCCTCCCTTTCCTCCCATACCGATGCGTGGCTCCTTTCTCCCGGCCGACTTGGACTCAACATACCCGGAAGACTCGCAATGATCAAAGAGAAATTAATTTCCCAGATGAAGTTCTTTTTCTACGCCGATACAACTTAATTAAACACCCTCGCCTCAGGCATGACCAGAAGAGGCATATCGAGGAATGGATGCCAGTGCTAAGGGATTGTATTCCACCGAAAAATGCCAGACCACCCGACGTTGCCCAGTCTGCAGGCCAGCCCAGGCTTCGACCACTCCGCGAATCTGAACGCCAGCTTGATAGGACCCATGCTCTACTGGGGTGCCTATGGGATGGAAGGATTCATTTTGAATTTCAACTTCTTGCGCATCTTGGATTTGCGCACCATGAGTGGTCTAATGTGCAAGCTCTTTTAAACAGCATGATCGACACCTATGAGTTGCTAGCTTCTCATATGCCTCCTAAACACCCTTCGGCTGGGCTTGATTGGAACAGGCCATTTCGCGTACGCCGTAGAGATGAGTCAACATCAGACTCTGTGTCTCCCCTCACCACAGAGATCTCCCTCAGCAAGCTCACGGGGGGTACAAAATCATCATCTCCTTGGAAATGGTCTCGTCTAGAACCTCTTCCATCAGATAACATTTCTCTTGATACTCTGACGATAGAACCTGCACCTAGATTCTTTGGAGAGAGAATTTTAGCTGAAGTGCTCGCAAATCTCGGCTCTCTGGTTTTGTATGCCGCTCGCAGCCGGTCAGATGATTCAAAGCATGCAATGACCTGTGTATTCCGAATTCTTGCCCGTTTACACCATGCAGGCATGATCTCTGACAGAGTTTATCAATATCCAAAACCAGATGCCAGCCAGATTGTGTTCCGTCCTCCAGGTCTCCATCTTTTGTCCAATCCCATCATGAGCGTTTTGTCGGATGCGGCGTGGCATGAACATGAAGCAGCAGTGGCCGCAGCGGCCACTGCTGCAGGAGAGTCGTCACCTTTCATTCCTTACACGCCAAGGATTCGAGAGCTGGGTCCTGAGATTTGGCTTGAGCTCATTCTATGGTGTTGCGTGGAGCATGGGTTTTGCAAAACGGGCACACTGCTCGTGCATCAAATGACCCGGCTTAGCGAATGGAAGGCTGAGAGTTGGGCGCCTTTAATAAGCGACCTTGATACAGTACAACAAACTAATGTCAGTATCGAGCAATCATGGCGTCGGCCAGGCCAAAACAAGAAACCTCCAACACTCAAGGGCCAGGACAAATCACCATTCAATGGACTTGGATTCCGAACTATCAGCTCTGAAGTGGTTGCATCGCTACGGAGTGGCTTGGCGAACAAGGCTTATGTCGGAATGGGAGATCGTGGATATCTTCCTGAGGATCTCACCAAATTATCGGCCCCTTTAACTAAACTGATTGACCCTCCCGTGTCCAGCCGTGAGGAGCTTCGTCCAACAAACAGGTTCACCAATTGGCACATTGTACGCATATTGGCCTCGGGCTGTTTAAAACCGTCCTCTGATCCTGTTTCCTTCGAGGATCTCCTAAGGTCTCAGAATAATGTTGTTCCTCCGTGGGAAGGGAACGAGTTGAGCCTGGCACAAGCGTTGGATGGAAAAACGCGCGCGCAGTTCTATGATGAATCGGCTGCCATGACTGGCCTCATCGAGTTCAATCTCAATTATTATGCTCGGGATAAGCAAAGTGGACGTCTTTTCCACGAGTATGCTTGGCTCCAAAATATTATCGATGCTAGCAAGGCACAGCACATCCAAAAGTTTTTTGAACGGATGAGCCAAGCCAACGATGGAGAATCTTCTTCGATGTTCGATTTCAAATCTTTCGAACCTCAAGATATCTCTCAATCGTCTATCCCACAGCTATCATGCGCCACTTTTGCTAATCTCCTTGACGTGGCGACTACAACACACGCATTTGATTTCGGCCAACAACTACTCCTGGACAATAACATCGATGGCCCTGCCATCCCTCAAAGCTCATATAAAAACCAGGCCCTGGCGCCATCTATTCTTCGATTTGCAGCTGCCACTGGAAATACCGAGCTTGGCGAGCGTGTCATCGCGTCGCTCGCGATCCCCCTTTCTGTGAACACCATTAAATCATTGATCAACTTCAGTATCGCACGAAAAGATTGGAACCGCGTGATATTGATGCTCACCTTCCTGACCGAGCACCGAGCTAAATCCTGGGGTTACATCAATATCGGCGTACTGGCAAGTGCAATCATCCGGCTCGACGCCACCGTTAAACACAAGACATCTGCCGGCACCTTGACTGAGAGCGATACAAAAGATCTGAATCAAGCCAAGGACATCTTGCTCCGCCTTTTCCGCGGCGAGTGGCATGCTAATAACACTCGTGAGAAAGTCAGAAACTTCCAGCTTCGAACACTCTCTCGTATGCACCGCGTGCTCTCCGCCATCCCGGGTCCTCTACCAGAACTCCTCAAACAAGTGGATGTACCCAAGGAAATCACCGGACACCACAAGGCCACTTTGATCCCGCCAGCCACCTTCCACGAGATCTTCGCTGCTGTCGTCGAAACGCAGGGCGCTATTGCCGGCAAGCAGTTCTGGGATAAAGTCTGTGTCGACTGGCTATCTCCCAAACGCCAGCTCCAATCTCCAGGCGGTGTTGCCCGACTACTATTCAGCGAAGAACGGATCAATTCACACGGTGCCCCAGGATGGGACGCAGATTACTTCAATCATGTCCGAAACAAAGCCACAATAGCAGATCTCAACACCGTCCGCATCCTCGCACGAAGCGCCGTCCGAGAATATGCGGAATGCGTGAAACAAACCACGGAAACATCCCACGACCACACTCCCAGTCCCAGCTCCAGTATACCCCAAACCAACACCACCGACCCTGATAACAAAACCTCCTCCTCCTCTTCCTCCTTCGTCTACGACCCCACTCTCCCATACACATCCTCCCTTTCCCGCAAGGAATACCCCTACCAATTAAAGTCCGGCAAGATGCCCCAAACAGAGCTCGAGTCCATTCTCGACTTCTGTCTCGAGACCTTCCTGAAATTCGGTCTCCCCGAAGACCAAGTCGACATCGAGATCCCTGGCCACATGCGCCGCATGCAGCTCAGAAAGGTCTTTTCTTCGCCGACGCGCAGACCTGTTCGGATGCGGATCAAGTACAACAGATCCGATCCTTTCATGAGATCGCACTGGCCGAAGGAATTGGCAGAGTCTTTACCGAAGCCGGAGCCAGAGCCAAAGTGGCCTTATGAACGATAATCACAAGGGATGGGATGTGGGAGAGACTTCTAGTCCCTGGGTCCTGTCTTATATGTATTTTTATTTTCCAGGTAAAAACTATTCTCGAATGTATATACTATTTTTTTCCACTTCATGGACCAATTGAGAAAGTTAATTGATATTAAATGGTTATTGGGCTTAGATATTTATTCTAAAATATGCTGGATGCACTCAAAGGAACATGTGGAAAACAGAATGTGAGTGGATTTGATATCAGAACTTGTTAGTCTGATCCAACGCCGACTTAAAACCAAACCCAAAGCCTCCGTTGTGAGTCCAGCTCAGCCCGGATCGTTACATGTCCTTTCGATGCCAATATAAAGAGATATGACGCCCGCTTATTTTTGGTTATTGCTGGATATCATCTAGATATCGCTTTCGGGGCACCTAAGTATTGATATACCACCTAGACATTAAAGAGATATTCGTGGTAGGTCAAAGGGAAAGGGATTCGTGAATGGAGAGAAATGAGAACCGGCCATCAAATGCGGATACATATGCGTTAAGAAATGGAATAGTAAAACATGGGTAAGAAAGAGGGACGGTAAAGAAATTAGGGATAGGGATATGAATATGACAAGGTAAAAACAAGGGTTGCTAGGTATACTGCTGGGAAAGGGATATGATAATTGGGTTAAAGGGGCAAGTCAGCCGAAAAGAATAGGATGGTAATAAAGAACGTGCATGCTTTCGTATTCTTGCATGTTGTTCTGTATTTCCATATCAGCATGGGTATGGGCAATAATTGTATTCAATGTTCCTAGTCTTCATTCTCATTGGAATGAGGGAAGAAAGAACGCATAAACTCCCCGGAGATGGGATCATAAGGGAAGTATGAGTCCTGGGCCTCGGCTGTCAACGAGTCGACCAGGTCCGCGGTCGAGATAGTCGGGTAGAAGTAGTCTAAAGCGGGCTGTGCATCTGGAACAGACACTTGGGGATGTTCCAGCTGGCCCCAGTAGTCGCCGGCGCCAGCGCCAGCGGCATGAGATACAGGCTGGTCAGACAGCAGTTCTGAGCCTATAGTTGTTGTGGGCTCTGAGATGTATGGGTAGGAGGGCATGTCGCTGACGTCGTATTTCATGCCCTGGGCCAGTTTGCGGAGGCTGAGGTCGCAGAGCTGCCAGGCGCGTCGGGAGGCAATGCTCTCCCCGGACATTGCGAAGAGCCAGCGGATTGCTTTCTTAGAGAGGATGATGAAGTTCTTTTCTTCTTCTGGCATGTGGACGGTGCCGAAGGACAGCTCGAGGAGGAGGACTGTCGCCGCTTGCATGAGATAGTGGAGGATGCACCACCATGGGGAAATCCTGTACAGCTGGAGTGCATCTGGCTCATCCGGGATCAGATCCAGCATGTGTCTTGCAGAATTCAGGGTTAATACTGCCATTTCGTGGCTGAAAGAGGGGTTGTTGCCTTTTTGGCGCGCGTCACGCCGGCACAGACAGGGACGGCCTAGTGTGATCCGCGCACTATAGTATTGCAGCGCTAAACTCAGTTTGTAGCGAAGGATATCCGGTCCATTATCTTCCTTGATTGTGAAGTCAAGCCCGGTTGGAAGGTTGGATTGCCATATCTCAGTTCGGGACTTGAGTTCAGCAATCCGGATCTCGATGTGTGCCCATGGTATCATCACGCAGTCTACTGAATAGACTTTATTGACAATTTCTTGCACTATGACTATCAAGTCGCAAAAGTAGACATAACAGAGACCGTAGTTGACACGCAAGTTTTTGATCCATTCAGTATCTCGCACTCGAGTGTGCTGACTGGCATCCTTACCATTTACTGGGTGGAACGGCATTTTTCTGATAGACGCACTTGTCATGACGTTGTTGATTCGTTCGTCTCGTAGTGTTGTATCTGTGAGTACTTCGAGGGCATCTGGCTCCTGTAGCTGTTCTTCTTCAAATGGTATCGGGAAAGGCGCGGTGCACATTGCGTCCTGGATACAAGTTGCCCGACCAGTCATTATTCCGAGCATGTGCTCGAATGTATACAGACACCACCAAACTCGGTAACGGGCTTCTTTCGAAAGATTGGGTGTGGTTGGACTACTGCTTTTCATGTTGATTCCAAGTGTGATTGCAGACCGCACTGCCAAAGCCGAGATTCTCCACGCCCTATAAGAAAGTGTTATGGGCCGCTTTATTAGAATGATAAGAAGGAAGTTCCTCAACTCACCGATTGATTTGATCAGAAGCGAGAAGGTAGAATGCAACCAAGGCTTCTACCTGGACTTGCTGGAGATCGGGATGGCTGAACAGGGCATCGCCATTCATACTAAGAATTCTAGCTCGCGTCAGATACACCAAATGGTCCTTATCATCCCCACGCCATGGTGCGTCAATGAGATGGCTATGTTTAGCCCCAATTGCGAATATCATATTCAATATAGCAAGCCACTTGTCACCGGGTTGAGCAGCACTGTCAAAGAATGTCCGGTACTGTGCTGAGAAAAGGGGTTTGTTGATGATGGGGAAGAACGGATGCACGGTAGTCAAATAAGCCTCGAACATATGATCCGCCATCTCTCGGGGGGGCATGGAATACAATTGTATCGGTCCGGGGACTGAAATATCCAAGTCATCAAGATGATAATTGACTGCATGCAGAGCTAACGCATCATCAGTCTTTAGATCCTGGCCTGGCTCCAGACTCCCCGGAAGACCTTTGGCACGTTGATCTGCCTCTCTCTGTAGTCGTTGCATCCAAGTAATTTCTGAATTTTTCCCCATATAACCAGTTGCTCTAGCATGTTCTGACCGATTGATATCCTCTTCTACTCGATCAATCGCCTCCAGAGACCCAATAGACGACGGCGAAGTCGGTTCATCGTTTCCTAGAACTTCATCCTGGGGGGTTGCTGATTGAGACTGGGAATTATGCGACGAATAATCCACTTCCGGGCCATTCTGTGGTTGCAAGTATTAGCGACACTCCGATATCTTAATAAAAAGAACAAACCTTGTCCAGCAAGCTCCTGATCCGCTCCGCGATACTGAAATCAACAACACCCGCCAAATCCTTCAACAGATTCTCATACTCTTGCGCTTTCTCTGAGAGCTTGTCAACTTGTCTGTAATGCGCGAGCAGTCAGTCAGCATGTTCGCTCGCAATTGAATTTCGTTACAAAAATATGCATATATAACCACAGAGACACCTACTTTTTTGTTCTCTCCCTCCAACCTTCGGGGTAGTTGCACGTAGCCCTCAGCTCACGACACTGGCGACAAACCGGGGTATCACCACTACATTTTGTTTTGCGCTGCCTGCAGGACGAACAAGCACGAGGCACTCGTCGATTATAACGCGGAGCAACTGCAGCCCGTTGACGAGGAATGGCAACCTTAGTTTGTGGTTGAAATGTCCTATTTGACAGAGTTGAGGATGTGTTGGCTTTTTGGGGGGCCTGTTGTTGACACTGTGTTTGCCACGGGAAGAGGGTGTGATATGGGTATTAGGTCTGCGGCTGGTCGTTGGGCGAATGCTTCTCTTTGAGGAACGCCATCATAGTTCGACTGGGGAGGCGCTTCTTCGATTGTCATGGCCGCAAAAGCCCTGTAAACGTTAACGAGAGAGAGGGGTAAGTCTCAATCTCGAATTCGCGTGCCTGCGGCCCTATGTATACAGTTGCGACGAATGATAGAGCTGTATTTGCATCTCATAGGCCAAGAACTGATGTAAATGTATATACAAAAAAAAAATTGAGACGGATTAACAGGAGCACAAATTTTGTACCTCGGGAAGTGAAAATACTGTAGAAACCAAAGACTGAAGTTGTTCAGTGGCGGATTATGCGTAATCGGTCCACGCGGGTTCGGGACCTGGCCGGATGATAAACCGCCCGCTTTCCTGATTTGGCCCTGATTAGTCACGGTTTTTCCAAGGTTGGGCTTTCCATGGTTGCTATTATGAAAATTATGAAGATGAAGATGAAGATATAAAGATGAGAGAGATGAATTCATAGGGGAAAACGCTAGTTATTTTGACACTTTTGGGTGAAACCATTCCGTGAATATCCTCCCAATTCACCCATTCAGGGTAAGTAAACCAAAACATATGTATATATACAAGAGAAAATAGGCATTAGCGAAAAGAGAACAGGTAGGATGCGCCGAGAAACCAATGAACATGTACAAGCGAGGTGAATAGAGGTAAAGAGAACATGGCGGGTCACAGCCCAGCCAAGAGTGGAGAGAAGGAGAAGGGAGGAGAAGATAAAACCGAGTGGACTCGGTGATCAGAGAATAAGTTTAGAATTCGCCAAACATCTCATCGAGCTCATCAACTTCCACCATCTCTGGGTTTTGCAACTCTCTCCAGGAATCGAAGACGGGCTCCGAGTTCATGGAGATAGGCCGAGGGGTGAGAGTGAGCCTCTCGTGCGACTCCGTCAGGTCCGACATCTTCAGATCGACGTCCGGAAGGCCGCTGTTCAACATATCAAGCGAGCGCTTGAGGGTCGAAACAGGCGCGGCATCGGGATCTTCAGGAAGGCTAATCTGAGGGGCAACGAGAGCGCCAGCAAGTTCCTCACCGTCCACACCGAGATCTGTCAAAGCGCTCGTGCCAGACGAGACAGACGATGCGATGGAGGTGAGGGAGGGGGAAGGGGAGGTGCCGAACAGGGCACTCGCGGCAGCCTCGTCCAAATCCTGAGCCATTTGGTCAACGGGCATGTGCGAGAAGTAGTCACTATACTCTTCTTCAGACATGCCGTCACCGTGCATAGAAGGCGACATTGAACGACCATTCACAGGCGATTCAGAGATGCTCATATCACGGTCCCCCAAGGCGCTGAGGCTCTCGGAAAGAATGGACTGGCTACGGCTGGACTCGGCTTTTTCCTCAGACGCACGCTCACGCACAGCGCTGGCAGTTTGTGTGAATTCTTTCTCATCACCCTCCAGGGGCGGAGAAGCCGCACGATGCGAGTTCATAAGACGCGTCAAATTACTAGCATTGGGGAAGTGATCGGGAGAACCGCCATGGCTAGCGGAGGTATTCAAATCGCCATGCTCCTCAAAGTCAGGAGAAGACAAGTCCACTTCCGGACTGGGGCTACGTTCCCGCACCATTGCGTCTTCCTCATCCTCGAGACTGGATACACTGGGTGTGATGTGCTTGCTACCAACGGCAGATACCATATCGTCTGTCTCAGGAATAGGTTGATGGGGAAACGTGGTAAGATAGTAATACACTTTGCGTGGGTGAATTAAAATAAGCTCCTTAGCGATAGGGCACGGCGCGAGAGCCGTCCAAGGACGCTTCATATAGGCAGCTAACCGCGAGGAAAGCAAGGCAGCAGGATTCGCGGAACTAAAGAGATGATATGTTAGTCATTGTATTTTCAAAAGCGCGTCCGCGGACGCCTGAATTGGATACATACTTTGCGACATTGACATTTAGTGTGACCAGAACCGCGGCGAGTTCTTTCACGAGATGAGGGCGATTCCCCGTCTTCTCGAGTTGATTGATTACAGCGACAACAATATCATCGTTAATTCCTTCTGTGTCAATCTTGGGTGCAAGCACTCCATCCATAGGCGAGGGAGGGGGTGTGATCTCAAATAGTCCATGTCGGCCGGCGCGCGCAATAATTTTTGGGTCGGATGGCTCGGGTGATAATGAAGTTGAACCATGCGATCTCTTGACTTTCTTTGTAGGTTGCTCATCGGTATTCACTTTTGAGATAGAGGGGGAGCGACGAGTGGAATTTGGGAGGTGAATGCCCAAGGATGGGAGGGATAGTGACTTGCGACGAGTGTTGTACGGCATTGCGAAACGGGAGAATAACAGGGAAATTCAAGAATCAAAGAGTAAAACACACAAATATCAGGTTATAATAGAAGCAAAAGGATATAATAATAAACAGAATAATAAGAATAATAATAAAAAAAAAAAGGATTCTAAGATATGGGATGTTAGTAGAAAAGGGGATGAGAGGAAGGATAAACGGGGGGGATCATCAAGATGCGACAGGAAGAGCTGTTTGGATGGCAAATTACCAGTGGGGGCCTGAGGAATCTGCGGAAAAAAAAGGTGGAAAAATTGACAACAAAATTGAAAATATTGTAATGTACGGTATTGGTATTTAATCCTTTTTAAATTGAGCAGCCTCCCGGAATTAGTCTGGCGGTGATTGGTTGGACTGGGGCTTGCTGGGGGCTTGTTTTTATTTTCCTTTTTCCTTTCCTCTTTTAAGAATGTACGGAGTACATGAGAATGTCTATACTTTTTTTAAAAAAAAAAACTATAGTACTTTGTACTCTATACTTAAGATAATCTTACATTAGTCTTAGATATACTATATTCCCCCTTCACCGCCATGTTAAAGCCACAAGGATACGACATGCGACATGCGAAACGCACAGGCAAAAATCCAACAATTCTTAGGCGGTGGGGATCCAACCCATTCCTCTTCAGGCGTTAGTATGATAATCCATAGTTCTTCCATTCTATCTTCGGTCTTAGTGCATACCGGAAGACATTCGGTGGGGTCGACCATGTGTTCTATGACCCGACTAGGTCCAATTTTGGTGCTCTAAGAGCCTTGGCGTCTCCATAGAATCTAGCGACTGTCGGAGGTTACTTGATGGTACATTGAATTCCGCAAATCACAATCCGATTCATTGAATAATAATAAGCCATACCGATTGATTGATTGGTAGTGGTGGATATCGGCATAATGTTTTGTCTGATTCGGAGCCTTGTTACTGCATATGTATAACCAATTTATTATTACATACGCATTCGATATGTCAATTGTTGGTTGCTAGGGGGAGGCACACCGCTGTTGATCAAAATATTTTAAAGACAACCTAGCCTTGGAAATATGCAAGTCTACTAACTAAGCATAAATCTTATCTAAATATTCTTAACCCAAACTGATTTTTGAAAACCAAAAAAAAATGAAAGAAAAAATGAAGAAATGAAGCCGAGCTCCGGTGGGAAAAACCGAGACCCAAACCAGCTCCCTAGCGAAACCGTTTAGAAACGGAAAAAAAAAAAAAAGAAGAAATATATAAAGTGACCACTTAAAGTCCGAGTTCCCACTATACAGTGGATCTCAGGGACCCAATCGACGGGATAACGATCAATCAGAGTCGATGTATCGTATTGTACATGACGCTAGTAAGGGATGCTCACATTAGCGTCTCGGGGAGAAAAGGAACGTTTGCCACCGATGATGCAGAAAGCTGAGACACTTTGTTTTTCTATGGATATATACGTAGTCTTTAGATCTATCGATTTTTTTTCAAACATTTTAACACTTAAGATATCTAAAAGCTAAACTTGCCGCAGTTGCCTCTTGAAAAATGTGGTGGCAGGGAAACCAATTAATACAACTATATATTGCTACGTGTATATGATGACATTTCTCCTCTCCAGCCATCGGATCCTCTATCCACCCTCTTAACTGTGATATGATGATGATCAGACGGGAGGATATCATTGTTTATCGGTCTCCGTATATTGGACTGCGTAATGCTCTAGGTACATCATACTAGCCCACATCCCTCGGGACCCAGCAAGGGACTTACATAGTATGTACCAGGTACAAGCATTGCTGGATGTGATGCAGGTTTCCCATATTGAGGGGAACACCATTCCTTGAATTAACCCCTGCCATCTCTATATGTGTCGTGTGTCGCATTTATTCTCCGCATCTCCGTTTTCATGACATCGGATCGGGTCCGTCAACCATGGGAATAGCCTGCCCATTGTTACATGTACATGTCTTCCGCACCAATTTCCTAGTTCGGGTTTATCTGATCGCATCCAACATTGAATGCGAGAAGATTGTACAGACTGTACCTACATCATACAGTATGCAGGTGTGCGAGAATTCTCCGCACCTCCACAACCGCAGGGTGCTACATAATGTCTACTTCCGTCTAGGGTACTCTTTATAGTTACAGTATATCAATTCTACATATAATCCTACAATACAATATATATGATAGCAAATCAAGGTTATCAAAATCGCCAATAATATCAATGCTTATCACCAATAGTCCCTAAAATGTCCAATCTAAAGGAGACACATCAAAGTCTAGATCTACCAATGAAAGACAATATGCACTCGATAACCGATGCATCAAAATATCCCAAAACCTTACCTCAAGCCACTATCCTTGGTTCCGACTTCCCCGCCTGCATCAAAGAAGATGACTAACCGCATAACACGGCCCCAGGGCCCCGGCATAATCCTTGGAAAGATCTACATCTTGCATGTAAATTCATAGGACATTGGTAGAAAAACCCGTTTTTTAAAGGCGGGACAGAATCCATGCTATCGTCGGCCAATCCCATCTGTGGAAAAAAGTGCCGAGTCGCCGCTAATATATATATATTGTACCCATGTCCCTTTATGTACCGGATTGTAAGCCGTCGCGGGGTGGTGCCACCGCTTTACAAGGTGCTCAGGGTCCTACTCATTATTGAGTATTTCATATCACATGGTTACCTGGTGAACGGGCTATGTGCCTAGGTAACCCTGGATGCTACTATACCTGGTACCTAGACTGCACTGGTGAGCACATACTTTGTAGAGGTTTCATACTAGATGGTAGTGTTGAATATAAGCTGTTATTGACGAGATTTTACCCATCGCTAGATATCTAATTCCCTAGTATTATCTAGCTACGAGGAGAAAATTTAGGGGACAAGTAGTACAAGGAGATTTAAGGTGGATATAATGTTATAAACACAATGGGTCACTTGAATAACGTGACTCTTTTCAACATACCCGTACCTGCCCTTCCCCTAAGGGATTTGATGCCTTTGAAGGAGGTAAAGTTCTCATAGCCAGCTACCATTCGCGCGTTATTCACCCTAAACCAGTCAAGAAACTTTCGATCTTCTAGTATTTGAGCCCAACGGTCTTATGTGAGACACGTAGGCCATGCAAACAAACTGGTATGGGCCTTTTGACTTGGAAAGTAAGGGTAACACGATAGGTATACATAACATTTCACAAACAATCAGCAATCTCTGTATGCATGAGATAACTCTCTGTGAGGCCTAGATTGATTATGTGCTAGCCAGCTAAAGTTGAACAGTTCGTATGAGGTCAGCTTGCTCGCATTGCATTTGGACTCTGGATTTTATCGCAAGGCGCGGCTGAGATCTTGGCATTCTGACGACGTTCCCTGCTGCTCGGATGGAAAGTCTGTCCTGGTTCTCATTTGATAACTCCATTATGTTTTTGCGTGAAGTTTTTGTGTTTTGTCAAGGAAAAATATACTAGTTCTTGGATTTGTAGATTAGGGTTATCAAAGGAAGGCGTTGGGATCCACTCTGAAGATATACTGATATTGATTCCACTATACAGAGCCTCTCGTAGTTCCCTGTTAATATAGCAGACAATTCTCTATCTAAACAACAGTTGACTTCAGCCTTAATTCTGGAATAAAATGAAGTGTAAATATCGCAAAGTCTCGAGAAATTTATAACGATGTATATGATCGTGCCAAGTCTGCCAATACTTGGCACGATTATTGAGTTTTGAAATAACTTCTACTCGGTGCTGCAATCGTAATACGTATTTTCCCTCTCAGAAAGTCATATCAAGTAAGATCAGTGCTTACTACATATATTTTATGTAACACTCACGCTCGACGTGCTCATCTGGGCAGTTTTACTCGATCAAAACGCGGCATGAAGCACTAAACCGAAAGGGAAAACTATGGAAGCCTAAAAGCCGATGTACATATGTGTACACATACCTCGTGCTAGGAGCCCATCTCGATGGGTATTCCCAGTATAGGTAAGTATAATCCGATAGGATAATACCTAGGTAGCAGCGATGTTTTCCCCCACCTCATCGTGATCTCGTTTAGAGGGGAAGAGGAGTATATTGTTGATCACTTCTTTACGTCGGGGAGGCAGTCCTCCTGCTATTTACCAGGGTATATCATAGTTCAAAATGTTGCTTCATATAGATATTGGGGGAAAACTTGATCTTATATTCGGTGCAAAAGTCAGGCCATATACCGGAAGAAGTAAATCTTCCCCGAGGTATCCTGTTATCAAATATCTAAATTTAGTATATTATCAACTGTACGGAGTACAACGTACAATATATATTTATCTTGAAACAGTACTTATTCACAAATATCAATACTATCTAGTTCTTTATAGATAGCCATTTTGACATCCTCCTCAGCCCAACACATATCCACCGCATTCCTCGCAAGCTGCACCATCCCCCCCCGAGTAAACCCACAATAGCTATAAACCTTCTGCAAATTCCCATCAATCCAAACATCATGCATCAAAGTCGGATCATCACTATTAATACAAATCTTCACCCCCCTCTCCACCAACCTCCGAATCTTCGGAAACAAAACCTCAGTCGCCGTCCTCCGATGATAAGCATGCGGACACAAAGTCAACCCAATCCCCCTATCCACCAGTCCCTTCCACAACTCCTCAGAATCCTCCGCATCCAACCCATGATCAATCCTCTCCGCTCCCTTCCCGCCACAAACATCAAAAATAGCCTCAGTAACGTGTTCCCGCGTATCCTTCTGCCCAAAATCACAATGCATAGTAACATGCAGTCCATCTGCACGCGCCAGCGCAAACCCCTCCTCAAAAAGCATAGGCGGCCTCTCGTACGCATTACTCGCTAACCCAACAGCATGGAACAGCCCCTTCCCGCCATCGACGGTCCCAGCAGCCCACGGCCGAGCCTCACGGTAAGCATCAAGGCCCTGCTCCACGGGCTCGTCGCGCAAGAAGCACAGAATCCAGCGCGAATGCACACCAAGCTGTGCGACGGCGTCGTGTTTCGCGCGCAGATACCCGTCCATAACGGCGGCTGCGGGGACGCCGCGGCGTGTGTGCGCCTGGATGTCGAAGAAGGGCTCGGTGTAGCGCACGTTCATATCTGCACAGCGGCGCAGATACGCCATGGCTAGATCATAGAAATCGGTTTCTGTGCGCAGAACTTCGCACCCGGCAAAATATGCTTCTAGGAAGGTTGGGATGCCTGGTTGGCGACCATTTAGCTCGGGGCGGTGGTTGAGGGTTACTGCGTAGGAGGCTTGCAATTCTTCGAAGGTGGCGTATGGGAGGGGGTACGTTGTTGCGGTGGGCCAGGTCCCAGCGCAAAGAGGGTGTAAGCGTGCCTTCGATATGAACATGGAGCTCGACCTTGGGGAGATTGGCTATGAATGGGGTGATTTCGAGGCCGTTCATAATTGCGAGTTTTCACCACTTGGGGCAGATAAAATGCAAATGGAGTCTGAATGCGTAGAATGTGTTAAAATATCAGAGTTCAGAATTGGGGTAGAAGAATAACTCCAAAAAATATGCCGACTGCGACGGTATCGGTGCATTAGCTCCAGCTTAGCCCCAGCCTGAGAGGACTTGGCTCCCGTCCCGTCCAATTGGCATTCGAAGGATTTCTCGAAGGATCCCTGCATCGGCGATAACATGCAGTGTTTCCTCCAATGGGCCGATGTGAGATGTGGGGAAAGATAACGGCAGATGACCTTATAAGAAGAGTTCAAATTGTCGTGGAATGAGATTTTCAGTAGTTTGTTTTTGCTTCGACTGTGCCATTCTATCCTGCTATGGAGGCAACTACTCCCGATGTGGTCGAGCAGGGGACGGACGGCACTCTGGCGAAAAGATTGCTGAAGAAGATTGACAGACGGCTGATCCCACTGCTTTTCTTCACTTATATGTTTAATTTCATGGATAAGACCATCTTGTCTAGCGCATCTGTCTTCGGCATGAGGGATGACAATGTAAGAACATACCAAGAGAAATAAGAAGCCCTAACTAACATCATTTCTAGAATTTGGTTGGCCAGCAGTACAGCTGGGTATCATCCGTCTTCTACTTTGGCTACTTGGGATGGGTATACCCAACAACTTTGCTCATTGCTCGTCTGCCCGCTGCCAAATACATGACGGCCAATACATTCTTCTGGGGTGCTGTAGTGGCCCTCACTGCAGCCTGCACCAACTTTGGCGGTCTGATTACAGTCCGCTTCTTGCTTGGAGTTGCTGAAGCAACAATCACGCCGGCGTTCATGTTCATTACCTCGAGTTGGTACACCCGTGATGAAATTCCTACCAGGACAGGCCTATGGTTTGCCGGAAACGTACGTTGTTCCCTGTCAATACATTTTTAGATAAAATCTCATCTCATATATACAGAGTGTCGGCGGAATTCTTTCCAGTCTCCTCGCCTACGGCCTGGGACACGTCAAAGACAACGTCGGGCCGTGGAGGTGGATGTTCATCGTCCTTGGCTGTTCGACATTCCTCTGGGGATTCGCTATCTGGACTCTTCTCCCAGACTCAATCTCCAAGGCCAAATTCCTAACAGAAGAGGAACGCCAGTTCGCAAACAACAGAGTTGTCGTTGCAGGCACAGGCTCAACAGAGCAAACTGCTTGGAGATGGGACCAGTTCCTTGAATGCATAATGGACCCGAAGACGTGGCTTATCTTCGGACTGGAGCTTTGCACGCAAATCCCCAACGGAGGAACGCAAAATTTCGGCAATCTGGTGATTGTCTCATTTGGATTCACGAGCCTGCAATCGACACTAATTAATATCCCTTACTCGCTTATTACCGTGGCTGCAATTACCGGATCGGGCTGGCTGGCCGGTCGTTACCGCCAACTGAACTGCTTGCTCGTTGTGGCCGTTGTGATCCCTTGCGTCGTCGGCAGTGCGATCATCTACTCCCGCGAGCATATCGTCTTGGGGGTGCAGTTGTTTGGATATTTCCTGTTGTCGACTGGACCTGCCGCAATGCCACTTGCTATGTCGCTGGTGCAGTCCAATTACCGTGGCGTCACTAAGAAGATGACGGTCACTGCGATGCTTTTCCTGGCTTACTGTGCTGGAAATATTTCCGGGCCTCAGTTCTTCCTTAGTCACGAGGCGCCGCATTATAACACTGCTTTCCGCACGATTATGATTTGTTATGCTCTGGCTGTCGTGTTGGCGTTGGCTCTTCGTTTCTACCTGCAGTGGTTCAATGCTCGTCGTGTGCGTCTCGAGGGCTTTGAGGGTAGTGCTGGAAATGCGGGTGCTGTCGGTGGTGGCAAGGTAATGGATGGTGATGCTGATCCCGATTCGAAGAATGTTGCGGATATGGTGAACCAAGTACAACTGGTATCGGATGACTATGAGGACGTCACCGACTGGAAGACACCGGGCTTCAGATACCGTTACTAAAAAGGCGTGGCGGGAGTATGAATATGGACGTGCATGTCAACTGCTGAAATAGCATCATGCTAATTACTTCTATCTACCATGTTATGCTATATAATCGATCAAAAATGAATATCACATTTCTTATCACAACAGTTCTAAAGTGTCTATCACGCCAAATACTCATACACATCTCTACATTATGTTATATACATCCAGAAGAAGCAGCCCCAACCCAAGCCACAGAATATCAAGACTGAGACTTCTCAGTCCCCTTCGGTCTCAACACATACCGCCACGTCGTCCCCAAATGCCAACGCTTCTCCTCCACAATCTCCAACCCACTCTCCCGCACAATCTCCCCAATATCCCGATTCCACCAACAACCATGTCGATCCGCATGAGCCGGAGCAAGATTATCCAAAATCCGATTAACCCAATCATAATGCGAACGCCCATGCTCAAGCAACAAGATGCGCCCACCCCCGGGCTCCGTAACAGACCCCAGATGTCTCAGCGTAGCAACAGGATCCGGCATCGAGCAAAGACCCATAGTCTGCACAACAGTATCAAAGTGAACCGGCTCCCCAGAACGCGCAATATCAGCCGGCTCAACAGCCCCCGCATCACAAGCGCGGAACACCGCCGGGACCACAGCCGCAGGGTGCAGCTTCTCGAACTTCTCCTTCGCAATAGCAACCATCTGCGGACTAAGATCGATAAAAGTAACGGAGCGACAACCCAGAACCGCAGCGCGGCCATCGGCGTCCATCCCGCGCCGCTCGCCGAGCTCGTAGTATGGCAGATTGCGGCCAGTGCCGCAGCTGACTTCTAGGACGTGTCCGCGCGCTTGTCGGACTAGGTCCTGTCGCTTCTTGCCGAGACCCATTGCCTTTTCTGAGAGCTCGACGTCTGCGTCGAAGGTTGCCGCTGTTGTGTTGTACCGGTCTGAGACGTCGCGGGGCACGTTGAGGGTTTGCGCTTTGCCTACTTCGCGCGTGTAGGACGCGTATAGGTAGCCGCAGTATGTGCTGATGGTGAGTGCTGAAATTCCCAGGAAGGTTAGGGCTCTGGGGGGGATGCCATGGCCCTTTTTCGCTGTGGTTTCAGCGTTGGGGGTCTCGGGTTGAGTGTTTTGTCGGGCTGGGTGGGTTTGGCGAGGTGGAATTGTTTGTCGCCGTTTTATGGCTACTGGCTTGGAGCTTTTAGGACTGTGGATGTTAGTTTTGGATTGGGATTGAGGGGATTGATTACATACATTGGCTTTGAGGGTCGAGGTGCTTTGGTTGATGCGTTGCGATAGGGTGTGACGGGCCATTTTGCAACTAATGGCACCCTGCGCAATTTATGTACGTTCATCTTGATATTTTGAACTAGCAGAATGGACTGCCAGGGGCTTTTGTCGGCCTTTTGTGCACGGTAGATTATTTGACGCGAGCGAAGATTGAGTGCTTACGCGACAGGGTTGTTGGCCCCCGCGATACCAAAAGGAGATGGAGGTTCCGAGAATAGACGAAATGTGAATTGATCAGATCGAAGTGTCGATGTCAATTGCACATCTCATTCCGTACAGATTGGAGCAATGATACCCAGCAAAGAAGAAAAGTCGGGAGCTGAAGCCGACAAAAAACGCCGTTATCGGGTCGGCGTCGGCTCGACTTGTTATCAGTTGGAGTATCCCCCGGATTCTCCAATTCCATGTGGGCATTTTGTGTTTACTCACACACACATTTTTGCAAATGGCATTGCCGTCCAATATTTTGATTGTAGGAGGGGGTGTGTTTGGATGTGAGTATCAAGCACAATCTTGCCCTAACACTGCCTACACTGTCTACACTGTCTACACTACGCATTACACCAATTTCCACACTGCTAACATCCCCCAGTATCCACCGCCCTCTCCCTGTCAAAGCGACACCCAGAATCCAAATTAACAGTAGTAGAGTCCTCACCGACAATCCCAAACCCGCACGGCTCATCTGTCGACACATCCCGGATCGTGCGGTCCGACTATGCTAACACAGCATACTCCAAGCTCGCCGCCGCTGCCATTCACCGCTGGCGCAGCACAGACTGGGGCCGGGACGGCCGGTACACGCAGAATGGCCTGCTACTTGTGTATCCAGCAGACAGTCCCAGTGCCAAGGAGTATGCCCGCAAGAGCTACGCCAATGTACGCCAGATCGAGGGCGATAACATCGTCTCCCTGCCGACCCAGGCGGATGTCCTCAGCGTCGTGCCGGCCTACGGCTCGACACTCGATGTCGCCGGTGGCTATGTGAACTGGGGGTCTGGATGGTCCGATGCCGCGGCCAGCGTGCGTTATGCCAAATCTCTCCTTGATGCTGATGGGAAGGTTAGTTTCCGTACTGGCGATGTCGAGCGTGTGCTATACGACACGAACGGCGCCAAGCCTAAAGCCACCGGTGTCGTCTTGACAGATGGGTCGACTCTCGAGGCGGATCTAGTTGTGCTGGCGACTGGGGCGTGGACGTCGAAATTGGTCGATTTGCGTGGCCGGGCTGTTGCGACCGGCCAGGCGATTGCTTATATGCGGATCTCCGATGAGGAGCAGCGCGAGCTGGAGAACTTGCCTACGATCTTGAACTTCGCGACGGGCATCTTTATCATCCCGCCGCGGGACAATCTGCTTAAGATTGCGCGGCATGCGTATGGGTATCGCAATCCAGTTGCGGTGCCAGTTCCTGGTGCTGGGGCTTCGGGCGAGATGGTGGTTAGTCTTCCTGAGCAGGGGGTTCCTGTGCCGCTTGAAGGGCAAGAAGCGATTCGGGCTTCGTTGAGACAGCTTTTGCCGCGGTTTGCGGAGAGGGAGTTTGTTGATACCAGAGTTTGTTGGTATACTGATACGTGAGTTTGTTCTTTGGTTGAGGACGGGGCCGTTGTTGGTGCTAATTTGTATTTGACAGGCCCACGGGTGACTTCATTGTTTCTTATCATCCTGACTGTGAAGGTCTTTTCCTTGCTACCGGTGGTAGTGGTCATGGTTTCAAGTTCTTCCCTGTTCTTGGAGATAAGATTGTTGATGCGTTGGAGGGTACGCTTGATTCTGAGTTGAGTAAGATGTGGACTTGGCCTGAGACTGCTGTGTCTGAGGGAGAGGACTTTGCTGGTGATGGTAGTCGGTCTGGGGAGAGGAGAGCGATTCTGAAAGACGAGTTGGCGAAGACAAAGAAGGCTTCGCGGAGCAGTGTGCTTTAGACATGTACCCCTTGGTGTGATGTATATAACAGAGATTGGATGTACATAGGCATTTAGACTGCCAATGCGCGAGCAAAGGTCGAGGCTACAGAGCTAGTACATTGATCTACTCATACAACAGAGATGATTTTTTTTTCAAGATATTTCATTGACTACTCAAAAGGTAGTAAAAAGCCGGTCCAGGAATCCCCAAAATGGGGAAAGCAAGGACGGAATTGTGTCTTAACAGACTGCCATAGGTCACCATTATTTTTTTTTTGGCCCGTGGGAATTAAGAGCAATTCTCCACAGATGAAACCGTAGAACGATAAGTGATTAAATCGAGGCAGTCATCGACCGGCGCACAACCGCCTCACTGCGGTGTGCAGCAATCTAATTGTGTGGAAGAACGCGAAAGTGAGAAAAAAACCGGGGATCATCCGAATCGCTAAAAACGCCGACTATGCTTGCATAAAAAGAGTCGTAAACCGAAGGAAAAAGCAGGGGACAGGCCGAAACCTCCTGTCCTCGTGAGGCGAAAAAAGCAATGTTAATACAAGTTCGAAATGCATGAGTGATCACCCTGGAGTTTTCATTCCGCGGTTAGACCTTACGGAAATCTGCGAATATAAAGTCAGTACAATGATTTAATGCCAGCGTACCCAGCCAAGAGAGCATACCAGAAAGCACAGGGTAGATCAGCTCGAAAGCCTGGTAGATCTCCTCGCGGACTTTAGCACCAGTCAGGACAATCTTGCCACTGACGAAGATCAAGAGAACGATCTTGGGCTTCATCATGCGATAGATCAGACCAGGGAACAACTCGGGCTCGTAGGAGCTGAAGTTGTGGTGACGAGAGGCCAACCCCTCCAGACGGATGGGGAACTTGATGTCGCAGGAGCCGACGATATTCTGGATCTTGAAATCGGTAAACTTGGCGTTGAAACCAAGCTTCTGGATAATACGCGCATACTTGCGCGAAGCCAGCTTAGAATCATCCTCGGACTTGGCACCAGTAACGACCATCTTGCCAGAGGCGAAGATGAGAGCAGTAGTCTTGGGTTCACGAATACGCATAATCACGGCAGCAAAACGCTAGGGAGAGAACTGAGTTCAGCCACATTGTACCATGATGTGTGCGCATCCTTTCAGAGGAATGTGAGGGTTAATAAATACCTTGGGGTTGTACTCAGCGTTGCGTGCGTGCAGCGCGATGGTCTTCAGATCAAGACGGCAGTCAAGGTTGACGGTAGCAACGATGTTCCTTTTTTGGAATAACTAGTTCAGCCATTCTGGTCACCCAGAAAAACATCAAGAGTATACTCACTGCAAGGTTGGGACAATGCCACTGCTGCCCGTGGTCGCGCCAGGGGTTGCAGCGGGGGTGGCAGGAGAAGCGGGAGTCACCCCGGTGCCGTGAACGGCATTTCCTCCAGGCTGCTGGGTAGTCATACCGATTCCGCCCTGTGCACCCTGCGACATAGCTTCCTTGTCGGAGTTGGGAGGGGTCAGATCACCAGCGCCACCAGGGAAAGACAGCGACGAGGTAGCAGTGAAGGCACGAGCCTGCTGCGCATTGGAAGGATGGGTGGTGAGAGAGTCCATTTGGATGGATTACTCGAGATTTCGATAGGAATTGATGATGGAACTAGAAATAGACGCGTTAACTTTTGAATCGCGAAAAGTCGCGGTATGAGTCACGTGTAGGAGGAGAGAAAAAGAAAAACGCGACGGGGGGAAAAGACGCGTCGGATAGAAAAGGAGCCATCAGTAGGGGGAAGGACTCTCAAGCTAGGAAGGAACGCCCCCAAAGGAAGGTGCAAAGGATAAGTTGAGGAAGGTGCAGAGAGTGAGGCTTACCTGGGAGATGGACAACTCAATGTATCCCCCTACGAGGTATTCGCACGTAACCTCTCGTGAGTATCAACGAGATAGTATAGGCGACGAAACCAACGCAGTCGACTGGTGAACGAATCAGGAAAAAATCACACTCAAGTGTTTTTTCAAGATAGTCGCGACGGCGATATTATGGGAGTGCAACTTCTTTTTTTTTTTTTTCGAACTGTTTTCTTTTGCGCTGCTTCTTTTGAAAATGGGATTGTCTATCTGCGTGATCTGAAAAAAGAGAGAGTGGTGAAGTGAAACCTGAGGCCTCAAACTTCTATGGTATTTTTTAGTCCGTGGACAAAAAAAAAACCCTTTCCCTAAAAAAATATAAAAATCTCAAAAGGGTCCAGAGTGTGAGAGAGAGGAATCAAAGATCTGAATATAGATCTGATTAGTAAGGCAGATATAGCTTGATGGTTCAGGAAAAAAAAGAAGAATTTCCGTAATAAGATCCGCCAAGACCGAGACAAAATTCCCAGTAAAAAATGGGGGGAGGTTGGTTCTTTATATAGTGCTGAGTCACAGCCCGGTCAGGGGAGGCTGGGCCGCCGGTGGCGGTAAAAGCAGCACGAGTTTTCTCCCTTCAACCTTGGCTTCATTGCCCGCTAGCGGCTCTAGGAAACCACATCGCGAACCAATCACATTCACACAACTTGTCTATTGACTTTCATTCGTTCAAATGAACTCCAAAGAACTCCGCTAATCTCTCAATCTTGGCCCCTGACTGGTTCTACCACCCTTGCTTTTATCCTCCATGGTTGCAGGCGTTGTGTTTGCCAGTCCGCGCTCCTCCTGCAGCTGATAGTCCATCCGTCCCATGCCTAGTCCAATCATCGTCATCGACTATCCTCGGTCACTCCATGTACGACGCGCTATCCTCTTGCCGCTTTAACAGATGGCAACTGAACAAAAATTCTGAATTTGTTTTTTTTAACCTTGTTTCTTCCCTCTGACCTCACCGCACCGGGACATCAACCAATATTATATCGGATATTGTCGAATATCCGATAAAGATACAACTGGTCTATATAGGATTCAACTATACACGCTTTTTTTTTTTACCTCGCATTTCAAAGCAGTGATTCGCCCCCAAACATTTCGATTAGGACAGGTGGCCGTTTGGATTCTGCCTCAAAACAGGCGGTGGCGCCCAGTGTTGATCCACTACCCGCCAAGGCTGGACGAATCTCAAGACAATCTAGCGGTGATCAGTCAATTTTTTTTCTTGTTTTTAACTTCGGATCTATTATTTGAATCTATTGTGGTTTTGGAGAACCTGTTACTCGTAACCCCTCAGTTCGTATATGGTGTTTTGCATTTTCTAGAGGGATTCCGGTATGCTGGTATGGTATGAATACTGTGCCCGAAGCGGACCAGTCGTCACATTCCGGAAAATGTAGTAATACGGAATACGGGAAACTACATTTTTGTGTCGGATTTGGCTTTTGACAAGCAGTTATGACTCGGCTATTTAAGGTTGTTTCTGGCACAGGTACATATCAGTAACTATATGTACTTTGGTAACGTGTATCGGATTTCCCCGGGGTTTTCTTTGAGCTGCCGCTTTAACAAGGGCGCTCAGACGCAGGCTTTCAGAGTACCTATTAGCACGAGATAAGACTAGTCACGTGTATCAACTCTACATACTGCTTCCAAGGTTATTATAGGGAATTGATATGACCCCCTTTGGCTCACACCACCTCCCCTGTCAGATTTTTCAGGCTAAATAGACCGCCTTCCACACCGTCTTGGTCGCAAATTTCCCATGCAATAAGATAAGACAGCAGATACCTGTAGTCTGTATATAAAACCCATACAAAATTATGTCACTTTGTCATATCACACACTGTACATCGGAGCGAGTACGACTATTACTAAGGGCGCTAAGGACATGCAGGGTTTTCTACTATGTAAACCAGAATTACTATGGTGGTGGCAGAATATATGGTAGTATAAAAATGAAGTGGCAGAAATTATGGCAGAATTATCCGTCGCATCCAATTAGCAAGGCGGTACTGAAAGTCAGGTAGGGGGTGGTCATATCAATTCCCTTATTATATACTATATAAAACTCTGAAAAGCCAGTGGTGGTTTACATTTTCTTCACAAAGCCGACCTCCACCACCCTGTCAGTCTCAACATTCAAGTGCTGAATCTTGGTTCGGCTAGCGTCTCGCATCCACAAGAATGCCCAGAGGAAGAGTCGTCGAACGATGTTCGTCTCCGCCGGAACCTTTAATTGCTCTTTGCCGACAATGTAAATCACCTGAGAGTTCCATGCCCGATCAAGTGCATCCAATTTTTCCTTATCACTAGAGAGTGATAAGGAATTATTTTGGGAGATGAGATACCCCCGAACTAGATCGTGAACCAAGATCCCAAGGTCAGGTGTGACTATATCATCCGTATATCCATGGCGGACGATCAGCCTATAGCAATTAGGTATGGCTTGCTTCTTCGGGCCAACGCCGTATGTGTAGCAACGATTGACCGAATACCGTTCGTCTGGAGCGATTGTGGGTATGGACAAGGGTCGCAGGTGAAGGAAAACGGACACCTCAGGCGCAGCGCTGAACTTTTGGATGAAGTGAAGGAAAACATTCGGCGTGTTATCCGACATGCCAGATTTGTCGAAGAATATCCCCAGACCGCTGATCGGGGAAATGGTAGAATTCTCTGAACCATTCTGCAGGAGGAGTTTGTTTTCTCTCAACACGGTCGTCCGCGACAGAGGTATATTATCAGACTCTTCTGCTTTCCACTGCTCCTCTTTTCCGTACCGCCAGAGCACAAAAATACAGGTCAAAACAGCAGCTAACATCAGCGTGAACCATGCACCATGTGGAACCTTGCTCAAGGCAGCCGAGAGGAACATGCCATCCCAAAGCGCGAAGATCAGGAACACAGGAAGGACCAAGTTCACGGGCAGCCTCCACACAATAAGTGCAACAACTGCCACCATGCAGGTCGTAAGGAATGAGACAAGTATAACGCATGCTCCATAGGCTTCGCCGAGGGCAGTGGTCTGTAGTAAGGTCAGTGAAATCAATATAAAATGCAGTCCTTAAGAGCACATACGTTATTGTAGACGGCTGTCACAATGACACTTCCAATCATCATGAGCCAGTTAGCGAGAGGAATGTACACTTGCCCATGGACAGTCTTTGAAGTATGGTAAACTTGAATCTGAGGGAAGTACGATAACTTCATGATTTGGGAAAGCAACTGGAAGAAGTTAGATACCAGTTCGGAATCACCTTTTTTTTTTCACATACCTGAAACGATCCAGTGATGACGGCCTGACTTGCGACAATACACGCCAGGATTGCGACCACGAGGCTTGGATATATCATGCCAGGTGGCACAGAGAGGTAAAACGGATTAGCATACGCACTGGGCACTCGACTGATATAAGCGCCTTGGCCAATATACTAGGGAGATGTAGTTAGAATATTTTGTCTCTGATCAGTAGGTCAAAATCAGGAAACTAACCGATAGTAGAAGGCACGGATAGACGAAAAAGAGCCAAGAGATTCGAATTGCCCTGCACCAATTGTCAGTGGCCACGAGCAAGACTTCACAACTGTGTACGCATACCGTTGGCTAAATGCTCCCAGGTCTGCGAACAATGTCTCAACACCGGTGAAGGCGAGCAAGATTCCTCCCAGCTGCAGCCATCCGTCTCTCCCATTTCGCATCAAGAACGAACCCGCGAAGTAGGGAGAGAACGCTTTGAATATAGACGCATCATACTTGACCAGGTTCTAGAATAGAAATAATAGATAAGTATTGTTTCTCTTGGCATCTCAATTTCTCTTGCTTCCAACTTACATAGATCCCGAACGACATATTGAAGACCATCCATAGTATAACAATTGGAGCAAAGCTGCTCGCAATTTTGCTGGTTCCAAGGGGCTGGATAATGAAGACGACGACAAGGATTGCACATGATACACCGACGACGGTGGAGGAGGAGATATTCGGGTTCACGACAGTAATCCTAGAAAATCTTAACATGTGCGGATATACTTTGTTATAGCCAAGCCAAGCTTACCCTTGAATTGCTCCAAGAATAGACTGTGCAGGTGTTAATACTCCATCTGAAATCAATAATTAGCAAGTTGAATTGGAAAATCCTGGTGGTGGTGCTTACCTGCGAGAATGAGTGAAACGCCAAATGCGCCGACGATTTTGAGTGTCCATTTGATGAACGTGCTTCGCTCCATGACATTGCGAGTCATCCTATTCGGCGTTTTCAGGTCGTCTGTGTTGTGCCGTTGCATTTTCACAAGATTTGTGTGGCGAGGATCGTGTCGGACGAGTTTAGCCTGGGTGGGGTATGAGCATGTCTGTGAAAGGTCAAGTGAAGTTGACGTAGCACTTACATATCGTGACAGGAGGGAGTATATAGCAAATGTACCTCCTTCACCCTCATCATCTGCACAGAGTACTATGCAAACATATTTGATGGTAACCATAATAGTGAGAGCCCAGATGATGAGCGACACGGCTCCGAGGATATCTTCATAGCTCGGCTCGCTGCTGAAAGTAGACGAGAAGACATACAAAGGGCTTGTCCCAATATCACCATAGATGACTCCAAGTGATTGATATGCGAGCCTATAAATGATGAAAAGCTTGAGTAAGCATTGAAGAATACCTCTCTAAAGGGCCTCTGGAATCGAGTCACTTACAATGCCAGTGTCCAGCCTTTGAATACCTTTTTAACAATTAGTACATTCAATGGTGGAAGAAAGAGAATTCCCGATTTACCTGCTTGCTGTGGAAGTCCCTTTCCTCCGTCTCAGGCGCGTCCGAGATAGATGCGACCTCCAAGTCCATCTCTTTGGAATCTGTAGTCTTGTTCCCACCTGTATGAGCCTTGCGCGGGGATACCCGAGAAGAAAAAACACCACCCGCACTGGGCGTGGGTTGGATATCCATCATGCGATCCTCCGGCGGTTCATCATCAGTACTACTCGACATATTAGGTATTTCTATAGTCCGATATCCTGATTATAACTCAATTCCTGATAAGGTAGGATGTAAGGTAGGTGGGAATAACACAGCTTTTAAGGTCAGCTACGAATTGCTCTTTTGATATTCAACACTGTGATTTCTTATCTATATCCAAATCCTATAGCATCGTGTGTCAAAAGACAGGTGGGAAGGAGCCAATTAGATTGCGAGATTTGCTTAAAGTGTGCGATTAAGGAGACGTGAATAAGAGGATCCAAGAAAAATGCCGCATATACAACAATATTTTATGGATGGCCAGGCTCTGTCCTTGAGAGCGACTCAACCATATACGAGGCAATTATCTCCTCCACAACTATGTCGCGCGGGGGGGAAAGGGCCTGACGCCACATGTTGACCCACCACTCAAAAGTTCACTATGGAGCATAGTCAGTTCTATTATCAGGACGATCAGGACGATGATATCTATGATATCTATGATACGAATCGCGGGCATTTGAGTCTTATTCTTACTCAAACGCTTTAACAATCGACTCCGATAGAATGCAATAGGACTAGCTAATCATGGATGTTTAAATTATTACCCCTAAATCAAATACATCACTGTGCGCCTGTTCTTACCATAGCATCCAATTATTGCAGATTGCTGTGATAGGAGGGTGTCTCATCGGAATTAATTCCTGCACTATCTACATAGACAAAGATCCAAGTCGGTTGGAATCAACTTAGACTTCATGTATATATATATATATAGCATCACGTATTGGCTGGCCCAGGAACTTTTGTTGTTGTCTCGAACCAAATCAATTAAGAATCTGAGTACCATGTCTTCACCTATCAGATACATCTTCTACGGAGTATATCTCGCCCGAACCCTAGAACCAGACTATTAAGTATGTTGACCAGCCTATGATGTGGGAGGGGTAAACGTTAGTATATCTCTCTTGACCAAAGCACACGAAACTTGAAAATACACCTACGTCTAGAAAGGAGTAGAATTAGAGCATACTCAAGTAGAAGTGGGCTTTAGTAGGTGGAATCAGATCGGGGGATCAAGAACGCCTCGCGGGTCTCATCTCATGGATGGATGGATGCTTGATCGGCTTATGTAATGAGACGCGAGCCGGTCAGACCTCGGAGCGTTCAGGGGTGTGCTCGATTTTACTCTGAGACCAAAAAGCGGCAAGAGATGAACACTAAAATGGAAGGGGAAAGGTCTCAAGTAACCGGCCCCTGTAATTTTTGTAAAAATTGTAAGGGCCGGTTACATATGGAAGATCAAAATACGGAGCCTGGAGCTGATATCAACTTGGGATATTTCATTGTCATAAGTACTACGGAGTACTCCGTGGCCCCTAGTAGTGTGAATCTAAACATGTGATGCATGTGATGCATGTGATCCCAGTAAGTAATTAAACGTGTGGCGCCTAGGATGTGACGAGAATTGAGGCAAATCTCTCTTGGTATAAAAGGTGAAATATTAGTGTTAAAAGTTCAGCTGACTGGCGGCTAGAGGCGATTTCCGCTTCGGGGTAATGAAATGTGCCTCAGGCCAAAAGATGCCTCAGGCCGTCAAGTTGGAATCGCCGAGCTGCCTATTGGCTGAGAAGCTAAGCCGAGGGTAGGCCCACGGGCGGTTTTTCGGCGTTTTGCCCACTTCTACTTAAAAATCGGGTACTCCAGGACTCTGGGGATATTCGGGGATCTACCTTAATCTATCCCAAGTCTCCGCACTCTTTCGATCTGGTTATGTCCATTGCTGGTCGCTAGTAATCCTGGTTTCAACCTCTGACGAAAAATCTCACACCCCGCGATGGCATCAAAAAGCGCGGTCTTGCCTCTATTGAGGCGCGAAATTCGATCATCCCGATTCTCAACTGCCTCCTCCATCTCCGCTATTGCTACCCCAGCCCGCCACTCAGCTAGTCCCTTCACAACCTCCGGGCGACGTTTAGCTCGACGAACGGCATTATTCACTGCACCTACCCAGACACGAGCCTTTTCGCAATCGCTGTCAAGGCGCTTTACCGACGAGGATGGCAACTTTGATCCTCGCACATTGGATCGGGAGTCCGACGACGTGGATGTGTGCATTGTTGGCGGTGGTATGTTCTTTGTGCCGCTTCGGTTTTCCCCCGAAACAGCCTAACTAAGCCTTGGTTTACTGTAGGTCCCGCCGGTCTCTCCGCCGCGATTCGCTTGAAGCAACTTGCCAACGAGGCAGGCAACGAAGATTTCAGGGTTATTCTACTAGAGAAGGCGGGTGAATTGGGCGACCACATTGTCTCCGGAAACGTTTTGCAACCAACCGCCCTCAATGAACTGCTCCCCGACTGGCTGTCCGAGGACAACCCCTCCCGCTTTGAGGGTGCGACCCCCGCCGGAAAAGAAAAAATGCGTTTCCTCACGAAGAACGGCTCATACCCGCTCCCCACGCCGCCACAGATGCACAACGAGGGGAACTACATTGTCAGTCTGAACGAGCTGACCAAGTGGTTGGGAGAGCGTGCGGAAGAGGTTGGTGTGGAGGTGTACCCTGGGTTCGCAGCCAGCGAGGTGGTCTATAAGTCAGATGGCTCAGTCAAGGGTGTTGCGACCAACGACCTGGGAATCGCTCGGGATGGCAAGGCCAAGGACACATTTGAGAGAGGAATGGAGTTCCATGCCCGCGTCACGCTTCTTGCCGAGGGCTGCCACGGCAGCTTGACAAAGCAAGTGATCAAGAAATATGATCTTCGGAAGAATAGCCAGCCCCAGACATATGGTCTTGGAATTAAGGAAGTCTGGGAGATCCAGCCCGAAAAGTTCCGATCAGGCGAGATCACTCACTCGTTGGGATATCCTCTTCCTCAAGATACCTATGGTGGAGCTTGGATGTACCACTTCGGAGACAACATGGTGAGTATCGGTCTGGTAGTAGGATTGGACTACCCAAACCCATGGCTTTCGCCATACGGAGAATTCCAGAAGATGAAACATCACCCAATGTTCAAAAAAGTTCTTGAGGGCGGCAAGTGCATTTCGTACGGGGCCCGAGCGCTGAATGAGGGCGGGTTCCAGTCGATCCCCCAATGCGCATTCCCTGGAGGCGCTTTGATTGGTGATACGGCTGGCTTTTTGAACGTTCCGAAAATCAAGGGTACCCACACCGCAATGAAATCCGGCATGTTAGCCGCCGAGGCTGCATTCTCGGCGCTTAAGTCTGACGATAAAGGAACCGTATTCTTGTTTGATTACGAGAAATCTCTGCGGGATTCTTCCATCTGGAAGGAACTGTCCGAGGTCCGTAACATCCGGCCCTCGTTCAACTCTCCACTAGGCTTCTTTGGTGGACTTATGTACTCCGGTCTGGAGGCCTACATTCTCAAGGGCCGAGTTCCATGGACGCTCAGCCACCACACCACTGATTCGGCGGCTACCAAGCCTGCTTCTGAATATGAAAAGATCGTCTACCCCAAGCCAGATGGAGAGATCAGTTTCGATATCTTGACCAGTGTGAGCCGGACCGGTACCAACCATGAGGAAGACCAGCCGGTTCACTTGCAGGTGGAGGATTGGGATAAGCACACGGACCTCGCTTGGCCCACTTACAAGGGTGTTGAAAACCGATTCTGTCCTGCAGGCGTGTACGAATATGTGGAGGATCCTAGCAAAAAGCACGGTGTCCGGTTCCAGATCAACTCCCAAAAGTAAGTTGTTCTCCATTTGAGTAACTTTTGGATATACATACTAACCCCATTTACCAGCTGCATTCACTGCAAAACCTGTGATATCAAGGTGCCTACACAAGACATTAATTGGCAAACCCCTCAAGGTGGAGAGGGACCCAAGTACACGATGACGTGATATCGTAAGGTTCCAACCTTGGAAGGTTGCCCCTAGGGGATACCTAGGGGATGATACCCCTTGAATCAGGAGTTGTAATAAAGAATGATTGGATATAATTTGATATCAGGGGGAAGAACACAAATGTACATAGATACCTAAAATAGGCAATCCCAAAAAAGGACCCCATGGGGTTGACAGAACCGTGGAATGTCAGTGGACTCCGCCCACGAGGGATAAGCCTTACTTCCCAGATATTTCGATCTATCTATTCTATCTATTCTATCTATAGATATATTTCCTCCTATTCAACATATACCTACCTCGTATAGTGTAAATAAATACCTATGTTTCATATTACCTACTATTTTCCTCTCTCTATGTTGTACTAGTATTTTTGTAGGTGGAACCACGTGGATCAGAGAAAAAGTGAGGCGGCCAAAGTTGCTAGTCCACCGCCAGATGGTACTTTCTCTCTTCTCTTCCCCTCTCACTCTTCTTGTATCTTTTGTATTTGTTTCGCTGTTCTGCTGTTCATTTGTCCGGCGCTGTTCTATTCTACTGTGGTACATCTGCTCTCCTGAAAGTACTGTTTGTCGGGTTACACGTTTACGCGCTTTCCTGCAGCAACACCGCAGTTAATAACTTCTCTCTGCATTCCCGCCTTTTCGATCTCTCCCATATTCTCTAGGATTTTCTTCAGCCAGATTTCTCTCTATCGCCCCCAGGATCAATCGGTTATTTCAGACCAGCCATGACTGAGGTGTCTTCAACCCGCCTTTATCTTGGGAACCTTCCCCGCAACGGTATGGTAGCACCTGACTGTCCCTTTTCCCTGAGCCTTGGAGAACACGCACCACCTTGCATGAGCCGGTCGCTTCACTGGCTACCAGAATCCCATGTGCTCTGGTCCCTCGTATTCTCATGTGGAAAGGCACCCTCTGGCCCGCCCTTCCCAGGGTGAGCAAATTGGAGCTTTAGCTACCCATATGGAATAGCTTTCCCCTCAAATGATTATCTAACCGGTGTTTTTGGAGTCCACATTTGAGAATTGATTCGCTGATATTCAACTTCTTTAAAGTGACCAAAAGCGACATCGAGGAACATTTCAGCAGCCATGGCTCCGGTAAGATCACGGAGATCAAGTTGATGAACGGTTTCGGCTTTATCGAATATGACGACCAGCTGGATGCCAGAGATATTGTGCCCGGTAAGAGTGGATCATCAAATTCCATTCATTTGCCCGTGGACTTGCTAACATTATTTTTTCCTGCAGCGTTCCGTATGTTCCCATGACTTTCTTCGCCGATGATCTATCGCTTATCAATACCATAGACGGCAGCGACTTCAAAGGCGAGCGACTCACCGTTCAGTTTGCGCGTGGTCCTCGCCGCAAGGAGACTTTGCAAGGACCTCCAGACCGCAATGCTCTCCCTCGTCCTCGTCGCACTATGTTCCGCATGCAGATTTCCGGTCTTCCAGAAACAAGTTGGCAGGTTAGCAGCCCAAGTCCATTCCCCGGAGTTCCTGACGTAGATACCTCAGCCCTGTCTCTATACTCAGCCCACACATGCTTCCAGTCCATTGTCCTCAAGGCCATCGGTTGAGCCAAGGATTCCTTGGAGTACTAATCCATTGGCGCTCATCTCCTGGTGATTGAGAAAAGCTTATATGGCTTTTTTTTTTTCTCTTTTGTCTTGAGATTTGAGAATTGCTCCTTATTCCTTGCATACTCACCACACTTTTCTTGTCAGACCCCATGGAACCTTTCCTGGGACTTTTGGATGCCGATATATGATGGCCATTCTGGATATACCTCCTCGGACTGGACATGGAGTTCTCACCTTTTTCTCTTTCCACATTTGCCGGACATCTTACCTTTCCAGGACCTGGACTCACCATGCATTAAATAGGACTTGAAAGATTTCGCCCGCCAGTCTGGACTGGACGTGGTATACTCTGAAACTGGCCGCGAACAGGGCAGAGGGTGGGTGAACCATTGTATTCCACGATTGACCTTTCCAATCCATTGACATTTAACCAAGGTTTGTTGAATTTGAAACCGCCAACGACTTGAAGACCGCCGTGGAGAAACTGGACCAGCGAGAGTTCAAGGGCTCCGTCGTATCTTGTGTCGCCGATGTAAGCGCCCAACCTGGCTCGGACCTTGGAGGAACACCATCTCACCAACTTCCAGATTCAAAACTTTGAGGAACGTCCCGTTCGTGACCCATACCGGTCGCGTTCCCCACCCCGTCGCCCCTACCCTGCCACCATGGAGGAGTACGACCGCCGGATCCCTCCCCCACGTGGCTACAGTCCTCGGGAGCACTACCGCGAGCGTTCGCCAATTCCTATCCGCCGCGATCCCTACTATGAACGCGATGGCTATGCCCGCCGGACTCCCCCTCGCCCTCGGATGGAAGACTATCCACCTCCACGTCGCCCCTACGAAGACCCGTATGAGGCCCGACCTCCCCCACCCCCTCGCCACTATGATGATCCCTACCTAGCTGCTCGCGGTTATGGTCGCCCTCGCTCTCCGCCGAGAGGCGAGTATGTGCCGTACGACCGTCCTCGCTACTGGTAGATGGCGCCAGGTCTTAGTTGATTGGATTTACTGCATCTTCTTCCGTTCCACCATCATTCTTGTTGACCTCCTTCGCCAAATACCCGCAACGTCTCATACTGATTTCATGGTGTCATGATCTTTTTTCACCTGCCGAGGTTTCGCTCATCGTGTTCTCGCGGCTGGATGGGTTTCTTCTTCTTTCTGCCTGGCGACTGGACAGCGTGAATCTCAATCATTTCTTTCTTCTCTGATAGCTTTGGGGTGGTCGGAGGCTACAGGCGATTGTCCTATAGTCTTCCTTATCCATCCTAGACTATTTTTTTTTGTGTTAGCATCAGAAAATCTTAATCTTTTAGTTTGATTTGTTTCTTCCCTGTAACATCCCTGGGGTCCTGTTGGTCTATGATGTCCCGTTATGACCTACCTTTGAATAGTCAATTGGGTTACAATAGGGTAAGTATTGTGTATATTTCTTCACCATGTTGAACCCGAACTATATATATATGGGGATTGCGATCATGATTCCTGGCAAACTTCAATTCTAACATTTACATTAAACAAAATATATGCCGTATCTCAGAAAAGCTCACCAATTCTTTACATCTACATAGCCATAATCCCGCAACCAATATAAACCAAACGCGGAAATACCCATGTGGGCTCTACCGTCATGATCTACAACCATCCACAGGTGCCCCGCCAAAAAAAACCTCACCCCTCAGCTTCCCTTGGATTTAATATTCATGATTTCGCATTGACCAACCCTTCTCCCCCTTAAACCAACACAATTACAACCACCATGACCGACCAAAAAATCCAACTCCCCCCTCGCCCCGATGTCCTCGACAGCGTCCGCCTCCGCGACATCGAGCTCCCCCTCCCCTGCGCCCCCGAAGCCTGGCACCGCCAGGGAAAATCCCAACCCTGTACCGCAACCCTGAAGCTCTCCTACTCCTCCATAATCACAGCCGCTGAAACCGACAATGTCTCCCTGACCCTCGACTACGGCAAGCTCTTCCGCCGCCTAGAAAGCGACGTCCGCAACATGGGCGAGAACATCTCGTCCCCATCACACCCATCCAACCGACTTATTAGTCTATCTGGGGCGCGGCGCGAGGAAATGCAGAGTCGCGGACTAGGTCAGGACCCGCGCGTGATAGCCGGCGTTGTCGCGGATGCTGGATTGGGTCTATTGCAGACTACGTCGGCTATTACAGCGGCGAAGCAGCCGAATCCTATCTCGGCGGCGTATGGCGAGTGTGAGGTTCTGTTGCATTTGCCGAAGGCTTTGTTGCGTGCTGATGAGGGGCTGAGGTATCGTGGTGTTATTGCGCTTGGGGAGGAGGTGGGGGCTGGGGTGGAGCGTGGGTTGGTGGTTTTGGAGGAGGAGTTTAGGGTTGAGGGGATTAGGTGTTATGCTATTTTGGGAGTGAATCCTCATGAGAGGTTGGAGAAACAGGCTGTTGTTGTTGGTCTTACTTTCAAGGGGCCTGGGCAGCTTGCTTGGGGGTCGACTGTTGTTGATACTTACCAGGCCGTGACAAGGGCTGTGGCTGAGGTATGTTTTTATCTTTTTTTTCTGATGCTTTTGTCAGGGTTATTTTTGGGAGAATATTTGCTGACTTGTTTTGGTATTATAGAAGGTTGACCAGACTGATTTCCAGTCTGTGGAGTCTTTGGCTACTTTCATCGCTCGCATTGTGACTGTGGACTTTGGAAATGAGTTTGTAACGGTCAAGGTGGAGAAGCCAAGTGCCCTGGCTTTTGTCCAGAGATCTGGTGTGGAGATTACTCGCTCCAAGGCTTTCTTCGAGAACCGCTAAGAGCTGGGTAAGGGATTTCATGTTATACAGGAGGCTGCAGTATGCAGATCGAAACTTATATGCAAGTTGGCGGCTTTAGTGAGCCTGTGTGAGGCTGTAGAACCACTTGAAACATCAAAAAATAGAGCATAATATCAATATAGAATAATCTATGGATAATCTATGAATATCAAGATCTACATATCCGATCAATAAGATCATGTTCATGTCAGCATCTGACACGTGAAATCCAAATTCGGACTAGTGGCTCAGCCCCCGGATCTGCGCCTGAAGCCCGATTTTCTACAGGATCTCGCTCTTTTTCTGCTTTGTTTCACTTCCTGGGGAAGAAAAACTGTTAATTTCAATTTGCCAAAAATTCTCATCCTCTATGTGCCTATCTGTGCCTTCGTCATCTCTTGCTTTGATTTCTCTTACTGGCTTCCCAGCCAATATTGATCCATCCCTTCTGAATCTTGATTCGCCTGCTCCTAATATTTCCAACGTGTCAGCATCCTCAGTGCTTTCTCCTGTCACCTTGGCCTTCGACTCCTCGGCCAGCGAGGTGACTTGGCTAGGGGTCCCGGGTCCGTCCTGAAGAAGGGCGGACGGTAAACCTGCTCGAGAGATTCAAGGCTGGTCTATTGACTAGTTCGGGCACTGAAGGAAAACCGTCTATTGATGCAATAGATTCCTAAAGTTGATGTATGTACTTTGTCTCTTTGATCCGCATTTCATCCGCACTTGATTTGCTATTTTCGTATTATTTTTTTTCAATTTCTTTTACGTTTTACCTTGGCTATATTTAGTGGGGGTGTGAAAACCCTCACCCGCCCCTCTATTCATTCTTTACAGTCTATGTCCAAGATTGAGGCGACTGAGGCTAACCGGGTGTCTTCATGTGAACAGCGACTGCTAGTTAGGTATTCTGAATACCTTAACTACCACTCATTACAACCGCGCAAGGTCAATTGCTGACCCTGCGGTTATCGCCGGCGCTTTCACCTAAATCTATCGGAGTGTGTTTCCTTTCAGTCGCGGACCTATCACAGGTGATATAACAAAAGCACAATGCCTTCCTCACATGCCGACGATCTTTCCGTTGGGGACGTGTTCGCGCCGCAGGCCGACAGCGTCATCGACATCCCGGCCAATCACCGTCGCCCCAATGCGCACATGGGCACTATGTCGCCGCCAGAGCATACAACCAAGGGATTCAATGGGTTTGCAAATCAGACTCTCAATGAGAACATGCTCCCAAAGCAGCGCCGGAAGAAGAAGAAAAATCAATTCGTGCCGGGATGCGCAACTGTTCACGGTTTCACTCCTCTAGCATCTGGCGATGAGGAATCGGACTTCTCCGCTGCAAGCTCACGCGCGCCCTCTCGGCCTCCTACTGCGCTTGGTGGCGCCAGCCCACTAGTACAGGCGGCGCACACGGGCCATGGTGTCAGCGCATTGAAGCTTCAGCTCAACACTTTAAATTTGTCTGACAGCATTTCTGGTTCCAGCGGACTTGTCTCCCAGACCCCCAGTGTCGCTAGTGTTTACTCCGATAGCGACCAGACAGAGATCTTGACCAGCTATGAAATCCCTCTGGATCAGGACTTTGTTAGTTCCGACGCAGTGCAACCAGAGGAACTGGACGATCGCAATGCAGATGTCCCAGGCATGAATTCGGAATTGCGCAGTCAGTTGTGCCGCAAGATGACAGCGGAGGACTTTGTTCCCATCCTCTGTTTGGGCAAGGGCTCATTCGGAACTGTGTTGCTGGTGCGCCACGTCGTCACGGGCAAGCTCTATGCCCAGAAGCAATTCCGGAAGGCTACCCTCACTGTTCACAAAAAGCTAGTCGAGCAGACCAAGACAGAGCGCACAATTCTAGAAAGTGTCAATCGCCACCCCTTCGTCGTCAAGCTATTCTATGCCTTCCAAGATCACGAGAAGCTCTACTTGATCCTGGAGTACGCGCAAGGCGGCGAACTCTTCCACCACCTAGCCATGGAACGCATGTTTGAAGAAGATGCAGCAGCCTTCTACATGGCAGAGATGGTCCTTGCACTCGAACACCTTCACCAAAACGTTGGCGTTCTCTACCGCGACCTGAAGCCCGAGAACTGTCTCCTAGACGCGCAAGGCCACCTCCTCCTAACAGATTTCGGTCTCAGCAAGATCGCCCTCAGCGACGACGACCGCTGCAACTCCCTCCTCGGCACAATCGAGTACATGGCGCCAGAAGTGATCCAAGGAAAGCCATACGGAAAAGCATGCGACTGGTGGTCCCTCGGTGCACTGGGCTACGACCTCCTCACCGGCTCACCCCCATTCCGGGCAAACAACCACGCAAAGCTCCAAGAGAAGATCGTAAAGCAAAAGCTCATGCTGCCCTACTTCCTTGGACCAGACGCAAAGGACCTCCTCACCCGTCTTCTCCGAAAAGAACCCTCCAAACGCCTTGGCTATCACATGCAGAAGGACCTGCAGATTATCAAGAAACACCGTTTCTTCCGCAAAATTGATTGGGAGGCCCTTGAGCGTCGAGAGGTTGACCCGCCTATCCAGCCTATCGTCACGGACCCCGCGCTCGCAGAGAACTTCTCTGTCGATTTCACCCATCTCCCGCTCAGCCCGACGATTGCTGCTGCCGGTTTCGACGAGTACTACGGCAAGGGACAGGATTTCCCGGCTGGAAAGGGTGCGGATGGTGACGAGCACGGTGGCGAGAGTAATCCGTTCGGTGGGTTTAGTTATGTTGCTTCGAGCAGCTTGCTGGACCATGGATTGGGAATTGTGACCGCTGGGTATTGAATCGAGGGGAATTTGACTGGAGAATTGATTGAGGGATGAATATGGAAGGGAGAATGAAGAAATGAAGAGAATGCACATATTCGCATCAAGGCGTCCCAAAATGCTGGGTTTGCAGACTATCTACTCGTCGTACATTGCATTGTGAATTCCAGTGTGACTTAAGATTTTTTTCCTGCCGAGTTCAAGTTGCTTGTCTTGTTCTGAAGCAATACGAAGCATATTTTGCATCGCATATCGAGGAGTTTTCTTCCTTTTTCTCTCGTTTTTTGGGGTAAAAAAGCACGTGCATACATACACTTCCATATTTGATATGGACTTGGAAAACTGGGCTTGAATTTTATTTCTTTTATTGGAGCTATTCATAAAACATTTAGTCTAATAAATCAAAGCCTGGGGAAATAAGCAAGAAAAAGAGAAATTACATTCTCCGTGAATTTCATTCTCACTCATAAATGGTAATCTCCCAATATCCCAAAGTTCTTCCGTCAACAGCCAGCTAATAAACGCAAATTTTATGGATTTCATTAAATTTCGCCTTCTTCACTCCCAGCACGTTCATCATCATCAGCCTCGCCCTCTTCCCTGGAATCTAGTTTACTCCTATAATCCACATCTGCCGTGGACGAAGAAACAGGACGCGGAGGAAGCGCAACTGGAACGACATGTTGCTGTTTGTCACGGAGTTCGCCTTCTTCGATGCTGGATTCTTTCGAAGGGGGCTGTGCGTCTGACCCCGACGCTGACTTCTCCGCGATCGATAGGGAGTCGAATTGAGGCGTTGCTTTTGTTTGGGATGATGCGGCTGCGGGGATGCGTGAGCGGGAGGGGACTGGATGGTTTGTTTTTTGGTCGGTGGGTGGGATTGCTTCGCGGGAGGGGGTTATGGTTCTCTGGCGTTTGGGGGATCGTTCGCATTCGCGCTCGCCGTTTCCATTGAGGGTTGTTGAAGGGGGTTTGTTTTGTGGGGAAGATGGGTTTTGTTGTGGTTGTGTGTAAGGGTGGGATTCGGGTTCGCGCGAGCGTTTGCGGCCATTTGTAGCTGTGGTGTCGGAGGTGACGGTGAGGTTTGGAAGGGTGGATGTGGATTGTTGTTGCTCTGAGGCTGATTTTGTGGGATCGGTGTCGAAGATGCGGGTTGGGTCGTTGGGGCAGGAAGTTGAGTCCGAAATTGCGAATTCAGGGTAGCCCTTGCTGAGGCTTTGCTGAACGCGCTCGTAGATCTTGACGATGAAGGTGCAGGCGCGGATGAGATCATCGAGACGGACGTCGATCTGCTCCCACCAGGGTCGGCCTTCGGCATCATCAGGGAACGCGACTTTGCAATGGCGGGCTGCGGCGTACAGGGCGGCGGCGGCGATGACGCGGGGTGGGAATTGGAGACAGAGGACAGTGTAGGTGGAGTCGTTCAGGAAGGAGTAGGTGGAGTGTCGCAGGGTTCTGTTGTCGCCGACGCCTAGGAAGGTGGAGTAGTCCCAGAGGATGCGGTAGGGGGATTCGACCTGCAGGTCAAAGCAGAGATATTCGAGCATGACGCTCTCGTTTTGCAGGATCAGGTCGCGCCATTTCCAGTAATCTTTGGACTGTTCGTCGACGATCAGGTTCGGCTGCTTCATGGCGACGCGGCAGCACGCGATGACGAAGTCTTTCATGCGGCGCATAGCCTCGTCCACCTTGAACGCGACGAACAGGGCCACCGCGGCGATCACCTTCGGGTGCATTAGGTCCGACCCCATCTCTGGATATTGGCCCATCAAGGAATAGCGCATGAGGAAGCGGTGCATGTACACCGTGGCGGTCATTGAGGTCTGCGGGGGCATTTTCAACATCACGCTCACTTGCCAAATGAATTCGACTGCACGGTGCCGGATATAGTCCTCTTTCCCGCGTTCGATCTTATCAATGCGCGACGGCGTGCGCTCGAATTCTTCCTCGGTGAATAGCCATTTTTGCTGCTCTGCTTCCAACACCGGATTCGGCAGGCCGGGGATTCGTCGCCGAGGCGGTGCCGAGGAAGCCATATGTGTGCGAAGTGAAGAGGGGAAAAACGAATAAGCTCGACGAGGGGTCGTTTACACAATGGCGATAGGAACGAAGCGCATCCGGCGTGTCTGATGGGGAATAGCTCGCGTGAGTTAACAATAATCGTTATCGTGCTAAAACGTCACAGTCGTCAGGCCTAAACTAGCATGGCGGAGCTTTCTATCGCATGGCGGAGATGATAGTACACGGCGGGAAATCTTCGGAGGATTGAAGAAAAGGAAGTCAGGGATAATTAATATATAAACAACAGAGCGCTGCCTAGATATTGAGCAATATCAGATACTGCAAGGCGGCAAGGACCTCCATATTGACGCAGCCGACAAGGGAAGCTTTTAGTCGGAACAATAGTTATTCCGGGCGGAATTATTTATCCACGATACCATGAATAGCCATTTGTTATAGTTACTATCTGTGGAGGGAAGAAACAATACAAATTTAACAGATTCTCATGTAAATTTCATTGTTCATTGCTATGCAAATACACTCCTTGGAACAGTCCCTATAAATAATTACAATTGGTATCTTGTACTTTGGAATCAAAGTCCATCCTGGCGCCACGCTGATAGATGCAATAGACAAAAAAATCAAACAGGCATTACTCCTCCTCACTGACCTCGCTCTCATCATCACTGGGAATATATTGCCTAGTCGTGGATTGAGTGTAATGATGGTTCCGAGCTTCCTCTTCACGAGCACTTTGTTCGAAGGCGGCTTCCATCTCCGCTGCCAAAGCATCATCATCTTCCATTTCATCATCCTGAGTAGCCATGTCTGCATGTGCTGAGGAGGTAGGTGGAACTGTATTACCGACTGGGGAGGGTAAACTAAACTCCCCGACGTCTTCATCCGCATCCTCGTCGTCTGCTGGGGTATTATTGGACGAGAAGTAAGACCGATTCACGACGAATGGGCGCGACGGAGGTGGAGATCCCATATCGATAATGAGATCCCCGTCAACAATGATGTTCGAGCTGGGAGACTGCCCAGTTTGTTGTGATCCTGTGCCTGCATCGGACGGTGACGAGCGAGACTCCTCAAGCTCAGGCGGGTCGGGATAGCTGACAGGCTCGCTTGGCTTCGCAGGCGGGTGTGCTTTGACCGGTGGTTTTGCTGGTGGTTTGTTCTGTCGCAGTGGGTTTGCTTGCGGGGCGGCTTGTGGTTGGGATCGAGGTGCCGGTCTAGGCGCGGGTCTGGCAGCCGGAATTAAGGGTGTGCTGACTCTGCTGGCGGCAAGTTCTGGGGTGCTGTGGCCTGAGGTTGGCTTGTCATTCTCTCGGCGATTCTTCGGGAGGAAATGTCGGAAGTCGTAAGGATTGCTGTCGTCGGCCGGCCCCTCGTCCTCGCTGGTGCTTGCTCCATGCCGGTCTTCTCCCGATGTTGCTGGTTCATCCTCTTCCTTTATTTGTAGTTGTTCATATTGCTCGCGGACCTGTTTTTCCGTCTTGCCTGGAGCCGACCGTAGATTAAAGTTCAAGGTTGTTGAGACCGGCTCCAGAACAAAGACCTTCCGCTCCGGGTCGAAGATCAGAACCAGGCTTCGCTCTCCCGACGGGTCCTCGCTGCCCTTGTATGAATAAGTCAATGTTTGATCGGCATTCGGAGCCTTATCAGTAACGGCAAGGTCGTAGAGATCGGCCGAGCGCGAGTGGGTGATGATCGACCGTTGTTGTGAGGTGGCAGATTTGGATTTGTGGTTGTAGTTGACGTTGATCAGTCGGCTTGTGTTTGGGTTTCGAGCAAGCCTTTCCCCCAGGACAATTGGGTATTCGGCCTGCTTTGTCGGGTCGATCATGGCAGACAATGTGGGGGTAGCCATATTTGCGCTCACGGTGAAGAGACCGACCCCGAAATCAAAGTGGTTTGTACAATGCAAAGGAAAAATGAAAGAGAAGGGAGGAAAAGGGAAAAGAAGATCGGAAGTCCCCCAAAGTCGGGGAAGGTTGAGGTGGAGAAGAGTGGAATTCACGAAACGACTTTCTCTCCACTACCCACCTGCACATATAACAAGGCAATTTACTCCGTATAGTATCCTTAGATACTTAGATACTTAATTTCTTAGTTCTCAAGTTCTATCAACACATTGGATTCATATTAAATATTTGATGTGTTTTATGTTGAATGAAACATCAATGTTTTACGAGTTCTGTACTACATTTTACGCAGGCTTGCGGTCCCGACCTCGGCCTAGATACAACTATTGAAGTGCAAGGTATAAATATCAATATAATGAATATAAAAGCAACGTAGTTCCATTAGACGATAATTACTAGCCGAGGCATAAACAAAAAATAGCGGCTTGCAGGAATACAATGCAGTAAATCAGGGCAGGAGAGGTATCCAAGAAAGAAAGAACGCAACGCATCAGAAAAAAAGCATAGGATATCGGTCAGCTTTTACAGCCAAGATTATACCACCCAGGATTGGAATCAAAGGACAGACTCCAATGAAAATCGGCATCTCCAAGTTTACTTGAGCTTTTCCTTGAGCTTGCCCAAAAAGGTACTCAGGCGGTGCTTCCTCTTCTTTTCGCCATTAGTAGAGGCACCTTCGGTGCTGTGGGACTGTTTGCGAGCCTGCTCTGCGGGCTTTGCGGTCGAAGTAGCAGGTGCCTGAGAAGACTCAACTCCGGTCGTCACAGTAGGAGCTGCAGGTTCTGCAGGCGCGGCGGTCGATGTTTCGGCAGTAGAAGTAGTCTCAGGGCCAGTTGTGACAGTCGGCCCATTGGACTCGGTACTCTTCGGCACCGATTTTGGGATATCGGCTGGGGCAGCGAAACTGCTACCGAGAGGAGGGGTCGAAAGCGGCGACACATCTGCCGAGTCTACACCTGTAGCAACAGTGAGATGAGGCGCGATGGCCTGGGTGGCCGCAGTAACGGTAGGCGCCGGAGTACCCGCGGACTCTTCCACCGGGACCTTCTTGTGCAGTTCCTCCTCAAGGGCATTCTTCTCATCGACTGCTTCCTGGTTCGCGGCAGCCTCCGGTTCCTTGTGGGCCTCGGCTAACGAGTCCTTTACAATCTGAGGGACCTCGTCGACGGGCTCACCGTTGGTCGTTTCTTTGCCCTTTGGCTCCAGTGGCACGGCAGCAGCTAGTGCTGCGGTGGTCGAGTTAGGGGCAGCAGACTGGATGTTGTATCCTGGATCGGCAGTCACTGCCTGCTGCGCCGGTCCTCCGGTATAAATTGGCTCGGTCGCACTGGATGCGGCGCGTTGTGCAGGTCCACCGATCGGAAGACTGGATTCAGGAATCATGTCGTTTGTGAGTGGGGGGAGGGTAAACGCGGAATCAGCGGTGTTAGGGTCAGTGAACTCGGGCCCAGCGCCAGGAGGGATAGTTTGGCCCTTCTCGTATGACTCTTTGTCCAAAGTGACAGTTGATTCGATGGTGTTGTTGTGGAGGGTGCTGTGATGAGGGACTTCGTCACCTGGGTTCAGGCTGACGGGGTTGCCATAACCCGCCGAAGCTGGGATGGGAGCCACGGACAAGGTCTGTTCGGATTCTTGTCCCGGAGTCTCTGGGAAAGTACCAGGCAGATCCCCATTGGGCTCCTTGGGAACCCTAGCAGCGAGAGCCGCGGTTGTAGAATCAGGGGTCACGCCAGACATAGTGGAGACGAGGGCGGAGGGCTTGATATCTTCTGGTAGGAGCACGTTGTTGGTGTTGTTATGCCCGTCGTCTTCTTGAGGTGCGTTGGCGTCTGTAGTCCAAATACCGTCGACAACGAACTTTTTTTTGGCAGTCAGCAAGGAGTCTAATAGAATTCTGGAACCTTAGGGATTCCCGGGAAGTTGCGACTTTATAAATGGGAAACACGGCTCAGGTGACGTCAGTGGAAAATGGCCTGTTGCCTAAGGCTCACCGCCATCCAAACCTACGAAGGCCAAGGCGAAAGAAAGAGAAAGGCAAAGAAAAAAGGAATCAAGCCCATACCTTGTAGTGAACTTTTTGTACAGGGGAAATCGTCACTTCCTTGACAAAGATGTCGCCAACCCGGTCCAGTTTCACCGTCTTACCCCAATCATCGAAAGTGCCTGTAACGAACACCTCGCTCGCATTATAAGGCCTGCAAGTAACCGTCTTAGCATTGTACCACGAGGAATATCAAGAGTTGCCGGGATGCGGAGATTCTTAGCTAAGGCTATGGAAGCTTAACTCACCATTGAAATGTAAAAGTTCCCATATTGAATTCAAAGATGTGCACACAAGAGAAAATTGAAAATAGAGATTGGGAAATAATAAAAAAAGGGCTCTAATGAAGACTAAATTGGTGGGGGGTGACACAGACCAGTACCTGGCCCTAGAAGAGAGGACTTAGCGCATATATATAGCTCTCTTACAGCAGAAAGATAGATAGTTTTGCATATGACATTCGAGAGCTTTCCCCCTTCCATTTTAGTGCTTACCTCTTGCCGCTTTTTGAGCCCTGAGTAAAATCGAGTACGTCGAGTCTTACATAAGCAATGAAATCGGCCCGCAGGAACAGCCAAGTCAGCAGCCACCTTACCCATGGACCAAAATGCGCAACGTTAGCCCTATCTAACACACCCTTTCACCGACTCTATTGACCATTGTTCCCTTAATAAAGGGATAGCGGTGGCCGATCCTGTTTGTTTTGTCTCCAACTATACCTAGTAAATTATTCTGATTTTTTTTTTTTCACTTAATTTTACTGGGCTATCTCTCTTACTACTTGATTATCGCTTGTTCGTAGGAATATGACTTTAACTCTAGCGGCCTGGACATCTATATATAGAAATACCCTAGACCTATCGATCAATGGCATTCGCTGTCCCTTATCTGCCTAAAAAATACTCAGTTTCTCGCAAAGTGCATTTTATTTGTCTGGCCATTAGACAAGAGGAAGCCTCGAAGCCTGCTGTAAATGGCTTATACAATCTTCAAAGTCAACTAAAAGCCGCGGGAAGTATACAGTGCAGGGGAAACACTAGATGGAATCGCTTTCACAATTTCAATCGCCGAGTCACCAACTCCGATCTTGCGCTCAAATGTATCCCAAACGGGCAGATATTTAGTCTTGGAGTCATTAGAGACGTTATCAAATGCCTTGGACATACCGGCATGGGTCTTGAGGAGCGCGAAAGCTTTGGCGCACATATTCTTCTCATTTTCGTCATTCGCACATACCAATCGCACCTGGGCACAGTAGAGAATGAGTGCTGCAAATCCAGCAGCAAGGGCTGTCGCGATCGAGGACCCCGTAAAGAGCTTTTGTTCCATTGTGCCCTCTTTATAGACACCATTCGTTGTTGTCTCCCCCGGGAACGTATAGTTGAAGTTGCTAGGCCCTCCGACTGCGCCATGCGGAACCCCATCGTCATCTGCGCCGCCGATTTTGAAACAGTCTTTTAGGGAATTGGTTGGATATGTAAGAGATTTGTCTTGGCCCTGATCGCTGGCCGAGCAAAACAGGAGTATTTTTGCCGTCTGTGCCTTTAGCAGGGCTGTTCTGAGATTTTGAAAACCAGGCTCTATTTCCGTAGTCGATGCTGGAGCAAGGATAGTCCACGACATGCTTATGATGTGGACCTTCCTTTCAACAGCATACTCGATCGCCTGCTTGCCGTTAGACATAGAACATACATATATAGGATATGAAGTTCAATAATGATACTCACCCGTGCAGCACTCTCGGGTGTGATGCAAGGCTTACCGTCCTTACCGCCCTTGGTATGATTCAACTTGAGCACAAGCAACTGCACCTTGGGACAGATTCGGTACACCTGGTTAGCCATCAGGGTGCCATGGCCGTGGCTAGATTCGTAATACGGCTTGGTGAAATGAGGGTCTTGGGGGTCTCGGTGAAAGCTCCGGCCATCTATCTTTCCGTAACCGTCATGGTGGTCCAGTTTATCTATATTAACCCCGTCGTCGATCAGTGCAACCGTGATCGGCTCACCCTGAGCCTGAATTCGATCATCGATGTTGAAGTCTTCGAAATTCCTCACTGCCTCAAAAAGCCTTGATCTGAAATGATCCATGCATTGCACCCACCGGTGTTTCTGAGCGTTCTTTTGGTCCTTTGTCATATCTCTACCTTGACCGATCAGATGGCGAGCTCTTCCCGGATATAGGAATTTTATCTCTGGGGGGCGAACATGTCTCCATCGCGACTGGGCAATAAAAGTGGCAAACTTGCTCAGGTCTTTGTCTAGTTTGCGAACATGTTCACCCAGGTCTTCACGTAGCTTTTCCTTGACAGCATCGCGTGCTTCGAGAATGGCCTTTTTCTCCTCTCTTTTACTGGAATTTTTCAACTGCCTCTTCTTTTCACAGACTTCTGCATATTCATTCAACTGTGTCCGGATATTGGCTGGGAAAGAAGCCACCACCGTTCTGGCGAATTCCTTGGATTCTTGCTCGATATTGGGACCGTCATTACGGGTCTGAGGGGGCTGCCTTCTCACCCCTCCTGTACTTTGACTGGATGCTGCCTTCACAAGCTGAGTCATGGCTTCAACTATTTGAGCTTCCATCACGTTAAATGAGATATCACTGACCAATCCCGCAAAGGTCTGGATAACTCTCCGATCCTCGGACCAAGGTTTGATCTCGAGCTCGACAAACCTTTCAAGATCTCCTTTGACATAATAAAAGTCTTCATGCTCGAGAACTTGTTTGATACGATCTGGAATGAAGAATGACTGAATGCGGAGCTGGAATGCTTCGAGGTTCTGCTGGACTCTCTCTCGTGGCTCAGAGGACTTCTCAAACTTAGTTATGGCTTGGACATGCTGTCAGGGAGGTCACTTACCTCTTGAACATGTACCACAATTGCTTGTAGTTCCCTCAATTTTACAAGCCCATCTTGCTCGCTCCATCCACGAAGAACCACATTATTCCCACTCCAGTACAGACTAAGATGTTTGACACCGGGGGCTACACGCCGGATCAGCGCGGGGCATAGGTCGATCTTCCTCCAATCCCAGATCTCTACCCCTTTACCCATCATGGTGTTTTCGATCGTTGCGTCGCTGTATGCAGGTTTTTCCAGATCATCCACAACAATCTTGAATATTTTTCGCACCCTTTTCAACTTTTCTCCATTAAACAGCTTATGAACATCCTCGATCGATGATCTCGCAGTATTTGCTTCAATTACGCCATTGCTTCGGTCCAGCCGCGGAATGTATACGCTTTGCAACATATCCTCAAAGTCCAGACTTTGCAGTGTGCGTTGGATGTCATTGAGCTTTGACATATGCTTCGAGCTGAGGTCCAAGAAGATTGCTTTGTTTAAGCTGTCTGTATTCGGATGTTAGCTTCACCGTTCCTTCGCCATCCTATCTAAAGGGGGCCATACTGCGAAGTCCTTGTCGACCATAGAGAATTTCCACCGCAGCGTCGTGCCCCCTGCTTCTGAGATAGTGAGTCATAAGTAACTCCTCAACTTTTTGAGCCCAGTCGATTGAAGAGGAGATTGGGTTGTTCTCGCTTGGTGATTCTGATGGATCCATATTATGAGGATGAGCTACCCCATCATCGCGTTGGATGCGCATCTGAGCTGATTTTTCCTTACTTTGAATAGGTATCTCATCCTTTCTCGTACTCTTTACTGATGTGTTGCTCACTGATAATCCATTGCTTCCGATTGGGGCCTGTGACCGAGACAATGACGCATTCATCATTGGTTTCGGTGGTTTAACGCTGCTAGGCCCTCGATGATCGCCCCGACCTGCCTTGGAATATTCCGGGCTCTTCCCTATCCAAGGGATCATTTGACTCTGACCATCCAGCAACCTAGCTGGCGTCCCAAACTGTTGCCCTCCATCACCACGAGTGTAAAGGTGGTGAAGATAGGGCGATCTGTTCTCGAGATTGAAATCTGGATCTTCGATCACCTTCACTTTCTCACAAGTCTTGTCAATTATGGCCTCGATAAGCTTGATAGATTCCTTGCAGCATCTTTTATAATCAGCTGCTAGATGCAGAGGAGTGTTTCCCTCCTTGTCTTTGGCGCATAGTGCTTCTGCGGATGCAATATCTACCAAATACATCAAGTTGTCCAGATCGTGCTCAATGGCGAGATGAATGCAGTTCTTTTGGGATGAATCGGGCAAGCCGATCGCACTTTCAAACTCCTCGCCACCTTCCTTATCAATCAGTGTGACCATGGCCTTGTTGTCATTCTTTATGGCAACATGAAGAGGATAGTCGCCGGTCTTATCCGGCTTGCTCAGTGGACGAGAGTCATGAGTAATGAGGAAACGGACTAGTGGTCTAAGATATTTGCTGCCAGGAAGATCCTCTGGGGACTTTTGTGCTAATAGATGCAGTGCTGTCTTTTCGCTCTTATTAAGGCCTGAAGCCACCAGATCCTTCTTTTCCTGATCGATGGACTCCAAAGAGATTTTGGAACGCAGTAACTTCAACATATCTGCGAGATGTGTCTCTAATGTCTGATCACTGGCATATGGTCTTTCGTCACCGTCGCTACTGTCCGAATCTTCGAGGGAATGTTTGAGATGGTAATGTGACCGCATTTTTGATGCTAAGGGAGAAAATTAAAGTCAAGGATCTTGAAATTTCATAACTCCAGTCAATTCAGATAGAGTAGTGCAGCCACGTGGAATTCCTCACGGCCCCCTCCCCTGCCTTTCCCCTTCATCTTATTTTTGTCACGGTTTCCCCCCTTTTCAGCCGCATATGTGATCATTTATACAGTAGCGCGTGTGATATGTAATGCGGGCGCAGGCGCTAGGCAAATTGCATACATGGCCACATTTTATCTGTTGGAATAATGCCGTAGCTGAACGGGTTGGTCCAATTAGCGGATAAACGGCCACAGCAAGCCACCGGCTGAGGGGATGACGTGCGCCGGGGGGACACGGAAAAAGGCCAGATAGGACCAGGTGAGCGTGCGTACGGAGTACAATACAAATTATAGATACAAATCCAAACCTTAGTACAATAGAAGGGACAAGGGTTCTTGTTGTACATATCTACACCTTTGTACTAGTAGTGCAGGGTACAGGTATGGCTACGTATAATAGTGCGACCTCCAAAGTATTGGGCAACACCTTTATACTATCGCATACTGCTTTATATGTAGGGGTCCAAAATTCCGCCGGATACTTCTGAGGTTCTACTGTAGTATTGTGATGTATACATGTATAACATCCATATTGTGCATTGTCCCCCTAGACAGGATTAAAAAATGGATCCCCGCTGGCCTCTCTGCCCGTATCACAGCCGTAGACCCTAGTAGGAACGGTCTTAAGTGCCTCTTCTACTCTAGGACTTCTTGCCCGTATCACCCAAAACAGTTTGGAGAGAGGCATCAAAAAACTCAACTGGTTTGATATCGCCAAGTTGACTGATATCATATCCTGGGCGGAGCTTGTTGGTTGGCTTAATTTGGGGATTATACAACACGGGCTCGTTGGTTGGATCCTTCACCCCGCGTAGTCGTTCCTTCCACGTTCGATTATCAACCTCCGTCGCAACTTCAACGTCAGCTTCAAACTTATCCTCATCCTCTCTCTCTAGGATAATTGCTGCGCGGAACCAAGTAGGAACACCTGTTTTTGTTGTAGGGTTCTCGTTCAATATCCATGTGACCCCGTAGTCATACCCGTATTCATCAGTACGAAACACGCCTTTGATTTGGGTGTAATTGGTACTTGTATAGCTTTTTGCAGTTGTCCACTTGAGGGATCCACCTAGGTTGGTGCATGTCTGCCCAACTTGCGCGTTGACCTCGCTTTCGCGTGAGTCGGAGTAATCCTGGTCGACGGGCAGGAGCCCATATGTGCCGTGGGGGCTGAATGAGTGGATCCGAGGCCCCCGAGCTCCGAGCGTGGAGCTGCGAAATTTCACTGAGATTCTCACTTGACGAATGCGGCTCTTCCATTTGATCCCTGTGAATCGGAATTCATAAACAACTAAACTAGCAAACTTGGTAGAATCAGCGCCGAGTTGCCCATGAATCGTCTCCAAAGCATTTCCCCGCACATCCACGCTGCCTTCGTAAGATGTAAGCGTCGATCGCTGTTCAGGATTTTCGAGAGGATTCCTTGTATGGTACCCGCTCTCCCCTCCTTCTTCTTCGAGGTGGATGCCGAAGGAAGATGTTTGTCCATTTTCGATATCATCCTCGTCGTCAAACGCAGCCCCCTCGGTCTCCTCAAAATCCTCCCAATGATCCGTCATAGTAGTGAACTCGGCTTCAAATAGTCTCGTTGAATTTCCCAATCAAGTGGTCTCAACGAGAGCTTCAATTAAGAACCGACGGATAGGTCTTCCCTTTTATCTTTCAGGACCAATGACTATTTCATGCATATCCCGAGGTCTCCTAGTGTGCTTAGTGATGCCACCTTCCTAGATAGTAGCCATGCATTAAAATCCCAGGCTTCCACTTATTTAGGACTCTGAACAGGATTGATAGCCCTGCGCCTCTCCACAGAAATCCCAAAGGTTTTGTTAAGCGCCGCCCCGTGAATGAGGTGGCTCTGTTCACCCCTCAACCCCCCTAGTGATTATTAGTATTGGTATTACAAGAAAAAAAAAGCAAGCACGTGCAATGCGCATTAGCGTCCATTCTCAGCCAGCTGTCGTGGTAGGGTAGTGTTGGAGACAACTAGTGTGAGCATCACACATCCAGGAGTCCTCTAAACAACCTTGCCTTGTCTTTATTAGTAATACACGCTCCTTCGACTTCCCACCTCTTTCCTTGGAGATTTATTGCTCCAAACCGGTTCGGTACATAGCTCTTGACAGGCTAGACAATCTAAAATGACACATGCGGGGGGTTTCCAATCCCCTCGCGTTTGTCAGTTGGTTGGCCCCAAGACTCAAGTGACCTGTCAATTAGTGACCCTGGGCTAGAGTACGTACTTCCATAAAATCATTAGCTATCTATTTGATCTTGTTAATCACATCGACAGCTTTGTGTTCATCCACGGGTTGTATGGTGGCTCGGACGACGGTTTCAAGGAAGAAGACAGCGCTGTTTCCACCTCACCTGAATGGCTCGATGAGTACTGCCAATCCCTCAAAAATGCCAGGTTGCTTAATTTCAGCTATGACATGGTTGGAGTCTTGGCTGGGGAATTTACTAGAAATGCGATAAATCAAGTTTCAGTTGATTTTTTGGATAAACTGGTTGAGCGTAGAGGAAAGGACTCAACGGTGTGTGCTGCTGATAATGAATGAGTGAGAGGCATGAGTGCTGACCTTCTCTTCCTCTCAGCGTGCAATAGTAATTATTGCCCATGATATTGGTGGAATAATCATCAAAGATGTCAGATTTCCGTCTTTCCCCTCATGCATTCATACTTCTGACAAAGGAACACCCGAAGGCCCTCCAATTGGCGATCCTAGATGTTTCTAGATGGGGAAGTCTGACTTACTACTCGCGAATGCTTGTAAGTCCAAAGTTGAAGATTACCATATTGCTGGCCAGATTCTGAGAAGTTTAGATATTTCACAATTGTCCTCATCGATATATCGATACACTAGACTTGCGAGAAAAGCTGACACTGTTTCTGCTTGGAAACCGGAATGTGAATGTGCATTCGTTATTTCCAAGTGTCTCTGCTGTCTCGGGAATGGTGCAGGCAGTTACAGAGATCAACGGATTATTTGTCGAATCAAAAGTCTACATGTATAGCTATCTGGCAAGTGTCTACGCTGGACGGTCAAAGGCGGTTCCAGTGCATCATGTACGTGTCTACCCAACCAAGTATGCCGCGTTTTCAGGCTAATGAACACAGGGTTTCGATGAATTTACTGGGACCTTAGGCCTCCCATTGGAAGTGACCTTCCGTGAAGAGAGCTTGGAGAGCAGCGTTGACAGTGTGCTTCGTGATTACATTGATCGTGAAAGTCCCTGTGCGTATTAGCCCATCGCTCAAGTCTCTAGAATGCGAAGTTGACCTCGGAGCAGATTTTTTATCTCTCACAGCCAACCAGGTAGATCGAGACATGATATTGGTGTCTATGGCTTCCCCGATCAACCCATTCGTATCATCGCCAGATTCAAATCATTTCATCAATGAGATTGATGAAGTTCGGGACTGGCTACGCAGCCCTTCGAGGAGGATTCTGTATATCCATGGAGTGGATACTCTTGAAGCCAGTGAACAGCTCTTCTTTTCTATCCAACAATATGCGAATGCAAATCTCAAGCAGCATCATCTTATCCTCTATTTTTCCTTTGACCGCCATGATAATCGACGAAATACTTTGAGTCATATGCTTTCAACCTTCATATCTCAAGTGATCTGCCATCGCTCAAAAGACCTGGAGCCCCGGATAAGCTTGATGTTCGAAGAATTGAACCAGGAACGATACTGGACTGAGACGGATCTATGCATTTGGTTCCGCAAACTCCAGTATTACAGTTCCATTGTTGAAATTTCAATCGTGCTGAGTAATTTCCACGATTGCTCTCCCTCTTCACAGGCTTCTATATTAGGTCTGCTCTCCAAAATGACGTATGGAAACGACTTGCGCTGTCTTATTGCAATCGCCAGCTCACAGCCTCGAATAAAAGACCATGATCCACGCCATTTGGAGTGGATTGACCTGGAATTGAAGATACCGCAGCCCGGACACGATGCATTTGTTACTTCAGAAATCACGACATTGCTTCGCTCGCACCCCGAAATGTCAACGCAGAGAGCAGAACTGAAGGATTGTCTGGAGAAAATTGCAGATAGTGATTCCATCAGTGGCAAAATAATCCGTGAACAGTGGAGGGCGCAAAGAAATTTGCCTGTGGGGAAATTCCATGAAGATACATCTAATCTCAACGGCTTTCAGGAATGCAATCGTCTGGCACACACATTGGACCAACTGTTACGCAACTTCCCAGATCATGAGAAGGCTCGCACGTTGCTGGTTTGGATCGTCTTTGCTGTCCGACCTTTAACGGTATGGGAGCTTGCCATTGCCATTGCCATCGACCTTGAGGTTGACCGCAAGTCTACCAAAGTCGTTGAGCTACAGTCAAGCGATGTAAATGGGCTTGTCATTCAGCTGGAGACATGGTTTGCAGGAATTGTGCAGATTCGGCATAATGAGGTGAGGGTTGCTAATGAGCAGATCGTTTCTGTTTTAATGGGTTCCGGTAACGGGCCAACCGGGCCGTATTTTTGGAACGGTATACGTGATATCGCACATCTCCGAATCTCACGAGCATGTCTTCAATACCTCCAAGACCCAAACATTTATACCGTTTCCGACCAGTTCCAAGGTCTCCTAGCTTGCGAGGATATAAAGCCATCCGTAACCCTCCGGCGCTACAATCTTGTGTCGTACGCTACGCTGCATTGGGCGACCCATTATCTCAAACACCCCATCCCGGGAGATCTATTGACAGATGTTGAAGCTTTCCTTGAATCAGATCTCTGTCCTCGTTGGGCGAGGACCTTTTGGTCCCTCTCAAATCCCGTCACAAGGCCAAATAAGCCATTTGAAACAGGGAGCCCGATCCTCGCCAGCCTACCTATATCCCACAACCACATAGACCTTGTGAACACGGCCAAGGATGAAACACTTATCGAGGCATCACGAAACCCCGACTCATCTCTAGCCCTCGAACTACTCGAGAGGCATGAATGGTCGCAATCTACTCTTCTTCAAGCACTCATCGGAGCGTCTGCATCCGTCAATGAAGACCTCGCGGTTCAAATTTTTGATCTCATGCAAAGAAAACAACTGGGTGGCCGGACCCAATGGCCGTTAATGCTTTTAAGACGCGCCTCACGGCTTAACTTCGTTAAACTCACTGGCAGGCTTGTCAAAGCAGGAGGCCATGAACAGGCCGTGCTTACCGAGGACTCTTGTGATCTACCCCCTCCTTTATTTCAAGCGGCTGTAAATAATTCTGTCGATTGCTTGATTTTGCTTCAGGAAAGTGGAGTTGATTTCGAGCAGTGGACGCGTTTCTCCCGCACAGTATTACACAGTACCGTCGAGTTTGGTTGCACAGAAGCAGCTAAGGCTCTGCTTGAAATGTATCCTCACATGCTCGAACTGGAGGATGAAAATGGTTGCACAGCACTAGACCTAGCAGCCGACTGGGGTCAGTATGACATGGTTGAATGCCTGTTGGAACTTGGTGCAGATCCAAATATGAGGTCAAGGGATCAGTCCACCAAAGTTGATGGTTTGAACAGGCTGCCATTACCGTCAGCAGCAAAGGAAGGCCATATTGAATGTGTACGCTCTCTGCTACACCATGGCGCTGATCCCAATATTGTGGGACCCGATGGGGGTGATACACCTCTGCTATACGCAGTGGTGCACGGCCACACGACAATCTGCCGCATGCTCCTCCAGGATAAGGCAGACCCCAATAACAGTCTTCACAAATCGTCTATCCTTGTGGCCCTCTTAACCACGGATGACCTTCCTCCGTTAACAGTCGAAGGCATTTTTGGGTTGTTGCTTGAATTTGGGGCTGATATAAACTGCATTGATGACTCTCATCTGACCCCTTTGGTCCATGCAATAAAATCATGTCGTCAGTCACTGGTTGAGCAGTTACTAGAAAAGGGTGCCGATCTCAACATGCGCTGCGGGGAGAGCTGTGCTTTAATATTCGCGCTCGGCGAAGCCAACGGCCTAGATGTGATGAAGGCTCTGGTAGACAAGGACGCAGATTTAGAGAATGTAAATCCCCAGGGAATCAGTCCGCTGGGATTTGCAGCTGCAAGAGGCAATACTGCAGCGGTCGAATTCCTCATCGATAGAAAAGCCGCACTCGAATCTGAATGTCACGAACCAGGTTATTACCAAGGTTGGACAGCGGTATGCTTCGCCGCGCGCTTTGGCAAACCAGAGATTATAAGATTGCTTGCCAATGCGGGGGCTGACTTGAGACACCGAAACATTGATGGCGCATGTCCTCTCCACCTAGCAACCATTTCCGACTCGCTCCATGCCCTGTTAGAGTATCGAGCGAGGATCGATATCGATGAAACGAACGATTCCGGCGCAACACCATTAATGGTGGCTATTCAGGATGATGGCTCGGTTGAAAACATCAGGCTTTTAATCAATGCTGGCGTGAATGTGAATATTCACGATAGCTCAGGTAGAACGGCACTGATGAAAGGCGTCATTCGTAACAATCGTGAAATCATATCGCTTCTTCTTAAACACACGGATATAGAAATCAATCTCACCTCGTCAGCTTACGGGTCAGCTTTGCATCAGGCATGCCGTGATGGAAATTTGGAGATCATGAAATTGCTGGTTGAAAGTGGTGCCAATGTGAATGCCACTGTCTTTGGATACCGAGGAACGCCATTGCAATCGGCCTGTCAAGCTGGTGATTGGGATGACCCTGGAACTGCCCAACTTCGCCTTGAGTATTTGCTGTCTAAGGGGGCAAACCCTACTGCTGCAGGAGGCCAGTTCGGTACATTGATGAGCACTGCGGCAGCGTTTACACCACCATCCATTGTCCGCTTTCTGTTGAATAAAGGTGCTCCAATTGAGGCTCATAATCAGCAGGGCTGTATGCCCATACACTTTGCTGCTACTCATGGTATTGATAACCTGCTTGTATTGATGGACGCCGGTGCCAATATTGAAGCTCGGGACAAAATGGGCCGAACGCCATTGCATTGGGCAGCGCAAAATGGTCGTCTGAGAGTAGTTGACTATATACTGAAAACCAGTGACCCCTCGGCGGTTCAAGAGATGGACATTGATGGATGGACACCTCTTCATTGGGCAGCGCGCGGCAGTAATGGTAGCTTCTTTCCTGCATTTGCCGGCGAGGAAATTGACCATCAGGGTGTTATAAAGTCACTCCTGGATTTTGGTGCGGATGTTGACAAGACTGTCCTTATAGAGGAAGAAGCTTGGCCTCCCCTCAGACTTGCATGTTACAGTGGAGCGTCTGTGGAAACGGCTAAAGCACTCATGCCTTCTAATCGCAACCGGGTGACGGAGAATGAGGTTAAGACCGGGGGGGACCTCAATTGGACTTGCGATTCATGCTATTGGGTAAGCTCTCTTCTGAGACCAACGGCACTGGCATCCAAGTTTGCGAGTGGTTAACATTTTCCTAGGTGATTCGTGGGCCTGCCTTCTTTTGTCAAACATGTGTTGACAATAGTTTATGTCCCAAGTGCTACATGAGAAGGAATATCGCACATGCCCCTTATGCTGACCATGAATTCATCCAGAAGGGAGAGGAGTTTGCTCCCGAGGATGAATGGCAGCCTTTACTCCAGGGCCTGAACGCTAAAAATGAAACAGAGTCTGAGCTAGCATTCTCCGACTCCAGCTCCGACTCTGAGTTCAGCTCCAGCTCCGATAGGGGCCTCCGGCGAGGCCGACGCCGTAGAGCGGGAATCTGAGGATGGCAGATTGAGCCAACGACTGCGTGTAGGGGTGTTGAGCATAGCAAATGGGTGGTCTAACAAGGGACTTTACAGAAGTTTCCACGGCGTTCTAACGACTAGTACAATGCATCCTTCGCAAATTTTCGAAACGTTCTGCGGACTTCCTTTTAGGAATGTAGGTTACCTGGTGCATTAGTGGGATCTAGGAGCTCGAAAACTGTAGGATATTCGAGATAAAAGTCTACTTGGAGCCAGACTCCTGTGAAAGCGAGTCCTATTGAAGAAAAGGATGTCCCCCCAATTCGCCTGCCGGGCTCAGTATTGCCGACGGAAGCAAGGCTGAAGATGAACTTACCCGTATGAACTGTCCTGCATTCTTTGTGTAGATAATCAAGCCCCGTAAGAAGAACATGAATGTATGTCTTAATGAGGGGCAGTGGCATCTTTCCGTTGTCAAAGCGCCGCTGGTACATCGACAGCGGCTCCCTCATAGGCGGATACACAAGACACGAATAAGAACCTTTTGGACCTGTTACTTCAAAGGAGTCTATGAATGTTCGGATAAGTGAACGACCGCGATGTGACGGGTCTGTTGTGGCAATATGCTCTTCAACTTCGCGCTCATGACTAGCGGAACTGGTATTGTTATTGGCAATTTTCAGTGCTACGACTTTCTCTGGCCCTTCGATGTGCCTATATATTTATTAGACAGAGAGAGAGAGCCTTGAATTGAAGGGAAATGATTGAAAGCTACTCTTGTAAATCACGCGCGAGCCATACTGTTGAAGACACGCCCCAACCAACCTTGACCAAGGTTTGGTAACGATCGGCGAGTACCTCTCCAGGTTTCGCTGGGTAGAAGTACCACTTGGAATCGTATACTGGCGAGATCTCTTCATCAATGAGTATGCCGGGGGGTAAAGGTGATCCGGGAGAAGGTATGGGAAACGGCTTCTTGCGAAGCAAGGCGGAGAAACGAGAATTCAATGGCTTTATATTGTTCATTACAGAATTACCCCCCGTGAGTGGGAGAGTTCCAAGGTTTGTTATCAAGGGTTGTTATTGAAGAAGATCAAGGAGAGCATCCAATGAGCATGATTGATCCCGTGCTGGGATCTACTCGGTGACCGAAGCACCCTTATAAAAGCGGCGGCAGCTCAACAATAAGGGGGGCTGGGGACTGTGGCTCCGGGTCTATGCGCCTCTAGACTTGCCCTTTATATGACGCCATGTCAAGCTTACGGGGGTATAATAGCCAAGTATTGCTAGCTTATGGCTCTAGCTTATCTAGCTTATACATTGGCACATAAACTTGGAATATTAGGCGAGCATCAAATATTACACATAGAAACGCCGTCACGGTTTATGCTTTTCCCCGCCTTTTTCTGCCATCTAGCTATAAAACTGAGAAGGGCAAGAAAATAACTATAAAGACATCCCAACATCCAAGAAGAATATATACGAAGGCCACATAAACGGCCGACTATTCTTGACATATAGTTAATCCACTCTCGGGAATAAACATGGAAATATCTGAAGCTCCGAAATTTTCCAGGATTTTGTGGTTCTGCAGGCATTTTCTCCAAAAAAAAAAAAATAAGGTGACATCTGAAAACGGCGAGTCCATGACATATGACCCTGAGAATATGCCATGGTCGCCACTTTAGTGGCGAATATGTAGTTCTAGAAGACGCTTGGAAGACGGGGCTTGAAGCTTTGGTCCTTTTTTCAATCCAATAACCAAGTAATGTCAGGGTACATAGTACATAGAATATAGGTGAGAAGATGATCGACGAAGCTCAGACCAACGTGTCTCTTACCCCTCATCTTTCAATTCTCTGGCAATTCCAACAATTCCAGCAATTGTTCTCCAGATTTGACATTTTCCTAATACTCCCGGCAATATTCCCCTAACCGCTCTTTTATAAGGCTATAAAGCTTTCGGACTCAACTTTTAGCAAAGACACAGGTACATATCCCGGTTTCATTTGTTTTCACTTGCCCTTTTTTTCAATTTGTTATATTTCATTTTACTTTCCGAGACAAGAAAGAAAAGAAAGAAAAAAAAAGAGAAAAAAAGGAAACGAAAGAAGAGGTCATGCAGTATTCTTACAATTAGACTCCAACCAATAATCCCCCGCTGTCTGCCCCTCCGTTGCTTCCTTATTACTACCTTTTCTCTACTACCATCTCTGCCTACTCTGCTTTTTTTTTTTTACCTTATCTACATTTTCTACATTTCCCTCTCACTCTGTCTACTTAATTCATTCCTTTCTAACATCCACAGATATCAGCTCTGTTTCGTCATACATCCCACTCAGCTTCAACCACGGAGTCACGGCCTCGACGGCCCTTAACCCCCCAACGCCCTCATGGCACAGAACTCTTCTCCGGGCTTGGCTCCGGTCATTGACACTAGAGCCGGCGACAAATCTGCTGGCATCCAAAAAATTTCCGAGGACGACGAGTTCGAGGTGACGTCACCAACCAACCTGACCTTTCGACAGTCGAACGCCGGTGCTTCGCTGCCGAGCGCCGTTTTATTTGGAGGTTCTGCATTTGGAGAGGGAGGATCACAAACAGGAAGATCTTTGTTCAGCCGGAGTCCCTTCCAGGATAACACGGGGGAGGAGGACGAGCAGGAGGGGGAGCTGGCCCCCTCTCCCGGCACGATCCGCACAGCAAGGATTCCCTAACAATTACGCGCTGGGTCGTCGGACATCTGTCTCAGCGGAATCTTTAAATCCCACCGAAGCTGGTTCGGAGAGCTGGTCGCCTCCTCACCACCCAAAGACCGAAGAGCAGGTCTCCCGGCTCAAGAGCGCCGTCAGTAGCAACTTCCTCTTTTCCCACCTCGATGATGATCAATTCTTGACCGTCCTCAATGCTCTCGTTGAGAAGCCCATCCCTGCGAAGGATATCAAGGTCATTTCTCAAGGTGACGCGGGTGATTACTTCTACATCGTGGAGCAGGGAAACTTCGACGTCTATATCAACCCCTCCGGCGCCGTGGAGCCTGGTCCCGATGGCTTGGGTAACAAGGTCGCCAGCACTGGACCCGGAGGATCTTTCGGTGAGCTGGCTCTGATGTACAATGCTCCGCGTGCTGCAACAGTGATTTCCACCGAGGCAAAGAGCACCTTGTGGGCCCTCGACCGCATCACCTTCCGCCGCATCCTAATGGACTCGGCATTCCAACGCCGTCGCATGTACGAGGCTTTCCTGGAGGAAGTCCCGCTGCTTTCCTCTCTGAAGCCATACGAGCGCTCGAAGATCGCCGATGCTCTGGACACCATCAAGTATCCGGCAAATTCTACCATCATCCACGAAGGCGATCCTGGAGATGCTTTCTATCTTTTGGAGTCGGGCGAAGCTGAGGCTACCAAGAACGGTGTCTCCGGGCCCGTCAAGAACTATCACCGAGGGGATTACTTCGGCGAGCTTGCCTTGCTGGACGACAAGCCACGCCAGGCGAGCATCACCACCAAGACGGATGTGAAAGTGGCGCGGCTAGGCCGGGACGGATTTAAGCGCCTTCTCGGTCCTGTGGAGGGAATGATGAGAGGAGCCGAGTATGAATTGGATGGGGATAAGTCTCCTGTTTCCAAACCAATGTGATATGATACAATGAAATTGGGATTTTTGAGCCGGAAAATTAGACTCCTCATGGCGAGATCCAGCTCTTCTGTCATCTGTCTCACTTTGCGAGTTCCAAAAACTCACCTGCTATCCCAATAACTGATGATCTACCTTTTTTTTCAATGTTCATTATTTGTCTCCCATCTCGTTCCCAGCAAATTTTCCACTCCTTACGACTATTTGACATGTATCTACAACTGCCTCTTTTATGCGTGCTGTCTGTGACAGGGACCTACTGTCGTCCTTGGTTCATATTATCCTTTTGCTACTGTTACTCACTCGGACCCTCCAATACTTAGGTATCCAGCAGAATGATTAGAACTGATTGATTTCCCAAAATTCCCATATGTATGTCTATACACCCAAACTCCAAGTTGAAGTCGCATAGGAACCCGCCCACTACGATCATGCTATATCCAAAAAATACTGCACCTCGCCTACTCCCAAATGCAATCACTAGTATATCATATATCACCTCGGCACAACCAAATCACTCCTCAAAACCCACTTCTCCCCACTAGTAACCTCGGCCCCCTCATGAAGCATACAATGATCTCCATGTCGATGCAACAGCGCCATTCCAGCCTCCGGCGCAACAGTTATTGGCTCCGGATTACGGTTCGCGCGCGTAGGTTCAGGGTAGAAGACTGTTTCGCCGCCTGTGCAGGACGTCAGGTAGATAAGGAGTGTCCAGGTTGTGCGTGCAGGTGTTGCTTTTGAGCGTGAGTTCGGTGGGGGGGAGGGTTATGTTGTTGGTATCGTCGTCTGCAGTCATGTATTAGATTAGTCTACTTGGTACGGACGTGCATATATAATCCAAGATGAAGGGAGTCCTACAATGTTGTCCAAAGAACTGTCCTGCAGAATATCGATAAATGCGGATATTAGGATTTAACCCCAACGGATCCCCGCCCCAGAGTTGACGTGCGCGTTCAGCAAGGGCGGGCGAGATAGTACCATCTTCCCCGTACGAGTGGTCCTGCTCGTACCCGTGCTCGTCTTCTTCAAAGCGCGTCGTGATAAGCTCCTTCAGCGCAGTCGTGTTCCACAGCATCTCCGCAAACCGCGCATCGTCGATTTGGAATCGGTCGTTGACGCGTAATGCTTCATCTTTCTTTGGGGCTCCCGGTGTTGTTGTTAGTGGTAGCGAGGCGAGGAATGAGGTGTAGGTTTTGCACAGGGTGCTTGGGAGGAAGTTGCGGATTAGGTAGATTTGGTCGGTGAGGAGGGGGGTCAGGGTTAGATCGGCGGCGGGGAGGAGGGGGCGGAGGGGAGGCCAGTTTGGGGTTGTGGTTGTGGCCTTTGGTTGCGGTTTTGGGGGTGGTTTTTTGGATTTTGGGGCCATTTTGGTTTTTGTTGTAGGTATGGAAGTGAAGGTGGAGATATAGGTAGAATAGAGGTAGAAGTAGAGGTAAAGGTCTAGGTTGGCTTTTTTTTATTATCGCGATAAGATGATCTTGCTCAGGTTTGTATAGACAAGCTTAATTGGTTTCTATATATACACTGCTTCCCCAGAATATGTACACATGTTTATGTAGTGCTATACGCTTCTACCCCTTGCATATGATATAGGACATGATGGGAATTGTATTTGCCTAAGTACCTACTACTTAGTATTACTGTCAGCGTTTCCCCTCACTCAACAGGCAAGCCACTTAATATCAGAGGGGTTGACTCCACAATATTAGACCGAGGCAATGTAACTATAGAAGTACATAATCAAGAGGCCAATTGCACATGTACTATTGTCAAACCAAATATATAGATCTAGACTTTGATCAACAAAATCGGTGAGGAACCAGTCCATACAGGTGGATCAGGTCGGAGAGAATATGGATTTGGGCGGGGCGGGAAAGAAAATTTGTCCCGGAAAGGAACAACGGCGCTTTTCACTTTCCAACGTTTCTCCAACCATAACCCCCTCCAGAATTCATATCTGTTGGTGAATTCAAGTCAAATCGCAATACTGAGAACTGAAGGAAAACAACAAAAAAACAAAAAAAAAAACATGGCTCAGCGGTGACTACGGCCTCCTGCAGCGACCAACTCGGCCATCGCTCACCGCCCGGTCCCAAGTTGAGAACTTCCCTTCTCATTGGAACTTCATTCCTCTCCCTTCCCCAGCACCAGCCTGTCATGTCGTCGCAGACCATGACTGCGCCAGCCGTGGGCCATCGACCGCCTGATCCAGGCTCCGATAGCCCGCTATACGACTATGGCTGCTCACCAAACACCACACCCCCTTCCAATCCTCGAGACGACTCCGCAATCCGCGCCATGCAGAATAATTCTGCCCCGTCAACTCCCAACGGGATGCCCGCCCCGGACGTCGCAATCAAAACTGAATGCTCAGACAACAACGAATTTTCAGCTGCGCAGAGCCAGCAAGATGCAAATACCCAAAGCGCCGCAAGTGCGCTCCTAGCACAGCTTCTTGGGAACCAATCTGCGACAAACTCGACCCCTACTACCATACAACCTGCCCAACAGGACGCGGACGAGGATAGTCACATGGATATCAAGATGGACGATTCAATCTCCCAATCATTCGACATGTCTGCCCAAAACCCCACATCCATCGACCCGAGCTTACACCAAGACACCGCCTCGATATCTCGTGAGATTCAGGACTTGCTGAATGGGAAAGCTCTAGATGACGAGCTTATGGCAGCAAATTCACACCATGATTTGAATCATACAGGATTCAACACATCTGATGCAATGGGTACCTTGTCCGATCCCATGAACCCGAAACTGAACGACGAACAGCCCTCGCTCCTCCCGCCCTTAGATTTTTCCGCCGCCCCGAAAAATGCGTTTGAAGCTTTCCACCAAAATGAGCTGCTCACGGCCGCCTTTCTCTCACAAAACGCCGATCTTTCGGCTTTCGGATATCAAGATGTGGCAGCCTCAATCGCTGGATCGGAACCTAAGATCCAAGCATTTGCCAAGTTGGAGTTTGATGATGGGCATTTTTACGTCAATACCTACTCATTTATATTAGGGCGAGACGTGCGCGCCGCTCGCGCCGCCCATCATCGAGAGTTCCAGTACCGGCAGGCCGTGCGAAGCACTCGGGCGAAGAGTTCAAGTGGAGGAAACACATCACACACACCGAACCGTATGAAGCGGGAGGAAAGCGCTGCCATGATGGGCAGTGTTGTCAGTGATCGGGGAGGTATTATGGGCTTTGATCCAGATATACCCCCGCATATTCCGAACAATATGAACATGAGCCGACGATCCTCAAAGTCCTCCTTTGACGAGGCGGTTGTACCATTGCATGCAAACCCCGCTCAACTACAATCGACAACCGACTACAATGCGCTTGCAATGCAATCTTTGCAAGATGGAAACGGAGACGCAAAACCTGTGGATGCCCTGGCTTTGCTCCCATCCCCTGATTCCTGTCCCACCATCCCAATTCACCCCCCAACGACCGTTGACGGCAGTGCCGCAGGCCATCGAGGGATTTCTCGAAGGCATGTCCGGATCTCATACAATTTTGATCGTAATTTGTTTGAAATGGAAGTAATGGGACGCAATGGAGCGTTCATTGGGGCTGATTGGCTATCACCAGGACAGGTTCGCCCGTTACACAGCGGTGACTACATCCAAATTGGAGGCGTGCGCATCCGCTTTTTGCTACCAGATGTCCCTATCGGCGAAACTGGAGCGGACCGGATGGAAGAAAAATTGGCAGAAAAGGAAAAGGTCGAAGAGGAAGAAGACAAAGATGCCCGTGATTCCATGGAAATGGATGATGACATTGATGAATCTGAGAGACTTGGAAGTGACAGTGGCGAGAGCAGGGAACCTTCAAAGAAGATCATCCTTAAGACAAAGGATTCAAAATCTCAAACAGTGGATTCTATTGAGGCTGGGGATAACGATTCACAGCCAGCCCGCCGCCGGGGACCTGGACGCCCTCCCAAGGATGGGATCATGTCCAAGCGCGAGCGAGCTGAGCTTGCCCGGGAGCAGAAAAATGCCGCCAAACGCGAGGCCAACGGAGGCATCACACCACCTCCGCCCAAAGTGCCTAAGGCTGGGAAGACAGTTGCCAAAGAATCTGTCGTTCCCGAGTCACCAAAGCCATCCGAGAAGCGGAAGTACACAAAGAGAAAAAAGCCGGATGGTACACCAATGGATTCTCCCCTTCCATCAACAGAAGGCGGCCAGATGTCTGCAGAGCCCCCGCAAGAATATGTCAAACCACCACCGGTCAAGAAGCGCAAACCATCACGATCACCATCTCCCAACTATCCTCCGGAGTCTGCTTACAATGCTGAGGATCTGGCAAAGCCCCCGTACAACTACGCCGTTCTCATCTTTGATGCTCTGACGGAAGCCGGCACGCCAATGACGTTGAAGCAGATCTACCGCGCGCTGAAATTGAAGTATCCGTACTTCCGCTTCAAGTGTGAGACTGAGGGCTGGACATCCAGTGTACGGCATAACCTGAACGGCAACGGTCATTTGTTTATGCACGCAGAGCGAGATGGCAAGGGCTGGTCATGGCAGCTTATTCCCGGCGCGTCGGTTGAGAAGGAAAAGAAACGACGCCCTTCGCCGCCGCCGCAGGTGTCCCACCCTCCTACGCCTGCTCCCCAGCAGTACATGCCCATGTCCCACTCTTATGCACCACCTCAGGGCCCGCCACAGGTGCCAAATCCGCCACAGCATTTCCAATTCCCTTCCATACCGCCTGCTCCTTTCCCGGCATCTGTTAATGTGGGAGGACCTCCATCACATTCCAGTCCCTACGCACCTCCACCGAAGGTCTCTGCTCCTACACCAACCGCTCCTCCTCCTCCTGCTCCGCCGGTTCAAGCTCCTGTTCCTGCTCCACCCCCGCCTCAGGCTGCGGCACCGGCACCGGCACCGGCACCCCCGCCAGCGCCTACACCTGCCCCTGTCTCCGCTCCTATCCCGTCACCTGCGCCAACACCTACACCGGCTCCTATGCCCGCGTCTGCACCCGCACCTACACAGGCACCCACGCCAGCACCGGCGGCACCGGTACCGGCGTCGGCACCACCACCAGCATCAGCGCCTGCACCTGCACCTATCAACCCGGCTGCATCTTTCCCCATCCCTAGTCAACTCCGCAACAACCTTCCAGCTGCATTCGCGGCGACCATCCCTTCAACCTACACTTCGCCCTACGCATCCGCCCCTACTCCGCAAGGCGGCCAGCAGCAACAGTTGCAGACCCCACGGCCTCCTCACGGACCACCTCAGCATCATTCCCCTTATTCACAACAAAAGCCGCCATCCTCTCAACCTCCTCACAACAACCCGCAGCCTCGGGCCTATCCTCCATCTGGTGGAGTGCAGTTCCAACACCAGCATCAGCACCAGCACCAGCACCAACATCAGCCAAACGTCCAACCCCAGTCGCAGCAGCTGTCGCATCCTCCTCAGCAGCAACATTCGCTACCTCCTCACCACCAGCACCAGCCGCAGCATCAGCACCAACAGCACCAGCATCAACACCAACACCAGCATCATCCGCCTCCAGGCCTCCCGGCCCACTCTCACCACCAACAGCAACACCCTATCCAGCAAAACTCTGGACCAGGGCCACAAGAGTCATCCTCGTTCATTGACCGAGCAAACAAGGCAATCGATGACTTCGAAGCTGTTCTCATGGAAGACTACGAGGACAAGAACTACATCCGGGAAGTTCTGCGGAGTGCGCGTGCACGTGTGTTGGGCGATGCAACAGAAAGCTCCTTCCCAGGCGGCGAGCCAAAAGACGAAGCCGTCATCATGGACGTGCTACGCAATCTGGTCGGAAGTCTGAAAGACGAGTGAATGGCCTCCTGGTTATATATATTGGTGAAGGAAACGGTTTCCTCCCTGACGACTTATCGAGTATTACGAGTCTTATGGTTTTGATTTTTTTTCTTCTTTTTTTTTCCCTCCTTCCCGTTCGATTTATTAGTTCAGAATTTGTGCTTTGTGTTTTGCAACATGTCTGGATTCGTTGAATCTTAATGATATCCCTCTGTTTTTGCTGACAGGCGTTTGCTTGCGCCTTGTCGATTTTTTTGGTCGCACTTCTACCTTTGTGTTCTCTCTTCTTTAGGCTTTTCATGGCCCACTGTTTTGGAGGTGGTGCAGAGGGATCGCCCTTGTGGGATGATCCCGACTTGCTTGTTTCTGTTTGTTTTCATCCTGGCGTCACCCGGCCGCCTGGTATAAAAGCGTAAAAGCTCAGCATGATAGAAATACCATTTACATTGACCGGATTTAATACTCATTCTCTTTCTCCAGCACAAGCATGGATGCTGTACTAGTATTATTTTGTCAATGGCATCTTTGATATCTATTATGCTG